CCAATGTCCCTATATTCCAGGGACAGGCCTGGGTTTACAGAAGCCATCCCGGTTTCTGATTTGATCTCGAAATGTCCCATTTTCCCTTAGGATGTCCCTATTTTCATTGGAGAAATGTTGAAGGGTCTGGAGTTAAGCGACCCCCGAGCCAATGATACAAGTAACTACACAACCTTTAGGAGACACCTGAAGGCAGCCCTGGATAGGGAAGTTTTAAGATGTTTAATATTTTGTTACGTTGGAAGTGAAATAAAAAAATTAAGGTCATATATATATATTGTTCATAAATGTACCAAGCAAGCACATACATATATGTGTGGACCACATGTCTGGAGCAGCACAGGAGGACCGCCCTGAAACCCTTTTCACTCCCAAACTGACCAAATGTTTTCTCTGCAAGGAGGGAGGAGGTGGGGGAACCTCCCATTGTCTTTTGTTCACAAATCCTGTCTTAAGGGTATGTCTGTGTTTGAATAGGGTGAGCCTGTGACCTGGCTCAGGAACTAAGTATTTGTCATTATAAAAGACTGGCCAGGCTCCCCAGGGTATCCAACCAAGTAAGCATTAACAGGTAACCTGCCAGACAGGAGGTAAACAACGCACTCAGATTTCTGTTGCAGACCACCCTTTCTGTGATGTATGCATGATGTATCTAGGGGTTGTCTTGGACTCCAGGGCGGGCAATTTAAAATGTCTATATAAGGGCGGCCACACCTGGGTTCTGGGTTCTCCTCCTTTCCTGTTGCAACAGTTCAATAAAGGTCAGGCTTACTAGCTGCTTTGCTTCTCAAGATTCTCTCGTTGGCCTCTGTTATTTTCTCCAACCGATGGAGAACCTGCAAAGGACTCTGTAAGGGCTCCTGCGTTCCTATTCTCATAAGGGAGTAAGGGCAGATTTTCGTTTATTACAGAAGCCTCCCAGAGTGGCTGGGGCAACCCAGTCAGATGGGCAGGGTAATTATTGTTGTTGTTATTGCTGCTGCTGCTGTTGGATAAAAGGTAAAGGTACCCCTGCCCGTACGGGCCAGTCTTTCCAGACTCTAGGGTTGTGCGCCCATCTCACTCAAGAGGCCGGGGGCCAGCGCTGTCCGGAGACACTTCCGGGTCACGTGGCCAGCGTGACAAAGCCGCATATGGCAAGCCAGCGCAGCACACGGAAACGCTGTTTACCTTCCCGCCAGTAAGCGGTCCCTATTTATCTACTTGCACCCGGGGGTGCTTTCCAACTGCTAGGTTGGCAGGCGCTGGGACCGAGCGACGGGAGCGCACCCCGCCGCGGGGATTCGAACCGCCGACCTTTCGATCGGCAAGCCCTAGGCGCTGAGGCTTTTACCCACAGCGCCACCCGCGTCCTGTTTTTGGATAGGACGTCCCTATTTTCATAGGGAGAAATGTTGGAGGGTATGCATTTGTCCCGGTCACACCAAATGACTAGGCTGGAAGGGAGAAGGGAGCCCCGAGTCCATGGGCAGGATCCGGCTTCCTCATCCGCACATGAAGACGCACAGCCTGTCCAGCAATGAAGTTCGAACTCTGTGTAGTCACTGGATTCTTTGAGGGTGGGGGGTGCAGGGCGAGGGGGGTTAACAGCTGGGGAGGGAAAGGTGATGCCAACTTGAACAAAATAATGGGAGCGCGCCAAGTAAGCCCGGCACTGCATAATCGATCGCATGACACCGTGCCCTCACACTATTTGAATGGCAATGCCTGTCAACTTGGGGGAGGGGTTGTGTCCTCCTCAAGACCCCTTGTCCCCTAGGAGTTGGCTCCTATGACGGTGAATACCCCCTCCTGCCACCCCCTCCCAAAAACCTCTCACACCAATGCAGCAATTAAGACTTGACAGCTAATCAATCAATCAATCAATCAATCTTTATTGGCAGAAAGAGAAAACAGGCACATGTTGGTCGAAACCTAAGATTGCCATCTGTTTGCAAAACAATACGTGCGTCGATGTGTGTATACCTCAGTTCTGTCCTGGGTTCAACTCTCGGCCTTCCCAAAGAATGTTCCTATTTTTGACAGCCGTGTGCTATTTTGGGGGGAGAGGGGCTGCTGGACGCAGGCCCCAGAGTCTTGTTACGGGACTATCCGAGCGGCTGACCCCTTGGTGTGGGTTACCTTGACCTGGGAGACAGGAGAGAAGCTCCCCCCCCCCCCCGCTCGCTTTCCCCATCTCTACGTGGGGCTTATTCCCATGTAAGGGCTCTGACCCGGGTAACTGGCACCGTTTCATGTGAACTCCACGCCGTGTTTCGCCCTGGGACCAGGCTTCCTAGAACCAGGGGGGCAGGCCTCCCTTCTCGGAAGAAACAGGAGCCTTGCATGTGCGGTTTGTTGTCGTTGGCCGGACCGGTGGCTTGGCACTGGACGGAGGCCTTGCAGGCGGCTTGTTATGTCTGGTGGCTCCGCTCTTGAGATGAAGGAGACGGTGGTCAAATGCAGGGATTCAGATTCAGACTGCGTTTAAGAGCAGATCTTGCTGACTTGCAGGACGCAGGTGGCGTTGTGGGTTAAACCACAGAGCCTAGGACTTGCTGATCAGAAGGTCGGCGGTTCGAATCCCCACAACAGGGTGAGAGAATTAGACCATCACGGATGTAACAATGGGAAGTAGCCAAGATAAATAAATAGATTTTGGTGTAAATTGCACGTTATGTGATCTTAATGTAAATACCAATGTAAAATAATGAACGTATTTTCAGAAAGACTCTATACAATGCTTTGAGAGAGAAATATATGGGACAGGATTATAGGGAGAGAGCTGGGGTGAGGTCTGGCTACAAGGCTGCTATTTACTCGCTGAGTAGACATGGAATCATAGAATTGGAGAGTTGGAGGGGACCCCAGGGGTCATCTAGTCCAACCTGCTGCAAGGCAGGAATCAAGATGGGAGCTGTCCCAGGTGGGAACTGGGAAGACCTGGATCTCTGTTTGTGAATTGAAGATTACGATAGAAGGTTGATAAAATATACAAACCACGTCATAGTTGTGGTGCCCTTGGCACCCAGTGCGGCGGAAGTGGTCACACTGCCCTGATCCCACCTCTGTTCTAGGAAACCCTGGAACACAGAAGGGAAGTTCTCCCTCTGCCAACATCATGACCCAGACAGCGGCAGATCACCTGTGTTGCAAAACAGCAGACTTCACAATGCCGTTGTCCGAATTGTGTTTGCCTGCCAGTTCGCCTGTGCTGTTCTTATTACATCAGGCCCTTCTTCGGACCCATGAGGACTAGGAGCCTAGGAGGACCATACTACTGTTGCCGGGTACCTGCTCTGCACGCAGAAGGTGCCAGGTTCGACCCCTAATCATCTCTAGGTAGCCCTGGGGGTGTCCCCTGTCTGGAAACCCACTGCCAGTTGGCGCTTCCCAAACTTCAGACTCCAGCTGTTGTTGGACTACAACTCCCACCATCCCTAGCTAGCAGGACCAGTGCTCAGGGATGATGGGAATTGTAGTTCATAAGCGGCTGGAGATATAAGTTTGGAAAACCCCAGTGCAGATATTTTCTGAGCTGGCTGGGCCATCTGACTCCCTTTAACACTGTTTTTCATGCTCCTGTTTAAACCAGACTTCTAATCAGAAACATGAGGACTGGATCCTTGAGTTTATTTTGAAGGAAAGGAAACATAGCTCAGCTACAGGACACCTGCTCTATAAGCAGAAGGTTGCAAGTTCAATGTCTGGCGTCTCCAGGAAGGCCAGGAAAGACCCCTTGCCTAAATAATGATGATGATGATAGTAGTAGTAGTAGTAGTAGTAGTAATAATAATAATAATAATAATAATGTCATTATTTGTACCCTGTCCATCTGACTGCCTTGCCCCAGCTACTCTGGGAGGCTTCCAGTATATTCAAAAACATAAAACAGGAAGCTCAGTCAGTAGAGCATGGTACTCAGGGACATGGGTTTGAGCCCCACAAGTTTCCTGCATTGCGGGGGTTGGACTAGATGACCCTCGGGGTCCCTTCCAATCCTATAATTCTATGATTCTATTATTCCATGTACAGGGCTGCCTTCAGATGTCTTCTAAGTGTCAGGTAGTTGTTTTTCTCTTTGACATCTGCTGGGAGGACGTTCCAAAGGGCGGGCGCCACCACTGAGAAGGCCCTCTGCCTGGTTCTCTGTAACCTCACTTCTTGCAGTGAGGGAACTGCCAGAAGGCCCTCGGCGCTGGACCTTGGTGTCCGGGCTGAATGATGGGGTTGGAGAGGCTCCTTCAGGTATACAGGGCTGAGGCCATTTAGGGCTTTAAAGGTCAGCACCAACATAGAATCATAGAATCATAGAGTTGGAAGAGACCACAAGGGCCATCGAGTCCAACCCCCTGCCAAGCAGGAAACACCATCAGAGCACTCCTGACATATGGTTGTCAAGCCTCTGCTTAAAGACCTCCAAAGAAGGAGACTCCACCACACTCCTTGGCAGCAAATTCCACTGTCGAACAGCTCTTACTGTCAGGAAGTTCTTCCTAATGTTTAGGTGGAATCTTCTTTCTTGTAGTTTGGATCCATTGCTCCGTGTCCGCTTCTCTGGAGCAGCAGAAAACAACCTTTCTCCCTCCTCTATGTGACATCCTTTTATATATTTGAACATGGCTATCATATCACCCCTTAAGCTCCTCTTCTCCAGGCTAAACATGCCCAGCTCCCTTAGCCGTTCCTCATAAGGCATCGTTTCCAGGCCTTTGACCATTTTGGTTGCCCTCCTCTGGACACGTTCCAGTTTGTCAGTGTCCTTCTTGAACTGTGGTGCCCAGAACTGGACACAGTACTCCAGGTGAGGTCTGACCAGAGCAGAATACAGTGGCACTATTACTTCCCTTGATCTAGATGCTATACTCCTATTGATGCAGCCCAGAATTGCATTGGCTTTTTTAGCTGCCGCGTCACACTGTTGGCTCATGTCAAGTTTGTGGTCAACCAAGACTCCTAGATCCTTTTCACATGTACTGCTCTCAAGCCAGGTGTCACCCATCTTGTATTTGTGCCTCTCATTTTTTTGCCCAAGTGCAATACTTTACATTTCTCCCTGTTAAAATTCATCTTGTTTGTTTTGGCCCAGTTCTCTAATCTGTCAAGGTCGTTTTGAAGTGTGATCCTGTCCTCTGGGGTGTTAGCCACCCCTCCCAGTTTGGTAGCCTCCTTGCAGCCTCCTTTGGCAGCCTCCTTGGCAGCCTCCTTGCACGCAGAATTGACCTGCGCCTCCATGGACCACAGTGAGCCCCAAATGAACCCTGGAGAGCCGTTGCCAGCCAGTGAGAATAATACAGAGCCAAGAAGACCCGTGGCCTGGCTTGCTGGCAGGTTGCTTCCTCCTTAAGCCAGCTCTTTGGACCCCATGTGGACTAGCACCATGCAGAGTCATCACATGGACAGCCCAGTGTTCTGACTCAGGATAAGACAGCTTCATGTGCAGGAGAGTCTCTAGCGATGCGCAAGAGCAGTTTAGGCGGAGACGACCCTGGATACGAGCATAGGGGCGGTGTTAGAAGCCCTCCTGTTTTTACCTGCGATGTGCTGCGTCCTCCCCGCTCTCACAGTGAACATCTGCCATGGAGATGACTCACCCCGTCTCCCTTTCGCCCCCCTTGTTGATGTGCCCCATGCACCATCCTTGTCTCCCGTCCAAACCCCAGCCATGTCCGACAGCTGTCCCTTGGTCACCGGACACCAGGAACAGCGTGTGGCCGGTCAGGATTTGGCCGGAGGTAGAGCCGGGAAGGGGAGGGAGAGGAGAGGCCAGGGAGTGCAGGAGTCCCCATTTCGCAACCCTTTCCCGGTTCTTAGAATTGTAGGGTTGGGAGGGACCTCCAAGGGCCTTCAAGTCCAACCCTGTGCAAGACCTGCCAAGGAAAATAAATAATTTATTTATGTACGTGACAACAGCGGCAAGAGTCTTAATAGCGCAAGGATGGAAGAATGAGGAAATCCCGACAAAAGAACAGTGGCAAGAGAAACTGATGGACTATGCAGAATTGGGGAAATTGACGTACGAACTGCGAGACAACTGTGACTTTAAAGAAGAATGGGAACGTTTTACAAACTTCTTAAAAAAACAAACAAAATGAATTGGACTCCTTGGCAGGTTTTGAATGAACATAACACAAATTTATTGATTGTTAACATAATAGACAGATAATTTAAGGATCTTTACAATTTTACAATATGCAGAGAATAACATGTGTTGAGAAAACCAGAGAGAGTTGCTGAGGGAAGTCTTGGGGCGGAGAGGGAGGGGGGTTTCTTCTGGGGAGGGGGGAGGGAAAAATGGGGGGGAATGTTTTGATAATTTGTTATGCTTAAATTCTTAATAAAAAATATTTTTTTAAAAAAAGTCCAATGCTGTGCACTTCAGGAATCCCAGCTGAACCATCCCTGATAGGTGGCAATTAGGTTTATAACTTTTTTACAACCTCACGTTCCTGTAGCTTAGTTAGATGAACTTTTGCCTAAAAGCAAACTCTTTTGCAAAAAAACAAAGTCACCCCGAAAACAATAAATCAAATTTTGTCTATGTAACTGTATAACATATTACGTCATATGCACGACATGTATTATGACGAAGGAAAAATTTAGCTTGCAAACTTTCCAGTGCTTGTACATCGCACACCTCTTCTTATTGCTAAGAATAAATCGAGGTTGCAGTTGGTCTTGGTTTCTGCTGCAAGCACCAAAAAGTTCCTGCATCACTTTGGTTGCGCGTTCTGCGCATGGATCACATCCTGGGATCTGGAGTTCAGAGGGCTGCTAAACAAGCTATAGCTTAGGGCCCCACTCTCTTTGGGGGCCCCCAAAAAATTAAAGGGGAAAAAACTGGATGTCCATTTCCAAAATATAAGATAAAAAACAAATTAAATAAAACCTACATACAGCAACTGTGGCAAATGGCTTTATATACCTAATAGGTCCATAAATTAACTTATAGCATATATTCAACACAAAAAACAGCGACAATTTGTTGTTGACAAAGGACAGCTGGACATATAAAGGGCTCCATTACCTTCAGTAGCTGAGGGCCTCATCAAACCGAAATCTGGCCCTGCTCCTGCTTCCAGGTGTTAAGAGAGATTCTCCAATGCTTTTGAAAGTTCTTTTACAGCTGTAAAAGTTCTAAACAGTTCCATCAAGTTTTCAAAAATACTGATACTTTATGAGTAGTAATGTGACATACTGTATATGGTGATTCCAATTTTTCATTTCAGGGTGACCTTGTTTCACAGCTGAGAAGAACCAGTCCCTGTTTTTGAGTGTTTCTAAGCAAAAGTTTATCCCCTGAGGATACAGGAAATCATTTTTTGGGAGAAAAGTAAAAAAGTTCTAACCCTAATCCCTACTCGTTCAATGTGGTTGTTTTATAGTTTTGTTTCTCTTTAATTTTTCTCCTGCTATTAGGTCTTCTCTGTTTTATACATACAACGAAATGAGTTTAAAAATCTTCACCCCCCCAAAAAAAAACCCCAAGCAAAAACAAACGTGATTATTATTCTGTTGACAAATATGCTTAACTCTGACCCTGAAGAGGAAGAAGGGAACGTCTTCCTATTGGTGCAAAGCGGTGGGACGAGATGACAAATCGCTTCCCATAATTGGTGCCAGTTTGCTCCCGCCCACAATGCTTGAAAAACAAAATAATGCACAACTTTGGAGCACTGCCTTGTTTCTGGGCGTCTTTTCTCCCTGCTCCACCCCCCAACCCACCCCCTTTGGCAGGCCTGCCAGGGGTGTGGGGTGGGGCATGCGCTCGCGCATACCAGCAAGCAAACGCCAGCAATTTCTGCTCCTCTAATCCGAGTGACTTTCACCCTGCTGAAATTCCCACAAAGGTCACCGCGAAGTCAGGGGACTTTTTTGCTCTCGCACGGCGCATGGGTGCGCATGTCTGCGCATGGTGCGCGTGTGGAAAAAGCACAAAGGAGGCCTGGGGAGCGGCCTAGGGAGCTTAGCGTCTCTCTCCTCCTCCCCCCGCAAGCTGTGGCGTTTCCCTCCAGGACGTTCTGTTTTCCTCCTCGGATCATGTGCTCAGAGCTGCCAGGTTCCTCACGATTGATGGCTTGTTTGGCCTGGTTCTGGGAGCCGGGCCAAGTCCTGAGGACAGGATCCCTCCCGCGTCTTCGAAAGCTCTGGCTCCCCAACAGTGTGACCTTGGCATGGGAGCCTGGGGGCTTGGCCAACAACGCAGAAGGCCCCCCCTCACCCTACCTGCGCACCTGGCCAGCGGTTGTCACAAGTCCCCTCAAACTTCCTCTGTCCTCTCCTCTCTCTTTTTTACTTATGGGGTTGGTCAGCCCCTTCCCCAAAGCGCTTCTCTTCCACTGCCAAGCGGCGCCCTCAGGCAGGCAGCTGCCCCTTTCGGTTCTGCTCAGTTTCTCATTCCCTCAGCTCCCCCCATCTCAAAAGTTCAGTTTGCCCATTTCCGCACCAGATTGCAATGGTTTTTAATTGCAAGAAGCATCTCCCTCCACATTTCTGCCATTATTATCTCTCCTATAGAAACACAAACGTAATGCTGTCATCACGCAGCTCCCATGGGAGGATTTGTAGGGCCTCATCACGGTCCTGGGGTTGGTGAGAAGAGGTGCAGACTCTCGGATGTGTGCATGTGTCTATGAGCTGTGTGTGTTTGCTTATAAAGTGTCAGGGGTTCTTTTCTTGTGATTCCTGCATTGCGGGGGGTTAGATTAGATGACCCTTGGAGTTCCCTCCAACTCTACACTTTCATGACTCCTCTCGCTCTCTCTCTCTCTCCTGCAGTTAAATATTGCATTTTAAAATGTGTCTACGACATATACATCTGTATAGCGAATGTACAGTGGTACCTCGCAAGACGAATGCCTCGCAAGACAGAAAACTCGCAAAACGAAAGGGTTTTTGGTTTTCTGAGTTGCTTTGCAAGACGATTTTCCCTATGGGCTTGCTTCGCAAGACAGAAACGTCCTGCAAGTTTGTTTCCTTTTTCTTAAAACCGTTAATACAGTTGCGACTTGACTTCGAGGAGCAACTCATAGCACGCGGTGTGGTAGCCTTTTTTGAGGTTTTTGAAGACTTTGGTGATTTCTGAAGCTTTTCCAAAACTTTTCCGACACCGTGCTTCGCAAGACGAAAAAAACCGCAAGATGAAAAAACTCGCGGAACGAATTAATTTCATCTTGCGAGGCACCACTGTAATATATAATCACATTACATACACATTTTTAAAAGGGCAGTTCTATGTAAAACACACACATATTTTAGAAGACACTTTCCCAAAATAGGATGCTTTTTTTTAAACAAGCAAAGGATGCAGTCTTGTATGTTCCTTTCATTATCTACACATTTCTGTTCACTTTTCGGGGGGTTGGAGACCTCCTTTGCAAAATTCAGAAGCAGCATGGATTTCGAAGGCTAGTTGTGTGTTTCAGTTCTCGCGCTATTTGGGGAAATTGGGAACAAGGTCGGTCTGTTTCTAAATGCAAACTGCGCCCAAATTTCGCCCCCTTCCCTGGAACCCCACACAGCTGATCCAAAGGGAAATTCTGCGCCTCCACGGTGGAAAAGCTCGTGTTGAAATTGTCTGGCAACGGCAGAAAACTTTAGAAACAATACTTGGGGTATTCTTCATAGCTAGTACGGTAGTCGTCAAAAGCCTTTTGCTCCTCCACGTGTGTCCCCGATCCGTTTTTGAAGCTGTCCAAGTTGATGGCCCTAACTGCCTGCAGTGGGAGGGAGTTCCACAGTTTAACTCTGTTGAATCTCTCAATGTTCAGCTCCACTGCATGCCCACGGTCTAGCGTTATAAGAGAGGGTGGGTGGGAATCTTTTAGGAACGCTGTAAGAATTATTGGGTTAACTCCAGGGGAATAGGCGCACACGCACACAAACAGAGAGAGAGAAACGTGGTCTGCAACACATATTTGTTTACCCTGAGAGGCCTGTACAGCTGCAGATAAGCAGGGTGGAGCCAGTGTGGATATATGCAGATAATCCAGCCTTGCAATATGCCCGCTCGCCTCGGGTGAACCGAGGATGCAGCAGGCGAGGGCTGGAGTCCCAAAAACTTCCCTCCAGGGTTTTCCTGTTTGGGGAGGCTGGGACCTTTTTGCATGCAAAAACAGACACACTCCAGCACGGACCTGCGGCTGCCCTCCCCTTAAAGCCAGATTCTAGTCCTCAACGGCTCAAAATCAAAAGCGGTTTAAATAAGAGCAAAGCATGGGTTGCGGGTTCGAACCCCACATTGGGCAAAAGTGTGCTGCCTTGCAGGGGGGTGGACGAGATGCCCTCAGGGTCCCTTCCAGCTGTACAATTCTAGGTTCCTACAGAGACACAGAAGGCAGATTTCTTTGGCATTCTCTTGAAGGCCAGCCTGCCTAGCTAGCTAGCAAGTGAGGGTCTCGTTTTTTCAGGCGATCTTCCAGCGGTTTTTAAGAAGGTCAGGCCCATTGCAGGCCTCCAGAGTTTTCTCGGAAACCTGGGACGGTCTCCCGGCCTGCGTAGCAGACAGATTCCGGAGGAAAACATGTTTTGCTGGGCTGGAAGGGGATCGTCCAGTGGGCTGGGAGGGGAGGAAACCAATGAGGGAGAGAGGGAGGGAGGCGTCAGCAATTTCCTTGGGCTCATAAGCGCTTGGGGTTCCTCCCCTGGCAACTCTCCCCTAGGAGAGGACTTTTGGAGGAGAAACACTGCCGGGGGGGGGGGGGCAGGTCTCCTCTCCAGTTTTGCATCCTGCTCCATTTCTGGATATTGCACAACCGGCGTCTTGTGCAACCAGGCCTGCAAGTGTGCGTAGTTGCCAACTGCTTCTCCCTGGCAGGGCTCTTCTGGCTTTAAGAGCCCCAGGCGAGACTTTCCACCAGGTGCCGTTTCCTTGCCTCTGATCCATTCTGCAACCGGCTAGATCCCGAAGCTGTCATGAGCGCAGCAACCATAATATTGGGTGGGTGAAGAATTTGTGCATTCTGCTTGCAGGCCCTGCCAGTATCCCTATTTTTCTGAGTTGTCAGAAGCCCTGTCCTGGTTTCCGATTTGATCCCAGAATGTTAAGGTAACCTTAACAAAAAGTGCAACATTCTGGGATCAAATAAAGGGACCCCTGATCATTAGGTCCAGTCGTGGCTGACTCTGGGGTTGCGGCGCTCATCTCACTTTATTGGCCGAGGGAGCCGGCGTACAGCTTCCGGGTTGTGTGGCCAGCATGACTAGTGAAACCAGAGCAGCGCACGGAAACGCTGTTTACCTTCCCGCCAGAGCGGTACCTATTTATCTACTTGCACTTTGACGTGCTTTCGAACTGCTAGGTTGGCAGGAGCAGGGACCGAGCAACGGGAGCTCACCCCGTCGCGGGGATTCGAACCGCCGACGTTCTGATCGGCAAGTCCTAGGCTCTGTGGTTTAACCCACAGCGCCACCCGCGTCCCTATTTCCATCAGAGAAATGTTGGAGGGCATGTGTTTGGAGGCTGGAGACACTCTGCACCTGCCTCGTGATGGGCTTTTGAGCTGGTTCTTTTCTTTAAAAAATGGATAGGGTCTCACAAGAAGCAGAAAATTTGCAAGTGACACTGCCTCTCCCCTCTTTGCAGGAACGAAGGAGGTTTGCAAGGCAGACCTGGACTGCAAGAAAACAACAGCTGCCTGCCCCTTGGGGAGCGACAGAGCCCATTGCAACCAAGAGTGCATCTGCCCATGTGCAGAAAGCCGAGGGCTACACGTAGGGGTCTCTCTTGGCCCTAACTGGGGATCCTGGGGATTGGCCCCAGAGCTTCCTGCCTCCAAAGCAGCTGCTCTACTGTTGAGTTATATTATCGTTTCCTTAAAGGCGACGCAAGGCTGTAGTCCTCATTATTGCGAACAAAGCTCTGATTTTGATAGGAACCCTTGAAGCTGAGACCTTTTGTCCAGGTGGCCCGGGATTATCTGCACCGTTGAGGGCATTTTGGGAGATGATATATGATGAGATAAAAAGGACGTTTACTATACCAAAAAAAAACAATCCCTGGAGATTTTCTTTTAGGGATTATAGGGACAGAAGTTCCCCCCAAAAGACGATGAAGACGATGAAGTTGTTTACAACTGCAGCTAAGATTCTCTACACACACAAAAATGGGAAGAAGCAGAAATTCTCACCAAAGAAGAATGAATAAGGAAGGCGATGGATTATGCCAGATGGGGAAAGTTAGCAGCTAAAATAAGTTTTTTGTGGAAGAGGGGAAACCCTTCTCAAATTATTTAAAGAAATATTATTACATGACAAACATGGGATCAGGATTCGAACCCTGAGCAACAGGAGGGTTTAAAGATTACAGTAGTTTTGTCAAGGTTTGAGAGACAGAAAATAGGGAGCAGCAGAAGGAGAGAAACAGGAACATTGTGGGAAAGGAGGTGGGAAGTCGGACAAAAAGAGTTTTTATTGTGTATTGAAATGTACGTGTGATTTTATCATATGTGGTGGGAATGTAAGAAAATAAAGAACTTCTGGGAAATGATATATAATGAGATGAAAAAGATGTTGAAATATACATTTAAAAAAAAAACAAAAACCAGAAGCATTTCTACTTGGTATTATAGGTCAGGATATTAATAGGCAAGATGTTAAATTGTTTTTATATGTAACAACAGTGGCAAGAGTATTGTTAGCCCAGAAATGGATGCAAGAAGAAATTCCGACGAAAGAAGAATGGCAGATGAAAATAATGGACTACGCAGAATTGGACAAAATGACAGGAAGGATTCGAAACCTGCGGGAACAGAGATTCAAAGAAGATTGGAAGAAATATACAAATTATTTGAAGAGAACTGTAATCAACAAATTACTCTAGTAAGACTACAAGAAGTTTTGTAAGGAGAAATATATGAAGTGCTACAAAGTAGATAAAGAATAGAGAGATTGGTTATGAGTTTTAAACGTAACAGGGAAAATAAGAAATGTATACTAAGAGATTAGATTGGAAAATTTTCAGACTGGACTGGTGGAAGTCAAAATATTGAATAAGATGTAAAAATGTGTTTAATTAATGGTATGTTAAAAAACTAATAAAAATTTATATATATATAAGAAATGTACGTGTGAAATTTTGGAAAACTTAATAGAAGAAACTTGGGGTGGGGGAGGGGGAGGGGGAGGGTTGCCTGCATTGATTGACAAGAGGCTCTTGTCAATCAATCAAGGAGCCAGCTCCTTCTGCAAGCCAAGCAGCTGTTCTGCTTATCGGGGTTATTAGGGAGTCAGGCGCACCTCGTCTCGTGGTAACCTTGCGGTTATGTAATCCTTGGCAAGAGCTCTGCAACTGTTTTTCTGTGCTGATAACGCCCTTCCCCTTCACTCCACAGAGTCCAGGGACCTGCCTTACCCTCCAGAGGAGGAGGAGCGACCTGCCCAGGCGGCAGCAAAGGGAGATTCCTGTTTCTAGTCCTCTCCGTTTCTCGTTTTCTCGCTCAGCTGTTTCTTTAAACTGCAGCTAAATGCAGGAAACAGGGTCCGTAATGCACTAGGGACGGGTTGTGGGGTTAGGGTCCAGGGTTCGGCACCCGGGGAAAGACTTGCTGTCTGAAACCACACAAAGCTGCTGCCAACCTGTGCAGGCAAAACTATTACTACTCTACTACTACTAATAATAATTTATTGTTTATACCCTGCCCATCTGGCTGGGCTTCCCCAGCCACTCTGGGCAGCTTCCAACAAAATATTAAAATACAGTAATGCATCAAACATTAAAAGCTTCCCTAAACAGGGCTGCCTTCAGATGTCGTCTAAAAGTCTGGTACAGTGGTACCTCTGGATGCGAACGGGATCCGTTCCGGAGCCCCGTTTGCATCCTGAGTAGAACGTAACACGCGACTGCAAGTCTGCGCATGCTTCTGTGCATGTGCACGACATCATTTTGAGCATCTGCGCATGCGCGAGCGGCGAAACACAGAAGTAACGCATTCTGTTACTTCCGGGTCACCGCGGAGCGTAACCTGAAAACGCTCAACCTGAAGCATATTTAACCCGAGGTATGACTGTTGTTGTTCTCTTTGACATCTGGTGGGAGGGAGTTCCACAGGGCGGGCGCCACCACCAAGAAGGCCCTCTGCCTGGTTCCCTATAACCTCACTTCTTGCAGTGAAGGAACCGCCAGAAGGCCCTCGGCGCGGGATCTCAGTGTCCGGGCAAAAGGATGGGGGTGGAGACGCTCCTTCAGGTATACTGGACCGAGGCCGTTTAGGGCTTTCAAGGTCAGCACCAACACTTTGAATTGTGCTCGGAAACGTACTGGGAGCCAATGCAGGTCTTTCAAGACTGGTGTTATGTGGTCTCGGTGGCCACTCCCAGTAGTAGTATGAATGGTCTCCCTCGGCAGGTGACGGCCTCTCTTTCCTTGGAGGTTTCAAAGCAGAGGTTGGATGGCATTATCTGTCACAGATGCTTTAGTTGAAATTCCTGCATTGCGGGGGGTTGGGCTGGATGACCCTTTAGGGTCCCTTCCAATGCTACGATTCTGTTATTGTATGAAAAATTATATCTATATATAATAAAGATAAGGCCTGCAAGAACACCTGGGAAAGTTATTTAGGTCACTCTGCCAAGCAGAGGGCAATTTAGGCAGCAATAAAACTCAAGAGAGCTACGGGGAGTCAACCTGCTCTGCCACACCTCAGCCTGGGGGCTGCTGCCAAGGCGGCCCCGTTCACCTCCGATCTGCAACCGCCCTCCACATTAACAATCGCCGAACCTTGGAGCATGAGAAGGAGGCAGGGAGCAGGGCAGCCAATTAGAGAGGAGCTGAGAGGCCTCCCGTTGCTTCCCTGCACGATGCCCCGTTCTGGGCGCTCAGTGAGATGATGCTGAGAGAGGAAGACAGCCCACTCAGCCCTTTGCAGGCTCATCTTCTTACTTAGGTTTGCATCCCCATCATGAAATGATGCCTAACTATTTTTATAATTTAAAAGTATGGGAAAATTTGGAATTAGTTTCTACAAAATTTAGTAAGTTATTCATATTTACACACCTATTAGGATAATAATAGGGACGCAGGTGGCGCTGTGGGTTAAACCACAGAGCCTAGGGCTTGCTGATCGGAAGGTCGGAGGTTCGAATCCCCGCGACGGGGTGAGCTCCCGTTGCTCAGTCCCTGCTCCTGCCAACCTAGCAGTTCGAAAGCACATTAAAGTGCAAGTAGATAAATAGGTGCCGCTCCGGCGGGAAGGTAAACAGCGTTCCATGCGCTGCTCTGGTTCGCCAGAAGCGGCTTAGTCATGCTGGCCACATGACCCGGAAGCTGCACGCCGGCTCCCTCGGGCAATAAAGCGAGATGAGCACCACAATCCCAGAGTCGGCCACAACTGGACCTAATGGTCAGGGGTCCCTTTACCTTTACCTAAATAATATCAAACTTATAACAAGAATGTAGGGGTTAGGGTTAATGGTGTCTACTAAGTCTTCTATATGTTTTATGTGTTTGAAACATCTCAAGTACCAATGTATTATGGATTATTATTTTTTCCATTTATGATTTCTGTTGTCTAAATGATGCCAGTAAAGGCTGAATGAATGAGAGACAGAGAGAGAGAGAGAGAGAGAGAGAGAGAGAGAGAGAAGGGAGAGAATGAGGGTGTCGGGAGCGAATCACACTGAGCAAGTTGGAGATAATGTGTGTGTGTGTGATTTTCTTTGGTTACAACAGTCCGTGTTTTGTCTCTTGTCGTGTTGCTTGTCTACAAATCAGTCACGTCTGATGTGATGCAAGTTGGGATGAACTATTTATTAGCAAGAACGCAACCGGAAGAGATTTGGTGGAGCGTCAGGCCTAGTGAGCAGAGCAGCTGGAACCCAGTAGGTCTTGCCCCGTGGATCAGATGCCGAAACGCGTAGGCCAGGTGAGAATGTCGGAAGCAGCCCCGGCATGGGACAGGCCTCCCTCCTCTCCTGCCTCCGTGTTGGGGTTTCTAGCAGGGGCCCAAAATAGTACAGGGAAGGCCTGGCGTCAAGCGGCGGGGAGTTCCAAAGTGCAGACGCTAAAAAGATCTGGTTGAGCATGAAGGGGCGTTGAGCATGACCTTGGTCACAGAACCAAGAAGGCCTAGTGGCGTAAGGCAGCCTTGCAGGTAAACAACTTCTTTTTCTTCCTCTTCTTCTTCTTCTTCTTCTTCTTCTTCTTCTTCTTCTTCATTTCCAAAACTGGAAAAAGAAAAATTACAAACATCAAATTCAAAATCCATATTCGTTTTCTAATATAAGCCTATTACATAGTTAACTAAATTAAAATATATCTAATTGCTCCAGACTTCTCTTTGCTGTATATAAATACAACGCAATTAGAAATTTTATATTATAAATAATATTATAAATTCCCCTATACTCCCCACTCCCCTTCACCCATGTGTGATCTCAGTTTTTTGTTTTTTGTTTTAACTTCTTCCGTCTTCTTGTGTTTTTCTCGCAGGTAAACTTCTTAAGGGCTTCATATACTAATAGGAACACCTCAAACTTGACCCAGTAGCAAATCGGCAACTGGTTATGGCTCCTGAAGGCCAGGCGTCAGGAACCACCACCATGGTGAATTTCCTTACCAAAACCCCGCTTTTAACAAAGCTCCCTATCTGCGGAATTAAACGACAACGGTGCCATTCAGAGTCTGTGCTTCTGAATTTTGTCTTGAATCCTAGAATTGCAGAGTTGGAAGGGACCCCAGGGGTCATCTAGTCCAACCCGCTGCAAGGCAGGAATTTCAACTAAAGCACCTGTGGCAGTCGGCCGCCCAACTTCTGCTTAAAAAACTCCCGGGAAGGAGAGTCCACCACCTTCCATCCCCCGGTCAAACAGCTCTCACTGCCAGCAAGTTTTTCTTGACGTTGAGTCGGAATCTCCTTTCTCGTTGCTTGAAGCCATGGGTTCAAGTCCTACCCTCCAGAGGAGGAGAAAGCAAGCTTCTCTCTTTACTTGCTTTTTCTTTCTCTATCCCCCTCCCCTTTTTTTGTTCTTTTAAGGTCTTTGTTTGGTTAAAAACAGGGGAGAAAGATATAAAGCTTTGTATTTTCCTCTATAAACCTCAATGATATTTATTTATTTTTAAACCAAGCATGTCTCTTTAAGAATCTCTTTGGGGTGAGGGGGGTGGCCTTTAAAAACAGAAACCTCTCTGGTCTTACAAAGCCAAGCCCTGCTCTCCCCAGGAAAGGATTTGGAGAGTCACCTGATGGCAGAAGGGACAGACAATGCTTTGCCACACGAGACACGGACAGGAATGAGTCTGTACGTGATTACAGACAGGGAGGGAAGTTTCACTGGAGGGGAGGCAAATTGCTTGCACAATCTTACCAGGCCTTGCAGCAGGTCGGAGCTCCTTGGACTGCTTCGGGTGTCCATGACGAGCTTTTTTTCACTTCCCAAGCTTTTGCTTGTGTGTTGAAATTGGAAGGAGTTGCACGAAGAACAGGGACTCGGGCAGGGGGGCAACAGGGAGGCATCTCCCTGGGGATACGGCTTAGCCCCACCTCCCTGCTGGGACCGGCTGACTCAATCCAAATATGCAGTCTGGTGGGCAAACTATTGTGTGTGCATGCGCGCTGAATCATATAATGGCAGAGTTGGAAGGAACCCTCAGGGTCATCCAGTCCAACCCCCTGCAATGCAGGAAGTGGGGGGGGGGAGTTTAATGAAGTTATAAGCCCCACCTCCCAATCTCCCTGCCCAGTTACCCCACTCCACCTAGCCTCCTAAAGATGCTTGCTAAGAGAGTTACCCCAAAAATAAGCAAGCCAGGCTCCCTGCAGTTTAGGCAAGACCAGGGCAGTGACTCACACAGAGAGAGAACGGGCTGCCTCATCCGTCCTGCACATCTCTGCATTTAGAGCAGTTTGGAACATTCAATTGTGCCCAGTGCAAAAGCGTGGCAAAACCGGTTCTCCCACTCCGACGAATGATTCCAAGGAGGCACACGAGTGCATCGTGCAGGGATGCAACAGGCAAACTCACTTTCCAGAGACAGATAGGTGCTTTGCATACCAATAGGGAGAAAAATCAGGCTATGGATGCACAAGCAGCTTTTGAGCCCAGCTCCTCATTATCGACCCTTGGACTGCTAACTTTCATTTTGTTGCCAGCAGTGGGCTTAACCTCTGAGAATACACAGAGCGCAATACCCTCCAACATTTCTCTGATGATAATAGGGACATCCTGTTTAATAACAATAATAATAACAATAGGGAGGCGGGTGGCACTGTGGGTTAAACCACAGAGCCTAGGACTTGCCAATCAGAAGGTCGGCGGTTCGAATCCCCGCGACGGGGTGAGCTCCCGTTGCTCAGTCCCTGCTCCTGCCAACCGAGCAGTTTGAAAGCACATAAAAGTGGAAGTAGATAAGTAGGTACCGCTCCAGCGGGGAGGTAAATGGCGTTTCCGGGCACTGCTCTGGTTCGCCAGAAGCGGCTCAGTCATGCTGGCCACATGACCTGGAAGCTGTACGCCGGCTCCCTCAGCCAGTAAAGCAAGATGAGCGCCACAACCCCAGAGTCAGTCACGACTGGACCTAATGGTCAGGGATCCCTTTACCTTTAAATAATAATAATAATAATTCTCCAGTCACTCTGACAATAAAAACATAACATTATAAAACTTGCCTTTGCTGGGCTGCCTTCAGAGGACATCTTCGAAAGGGTTATATTCCTCCAATGAAAATAGGGACGTCCTAAGGAAAATCAGAAACTGGGACGGCTTCTGAAAACCCGGGACTGTCCCTGGAAAATAGGGCCTGTCAACCCCTTCTTGATAGGCGTGGGCCTTTAAAAATGACAACAATGTGAAGTTTAAGGGGAAATAATAGTCTCTGAGCATGCACAGAGTGATGCCCGTTTGCAAAAAGACACTGGTTTTTAGAAGGTGTCTTAACCGATCATGGAGGAACGGCTGGTGGGGCTCGACAGAGCCTTTTCTGTGGTGGCTCCTATATTGCAGAGTCCCTCTCCGGAGAGGTTAAACTGGCTCCCTCTTCGCTCTCCTTCCAGCGACAGGCCAAGACCTTGCTTAGAGAGGCCTTTGGACAATGGCGATTACTGGGCTGCTGGGCAGGGCAAACGGGATTTTAATTTCTGGTTTCAAATGCGCTGCGATGCGCTTTACTGTAATTATTGTTCTTCATTAACCTGCCCTTGTCACTTTGCATTTCCGAACGTTGCTTTTCAAACGCTGCAAGCCTCCTCGAATCCCAAGGTGGGGGAGAGAGGGAGGCGTTACAGATCCCGGGAAGGGACCCCAGGGGTCATCTAGACCAACCCGCCGCAATCCAGGAATGCCGTGGGATAAGGATTGGGGTCGCATCTGTCTTTGGCGAACGTGGTAGACGAATCGCGGCGTATTTCACACCCTCTACACTCCTGGGTTGATTTAGAGGCTGGATTGGGTGATCTGGTCATGCAATAAATTATTATTATTATTATTATTATTAACAATGGGCATGTGAAATTGCACATACGCATTTGACTGCTTGCACACCCTGTCACAATTGGCAGTGTGGAAAAGTGAAGCCAGGATGGGGTTGGGCAGGGGGACGGATCCTGCAATGTGGGCTCTGGTCTCCAGGAGGGAAAAAAGGGGCTAGTTTTTGCAGAGGTCACCCATAAAAGAAGGAGGTTTGCAGGTTGTGGATTTGTGCATGTTTAGAAATACCCACTGAAAAGATGGTAAAAGTTGGGGGTGAGGAAGGCAGCAGGGAGGGACTAATCCAGGCACCACTTTCCTAGAGGAGACCGCAGGAGCAGAAAACTCTCTGCACATGTTTAGAGGCGCACTCTGCCTTCTCTCTCCTGCCGCAGAGGCACTCCCTTCCTAGGGGAGACAGCAGCAGCAGAAAACACTCTGCACATGCTTTCAGGTACTCTTTACCCTCCCTCTCCTGCCACAGAGGCACTCTGCCCATGCCCAGGGGCACCCCTTTCCTAGAGGAGACAGCAGGAGCAAAAAACTCTCTGCACATGTTTAGAGGCATGCACTGTCTTCTCTCTTCTGTCACAGAGGCACTCTGCACATGCCCAGAGGCACTCCCTTCCCAGGGGAGATGGCAGGAGCAGAAAACACTCTGCACATGCTTTCAGGTACTCTTTACCCTCCCTCTCCTGCCACAGAGGCACTCTGCCCATGCCCAGAGGCACTCCCTCCCTAGGGGAGACAGCAGAGCAGAAAACACTCTGCACATGTTTAGAGGTGCACTCTGCCTTCTCTCTCTTGCCGCAGAGGCACTCTGCACATGCCTAGAGACACCCCTCTCCCAGAGGAGACAGCAGGAGCAGAAAATACTCTGCACATGTTTAGAGGCGCGCTCTGCCTTCTCTCTCCTGCCACACAGGCACTCTGCCCATGCCCAGAGGCATTCCCTCCCTAGGGGAGACAGCAGAGCAGAAAACTCTCTGCACATGTTTAGATGCACACTCTGCCTTCTCTCTCCTTCCGCAGAGGCACTCTGCACATGCCCAGAGGCACTCCCTTCCTAGGGGAGATGGCAGGAGCAGAAAACACTCTGTACACGTTTAGATGTGCACTTTACCTTCGCTCTCCTGCCACAGAGGCACTCCCTTCCTAGGGGAGACGGCAAGAGCAGAAAACACTCTGCACATGCTTTCAGGTACTCTTTACCCTCCCTCTCCTGCCACAGAGGCACTCTGCCCATGCCCAGAGGCACCCCTTTCCTAGAGGAGACGGCAGGAGCAAAAAACTCTCTGCACATGTTTAGAGGCATGCACTGTCTTCTATCTCCTGTCACAGAGGCACTCTGCACATGCCCAGAGGCAACCCTTTCCTAGAGGAGACGGCAGAAGCAGAAAATACTCTGCACATGTTTAGAGGCGCACTCTGCCTTCTCTCTCCTGCTGCAGAGGCACTCTGCCCATGCCCAGAGGCACTCCCTCCCTAGGGGAGACAGCAGAGCAGAAAACACTCTGCCCATGTTTAGAGGCGCACTCTGCCTTCTCTCTCCTGTCGCAGAGGCACTCTGCCCATGCCCAGAGGCACCCCTTTCCTAGAGGAGACGGCAGCAGCAGAAAACACTCTGCCCATGTTTAGAGGCGCGCACTGTCTTCTCTCTCTTGCCGCAGAGGCACTCTGCCCATGCCCAGAGGCAGCAGGAGCAGCAAACTCTCTGCCTCTCTGCCTCTCGCCGCTCCCCGCTGGCCTGTGCCGGCTGCTGCCCTTCCCTTCCCTTCCCGGCCCGGCAGGCGGAGGCGGAGGCAGGGGCGGGCCGGTTGGGGCTCAGCTGATGCAAGCGGGGGCCGCCGCCTATATAAGGCTCCGCGCGGCGCCTGCTCGGCACCTCCCTTCCCGAGCCCGGCTGTGCCTTTTCCATCTACAGTGGCGCCAGCACTGCGGAGCCCGAGCCTCGGTAAGGGGGACCGCGGGCCGCGGGGGAGGGCTGCCGAGGGCCGGATCAGATCCCCCCCCCGCTTGTCCCCCCCCCCGCATCCCCGGGCGCTTTTGCAAAGCCGCGTCCATTGCATTTGCAAAAAGCGCTTTGCAAAAACCAGAGACGACTGGATCTCGGTAGTTCTGCAATGGAAATGGGGGGGGGTGGAGAGAGAGAGAGAATGGTTGGGGAGAAGACTTCAGATGGGGGTGTGTGAATGCCCCCCCCCAGCAAATAAATAAAGCAGGCCGGGGGTATTGCATTCCCCCCCCCTTGTTTGCAAACTCATTGCATGGCGCGCGCAGCTGAATCTGTCTTGTGTGTGTTTTGAAGGGGGGAGGGGTTTTGCAGTGGGAAAGGAAGGGGGAGGGGCTGGGGAGGCAGCCCTTCACCCCCCCCAATATCCCCCTTTCTCTCTTTTTTTACCGTGTTTTGGTGGCCCCCCCTTATTTTTGCAAATGGGGGTGTGTGTGAAAATCTTAACGTTTTTCCTTTTTGCAAACCTGGTAGCATTGAAAAGGGCCGGATTGTGTTGTTGTTGTTGTGTTGCAATCCTGGGGAGGTGTGTTTGCGGGGGGGGGGAGGTAAGCTTTGCGGGGGCGTATCCGTTTCACGCCCCCCCCCAATAGTGAGCGATTCTTTTTCTCCTCCCCCCTTTTACCGTCTTCCTGAATGCAATAATAGAAAATGAACTCAACGCGAATGATCACGCCCCCTCCCTTGCTATCCAGGATGTAGGGTTTTTTTCTTGGGGGGGGTGACTTAGGAAATAGTCCACCCCTCCTGGAAAAAGGGGTGTGTATTTTTGCTGTCACCCCCCCTCCAATTGCAGATTTTCAGAATAAAGTCCAGAGAGCGTTGGGTTTATTATTTTACTGCAAATCTGCGAGTTTCCTTCTCTTAAAGTCTATTCTATCTGCCCCACAAGATCGGCTGCAAAATATTATATATGGTTTTTGTGGGTCGACGGGATGGGGGAGGAAATATTAAAATTTTGTGTTGCTAGGGGGGGATATAACATTCCTCTCCTACCAGTTCTCAGCTGCATCTAACTGCAACCACTGTTTAGATCTATGGGCATGACCACTGATTTCAGTGGGTCTACTTGTGAGTAGGGCTTGAGTTGGCTGCATAATCCCTGCTTTCCAAAAGCCGTGTGTGTGTGTGTGTGTGTGTGTGTGTGTGTGTGTGGTGCCCACCCCCTTTGTACACACCCCCTTTTCCCTTCCTTCCCCGGGGCCTGTACTTCCAACATCTGCCTTCGCTCCAAGAATTTTGTTCCCCCCCTTCCTTTGGAAAAAAAAATAAAATAAAGCAAAACCTCTTTCAAATAATAAACAAGGAATGTTCTTCCTAAGCTTTGCATTGCATCACAAAGGGACGAAAATCTGGTGCAACACAGAAAGAGAGAGAGAGAGGGAGATGGAGATATTTTTGTAATAAAAGCCTGGTGTCGAAGAGGTTGGGAACTGAATCTTAAATGCACAAACTATTATTACTGTGATTATGACGATGATTATGATTATTAAATACGAGGATTCCTGTGCAAAAGGGCCTCTGTTGTCAGAGAAAAATACTTGCTCCCCCCCCCGAAACCCCCACTTCTTTGTGTGTTTGTTTGCAAAATCTCCGCTTGCAATTTTCTATATTTCGGGATGCACTCTGTTCCTGTGTTGTGTTGTGTTGTGTTGTGTTGTGTGTCATTTGCAAACCCTCGTTCTCATTTCTCTATCCTTTTTTCCAGGAGTCTGGTGCTTTGCTTTTAAATTTCCTTTGTCAAAAATGAGATCCCCACCCCCCCCAAAAAACCCCAACAGCTATTTTATTGTTATGCACCCAGTGGCTGAATCTTGAACTTTTTTAAAAATTAAAATAAAACCTTTCTCCTCTTTTCTCCCCTTTTACAGGGTCTCCATCGGCAGACCCGGACTAGCTTCACCCCAGTTTTTTTTCCTTCTCCGCCCCCCTTTCCTTTTCTTTACTCCCCCCTCTTCATTTACATCTTCAAAACCTCCAAAATGGTGCAGAAAAAAACAGAACTCAAAGGTTTCCACCGTTCCTTCAAGGTAAGATAGATTAAAACTATTATTATTTAACGGAAGTCGTGTTGCGGAGTTAATGTGTCTGGGGTTTTTAAATGCCTTCTGAAAGTTGCTTCCGTTTTCTGTTTTTCCCTTTAAAAAAAAAGAGTTGTGTTTTTGCAATGCAGTCCCAGGCATATATATGTATAAAGAAGCCCCATTGAATTCAATAGGGCTTACTCCCAGGTAAGTGGGCCTAGGCTTGCAATGCCTTTGTTGCTCATTGGTAAAAAAAATTGTGGAGAGTCTTATGTTGGGAATCAAAATATGTGCTGTGAAACCGTTTGCACTGAAACTTTTGCAGCAAGTATATCCATTATAAAAAGGCTTAAATTTTTTTTTAAGGTGCATGCAAGCTTCTGAGCTACACAGGACTCCTAGTCAGAAGAGCTGACTCGGGATCCTGTGTGGCACAGGTGGTCTTCCTCAGAGTAGTGGAAAATACTTCCTTAGTAGGCCTAACCCCAAAACTTTTGCTGCTGCAGATACAATAGTAGCATATAATTATAATATAATGTAATAATAATCCTACACACTGCTACGTAGAGATGCTGAGGATTGGACCACCTTCACCCTGCCCTCCGCCCCACCAAAAAGCGAGTTTTTGACCTTGTCCTTCAAATTATAGAGGACCATCAGGACTTGACGGTCTCTGCCCTGAGGAGATTACAATCAAAGGGGGGAAATCAGAATGGGGACGTAGCAGGTGGTTGGAGCCAGAGAGGAATAATAATACCTTTATTGTCAACGTACAACCTGAAATCAACCGACATAATAATGATTAAAAGGGAACCCGACATAATAACAAATAATAATAATAATTAATAATGATTTACGACACCTTGTTGTAGGGTTTGTCTTGGTGGGTGTGCCTGGTCAGAAGCAATGCTTTAGCGTCAAGTTGTGTTGCAGTTTTGGGCGTCTGCATGGAGCGCCGTACATTTTTACTTTTCTGAGTTGTGTGCGAGATTAATTTCCTGCTGGGTCGGCCTCCTAGAGGAGAAGCCTTTGGCGCTTGCAGGCTCTTTTGAAAGAGAGAGCTGGGTGCTTGCATTTAATGAAGGCTTGCTTGCCGTTTCGCTGGCACCCTGACATGCAGTGGTGCTGGGGTTTTTGTGTCTGTTTTGCTGAATGAGCAAAAAGAGGGTTGTGTCAGTTCCTTTGGCCGGAACGTGTGTTTAGGGAGACGGCCAGGGCCCGACTTCCGTGTTGTGCAAGTGCGCCAGGGAATCCTGTCCTTCCAAACAGGTTGCCTGAAATGTTTGGGGAGTGATGCAAGTCGTGTGTAGGCGCCGGCTCAACTTCCGTGATTTATGAGCCAACGGCAGTTCCCCAAAACCCTTTGGCAGGCTGGCTCGGTGGCGACGTGACCTCTCTGCGTCTCTCTGCTCTCCATAGGCAGGTTTCTAGTCCTCATGGAGGCAGTGATATCGCCTGCACGCTTTCTGCAATTCCTGTTGATCCTCAGATGCTCTCTGCTAGTTGCAGCCAGGTTTCTAGTCCTCATGGAGGCCCAGAGGTTGTTGCTACAGGGGTGTGCGTTTGTGTAGCAATGGTTGCATGTGTCCTGCCTCCTCTGAGTAGAACCTGGTTGGACGCCTCCCAGGTTGAATAAATGAGGCCAAATTGGATAATGCCATACAAGTGTTTTGTTTTTGTAATTTGCACGAAATGGGGTTATGGCTGGTGTGAGTCAGGATCCCGCAATGTGGCTCCAATTGTCTGAACTGCTGAGTGGCAGGTGACCTTTAGCTTGTGAGATGACGGGTTCCTGCCACTCCACAAAGGTTCAACACGGGACCCTGCATTGGTTAGAGACTGGTGCTGATATTGCCAAGGTTGTGGGTTCAGTCCCCGTCAGGGACAACTGCAGGGCTGCACTCAATTTCAAGCAAAACACCCGGAAAACGCTCCCAATATTTTTGCCTTTCTTGAACAGACAAAAGGAGGGAGGAGTCCCGGGGCCAGACAGGTTTCCATGCCTGTCTCTACTGTCTTGTACCCATTTCACAGGCGGGATAGCCGAGTCCCGGTCGGTTGTTTGGCCCGGCAGATTAATTCCTCCCTGCAGGGCTGCCAACCCTGCGCTCAGAGTCATGGGGTTTGTCCCGTGATGTGCCGCCTCCCTCCCTCCCTGTCTGGTTGCCGAGGGCTCTCCCTAATTATGGGATGCCGGCGTCCTGGTTGGCAGAGGCTGGGAGCCACGCGGGAGGGCTGGTCCTCTGCGGCTCGGAGCCAGACCGGTTGGGCAGGTCGGAAGAGAAGCTGGGACTCCCTCTGGGGAAAAGAATCGTAAGAGTTAGAAGCGGTTCCTGAGGGTCATCCAGTCCAACCCCCTGCAATGCAGGAATCTTTTGCCCAATGTGGAGCTTGAACCCGCAACCCTGGAGTTTCATTGCAGTTCAGGCCTGGGCTGAATTTGCCAGGAGAACATTGGAAAGACTGCAGGATGAGACGTGGCCTAGCACCATCCTGTTCTCCCAGTGGCCAAATTACCCCCAAGAACCTAGGGATCCAGATAGACTGCCGCTGGACAGGGAGGTTCCATAGGAACATAAGAAGAGCTTGGCTGCAGGATCCGGCCAGTGACCCACCTAGCCCAGCTTCTGTTCTCACTGCGACTCACCGGATGCCCCCATGGATCTGAGCAAAAGAGCAACTCTCCCCTCCTGCAGAACCGTCTCCTTTTGGAGGTTGTGGCCTCTCCTTCCTTGGAGGTCTTCAAACCAAGGTTAGGTGGCCATCTGTCCTGGGTGCTTGAGCTGAGATCCCTGCATTGCAGCGGGTTGGGCTGGATGACCTTGAGGGGTCCCCTTCCAACTCGCCGATTCCATGCTTTCCAGCAACTGGTCTTCAGAAGCATTTCTAGCCTTCCTTACTAGTAGCCTTGTCTGCCGTGAAGTTGCCTCATCCTGTTTTTTTAACCCTTCTGGGTTGGTGGGCATGACTGTCTCCTGCAGCAAGGAGTTCCATAGTTTTAACGGTGCACAAGAAGGATTTTCCTCTGTCCGTCCCGGATCTTCCGACCGTCTAACTTTGTTGGGACATCCGCAAGCGTCTGTGAGAGAGGGAGAAAAGCTTTTCACTCTTTTTCCATGGTGGACGTAATCCTGCAAACGTATGCTTGCTTCCCTCTTCTCCAAATTAAAAGGCCCAAAGGTTGCACGATTTTTTGCAGCTGGAATAATCCTGCAAACATTGCAGACGAGTAGCCGTGTGGGACAACACAGCCATGGGAGGTCCTCTGGTTCTCCATTCATCATGGTTGGGCTCCAGCTCCCAGTCGCCACCATAGCCCAATGGTCAGGGATGATGGGATTTGTAGTTCTGCAAAGAGGCCTGCCTTCTTCAGTCCTTTGCAGGTTTCAGAGTCGGGAGAGTTGAGTTTGTGGCTCAATGGGGATTCGAACCCAGCTCTTGCCTGCTCCAGCTGTGAGATGCCGGTTTTGAAACGGTGCTCAGACTTCCAGAGTGAATCTGTGTGGCGTCAAGGTCGGGCACCGAGGAGTCTGCGACTCCAAACCCTCACTGGCTGATCTCTGGAATATCTCTCGCTCAACTTCAGCCTGCTTCGCAAGGTTGTTAAGATAAAACGGGAAGCTTCCTTGCTGGTCCATGTAGCTCAGTATTAACGGCAACCAACTGGCAGCCCCTATCCGGGGCCTCCTAGTCAGAGATGTTGAGGATCAAACCTAGGCTTTCTGCGTGCAAATCTTCCCTGCATCGCAGCGGGTTGGAATAGATGACCCCCTGGTGTCCCTCAAAAATCTACGCTTCTATGATAACTATGGGGTGAGAGAAGGAACCTTTTTGTGGGGTCCATCGGCCGCCTCCATCCATGCCTCCAAATCTCCTATGTTCTTAACCCCATCCCCTGCCCTACAGCCAACCTCATGGGGTTTTCCGCCTGCAGATAACAGCTGCTCTTAGAAATAATCTTATTTTCGTTTCCCTCTCCAGCGCATGCTGAGATCCCGTACTCCATTCCTCCTTATGTAATGCAAAATCTTTTCTTTGCAACTTAGAATGTGGGTGTGTGCCTCAAACGCCCAATTTTGCACGGGGCTCGACATGCCCCCCCCCCGGTTGCGTTTCCTGCCAGTATTTTTCCAAGAGATTTCTTGCAAGACGCCTTTCGGGTTGGCGATGGTCGAAGCCTCCCGGCCGCCCTGTGACTTTGCTGCCTAATCTCAAATTAATGCCCTTGCGCTTATTTTTAAACATGCCGACACACACACACACACACACACACACACACAGCCTGCACAATAGATTCCCTTGCATTTATTGCTTGTCGTGAAAAGCCTGGGTCCTTAAGTCGATTGCTGCGCAACTCTCCAGTTTTAAAAGAGAGCAATGAAGGGACTGTGCGTGCACAGAATGAAGGGTTTGTGTGCGCGCACAAGTGTGTTTCACGGGGTGAAAGAAGGAGGCCGCCGAATGGAGGCGTGACAGTTCCTGCAGTTCCCCCCCTTTTTGCACTCCGCGTTTTGCAAAACCCGCTTGCGGCCGGGTGATGTAACTTCTCCGCGGCTGGGAGGCCCCATGGAGGGATATTTGGCGCAGCGCGGGATGGGTTATGTAAGCGCATCTTGGGCTCCGCAGTCTGTGCGTTTGGTGCGCAAAGGCACAAGGGAGTCTCATACAGGGAATTCGCAGACCCGGGTTTTGCAAAATCCAAAGTGGCAGGAGCAGAGAGGTTGAAAGGGGTCTGTGGGTTTTCCTGTTGTTTTTTCGCATTTTTTGAGGGATGGGTGGAAATTAAGCAGGCACAAAGGGGATCGGGGGTTGGCGCAAGCAGAGCGGAAAATAATAAGTAATAATAATGATAATAATTTATACTTCCCCACTCCAGTCTGGCTGGGTTTCCCCAGCCACACTGGGCGGCTCCTGACACATAGAAAAACACAATAAAATGTCAAACATTAATAGCCGCAATCTTTTTTTTAAAAAATGTTTTTATTAACAATTACAACATATCAAAACATATCATATTCATTATTTTCTCCCCTTTTCCCCCCACCCCCCCTCAAACTCTCCCTCCCCTCCCCCAGAGATTTCTCAGCAAATATTATTCTCTACATCTTGCAAAATTATACAATCCTTACATTATCTGTCTGCCATGTTATCAATCAATAAATTTGTGTATGTTTATTCAACCTGCCAAGGAGTCCGTCCAACTCATTTTGTTTGTTTTTAAGTAATTTGTAAAAAGTTCCCATTCTTCTTTAAAGTCACAGTTGTCCTTATCGCGCAGTTTGTATGTCAGTTTAGCCAATTCTGCGTAGTTCATCAATTTCTCTTGCCGCTGTTCTTTATTAATAGCCGCAATCTAATACTAAAAAGTCACAATGTGCCCAGCCTCGTGCATTGAGAATGGATTAAAGGGGTGTGGGAGAAGGCTGGCTTTCAAAAGAGGGTTTGGAGGTGAAGGCTGCGGATAGAATCATAGAATCGTGAGCTGGAAGGGAACCCCAGGGGTCATCCAGCCCAACCCGCTGCAATGCAGGAATCTCAGCTAAAGCATCCATGACAGGTGACTTCAAAAACCTGCAAGGAAGCAGAATCTGCAATCTGCTGAACGACTCCTACTGTCAGAAAGTTCTTCCTGAGGTTGAGTTGGAATCTCGTTTCTGGTCACTGGTTCGAGTCTTACCGTCCGGAGCAGGAGGAAACTAGCTTGTTCTCTGCTAAGGACCAATGCAACAGAGGGGTGTGTTTGTGTTCAGAGAGCTTGAACAAAATATTTCTCTCTCTCCTGACGCGGGTGGCGCTGTGGGTTAAACCACAGAGCCTAGGACTTGCCGATCAGAAGGTCGGCGGTTCGAATCCCCGCGACGGCGTGAGCTCCTGTTGCTCGGTCCCAGCTCCTGCCAACCTAGCAGTTCGAAAGCACATCAAAGTGCAAATAAATAGGTACCGCTCCAGCGGGAAGGTAAATGGCATTTCTGTGCGCTGCTCTGGTTCGCCAGAAGCGGCTTTGTCATGCTGGCCACGTGACCCAGAAGCTGTCTGCGGACAAATGCCAGCTCCCTCGGCCTATAGAGTGAGATGAGCGCACAACCCCAGAGTCGGTCACGACTGGACCTAATGGTCAGGGGTACCTATATCTACTGTGGGAAGCGCCTGCCTCCTTCACCTGAGTAGATTTCATAATAATCGGGAGGACAGCCTGTCTATCCAGGCTGCAGGTTCAAAAGGCACCGCTTGTGATAAGGCTGCTGCTCCCTCCCTTTTTTTGGCCTGGAATGAGATGGGGGTGGATTTGGTTTGCGGTCAGGGGGTGCTAATAATGGGGTTTACGATGGGAGCGGGGAGCTTAATCCTCGGAGGCTAGTTCCCCCCAGGGGGAAGAGTTGCTTGAGCGCGTGCAGAGAGCACTCAAGGAGCAGGCTTGGAAACTCAGATATGGAAGCCAGGCGCCAAATCTTAAACTAGGGTTTCCTTTTGGGTAAAAGGAATTCCAAGTTGCCTTGTTGGGGCCAGAGGACTCAGAAAATGCGCCTGACTCGGAATTTCAAACGCTGGTTTTGCTACTGGCGCTGGTCCGGTTGCGACAATGTGATATTTGGGCGCCATTTGGAAACCTCTGCTTTAAGAATTTAAGAGATTCTTAGAAGAGTGGAGTAAATGCTTGAACTATTTGAAAAGCAATTGTAATAAACAGATTACGCTGGTAGGACTGCAAGAAGTTCTGTAAGGAGGATTATGTGAAATACTGCAAAGAAGACTATGAAGAGAATTCTTAGTTAATGATGATTAAAAGTAACAGAGAAATTAAGAAATGCAGAACAAGTGATAAAGGGCGGGAAATCTTCAGAGGTTGTTGATGGAAGTCTAAAATATTGTATAAGATAAGAATTTGTGTTAAATGACAGTTGGAAATGATATGTTAAAAAATTAATAAAAATGTATATAAAAGAAAAGCTGTAGTCCACACTCAATGCTGTTTCCATTTCCACTGTGCATGTTTCTCCGCCTTGCATATGGGGACAAGTGAATTGTCGTAAGAGCAAGCTGCGGTCAAGCAATGTAGCTGAGATCGTTGAATTGTTGCGTTGGAAGGGACCCCAGCGGTCATCTAGTCCAACCCCCCCCGGCGAATAGACATTCTGTTGCGGTGACCACAACCTAGGTTTAAGGTGCCCAGCTTAGATAGCTGAGTTTCAAACACGTGGGGGCCTCCTACAAAGAGATGTTAAGGATTGAGGGCTGACTAAATGACTCTTGGGGTCCCTTCCAGCAGTTCCCTGAGCTGCTCCTCTTCTACCTTCAAGGTACTGAATATAGAATGTGGACTTGAGGAACCTGGATGAGAACTCTGTTGGTTAGAGCGTGGTGCTTGATAATAATGCCAAGGTTGCAGGTTCGATTGCCGTGCAGCGGGTCAGACTAGATGATCCTCAGGGTGCCTTCCAACTCTTAATAGTCTACGATTCTATTCCTTAATATAAATGCTGGGGGTGTATTCAAAGTCCATTTGCTACCCCCACACCACCCCTGTGGCGCAGCCCAGAAAGGAATCTGCCACATGCTTTTTCATAATAATAATAATAATAATAATAATAATAATAATAATAATAGATTAATTTATACCCCGCCCATCTGGCTGGGTTTCCCCTGCCACTCTGGGCAGCTTCCAACAGAATATTAAAATACAATAGTCTATTAAACATTAAAAGCTTCCCTAAACAGGGCTGCCTTCAGATATCTTCTAAAAGTCTGGTAGTTGTTGTTCTCTTTGAAATCTGGTGGGAGGGAGTTCCACAGGGCTGGTGCCACCACCGAGAAGGCCCTCTGCCTGGTTCCTTGTAGCTTTGCTTCTCGCAGGGAGTGAACCGCCAGAAGGCCCTCAGTGCTGGACCTCAGTGTCTGGGCAGAACGATGGGGGTGGAGATGCTCCTTCCGATATATAAATGCGCAGCTCAGGTCCAGGAGAGGCTTAGTGCGCATCTCAGGTCTAGCAGACGCCTCCTGTGTTTTCTGCTTCGGAGCACCTGGTGTCTCTGCAAGCTTCTCGCCTCGCCCTGCCCTGCTGTTCCCAAACAAGCTGTCTCCTCCCTGCTCATTATGGGCTGGATCCCCAGCCACAGCCGGTGGGGCAGCGTTCCGGCCGGGTCTGGTTAGGCTACCCTGCGGTTCTCCTCCCCGTTGGCCTCCTTTTGCGGCCTCCACCAGTCACACCTGTCCACGGAGACTGTGTACTGGGGAAGAGTCAGGTTCCTGGTTTTGTTCTCCCTCGCCAGGCTGTCGCGCAGCAGGGAAGGAACCGGTTCGAGCGCTTTCAAGGGAGTCGGCTCCTGCAAAGCTGCAATTGCAGGTTGCTAAGTTTCTAGTCCACAAGAAAAGTTCAAATTACTTTTTATTTTTTGAATCGACCGGTTCCATCCGGGTTGAACGACACACAGAAGCTGCCTCTGGAAAAGCAAAACTAGCCCCTAAGTGGCAAGGGGTTTTAAAAAAATGTACAAAATTTTGGTTGCCTACCTGCGCCCATTAAATATCGTTGACCTAAAGGGAGCAGGCAAGAGAACATCTCTGAAGGTTTTCTGCGCTTGGGTGGCTGGCCAGAAAAAGTTATCAGCGATGGCGGCTGCCGTTTAAGAAGCTGGCAGCTCAGGTCTAGCAGAGGCCAAATGTGCCACTCAGGTCTAGCAAATGCTTTTTACTGAATATGCACCTCAGGTCTAGGAGAGGCTAAGTGTGTAGCTCAGGTCTAGCAGACCCCTAGTATCCCCCGGAAGCTTCTTACCAGCATCCCCCCCTTTCATTCTGGCTTGGATGTGACTTTCTCTCCCTCTACTCCCAGGGCCAGAACCCGTTCGACATCGAATTCTCCCAGTCCACTCACCTGGATTCTGTCTTCAACTTCGAATGCCCCTCTCGGCCCGGTGAGCACCGCCGTTTTAATTCCGTTTTGCTTTCCGAAAGGGGTCAGGAGGAAGAAAAGCAGTTCCTGAACTGGGAATTGTCCTAGGTTTACACCTCTTGAGATTCAGACAATTTGATGGAGGGTACCTCTATTCTGGGTGGCGCTGTGGGTTAAACCACAGAGCCTAGGACTTGCCGATCAGAAGGTCGGCGGTTCGAATCCCCGCGACGGGGTGAGCCCCCGTTGCTTTGTTCCAGCTCCTGCCAACCTAGCAGTTCGAAAGCACGTCAAAGTGCAAGTAGATAAATAGGTACCGCTCCAGAGGGAAGGTAAACGGCGTTTCCGTGCGCTGCTCTGGTTCGCCAGAAGTGGCTTAGTCCTGCTGGCCACAGGACCCGGAAGCTGTACGCCGGCTCCCTCGGCCAATAAAGCGAGATGAGCGCCGCAACCCCAGAGTCATCCGCAACTGGACCTAATGCTCAGGGGTCCCTTTACCTTTTACCTCTATTCCAGGGATTGTGAACTGCAGGGGAGAGGAGTGCGGCCCCCAAGACCTCTCCTTCTGGCCCTCATAACTCTCCCATTTATTGGGTTCAGAATGCCACCTTTTTCCTCTAATCTGGCGTTCGTGGTTTCCTCCCCATCCTGTGAGGTGGGTTCAGTTAAGAAGCGGTGGCTGGCTTTGTGAACAGGTGTCGGGATTTGAACCCTGGTCTTGACCCAGGGTCTCCCAAACTTGGGTCTCTAGCTGTTTTTGGACTACAGCGCCCATGTAGGAATTGTAGTCTCATGTAGTCTCCATGTAGGAATTGTAGTCTTTTGGACTACAGCGCCCATGATAGGAATTGTAGTCTCAAAACAGCCAGGGACCCAAGTTTGGCAAGTTGCTCTAACCACTGCGCAGCACTGCCCTACTGTACAAAAGTGAAGCTTTTATTAATAGCCCCGCCCACATTTGCCCCTTAGCCCCGCCCACAGCTGTCATGTGGAACGGCTTCCCCACCCTGGTCTTAATTGCTGTAATGGAGCCTCCCTTTTCAAAGAGAGTCTACCTTGAAATTATAAGCCGCTGGCTGTTTCATGCAAAATTTAAGGGCGACCTCAGAACCCAGGATGCCTCTGGTTTTAGGGATTGTTGTTTCGTGCCTGGTCCTGGGTTCAAATGCTACCTTTAACTGTGATTCTCCTCCCCACCCTCAAATCTTGTGGAACAGACATGCCTTCGAGTCAGCCCATCGACATCCCCAACGCGAAGAAACGGAACAAAAAGAAAAAACGCTGTCGGGCCACGGATAGCTTTTCCGGAAGGTTTGAAGGTGAGCGGCTCAAGTTGCTGGTCCTCAACGTTTATTCTCGAAATCGTCACCTCCCGCCTTCCCCTTGCAGCAAAACGTTTTCCGCTCAGTCCTTGTGGCCTCGTGAGAGGGGCTGTGTCCGCAAGAAGCCTGCAGGAAGAGGGTTTCAGGAGAGATGTGTGTTTATTTATCCAAATTTGCAAACTTTGAAAAAGTAAATAAAGCCCACCCTGCAATCTATACAGACCAGGAAACGATACAAATGGGAAGTGGTGCTTTTTCAAAGGAGATGGATTAGACCAGGAGAAGTTTGTTCTCATGCAATTGTTGGACTACAACTCCCATCCTCTCAAACTAGCAGGGCTGGCAGTCAGGGATTATGGGGATTGTAGTCGAAAAACAGCTGGAGACCCATATTTGGGAAACCCTGGATTAGACGCTTGCATTTAGGGAAAGGTTGGTGTAGACTGCACTGAGCTGGATAAGACCCAAAGGTGTGTCGCTGTTTGAAGGAGAGCTTCCTTTTTAAACCAGCCTGTTCGTTCAGAATCATGAGGACCAGCCCCTTGTTTTATTTTTGCAGGAACGGTGAGAGGCAATGAGGACTAGAACTTTAAACCGGCAGGGACAGCAGCTACTGGCTATTTTACTATTAGGTGGTCTGTCAGTATGCTTTTTTTGTTCTTGTTGTTGATGTTCTGTAATGTGTTTTGAATGATATAGGGAGGCATGTAAATTGAAATAACAGCAACAACAACAATGATGATGATCTGTAATTTGAGGGACAGCAGGGAGAGGCGTCTGCAAAATTCAGGCAAAGGTGAACGATGTCAAATCAACAAAGCCATCAGTTAAAATAAGATGATCTGGTGCTTGGGGTTTTTTTTTTTTTTTTTGAAGAATGGAAGCCTTTGCCGGATCATTTGGAGAAATACGGCAGCACGAAGAATCCGTGAGCAGGATTCGCACTATGAGCAGCAGAAAGAACGAACGACGATTGTGCTACGGCTGTGTTAAAAAAGAGGGGAGACAGGCAAAGGGAGCGAGGAGATCAGAAAAACATCACGGAAAACGAGATGGGAAGTTGGCGATATAAAAAGAACATTTTAAAAATATATATTGGACTTTTATTTGGAATTTTTGGAATATAAACACAGTTTTTGGAAGAAACAAAGTTCAGGCAACGACGCAGGGAATAGCACTTTGATTCCCCCCCATAATTCTCTTCTTTCCTTGTCTCTCTCTCTCCCCCCCCCCGGTACCCTGCAAACCTTCAGACGTTTACCAACTCCAGGAAGAGGTCCTCGGGGAAGGGGCTCATGCAAAAGTCCAGGCTTGTGTTAACCTCATTACCAACAAAGAGTATGCAGTGAAGGTAAGGGAGCTTGGGGACTTTGGAGTTTGAGCCCCGGGTCGGGCAAGAGATTTCTGCATGGCAGCGGGTTGGGATGGATGACCCTTGGGGTCCCCGCCAGCTCCACAAATCTGTGATTCTCACGGAGGCCGGCCGGATGCCCTGGTGAGAAGCCTGCAAGTGGGATTCTCTCCCCTCCCGCAACTGCATTGCGTTTTGGGTGTGAGATGGTTGTGTTGCGCTTTTACTGTTGCCTGTTATGGCTGCCTCTGACCGCAGAGGCAGAGTGTAGCCATTGTGGCTGCCGGCCAGTGATGACTCAATCCTCCAAACCCTCTTTTGAAGCCGTCCACAATCGTGGCCCTGGCCGTCTCCTGTGGCAGGGAGTTCCACAGGCCCTGCGTGAAGGTCTTTCCTGGGCCAAAATTGGTGTGTGTGTGTGTCAGGAATTTCCAGCATAAAATGTCTTCGGTAGTGTTTTCCTGGTTGGTGTGGTTAGCCGGGATTTGGAGGGGGGGGGAGAGAGAGAGAGAGAATTAAAGAAACGCTTCACGGGTAGGTCTTTGTGCTATTGGAATAGGAGCAAGGACAATTGAGGTTTAGGTGCTTTCCTCCACATGTGGTGGGAGTGTCCCAAAATTCAACTATTCTGGACAACAACCATACGAGAAATAAGTAAAATAACCAAGCAAGTATTAGAAACCACCCCAGAATTGGCCTTACTAAACACCTTCCAAGACAACAATGCCCATTTACACCACAAAGAACTCATAACCCACCTACTTTCAGCAGCCAGAAAGACCATAACCAGACACTGGAGAGACCTGTCAGAAGGAAGCATGGACCAAATAGTATGGGAAACAGCCCTACTAGAAAAATTAACCAATAAACTGAAACTGACACGGGGACAAATAGAAGAAGACGCCTTCACCCTGGTACGGCTCCCCTTCATCACACACACAGCTCAACAAGACAATGACAAAAGCCCACCAACGGCATACAAATCAATATGGCTAACCTGATCCAAAACACACACACACACACACACCCTTCACACATGAAAACAAAGACCACCACAGCCAACCACAAATGAACAGCCACACCCTGGGCCAGGCACCCCCAAACTTGGCCCTCCAGATGTTTTGGGACTACAGTCCCCATCATCCCTGACCACTGGTCCTGTTAGCTAGGGATGATGGGAGTTGTAGTCCCAAAACATCTGGAGGGCCGAGTTTGGGGGTGCCTGCCCTTAGGCCAACCCCAACCTCTCTCACCACCAAAGGAGCACAAGCGAACAGCAGAGAACCTGCACAAGCAACGCTGACACCAAACCCTACAATATATTAAGTAAAATAGAAACATCGTCCCACGACCCCCCCCTTTCCCCCCTAATGTCTCAACAAATGAAACTGATTTGTAAAAATGTTACATGGAGAGAAAAAAATACGAGAGAGAGGCATTGCAGACACTTTTGTAAATCAAGAAAATATTTAATAAAAATACATTTTTTAAAAAAAACCCCCAACTCGGGCGCCTTCCCAGCTCTTAGCATTCGGCTTTAAGGAACGCCCACGGATTTGAGTCTTGTGAGACAGGAAGGAAAGCTTTTTTTTTATTAAGGGAAGCTTTTAATGTTTGATGTATTACAGTATTTTAATATTTTTTTGGAAGCCGCCCAGAGTGGCTGGGGAATAAATAATAAATTATTATTATTTTTCTCCATCAGCTGGTGCTGTGTCTGCCACCCGTTGCAATCGCTTCCTTATTTTCCTCTGCGGACCCCTGCCTCTTTTTTCACCACCCACCCCAAAGAAGAAATTCCTCTCTGCAGTCTTGCACGAGGCTGTTTTTTCAGTGCATGGGATATGCAGAGTGAGGGAGGGCGAGCGGTGGTGGCAAAACTGGCTTTTTTTTGTGGAGGCAGAAGTTGGGGAGGGCCGAGGTGGTGACCTGCCTGTGCCGGAGGGGAGGAGAACAGCTGCTGGTCTGGCGCTGGCACCCCCCCTCGTCGCTTTCATGCAAGGGAGAGGAACAAGCAGGCCTTTTCATCGGGCTTTGGCTGCAAAGCGGCATCTTGGGGCGAGGAGAAAAGTTTAGAGCTCCGTAAATAATCCGATTCTCGCTCCTTACGACTGGGGGTGTTTGGGCTGCGGCAGTGATGGCACCTCCCAAAAGGAAGCCCCTCGCCCCTTTCCGGAGCCAGATTTTGGGTGCAGATGGGGATATTATAATAATAATTCAATTTGATTCCCTCCCCCTCTTTCTTTTTTTCCTTTCTCCTCCTGTGATGAGGCTGTATTTTAATGTTTTGATGTTGTATTTTAATCTTGTTTTTAAGTTGTAGTCATTCAACTTGTTTTTATTATTGGTTGTTAGCCACCCTGAGCCTGGCTTTGGCTGGGGAGGGCAGGGTATAAATACAATTTTTTATTATTAATAATGATAATAATTAATGTATTACAGTAGTACCTCATTGTGAGTCTGCCCTGTTTAGTGTCCATTTCATGGAATGTCCACAGCAAACCCGGAAGTACCGGAATGGGTTACTTCCGGGTTTGCTGCTCGCACACGCCCGCTAAATCATGCTTCATGCATGCGCAGAAGCGCAAAACTGCTCACGGGCATGCGCAGAGCGGCGCTTTGTCGAGCGTCTGGGGCTCCGGAACGGATCCAGGAATCAAAACAAGGTACCACTGTATTTATAGCCCGCCCATCTGGCTGAGTTTCCCCAGCCAATCTGGGCGGCTTCCAACAAAATATTAGAATACAATAGTCCTTCAGATATTAAAAGCTTCCCTGAACAGGGCTGCCTTCAGATGTCTCCTAAAAGTCTGGTGGTTGTTTCTGCCTTCGACATCTGGTGGGAGGGCGTTCCACAGGGCGGGTGCCACCACCGAGAAGGCCCTCTGCCTGGTTCCCTGTAACTTGGCTTCTCACAGTGAGTGGGCCCATGAGAATAGAATAGAATTTATTATTTATACCCCGCCCATCTGGCTGGGTTTCCCCAGCCACTCTGGGTGGCTTCCAACAAAGTATTAAAATGCAGTGGTCTGTTAAACACTAAAAGCTTCCCTAAACAGGGCTGCCTTCAGATGTCTTCTAAAAGTCTGGTAGTTGTTGTTCTCTTTGACATCTGGTGGGAGGGCGTTCCACAGGGCGGGCGCCACCACCGAGAAGGCCCTCTGCCTGGTTCCCTGTAACTTGGCTTCTCGCAGTGAGGCAACTGCCAGAAGGCCCTTGGCGCTGGACCTCAGTGTCCGGGCAGAATGATGGGGGTGGAGACGCTCCTTCAGGTATACTGGGCTGAGGCCGTTTAGGGCTTTAAAGGTCAGCACCAACACCAATATAAAATGAACGTATTCCCTGTTTCGTCTTAAGAACTTTGGGTCGAGTGAAAAGTAAAACGGGAGTTTTTCATTTTACGATTTTTATTATTTTGCGTTGCGGACAGTTGGTTGGCGTTTCCCAAACTTGGGTCTCCAGCTGTTTTGGGACTAAAACTCCCATCATCCCTGATTGCTGGTCCTGCTAGCTAGGGAGGGTGGGAGTTGTAGTGCAAAAACAGCTCCAGGCGTGATCTTCTGAAATATTGTACTAGGTTACTCTTTGCGTCCCTTTGAACTCTGATTTTAGAAGGGGAGAGAGAAGCAATATTTTTTTTGGTATGTGCTTGGGGGGGAATACTCCTCTCACAAAAGCAGCCCCACACACACACACCCCTAAGCACATTCATTGAATTGTAGAGTTGGGACCCCTGAGGGTCATCCAGTCCAACCCCCTGCAATGCAGGGATCTCAGTTCAAGAACTCCTGGCAGATGGCCAGCCAACCTCTGCTTAAAAACTTCCAAGGAAGGAGAGTCCGCCACCTTCCACCCATTGTCGAACAGCTCTTACTGTCGGAAAGTTTTCCTGATGTTCAGTCGGAATCTCCTTTCTTGTAGCTTGAAGCCACGGGTTCGAGTCCCGCCCTCCAGAACAGGAGAAAACAAATTGTGTATGTGTGTACACGCACAGATATAGCAATAGACAATACATTTATTTTCTCGCCTTAGGAACATGTAACTTCTGTAATGACAGATGAAAATTAAAAGACGGGAAACGAAATGCCCCCCCCCCCAGGTGAAATAACAAAGCCCAGTTCATGAAAGAAAGAAAGAAAGAAAGAAAGAAAGAAAGAAAGAAAGACGAGAATAAAAGTCTTCGCATTAAGAGAGAATATTGGTGTTACTGGATTTTCAAGTGTCGTTTCCCAGGCTTGTCTCAAAAATGATGGCTTCACTCTACATATGTAATGAAGAAATTTCAAATTATATGTAAAGTGTCTGGAAGTTCTAGTCCTCGTTAAAATCTCAAAAGATGCTCAATTTTCTCCATTATCACTGTATTCCAGAGTGGTGGGACCGAGTGCCCGGTGCAAGATTTTTGGGCTGTTTCCCATTGAGTTGCAATTCCTTTTTGAGCTGCTTAGATTTTAAGGACATTTTCGTGATCTGCGATTGTAGGCGTGAAAAGCAAAATAGGGGTTTTTTTGAGGCTGGAGCAAAACAAGGAAGTCCCTGGATGAGCCCAAGAATGTCTTCGTAAAATGCTTTTTTGAAAAGGAAACAGCTGCAAAGGGAACAGCTGTGTTTTGCAAAAAATAAAAAAATTAAGGAAGTGGTGATTGGGGGCTGGTGTGTTTATGGTGCCTAATTGGGAGCAATTCCTTTGCTGCGGAAAATCTTCTGTTGGTTCGTGGTATGACCTTAGCTTGAGAGAGGCTGAACTTGAAATCCCTGCACGTAGAAACAAAGCCTCTCAGGGTCAACATTTCTTCTTGATGTGTTTGCTTTCTAGTTGTGGAGAAACTTGCTTTTTTGGGTGTTTGGGGGAGCATTCGTGTGCAAGGAGATGAATCGTGACGCCGTTTTTAAAAGCTGTTCTCCAGCAAGATGCTTGGGGGAACTCGCGCACGAGAACGGTCTTCCGTGATAAACGGCACCCTTGCAGCTAGAGAGCTAGCCTTTCAAGGTGGGCGGGGAGTTGCAACAGGACAAGGGTGGCCATGAATGGTGCCTGTTATGCACACAGACTCCCGCAGAGACGAGGGAACGGCTTGAACTCGTGTTAAAAGGGTGCAAAACTCTTTGATTGCACCCAACTCGCTGCTTTCAAATCCCTGACGCGACTCTGCGCTGACGTTCGCTCCTTTGTGTGTGTTTCTCTTTAAAGATTATCGAAAAGCGTCTCGGACACATCCGGAGCAGGGTCTTCCGGGAAGTCGAGATGCTGTATCAGTGCCAAGGGCATAGGTATTTTTAATTTTATTTTTTGGTGGCTTAAGCTGTAGGGTTTTTTAAGGGGTGCCTTGGACTGGCAGTGCCCATAATAGTTGCTCAGATAAACCTGAGGTTCTGCCAGCACCTGGTTCGCCCCCGTGAAACCTCCATGCTCAAGAGCAGTCTATCTGCAGCCTTGCTTTTGCAGGCTTCCTGGAGACGCATCCCATTTGGGGGAAGAAAATGTGGGGAGGGGGTGTGTGGATCTTTCTTGGACTGACCTGGCAAGGCTGTGCAGTGGGGGAGAAAGAGAGACGTCCTCATTCTAGGAGAAAACCATGCAAAGTGGAGATTTCCCCCCCATTTTTAAATGTCCTCCCTGTCTTGCTCGCGGCAGGAACATCTTGGAGCTGATTGAGTTCTTTGAAGAGGAAGACCGGTTCTATCTTGTGTTCGAGAAGATGCGAGGAGGCAAGTAGCGACTCTCGTGCCTGGCATGTTGCTGGTCGGGAACGTTTGGCCCGCGGTCCTAACCTGGCCAGCATGTTTTGGCCCTTCTGGTAGTTTTGGCTGAGCCGTGCCCGCCTGTCCTGGGCGTTGGTCACCCAGGTGATCGGCTCCACCTGCCTGTCCAACTTTGCTTCCAGGGGGGTGAGGAAAGGGATCCCAACTCGCAGGCTGGATTAAATTATTGAACTGGAACCTGTGAAAAGATTTTATTCTCGGGCCAAGGATGGCTGCTTGTCCTCTGGAAAAGCCATCCCTGCATTTCTGCAGGAGTTGTTGCTATCGTCATTTATTAAATCTGTATACTTCCCTTCATCCGGAAAATTATGAGATGAAAAACACAAAATGCATAATAAAAACGAAAGGCAAACCAGTAACCTACCCCTGCAAAGGGCATCAGGTTGAAGAGGAATGTTTTTGCCAGGCACCTAAAGGTGTATAATGAAGGCACCAGGCAGGCCTCCCTGGGGAGAGCATTCCACAAACAGGGAGCCACCACAGAAAAGGCCCTGTACTTGTGTTGCCACTGTTGGGATCTATTGAGGTGAAGGCACACAAAGAAGGGCCTTGGAGGATGATCTCAGGGTCTGGGCAGGTTCATATGGGGAGAGGCCAGTCCTTAAGGGATTGCGGTCCTGAGCCGTTTAAGGCTTTATAGGTCAAAACCAGCAATATCTGCCTCTCCCGGAGTTGGCAGCCCTGCGTGGGGAGCGAATTCCCTGCAGATTTACCTGCCATAGTTGCAAAGAATGGAGCTGCTTCTCAGACACTACTCAGCTAAATTAACGGATGGTTAATGCAGCTGTTCTACTGCAGAGTAACAGCCTTCCTCCTAAAAAGTTATGTTTCTAGCCCTCTTGGTTCCAAATTGAGAACTGATTCGAGTCAGACCACCAAGTTCGGCATTGTCTGCTGCGCTGATTGTTCCCCAGGCCTGCAAACTTTTATTTTTTGCTGCCTGAGATCGCTAATATTGCTCTGTGCCCTCTTTTCTCTCCCTGCTCCGATCTTTTCCAGGTTCCATCCTGACTCACATCCATCGCCGCCGCCATTTCAACGAGCTGGAGGCTAGTATGGTTGTGAACGACATCGCCAGCGCCCTCAATTTCTTGCACAACAAAGGTCAGCAAATCCTTTGCGAGTCTGCAAATACCACGGGGCTTGTTGGGTCTTATCTCTGTTATTTTGTCTGGCAACCCGGAGGGAAAGTTTGGAAGAGGGCAGTCTGAACTCTCAAGGGGACTCCCCCTAGGAGGAAAGTTTGCAGCGTTTGGAACCTTTCAGTTTAGAGAAAAGGCGAGCGAGAAAAGAGTCGACACGGGAGAAGTTTTATGAAATCATGGAGGAAGCAGAAAGGAGTTTTTTCCTTCCTCCTAACAACTGGAAATTGTGGAAGTGTGATTCTGGGAAAATAGCTATAACAAACTGAAAACGATGTTTAGATTTTCATTTGGAAAAACAGAATCCTGTCTCCTAGGTATCATGTTAGAGGAAATAAAAAGAACGGTCAGACCAATATTTTATGTATGCAACTACTGCGGCAGGGTTATTGATTGCCAAAAATTGGAAAAGCAGCAGCGTCCCAACTAAAACAGACTGGTTATCTAAAATGATGGAATACCTCCATATTGCCAAACTAACAGGGAGGATAAGAGGAGATAGGGTACAAGTGAATAAGGAGTGAGTGAATTAAGGAATACATCAAAATTTATGTGGAAAAGTAGAATTTCTGACAGATACTGAGTGAATCCAGAAAATGATTAGAGTGAAAGGAGAGTAAAGTTAAGATAAAAGAAGAGATTAAAGAAATAATGAAATGCGTTTAAGCTAGTTGGAAAAATAAAGTAGCATAACAAGAACGATTGGAAGTCAAGTCACTTGGTGGGTGTCCGTGTGGGGCAGGTGTGTAGGTTTGTTGATATGTACAGTATAGGTAGGTATTATATAGAGTAATGTAGGTATGTTTTATGCTATGAAAATTAGGTAGCGTGTTGTGTATGTGTATTGTGTAAATGTATATGTATGTGTTTTATATGTCAATAAAATAAAAATAAAAATTGTGGAAGTGTGGTGAAGGCAGAAAGGCAGGGCTTCTTCAGTGTTGAAAACTGTGGAGCCCCCTTCCTTCAGGAGACCAGGATCTTCGAATGGGACAGTTGGAAGGGACCCCGAGGGTCATCTAGTCCAACCCTCCCCTGCCATGCAACCCAGTGTTAGAAGAGGAGAGATATAGGCCAGAAACCAGGGTTGCAGCTGCCCAAACGGAATGCCACATGGCCATTTTTCAAGACTGTAACACTTCGGTGCTTGAAATTCCTCTGATCGTGCAGATAAAATATAACGAATAGGATTTTGCAGGATGGGGGATTGGTGTGTGAAAAGGTCCAGATCCGAGGATCCCCAGGCATGCACCTCCAGGTGATGGAGACGTCAGACGCCATCCTGGCTCCCAGGAATCTTCACTTGGTCGCAAGCGGCCGCTGGCCAATTGCAAAATGCTTCTGGCGCCTTTTGAACTCTGCATCTGAAGGGAGGGTGTTCCACAGGGTGGGAGCTGGTTTTCTTAGGGACTAGTGCCTTTGCTTTCTCCTTCTCCAGTCCAGTTGCTGCTTTCATTTCCTCGCTGTGCGAAAAAGGTTTCTTTGATCTTGCAAGAAGTTTAGCCTCTGTGCTTTTGTTTGCTGATGCAATCTCTCTCTTTCCTTTTCAGGAATAGCACATAGAGATTTAAAACCAGAAAATATCCTTTGTGAAAGCTCCAATCAGGTAAGGAGTGGCTTCAAACACATTCGCAGGATGCTCCCTCTTGTCTTGTCTAAAGAGAAAGTTGCCATTTGGTGTGCGATCTGTGGAACTGCCGTCTGCAGGGTGTTGCAGTAAAGGGCTTGCAGACGAACATGCAGCTGCCCTTTGCAATTTGCTCTTCTCCAGATTTTGCGATGTGTTCCTCCAACAAAACAAAAGACTCTTAATCTCAGGGTTCTGGGTTCGAGCTACATATTGGGCAAAAGATTCCTGCATTGCAGTGGGTTGGACTAGATGACCCCCGTGGTCCCTTCCAACTTTACCATTCTAGGATATTAGATGCAAAAATGGCTCTGTGAATAATGTCCAATAATAATGCCCAACAACAACAACAACTTATTATTTGTATCCTGCCCATCTGGCTGGGTTTTCCCAGCCACTCTGGGCAGCTTCCAACAAAAATTAAAAATACATTAAAATAATGCTTTGAATTGGAGAAAACCGCTTGCAGAATTGTGCATATTAGTTAAAAGGGTGAGTTAAGATAAATGCATGTGAAAACATACAGGAATTTTTAATGTGGACTTCGAAATTTTTCACGGTGATGTGGAAAGCAAAGGGGGGGGGAATGAACTGAATTTGAGCTGCTTGGGGAGGGAGAAATGAGAAACTGAAATTCATAGGCTTGTCTGATTAATTCTTTCTGGAGCTATGGATTTTTTTTAAAAAAAACAACTGGCAAATTATTTTTCTTTTCTGCAATGCAGGTTTCGCCCGTGAAAATCTGCGATTTCGATCTAGGAAGCGGGATCAAGCTGAACGGCGATTGCTCACCCATCTCCACTCCAGAGTTGCTCACCCCGGTAAGTTCCCCCAAGCGTGGAAAAACCCAATTTATATAAAACACTTTAAAAGTGGTGCTTGGAAGGAGAATCTGAACTGGGGCTCAACCAACAAAAGTGGCAGCCAGCAGGTTTTGAATGAGGAGGAAGGCTTTTTTTTATATATATAACTGATGGAATTCAAAGGCGTGAGATGTGCTGAAGTTTAGCAGACTTTAAAAATGGAAAATCCTCCAGGAATTTCAGCGTCCGTTCACTGTGATGGCTCAGATGGAAGCCTGCATGCTTGGGGGCAGTCTACCTGTCTGCGGACAAACGCCGGCTCCCTCGGCCTGAAAGCGAGATGAGCGCCGCAACCCCAGAGTCGGATTCCCAGAGGCGTCTGGCTGTCCACTGTTGGAATCAGAATACTGGGGATGGATGGATTCCACCCCCACACCCCGATCCATATAGCCTTCTCTGTGTGTTTTGCTGATGTTTTGGCATTGGTGGAAAGAGGTGTTCGGCTTTGTATGGCTTGTCCGTGTGTACGTTCGGTCATCATTTGCTGCAAGCCGGCCTTCCAAAATCTCTTATGGGGGACACAAGAGCCCTTATAGAGTCCTTTGCAGGTTCTCCATCGGTCGGAGATAAGAGCAGAGGCCAATGAGAGAATATTGAGAAGCAAAGATTGTAAGCCTAATCTTTATTGAACTGTTGCAACAGGGTGACCCCTTCACACGCAGGAGAAGGAGGAGGACCCAGAACAAAGGTGTGTCCACCCTTATATAGACATTTTAAATTGCCCGCCCTGGAGTCCAAGACCACCCCCAGAAACAACATACCTACATCACAGAAAGGGCGGTCTACAACAGAAATCTGAGTGCGTTGTTTACCTCCTGTCTGGCAGGTTATCTGTTAATGCTCACTTGATTGGATACCCTGGGGAGCCTGGCCAGTCTTTTGTAATGACAAATACTTAGTTCCTGAGCCAGGTCACAGGCTCAAACCCTATTCATACACAGACATACCCTTAAGACAGGATTTGTGAAGGAAAAGACAATGGGGAGGCTTTTCCATTTTCCTTGACCTTGCAGAGAAATTGGTTTCAGGGCTGTTTTCCTGTGCTGCTTCAGATATGTGGTTTATATATTTATGTACGTGTTTGCTTGGTACGTTTATGAACATTTATTATATATATAAGACCTTAAATTTTTTATTTTTTATTTTATTTAATCCCCCCTTTGCATCTGTAATCTGTTTATTACATCCTTTAACTGGCTTTAACTAATGTGGTGGCTTATGGCGAGTCAAGGATCCCCCTAGGAGACCAGGAAGGGAGATGTTTGCAAAATGGGAGGACGTTGGTTCTTTCCAACCAGTCCCTGGCCAATGCAGACTGGTCTTGTGTGGTCATGTTTCTCCAAGCTTATTGGCGTGCCTTTTTTATTTAGAGTGTTGCCATAGTCAGATTTGATTCCTGGCTCCATCCGGCTGGCTTTTTATTTTTATTTATTGTGTTCGTTTTTCCCAGGGATGGCTGACGTGCTTCTCCCCTGTGACGTAGATTAGGCTGGCACCCCAACATCACCCCCAGTGAGTTTCACAGTCGGGTGGGGCAATTTGAACCCTGGATAGCTTAGTCCAGGGGTCAGCAAACTTATTGCGCCTCGGGCCAGTGTCTCCAGGGCCAGAGGACGAGGGAGCACGTGCCCATACCCGTGTGCACACGCTATTTCTGGCGCACTTCCGGGTCCGAGGAGCACCGGAAATAGCTTGTGCGCATGTGCACTGGCCTCCTCCGACCCGGATGTGCGCCGGAAATAACACTTGTGCATGTGCAAATAACGCTTGCGCATGCGCACAAGGTATTTCCGGTGCTCCTCCGACCCGGAAGTGGGCAGCCGTGCAACGCAGTGCCGGTAAGAGTGGGCGGCAGGGGTCACTGTGGGCCGGATAAACGAGTACCTCCGGCCTTATCCGGCCCGCGGGCCTTAGTTTGGGGCCCCCTGGCTTAGTCGGTAGATAGAGCACAAGACTCTCAATCCCAGAGCTGTGGGTTCAAGCAAAAGATTCCTGCCTTGCAGGGGCTTGGACTAGGTGACTTCCAAATTTCACGGCCCGTTCCTGGGGCGCCGCGGAGATTATTAACTTGTGGCGTAGAATTGTGTCATGAATGTGAACACCGCTTCTTGTTCTGTATCTCGGCTATGCGGCTGGTTTGCGTTTCCTGAGAGGCTGTGCAGAATCGAAAAGGTCGCATTGTGTTGGCTGTCTTTTGAATGAAAGAAACAGTCTTGGGGTTTTTTAGGGGGGGGCACAGACCTGCAAAATGCAAATCTGCATGTGCCGGAAGAAGCGAAGCAGCCAAGGGGCTCCCATTTGCAGTCTGCAAACAAAGTTTTGAAAAAATTAAGTGTTGCAGGGAGGAGGAAGTGCACGAAATTGGGGCACGTTGCAAAGACACAGCCCCCCCATCCCAGGTTTCGGGTTCCATAGTGCTCTTAATTTATTCCCCTTCCTTTCGAAAGCTTTTTAAAACTGTTGTTTTCCCACCCTAAGCAGAGAGAGGGGCCACCTGCCTCTGGTCTCTCTTGCTCCCCCCCCCCCTCCAAACCACTGCTGAGATGCTGTAAAATTTGCCCCTAGCAACAGCTTGGCTGATTGGCTGTCAGGCCTGAGGTTTGGGGATTTCCTCTCCCCCCCCCCTCCTTCCATCTGTTTCTCTCTCTCTTCCCCTCCCCTTGCTTTGTAGAGGCTGCTCTGACCCATTTCTGCGGTGGGGGGTGGGGCGGGGCAAGGAGACGGCAGGCTATGGACAGATTTTTTTTTTTTTTAAAAAAAACTCCTGGACATAGAGTTTTAGGTAAGATCAAATCCCAGCCATGTGTGTCAAAAGGGTTATAAATATCACTACGAAAACAAAACACCCTTTGCTTTTTTTGCAAAAAAAACCTTTGCCTTTTTGCAATTTTTTAAAAAAACGCCAAAAAACAAACAAACCCCACACCCTTTGCTATTTTTGCAGCAGCAGCAACAAAAACAATCTTTGCTGTGCAGCTCAGCGTTACTCAAGAGTTAAGATTCGTTGGAATTGATGGAAGTGATTCACGTCAATGGGTTCTGTTGATTATTATTATTATTATTCATTGAATTTGTACGCTGGCCTTCATCTGTAGATATCGGGGCGCATCTGCTCTCAGATCGTATTAACACCCTAGATTTAAAGCTCTGTGACGCCGCTTTGAACGGTCATGGCTTTGTCCCTCACAAAGGAAACCCCCCCGGGAAGTGCAAGTTGTTCAGCGTGCTGGGCGCTGTTTGACGAATACCTGCGCTACAGTTCCCAGACTGGTTTATCGCTCCATCCCTCTTCCCAGGGAATTGTAGCTCTGGGAAAAGGGGGGCCACAACTCTCAGCATCTTTACTTTTAAAAATATTTTTATTAGGAATTTAAACAGTACATATTATCCTACAACATATCATCCTTAATCCCCCCCCCCATAGAACAACCCCCCCTGACTTCCCTCAGTTCCCATCTCTGGTTTCTCTATAAATGCTATTCTCTGCATGTTACAAAATCGTATAGATCCTTAATTTATCTAACTGGTTGTTATCAATAAAAAGTTTGTGAGTGTTTATTCAAAACCTGCCAAGGAGTCCAGTTCACTTTGTTGCTTCTTTAAATACTTTGTAAAAGGTTCCCATTCAGTTATCCTTGTCCCGTAGTTTGTGTCAGTTTTGCCAATTCTGCATAGTCCATCAGTTTCTCTTGCCATAATTCTTTAGTCGGGGTTCTTCGAACTCTCAGCACCTTGAAAGCTCCCAGAATTCTCTGGAGGGAGCACCGACTGTTTTAAAGTGTGTTTTCCTAGTGTTTCGAACTCAGAACCGGTTCTCCGTGCTTTCAAACAGGCAGTCTTTTCCCCACCCTTACCTGGAGACGCACCTGAGGCCTTCTGCATGCCAGGCAGGTGCCCTGCCAATGAACTCCCCCGAAAGCCATTGAAACGGTTCCTGCATTAGCTGGGGTTCCTGCGCCGCAGCGGGTTGGACTGGATGACCTTGTGGGTTCCCTCTGTGATCCCTAAGCGTGCATCCTTCCACCGCCCTCTTTATGTGCCCCCGAGGCAGATCGGCTCCAGAGAAGCTCTTCCCTCCTCCCTTTTCGTAAACCGGCCGGTTGGGCGAGTTACCCGGACTCTGCGCCCTGCCCCTTTCTGGAGGATTTGCCCGAGTCCGGATAATGTGGATTTGCGTATGTATTAATTCGAGGAAGGGCAGAGTTAGGCAGCTGACGCGGCGCCGGGCGGATTGCGTCTCGGCTGGTTTGATCCGGTCTCGTTCGGGGAAGGGAGGATGTGGTGAAAAAGAAGAGCGAACTCTGTTTGCCTCGGTTGGTTGGCGACAGCGAAGGGTTTTGGTGATGAGTGGTTTTTTGCTGGTCTCGTTTTGCAGCTGCAGTCAAGGGTTCCTCTGAGCATGTGCAGAGTGCGCTTTCCATCACAGAACCCTTCCCTCCTCCTCCTCCCTTTGATGCGTATCTGGGATTAAGGGATAGGGTTTAGGAGGCGGTGAGCAGTGGTTCCCTGCTACTCTCACTGATTTTTAAAGATTTCTGTATGTATACAGAAGAGTTCAAGGCAGGTGCGTTCTATTTAAACCAGTTTCACTTTCCACTTCTCAGATGAACCAAGCACACTGTTTCCCCTCCTTTTTAAATCTGCAAGCGACAGATTGATAATCCCGAAGCGTATAAACTGATCGTCGTTTTGGAATTAAAATTAATTTAGCGTGGAATAACTTCAAGCTCCAGTTTTTCCCTCTCTCAATAACACACCTGTGGTTTTTTTTAAGAGCCAAGAAGGGTGTCTTTAAGTTTGCTGAGGATACTAAAATAGAAACACAAAAAGCTGGTATAGTCAATGTCGCCAACTGGCTCCTATCAGGGCCATCAGCATTTTAAATCTTCCCATGTGTTTTATTGTATTTTGACTATTACTTTTAGCTGATTTGTTTCAGTTAATTGGTATTTTAAAATGGATCTTTTTTTAAAACGTTGTAAGCTGCCAACTTGGGAGAAGTGCCTGGGGCAACGCAGTCCGGTGGCTGGGGTACAAATAATAAAATTTGACTATTACTATAAATACATCAAATGAATGTCAGCCTGGGTAGCTCTATTGGCCCTCCAGCTGTTTTGGGACTACAGTTCCCATCATCCCTGACCACTGGTCCTGTTAGCTTAGGGATGATGGGAGTTGTAGTCCCCAAAACAGCTGGAGGGCCGAGTTTGGCCATACCTGGGTTAGATCATGGTGCTGATAATGCCTAGGTTGCAAGTTCAGGACAGCTGCGTATTGCTGCATTGCCAGGGGGTTGGGATGGATGACCCTCGGGGTCCCTCCAACTCCAACTTTTTTTTTTATGAATGGACTTTGAGGCTCCGATCTCCAAATCTGCCACTTGCCATTTTTGTTTTCTCCAGGCACTACTAACTAGATGGATTTATTTTCTTCTTCCATGCAAGAACTGTCCCAGCGGATTGTTTCAAAGGTCGGGGGGGGGGTTGCCCCCCAAATTACAACTCTCTTCCCAAGCCCTTAACTGAACCCCCAATCTTATTCCAGAAAAACAGGCCTCTGCTCATCTATCGTGGGGGATAAATTCTGGGGTTACAGCATGAAGCCAAAACTGTGTAGAGTCAAAACACGTTGGGTGAGATTCCCACTGGAAGTCTTCCCCCATTTTGGACCACTTCTTAATTATTATTTTTTAATTGCCAGGCGTATATTAAGCAGAAATGGGCACAAGTCAAACGCACAAAAGTTCCTCTTTAACCAGGCCTTGGGCTGATTGACACCCACCGCCCTTTTAAAAATCTAGGGGGGTGTTGTTAGTTTGTTTTTATTTTTATTATGTGTTTTGAGGGCTTTTAAATTGTAATTTTATCCTGTGAAGCGCCCTGAGACCTGTGGGCATAGGTCAGTATACAAATTTAATAAATAAAAATAATAATGATATCTGTTCCGATATCCAAAGTCTGGGAAACACCAGCTTTGGGGCAGTGTGTTCTCCCCAAGAACCTGAGGTCTAGCAGCTTGGTTTGCACTTTTCAAAACAACGGACTTCCACATTTTCAAACCATTGAGCCTTTTTGTTGTGAGGTATTTCTGTGCTCCAGAACAGGGTTTTTTTTTTTTGCTTTATTTTTTAGCTAGTGTGAGAAAAATGCATTTGCTCACAAAGGACTTTGGGTCATATATTTGCACCAAGTTCCTTTGCAAGTGCAATTGGACTTTTCTTTTTGTAAAGGGGTGGGGAGAAGAACATAATTCTTGCAGTTTGTGTATTTGGGGAGATCCCAGCCCTTGCATGCGCAATCCCTTCCCCTTCTTCATCGGACAGAACTATTCTGGCAGGTTTATAGCGGTGCCCTGAACATTGCAAACCCTTTTTCCAGGAAACGCTGCCTGGCTTTTTATAGACCTTGGATGGTCTCCCTCTTCTTGGCCCTGAGGGCTTCTGGGAAAGAATGTCCCGGTTTTTTGGGGGGGGGGCTTTATTTATGAGGGGTGAAATGTGGGGCAGAGGCATGGTGATCACGTGCCCCCCCCAGCTGAAGCAAAACTCAGCTGGTGCCATCCAGAGAGCATGGCTACTTGGCAAAAGAGAAAATGCTTCCTGGTCTGATGGGACCCCCAGAGCCCATCTAGACCAACCCGCTGCAATGCAGGCGTCTCAACTGTACCATCCAGGACAGATCACCTTCCAACCTCTGCTTAAAACCTCCAAGGAAGGATGCCCCCCGCCCCCCGAGCAGGGTTAGAAATTCAAAATATACAAGCTGATCGCCAAATGGCACCTTAAACCTCGGTTGCGGTCGCCATGATGGAATGTCCAGGCGCCATTTTTTCCTTGGTGAATTTTATTATTATTCATTTCCGCGCCACTTTATGTTTTAAAGAAGAAGAAAATCTATCTTTCTAATAATCTATCTAGTAACATTTTATCCTTTACCCCACATAGAATGTTACATTTGTTACTCAACAGCTATATTCCAATTTGACCAAACTACGATTGCGTTTTAAGGTTCCAGTCCTCAGTGTCTTACCCAATTTCATCCTTTCTAACGTGATTTGTAACACGTTCTGCTGTCTTCTTACACTCCAAACCCCACTGGGGCCGTCGCGTATGGGGATAAAACTTTTTTATAGACTACGAATGGGTCCCAGCCTTCTTTAAAAGACTCTAAATTTGTGTTTCTTATCAGTGCTGTCGGTTTTGCCATCTCCACGTATTCAAGGATTTTCACCTGCCATTCTTCCTTGGAGGCTGTTCTCTCCTCCTCCCATTTCTGAGTGTAGGGAAACTATAAAGACGGTTGAGGCTTTCCCCCCCGCCTTGGCAATCCAGATCTGTTGCTAAATAATTTCATTGTGGGAGCCGGAGATCTTAGACAGTAAAACAACTTTCCATTTGTGTAAAATGTGTGTGTTTCTGAAAGAGCAAACTGGAGTTTCTTTCCTGCAAAGTTAGTGGTTTCAAATCACATGCAATTTCTTCTGCATGTGAAATCTGGAACCTTTTCGTTTGCGGTGGGGGAATTTTGAAAAGCAAAAGTGTGACCCTGCGGCTTTTAACCCTTTCTCTGCCTGATTCCTATTTATTTTTTTAAATTCGTCGTTATTGATTTAAAATATCATCTTACATATATATTGCAAACAGTTACATCAAAATTAAACACAAAAATATAATAGAAAGAAGATAAAGAAAATAAAAATAAAAAGCAAAAAAGAGTTAACAATAAGAAATGAATATTGGTTATAACATCCTGCCTTTTCTAATAAAGTCTTCTGAAAGAAACTTCCAGTCGTTCTCGTTGTACTTTTTCTATTATCTTAATTTTATCGCACAGTTTGTTTTATAACTTCTCCTGTATATTCATCTAGTATATTTGTTCCATTTGTTTATTATATACAAGTATCATTCAGTTCTGCTAGGATAACATCATTATTACAATATAATCTTATACATTCTCTGAATAGTCTCCATTCTCTGAATTTTTTTTGATTTGGGGCTCCTCTGACTTTTCCAGTCAGCTTTGCTAATTGAAAGTACTCTAGCATGAGTGATTGCCTATCTATTATTGTGGTTGTTTTTTCACATTTCCAACTTCTGTTCTCCTCCCGATTCCAGTGCGGCTCGGCTGAATACATGGCCCCGGAGGTTGTGGAAGCATTCAACGAGGAAGCCTCGATCTACGACAAGCGCTGCGACTTGTGGAGTTTGGGGGTCATCCTCTACATTATGCTGAGCGGCTACCCGCCTTTCGTGGGCCACTGCGGGACCGACTGCGGCTGGGACCGCGGCGAAGCGTGTCCCGCTTGCCAGGTGAGTAGGGCTCGGGCTCCTTCCTCTTCTTTTGTTCTTTGCACAAAGGTCAGGTTCAAGAAGAACCAGCTGCACCAATACATAGCTGTCAAGCGTCCCTTATTTGGCGGGACAGTCCCTTATCCCAGCGCCATGTCCCGCTGCTGTCCCTTATTGATGATGTCCCTTAAATTTCCCGGGTTTCAAAGGAAGCAGCTCTTCTCCCTCCCTCCCTGCCAGCCAGGGAGGAGGGAGGCTCCAACTGTGTGGCTTCGCTGCGTTGCTCACCCAATAAGGAGTCTGAGAACGACTGGGAGGTAGAGCTTGCATGCCTTGTGCTGATCAAATCGGCCGCGTTTGAGACTTGCCTTTGCTCAGCGCTTCCCAGCGGAGAGGTGACGGTGATTTTCCTTGAGGCTTGAGGCTTCATTTGGCTGCTGGCTGGGCTTTCTGCCTTTGGCTCGGAGGGGCCCAGAAGTTGAACATACCTGTGCTTGGAAAATCCCTTATTTTGGCTGCTGATCCCTTATTTCCGAGGCTGCTAGTCCCTTATTTTCAAATTTGTAAGTTGACAGCTATGCACCAATATAAGATTTTTTGGGTGGGGGGACAAAAATAGTACAGTGGTTCCTCTGGATGTGAACGGGATCCGTTCCGGAGCCCCATTCGCATCCTGAAGCGAATGCAACCCGCGTCTGCATGGGTCGCGCTTCACCGCTTCTGCGCATGACGTCATTTTGAGCATCTGCGCATGCGCGAGCGGCGAAATCCGGAAGTAACATGCTCCATTACTCCTGGGTCGCCGCAGAGCGCAACCCGAAAAGGCTTAACCTGAAGCAACTTCAACCCGAGGTATGACGGTACATGTGGAAAGGATCTAGGGATCTAGCAGAGCATATGAGTGAACAGTGTAAAAGGTAAAGGAACCCCTGACCATTAGGTCCAGTCGTAGTCGACTCTGGGGTTGCGGCGCTCATCTCGCTTTATTGGCCGAGGGAGCTGGCGTACAGCTTCCGGGTCATGTGGCCAGCAGGACTAAGCCGCTTCTGGCGAACCAGAGCAGCACACGGAAACGCCGGTTACCTTCCCGCTGGAGCGGTACCTATTTATCTACTTGCACTTTGATGTGCTTTCGAACTGCCAGGTTGGCAGGAGCAGGGACCGAGCAACGGGAGCTCACCCCGTCGCAGGGATTCGAACCGCTGACCTTCTGATCAACAAGTCCTAGGCTCAGTGGTTTAACCCACAACGCCACCCGTGTCCCTTCTGTGAACAGTGTAATGCAGCAGTAAAACAGAAAAGGTGATTTTGTATGATTCCGTGACCCACCCTTCCTTCCTTCCTTCCTTCCAGAACATGTTATTTGAAAGCATCCAGGAGGGGAAGTACGAATTCCCTGACAAGGATTGGGCTCACATCTCTTTCGGAGCCAAAGACCTCATTTCTAAGCTGCTGGTCAGGGATGCCAAGAAGCGCCTCAGCGCAGCCGAAGTTCTCAAGCACTCGTGGGTGCAAGGGGTGAGCACAGTGGGGGGGGGGGAAAGGCGGGAGGGGTTCGTTGATTTGGGGTTAGGGTGTTTTTCTGTTTTTTTTTGCAGCCCCCAATAAACCTGTCCCGTTTTCTCTCTCCATGAAATGAGACAAGCCTTTGGTTCATCTAGGTCAGTATTGCGTGCACTGACTGGCAGCATCTCCACAGAGATTCAGGCAGGCCCCCTCTGGAGAGGGACTTTGTAGTAAAGTCAGGGTAGGTTTAATCCCACCACGCTGACACCATGTAGTAATGCTCCGGCCACTCTACCCCTCCCTCTCCTGTCCTACCATCCAGCTGGTTCAGGTTTAGAGGAACGGCGGTCAGAGGCATATACTTTTTTCAGGACAAAACACATCAAGAAAGGTAGTTACTGCCACCACTCCCTTGTACCAGGGGCACCAGAAGGCTTCCCCCAAGGGAGAAGGTTATCCTTCCTAGTTACCGGCTGCCCCACCCTGCAAGTTGCTTCCACAACCAACAGGCAGAAATTCAACAGATACACATTCCCAGAGTGATTAGGGTTGATAACTCATTCACACCCAGACAGCCTTTTTTGGTACCAGGTGCTAAAACCCCACTAATCAACTTGGAGAGTTTCCTTCCTTCAGATGTCTGAGATAAGCAAATCACACTTTCAGAGACTGTTAGTCTGCATCTTTAAAATAACAAAACACATTCCCCATAAATCCTATGGCCTTTGGTCTTCCCATAATACTTTGCTGCTTACTTGACCAAAGTTTTGTCTATTGAAATTTGCTAACTTCACTACAAACTTAACCTGGGACTTTCCCCCGTAAAGATTCTCTTGGCTACTAAGCAAGCCTGCACTTAACCAACATTGCAGTTGGGGCAGAGGTCCTTTGCCGTCTCTGTGGGCAATTGGGAACTATACTTAGAAGAGTCTAGTTCTTAACAGTTCTGCGTTTAACAAGTTAGAAAACCATCACAATGAGGATGCATAATAATAATAATAATAATAATAATAATAATAATAATTTATTATTTATACCCCACCCATCTGGCTGGGCTTCCCCAGCCACTCTGGCTGCTTCCAACAAAATATTAAAATACCATAATATATCAAACATTAAAAGCTTCCCTAAACGGGGCTGCTAATCAGAAGCAAAACAGAGGATACCTGTCTGATCAGGATTCACAGTGTGGGTTTGAAATCCCTGGTGCTCTAGGTGGCGCTGCGGAGCTGTCCTCTGAAGGTTCCTCAAACCCTGCCTATTTAAAAATAATAATAATAATAATAATAATAATTAATTTTTATTAATTTTCCATTTAAACCTATATAATCACATCATTATTATCCACTTTACCTCTTTGGCTCTTTAGAGCCTATCAACTTCCTTCCCTCCCACCTCTTGGCTTTCAAAGTTAACCTTTATATCATAGCATTTTATATATTTTCCAATTCTAATAAGACTCATCACAAAATACCTCAAAGTTTATTAAATAAATATAGAAAGGTAAAAAAATTCTCATTACAGATCTTCAGATAACCCTACTAGTGGTGTTAATTGTTAATTGCATACAATGAGCTTTAAGGTGTTGAATAAATTGACTCCAGTCTTTTTGGAATACTTGATTGTGCTGGTTTCTGATTTTCCCCATTAGCTTTGCCAGTTCTGCAAAGTCCATCATTTTCATCTGCCATTTTTCTTTTGTTGGTACTTCTTGTTGTTTCCATTTTTGGGCTAAAATTTTGCCGCTGTTGTTGCATACATGAACAGACTTTTATCTTTTCTTGGTATCTCTTCACCTACTATACCCAGTAAAAAGGCTTCTGCAAAAGACTACAAAAGACTTTGGATGTAATATTCAGTTAGAATCTTGGGGAAGGCTGTGGAATGAAGGTATTAAATTTACTGCACGTAGTTCGCTTAAAGAAAATGTGATGAAAATGATGTATAGATGGTATTTAACACCATCAAAACTTGCTAAAATGTATAGGACAAGATCTAACGAGTGTTGGAAAGGTAAAGAGAAGGAAGGTATTTTTCACCATTTGTGGTGCACTTCTAAAAGAGGTAAAGGCTTTTGGGAAATGATATATAATGAGTTAAAGAAAATGTTTAAAAACACTTTTGATAAAAACCCTGCCTTTCAGATAAAATTTAGCAGTGTGAGAAAGTTGTACCTTAGTAAATTTGCGTTTCCCCCCCTCCCTGCTTTTGGGTGTGGGAAGTCGCAGACCAGAGTTGCCCAAACTTGGATCTTTTTTGCCCTACAACTCCCATGATCCCTAGCTAGCAGGACCAGCGGTCAGGGATGGTGGGAATTGTAGTCCGAAAAAAGCTGGAGGCACAAGTTTGGGAAACCCTGTTGCAGACAGAAAATCTTGCCTTGGTATAATATTAGCTCTCACTCTCTCTCTCTCTCGTTCCTTTTTTTCTTTTCAGTGTGCTCCGGATAACACTCTCCCAACCCCAATCATTCTTCAAAGGTAAGAGGAAACCCCTGAACCTCCACCCCATGATTTTGAGCCCCTGTGGGGAAAATTAAGGGACCCTCAGGGCCTCTTCCAACTCTATAATTCTATGACTGTTCTGCCTCCACAAGAGGGATGGGCAATAACTGGTTTTCAACATCGCAATATATCGCCAGCTAAATGTCATGACGCAGGTGGGGCTGTGGTCTAAAACACTGAGCCTCTTGGACTTGCCGATCAGAAGGTTGGTGGTTCGAATCCCCGTGCTGGCCACATGACCCAGAAGCTGTCTGCGGACAAATGCTGGCTCCCTCGGCCAGTAAAGCGAGATGAGCGCTGCAACCCCAGAGTCGCCAGCTCCCTCGGCCAATAAAGCGAGATGAGCGCCACAACCCCAGAGTCGTCCGCGACTGGACCTAACGGTCAGGGGTACCTTTACCTTTAAACCTCACGATATACTGATATATCACAATGTCTGAAATAAGGATGGAGCCATGCAGATGCCTTGGCTGGCTTCACAGTTTCCCCCATGTTGTGATTTTTGCATAGCACACACATAGGTAAAGGGACCCCTGACCATTAGGTCCAGTCGCGGACGACTCTGGGGTTGCGGCGCTCATCTCGCTTTATTGGCCGAGGGAGCTGGCGTACAGCTTCTGGGTCATGTGGCCAGCAAGACTAAGCCGCTTCTGGCGAACCAGAGCAGCGCACGGAAACGCCGTTTACCTTCCCGCTGGAGCAGTACCTATTTATCTACTTGCACTTTGATGTGCTTTCGAACTGCTAGGTGGGCAGGAGCAGGGACAGAGCAACGGGAGCTCACCCCGTCGTGGGGATTCGAACCGCCGACCTTCTGATTAGCAAGTCCTAGGCTCTGTGGTTTAACCCACAGCGCCACCTGCATCCCTAGCACACACATGCGCCCATGATAAACAATACATTGCCAGGTCAAAAATTATGAAATCAATATTGTGATAAGGGCTTGAAACCGGTTTTGGGCGATATATTGCCCAGCCATAGTTGGAGGCACCAATGTTTCTGAAATCCAGGTGCTGGAAGCCACAGGAGGGGGGAGAGAGCTGCTCTTGTGTTCGAATCCTGCTTGCGGGCTTTGCATCTGGTTGGGCCCATGAGAATAGAATAGAATAGAATAGAATTTATTATCTATACCCCGCCCATCTGGCTGGGTTTCCCCAGCCACTCTGGGTGGCTTCCAACAAAGTATTAAAATACAGTGGTCTGTTAAACACTAAAAGCTTCCCTAAACAGGGCTGCCTTCAGATGTCTTCTAAAAGTCTGGTAGTAGTTGTTCTCTTTGACATCTGGTGGGAGGGCGTTCCACAGGGTGGGTGCCACCACCGAGAAGACCCTCTGCCTGGTTCCCTGTAACTTGGCTTCTTGCAGGGAGGGAACCACCAGAAGGCCCTCAGTGTCCAGGCAGAACAATGGGGGTGGAGACGCTCCTTCAGGTCTACTGGACCGAGGCCGTTTAGGGCTTTCAAGGTCAGCACCAACACTTTGACTTGTGCTCGGAAACGTCCTGGGAGAGAAGAAGATGCGAGGCTTTGAGGGGGCTGCTGGCCCGATCCGGCAGGTCTCCTCTTCTTTCCTAAACGCGCCACCCCCTGTCCTCCGCAGGAACAGCTGTGCCAAAGAGCTGACGTCCTTTGCGGCCGAAGCCATCGCCGTCAACCGCCAGCTGATGCGGGATGAGGAGGAGGACGAGGCTGCCGTGGAGTCGCACTCCCCCATCATCATCAAAGCTACCTCACGCTCCATGCAGCTCTCCCCGCCGTCCGAGTCCAAGCTGGCCAAGCGGCGGCAGAAGACCAGCATGGCAAAAATGGACACGAACCAGCATCTGGTTACCCCCTTGGTCCTGGTGGGGGATCACATGTGAACGCCCCTCCCCCCGGCTGCGTGTACATCCCCATTTCCCCCCCCCCTCCCCAATTTTGGACAATATATCTATATATGTATACTGTTTTTGATAGCTAGGGGGGGAAAGAAAAGCAAGATCAGACCCCTCTCTTTCAAGTTGGCTGGATTCCAAGGATCTATTATCTTCTTCTTTTTTCTTTTCGTTTTGTATTGTTTCCTGGTCTTGTTTGAACACTGGCTCCTCTCAACTCCCCCCCCCCCAACACTTCTCCCCCCCTTTTTTTCCTTTATAAATCTCTCTTAAAGGAAAAAAGAAAAACCAACTTCCATATTAACTCACCTATAATTTTTTTTTATTAAACTCCCCCCCCACACACACAAAGGTTGCATTTTGACACACGTGTAATATATTTTCGCCTTTTTAAAACAAAAAATAAATGGATTTCCCCGCCCCCAACTCCCTCCTGCTTCTTTGGAAATACCAGGTTGACATGCCCCCCCCCCCCGGAAAAGCTTAAAAAAAAACAACCCCAGGCTACTGTTAACTCTGTTTTCTGTTGCCTCTTTTTATACTGTGAAAATATTGGGGGTTGGGGGGAGGCGCACCCTTAAAAGTCCTCAACTTTTTAAAGGTAGCATTTTAAGTATTTGGGTGTATTATTCCTTTTTTTCTCCCCATTTCCTTTTTTTTTTATGTGGCTTTGCTGTTTCTCTCCCTCCCTCCCTATTTCTAAAAAATGTTTTGTTTCATTTTCAACCTAAAGGAATTCTAGAACTGGAAACAGAAGCTGCGGTTTGAGGGGGTGTGGTGTGTGGATTTAGGTTTTGCCCCAGAAGGCATTGTGGGGGGTGGTTGGGTTTGTAAAGATCCATTTGTTGGGGTGGTAATCGTGGGCAGAGTCCCTCCCCCCCATACACCCCCCTCCCCCGAGAGCTGCCGATTCTGTAAGATTTGGGGTGGGAGTGTTTTGGGCTCTCCCGGCGGTTGTCCCAAGAGAGCCGGCCCAGAGTATCAAGGGGGCCGTTCTTGTCCACCCCCTACCCCTGCCCCCCAAAATAACACAGCCCATTTTGTTTCAAACCCAGGTTCCCCCTATTTCTGCGGGGAGGAAAGAGATTGGCATTGATCAAGATGGATTTGTCGCTGCCACCATGGGTTTGTTTTGTCTAATGGAAAAGTCACTGCAAAAAAAAACAGCCCTGAAATTTGCACAACCGCGTGCTCCCATCTCCGGCGCCGCTGGGCTCCAGCTCCTGTCCGTGCTAAGCCAGCTCAGCTGATGGTCAGGAGGAAGGTGGGCGTTGTGTATCTGGGGCAACAACTTCTAGAGCCGCGTTTCCCAAACCCCAGCTGTTCTTGGACAACAACTCCCATGATCCCTGTCTATCAGGACCGTTGGTCAGGGATGATGGGAACTGTAGTCCCCAAAACAGCCAGAGACCCAAGTTTGGGACACATTGTTCTAGAGGGTCTCTTTTGGGAGGTTCTGGGTGGGGGCTGTCTCTTGCTGCAGCTGTTTCCCGTCCGTTTTGCGGCTGTTCCTCTCCGAGCGAAAAGTTTGGTCTGGTTCAGAGGGGGGTCTTTGCTTGGGGTGGGTGGTCTTGCCTCTCGTTCCTCCATCCAAGGGTGTCTGCGGGGAGACCCTCTTACCAGCTTGCAAGATCATGGCATAGCTGTGCCCAAACTGCAGGCCCTTTAAGTGGGGCTGGGGGGGTTTCCACCATCTTCCCTCCTTGCTGGGTGGGTGACGGGCGATGGGACTCTCTGCATCGCCCTTTTTGCATTGTGCAAAGCCCTCTGTCCTGTGATGGGACGAGGCAAAGCTCCATCTCGAGGCCTCTCTTCAAGAGTTTTCAAACCATTTCTAGACCCCTTTGGAGGTTGTAGCCACAGACGAGCGGTTTCAAATAAAATTTAAAGAATTGCCCAGTGGGCCCAGGAATGACAAACCTGCACTGGCGGATTCTCCCTGGTTTGTTTTTTAAGTTCGCTTTATTTCAGTGCGGCAGGTTTGCCCCCCGGCTGTTTAACTTGCTTAAAACTCCTGTCCGGATATGCATATCTGGAATTTTGATAGGATTGTGTTATCAGAGTGATAATTTCTTCTCTTATTCTCTCCCCCCCCCCCAACTTAAGAAATACTATGCAATAGTTGTCTAGGTAGAGATAGATGATAGCAAAAAAACTTTTTTTTTTGTTAATTCTTCAGGTAACCCTAACTTCCAGCGGTGGGTGAGAGGCGTAATTGGGTTAGTTTGGCTTGACTGGTCTACTCCTTCCCTCCCACTTTGGATCCCCGCCCCCCAAGAAAACCACAAACAGTGAACACGGTATCTGGGATTGTGTCCAAAGTCATTCATACTTACAGTTAGACCGATTGGCATTGATTGACCTATGTAAGTGCTGTCCATCAATTTCAGTGGTTCTGCTCAGAGTATGATTCTACTCCCCACCCCATCCCGGCTGTGAAATTTATTGTCGCTTTCTTTTCATGAACATTCAGCATCTAGCAAATGTCCTTTCAAGGGGGATGGGGGGGTCAGATTGGGATGTGAGGTTCACTGTGTAAAGTTGGTGAGAGAGTTGCTTTTTTTTAAGGGGTGGGGAACCCCTTTATCTTTCTTTTTAAACTTTGTTTTACATCACATTTTGTTATTTGGTTGTAGAGCTTCATCTTAGGGTAAGAAATACTTGAACATCGGATGGCTGTGCACCAATGCCGCCTTCTTTTGGTCAGGAAAGCTGTCTCAAGGCTGCGGGTGATGGCTGTGAAATTGTTTTGGTGTGTTTCACCCTACCAGGGCAAGAAGCAAAGGCAACTCTTTGTCTCTGGGACTGAGAGTGGCGGTTTCTACGCTGCTTTTGCTTGCAAGAGCATTCGCAAAAGATCTTGCAAGGTTAGCTTCAGTTCCTTTGGTGGAAAGAGGGGAGATTCTCTCCCCCTTTCTCAGCTATTATCTAAGCAGCAGATATTCAGATCTATTTGGGACTGCTTCCCTCTTTAGGCTTATTTTACCTGTCCTAAAAAATTCTGGGAATTGCCAACTTCTGAGGGCATAGAGTCCTCTTGAATGTCCCCGAGATCCTGCACAGTTCCCAGCACTGGGAGCCAAAGTAGATGTGCAGTTCCCAGGATGCCCAGCATTGGGACCCATGGTAGATGCACAGTTCCCAGTGTCCGCAGTACTGGGAGCTACAGTGGTTCAGAAACGGGTTTTAACGTTTGCAGTGGCAACGTTAAAATGATAGCTGATTTCTCCCTGGGGTGGGTTGTTGTTTTTTTGCGGCAGGGGCTGGGTGCCGGGCGTACCTTTGAAAAACAGCATACCCTTGTTTTTAAAAGCAGATCTTTTGAGCACAGGAACGCTACCTGTGACTTTTTCTGGGTTTTGCCTAAGCCCACTTATTCAGTACTACACCAGTACTACGCATGTAATATCTCAGAAACACATAGTGGTTTCTGCAGTAGAAGTTGCAGATAGGTAAGTTGGTCTGCAGCCGTGTCGGTTCCTCCAGGAACAACGTGGTCCTCGTTTTCCGCTGACCCTGTCCAGGCGGTGGCGACCGTAAGGTCCGCGAGTGATCCTCGTTGCTTCTGAGAGGGCCAGATAATTTGTATGGGATCATGTTCTTCTTCTGCGTTAGTGATCCTGTTTTGGGGAAGGTGGGTGGGCGAGCGCCCCCCACCCCACCCGGTTCATTACTGAAGGGCCAAAATTCAGGAGTGCTGGAAACTCCCTCAACAACAAGCCCATGTTGAGTTGTCGACTCGCAGGGTTGTGGTTAAGCTTGTGTGGTTTGGCTTTCGAACCAAAGTTCTTTGGCGAGAACCACTCCCTTCTCTTTCTCTCTTCCTCTCTTCAAATAAAGGGGACTTCTCAGGATAATTTCAGCGTGTGAAGGACTGCTCAAATGTTTCCTTTCCCAACTTCAGTCTTTTTGACTTTTGCCCGACGTTTAATGAAAACAAAATGCCAGAGAGTGTGCATCATTGCGCACTGTTGCAGAATAAAATGATTTGGAGCGCTTTAATGTGGCGGTTCTTCGCTCCCCCTTTGTGCTTATATACCTTCATATGCATACCCTCTCTGGCCAAGGGTGCGCATTATTTTGTGTGTGCAAGCGGGCAACGTTCTAGGATCGCGCCACCACAAAGTACCTGGATTTGGTAGCGTTAGAAATCATTCAGCGTAATGGAATCAAATCCCATAATGGAAGTTTAATAAAGTCCACCTCTTCTCTCCTGAGTGGTGAATGACTTGAATCTTTGTGTTTGGGTCTGAGCGTCGCTGAAAGTCGACTACCTTCCCGCTCCCCCAATTTCTGATCGGATGATTGTTTTGTGGCTTGAAAACGCCAGGCGATTGTGATGGTTTTGGCATGTGGTCATTTTCGTTTCTTTAAAGAACTGCTGTTGTGAAGACACAATCTTGCCTTCCCATTCTTGCATTGCCAAGTCAGATCAGGAACCCAGCCTTGCTTGGTTGGGGTTGGCTTTTGCCAACATAGTGATGAGCTCCCCCCCCCCCATCTTGCTTAAACTGGGGAGGTAAGAAGTCCGATTCAGTCCTAGCGGGGGGAGACAATAAATTGCATTGAAAACAACAGTTACGGCTAACTTGTCTGGTTCCCATTTCAATGGGGTGAGTCGTGATTAGCAAGTGAGCTGGGTTTTCTCCCCATGCCCTCCCCCCAAATATATTTAGGCTTTTCATATATGTGTGTTGAAATTTTGTTTCTGTTTAATGGTTATTCTCAGGACGTGAGCAAAATCCTGATCCTTCTCCTTACTCCCGCGACCGTGCACCTTTTCGTTTGTGTGACCAAAACTGGTGGTGCTTTGATTTCTTTTTTTCCACCGCTCAATTCAGAGATAAAACGTGTGTTTTCTTCCTCTTCTTTTTAAGGCTCCCTCCCTCCCTTCTTTACTGGGAAATAAGTCTTCCTACCATGTTTCACACTACAGTACACACCAAAGCTTAGATCTTTTAACATGCAAGGAATTCTGGGCTTTGGAAATGGGGGTCAGGCGAACCTGTGTCCTTCCACTTGCTGACCACAGGTTCCCCTCATCCTTGGATTTAAGAATACCCTTTATTGGATCGCCTTGAAGGTAGTCGCCCACAATCCGCCTGGTTTGGAAGCCGGAAGAGTTTAAACTGAGTTGAAAGTTACTTGTCCCCCATAGAGATATGAGGGACCTCTTGTCTCTATGATGGGGACTTAATCCAGTGTACCCTTTTGACATCCTCTTAACCAGCCTTCTCAAGGTTGCTTTCCAGGTATACTATCTTTGGTTTGTGTTATTTCTCCCCCCCCCAAAAAAAAAATCTTTAAACTGTGCATGGATTTTTAACCCTTATCTTGCCAAAGTTCTTAGTTTAAACTTCTCTTTCTTCCACCAGTCCTCCCCACCAAAATGTTTTTCTTTGTGAAATTCTTTTATCGGAAAGCATATTTTTTTTCTGTACCTCCTTATTATGAGTTGTATTAACTGCAAATTTGAGGTGGTGGTGGGAATGTCATCGCTTTAAACGACGTCTCCTTCCTCTAGATTTTACGTTTCCTTAGATGTTGGTTAGCAACATTTTACTGTGAAAATCTGTTCCTTTTCACGTCCTTTTTTTTTTTTTTGCGGGGGTGGGATTCAGTCCAGGAGAAATATTTTCCTCTGGTTATCAGAAAGACTGCCAAAGGTTTTGTGGAGCTTTTAAATTTAAGTTTATTTTATTTTTTTTGGACATGCAGTCACCTTAACGTACTGTTGGGGACTCTTATGAGCAGGAAGTCCTTCAGAAAGGGACTGGTTTAAAAAAAAAAAGGAGAAATTTAAAAAAGAATAAAAAAAGAGAAAAAAACCATAAAAATATATAAAAAATAAAAACTTATAAGACAACAGCAACCAAGCACTTTATTAACTGATACAGCTTGATGGAATTTTTTCCTTCGTAACACCTTGTTGATGCCAGAATTTTTTGTATTCTGTTTTGTAAGAATTTAATAAATGCATTGAAACACATAAACGAATTGAATGTTTTTGGAGTTGGGGTCTGTTTGTTTTCAGAATAGAAATTTTAAGGTTCCCCCATACTTCCCAATATCCTCTTAGAAATGGCGGAAAAACAAGTGACATACCACAATGTCTGCAATAAGGATGGAGCTATACAAGGGCATTGGCTGGCTTCACGGTCTTCCCCACATCGTGATTTTTGCAAAGCACACACAGACACATCATGATTAGCAATACATTGCCAGGTGAAAAAATTATGAAACTGCTATCACAATATAGACTTCAAGGTATTGGACGATATATCACCCAGTCCTACGGGCAACCAGCGTAGCTTTTATAAAAAGATGGGGCTGATATATAAATGGAACCCCAGACAGTAATCAGGCCTCTGCATTTTGGACCAAAGCAAAGTTTCTGAGTTGCCTCCAAGGGCAGCCCCACGGACAGTGTGTTGCAGTAGTCCAGTCTGGAAGTTGCCATGGAGTCCATTCACCTAGTCATCTCTCTAGCAACCAGTTCACCATCATTAAAGAGAAGGGTCAGCAAGCATCCAGGACTGGAAGCCCTGTTCATAATAATAATAATATTTTATTATTTATACCCCACCCATCTGACTGGGCTTCCCAAGCCACTCTGGGCGGCTTCCAAAAAAATATTAAAATACTGCAATACATCAAACTTTAAAAGCTTCCCTGAACAGGGCTGCCTTCAGACTTTTAGAAAAGTCTGGTAGCTGTTGTTCTCTTTGACATCTGGTGGGAGGGCGTTCCACAGGGCGGGTGCCACTACCGAGAAGGCCCTATGCCTGGTTCCCTGTAACTTGGCTTCTCACAGTGAGGGAACTGCCAGAAGGCCCTCGGAGCTGGACCTCAGTGTCCGGGTAAAACGATGGGGGTGGAGACGCTCCTTCAGGTATACTGGGCCGAGGCCGTTTAGGGCTTTAAAGGTCAGCACCAACACTTTGAATTGTGCTCGGAAAGTTCAGAGAAGTTTTTTATGTCTGACCTGACGCTTTATTATTTTTAATGTTTTGCTGGAGGCCAGCCAGAGTGGCTGGGGAATCCCTGCCAGACGGGCGGGGTATAAACAATAAAATGATGATGGTGATGATGACGACGATGACCATAGGAGTCGAGTGGATGCAGCTGCGCACCACTGGTGTGGTTGTTACACAGATCCTCCCCATGTGATGATCATTGCTTAGCCTCGGGTAGCGTGGCAAAAGCAAGACCAGAGACAGGAGCAGTGTGGCTGCAGTCTTTTCCCCAAGGGCATATCTGTTGTTCACGCGAAGCCCGGTGGGTGGGGAACTTCAAGCCTTGGGGGTGGGATGCGGCTCTAGGGGTGAAAAACCACTGCGTTAGCCAGCACTGAATTTTATACGCCGCCCATCTTGACTGGGCTGCCCCTGCCACTCTGGGTGGCTTCATTCCTGGGCTTGTGGCCGCTGTCACCTGCTGGCAGCTTCTAGGAGCCACAGGTGAGAGCTGAGTGCTGGTGGGGACCAAAGGTGGACAAACTGTCCCAGAAGGAGCAGGATGTGTCTCCCACCACCAGAGGTACATTACACATTGTTTAGTTGTGTCCGACTCTTCGTGACCCCCTGGACCAGAGCACGCCAGGCACTCCTGTCTTCCACTGCCTCCCGCAGTTTGGTCAAACTCTGTTAGTAGCTTCGAGAACACTGTCCCACCATCTCGTCCTCTGTCGTCCCCTTCTCCTTGTGCCCTCCATCTTTCCCAACATCAGGGTCTTTTCCAGGGAGTCTTCTCTTCTCATGAGGTGGCCAAAGGACTGGAGCCTCAGCTTCAGGATCTGTCCTTCCAGTGAGCACTCAGGGCTGATTTCCTTCAGAATGGAGAGGTTGGATCTTCTTGCAGTCCATGGGACTCTCAAGAGTCTCCTCCAGCACCAGAATTCAAAAGCATCCATTCTTCAGCGATCAGCCTTCTTTATGGTCCAGCTCTCACTTCCATACAGCACTCCATACGCCCTGGTTAAATCGTCTCAGGGCCATGAATGAATGTCAAGGTAACCTTGGGACAGTTGCTACCTCTTGGCGCAACCTACCCCACAGGGTTGTTGTAGGGGGTAAAATGAATTGTGTTGGTGGCGGCAGGTACACAGCTTTGTACAGCTTGCTGGATAAAGGGTGGTGCATGTAAAAATGTCAGATAAGCCCTGTAGCATGACCAGACCAGAGACTCATCTGCTCCAACAACATCTTGGATACAGCAGTTGTCTATATGCTTCTGGGAAACTCAACAGCGGGGCATGATCACCTTGGCAACCTCCCTGTTCCTCCTCCCCAGCGACCGTGATTCTCAAGAGTATCCCGCCATCATGCCTAGCAGCCTTGGATAGTCAAAGCTTCCATACAGGTGAGCAAGAGGCCTGGGTTATAAATAAGGCAAACGCAGCTAATTCAGGCACATTTCGAAAATAGTTTTTGCTTTCTAGTTTTTTCTCTGTGACTCACCTCTTTAAGTCTGACCTTTTGATGTGTGCGCTATAAGTATCTTTTAGGACCCACCCTATTCTTGCAACTAGTATTTTTTTATATTGAATTGTTGAATATATGCAAGCTACCCTTGGACGTTAGAGTGACGGGTGGGTAAGAAACCAAATAAATAAAACAATTATGTGCAATATTAATTCCCCCCCCCATGTTTTCACAATGACCTTCAAATCAGATAATTGCATTGGTTCACGAGTTGACTTTCCACCCTCATCCGCAGTGTTTTTACTCAAACCTTTTCTACTGCATTATATCTTTATTGCAAAAAAATCCTCTATTACAATTATTTTGCCATTTTTCTTCCATTTCGAATCCTGCCCACGATTTCATTTGTCTGCAATGCTTTTCCAAAGTCCATGAAAGGCCTCTATTCTTCTAATGAAAAGTTCATCGTTTTCATGTCTTAATTTCACTGTCAGCTTTCTGCTTAGTAATAAAACCATTTACCTTATTTTTCTCTCTGCCTTCAAGAGAGATGGGGGGGTGTCTTTAGTACATTTGGAGGGGTTTTTGTTTGTTTGTTTTGTTCGTTACCAGCAAACTTGTGCTTACCAGAGGGTTCACCCATGAATCACAAAGTTTAAAAAGAAACTGTCCAAAGGCAAGCTGAGTTGGGCACAAAGATTAGATGTCACGATGGGTATCTTTCACCTCTCCAAATGGCAAGGAGAGCCTCTGGGACAGGGAAGAACCGTTGACAAATCCGCTGAAAACAACCCTCCGTAATCACATAGGAATCTGCATCTTTGTAGGGTTGGCTGCCTTCCTTAACCCTTAAGTCCGATCTATTCATTCGGGTGCTGGCTTGTTCCATCCCTGGGCTCAGGAGACGAACACTGCAGAACTGGGAGAAGATTCCCAGCGTTATATTGGAATGATTCACTGTTCCCAAGTCTTGCCCCTTCTTCCAATGTGCCTCCGATGGAAGGGGGCACTTCCTTAAAACGCCCCTTTGCTCCTAGGGTGGCGACAACTCTGGAGGTGGTAGTTGCAGAGCCGAGACAGAAGGACAGGTAATCTTATTTATTTCATAATGCTTGGAAAGCGCTCTCGGCGATGCACACAAACAAAACGGGGGACAAAGCACCTCCCTTTGGGAGGAGGAAGAACAATGGATGTCAAAATAAGGGGGAGCGGCTACACAAAAACACCGCACGCTGTCTAAAATGGCATGAGAAGCTTGGCTGAATCGTGGCTGTGAGATTTTGTACATCAAGTAATAGGGAAGTTAACAAGGCTTGCTTCCAAGTGAAATGTATGCATAGGGATTGCAACGTAATAGTCCCTCTGTGTGTGGGGGTGGGGGGGCCACTCGGCAGGTCCAGATTTATTTTTACTTATGTTTTTAATCTGCATGCAGAAGCTAGCTCTCCTTTACCACGTCTGTTCATCCTGTGGTCTGCAGCAACCTCTAGTGTTCATTTGGTGTGTTTCTTTAATGAAGGAAGGATGACGCTCCCATTACATTTCCTTTCCACTGTGGAAATTTCAATGCACTATGCATTGAAAGCTGTATCAAACTATTTAAAGCGGTTATGGCTTTAAAGAATTCTGGTAACTGTAGTTTTGATGGTGGAACAGCCTCCCCTGCATGGTGGACTCTCCTTCAATGGAAGTTATTAAGCAGAGGTTAGACAGCCACCTGTCAGCATAGGAGCCAACTCCTAGGGACTGAGGTCCCTTTGGTCCCCCCAATAAAATATTTGAGGGATCTGCCCCCCAAAAAAGTTGAGGTGAGTTTCCATTCAAAGTGTGTGTGTGATGTTATGTGATTATGTGGGGTGGAGCTCATCTCCCCCGCCCCCCAAAAGGACAATATTTTATTCAAGTTGGCACCCCTGCCTATCAGAGACTCTCTAGCTGAGATCCCTGCTTCACAGGGGGTTGGACTAGATGATGCTTGGGTGTCCCTTCCAACTCTAAAGATCAGGAAGAACTTTCTGACAATCCAAGTTGTGGATCGTTCTCCCTTGGGAGGTGGTGGATTCTCCTTCCTTTAAATCGGAACCAGTGAAGGTCCTAAGTGTCTGGAGGCAGTTGGAGGATGGATGGCGGCTAACGGATTGAGGTTGAATCCTGACAAGACAAATGATGTTTTGGGGGAACAAGGGGTGGGTGGGTGGGACTTCCTGGTCCTGAATGGGGTAACTGTGACCCTAAAGGACCAGGTGCACAGCCTGGGAGTCATTTTGGACTCACAGCTGTCCATGGAGGCGCAGGTCAATTCTGCGTCCAGGGCGGCTGTCTACCAGCTCCATCTGAGACCCTCCCTGCCTGCAGACTGTCTGGCCAGAGTGGTCCATGCTCTGGTTTTCTCCCGCTTGGACTACTGCCATGCGCTCTCTGTGGGGCTACCCTCGAAGGTGGCTCAGAAATGAAAACTAATCCAGAATGCAGCAGCTAGACTGGTGACTGCCAGAGGCATACATATATATATGAATATAAGTCTCACTTTCCCCCCAAATTCTGACTGTGAAAAGTTAAAGTGTGGCTTATATTCACGACCTTACGGTATGCAGCCAGCAGCGCAGGGCAAACAGTGCCAGGAGCTCCGCAAAGTGGTTGAATCGCACACCTGCCCTGTGCATAGTCCCCTGTCGTCTCCCTCAAAGCTGGGAGGGGAGAGCAAGGAAGGGGGAAAGGCCCTCAGCGCAGATCCACCCCCTCTGGAGTGCCAGGAGCAGCAAGGAATGGAGCGGCTTATATTCAGGTGTTTTTTTTCTTTTTCCCTCCCCCCCCCCTCCAATTTTAAAGGTGCAGCTTTTATTCGGGCCAGTATGGTACCACGGGTCCTAAAGTATCTTCATTGGCTCCCAGTATGTTCCATACATGACCTTTAGAGCCCTAGACGGCCTCGGTCCTGTATACCTGAAGGAGCGTCTCCACCCCCATTGTCCATCCCGGACACTGAGATCCAGCTCTGAGGGCCTTCTGGCGGTTCCCTCCCTGCGAGAAGTGAGGTTACAGGGAACCAGGCAGAGGGCCTTCTCAGTGGTGGCTCCCGCCCTGTGGAACGCCCTCCCATCAGAAGTCAAGGAGATAAATAACTATATTTCAGAAGGCATCTGAAGACAGCCCTGTATCGGGAAGCGTTTTAATGTTTGACGTTTTATTGTGTTTTAATATTCTGTTGGAAGCAGCCCAGAATGGCTGGGACAACCTAGCCCATGGGTAGGCAAACTAAGTCCCGGGGGCCGGATTCGGCCCAATCGCCTTCTAAATCTGGCCCACGGACAGTCTGTTTTTACATGAGTAGAATGTGTGCTTTTATTTAGAATGCATCTCTGGGTTACTTGTGGAGCCTGCCTGGTGTTTTTACATGAGTACATAGCTGTCAACCTTCCCTTTTTTTGCGGGAAATTCCCTTATTCCAGCGCAGTTTCCCGCTGCTTCCCACTGCTATCCCGGATTGTTAGATATCCGGTAGACTGTCCCCAGGACAGGTGAGGCTGCTGATCCCTTATTTTCGAGGCTGCAGATCCCTTATTTTCGAGGCTGCGGATCCCTTATTTTTGAGGCTGCGGATCCCTTATTTTCGAGGCTGCGGATCCCTTATTTTCGAGGCTGCTGATCCCTTATTTTCGAGGCTGCTGATCCCTTATTTTCGAGGCTGCGGATCCCTTATTTTCGAGGCTGCGGATCTCTTATTTTCGAGGCTGCTGATCCCTTACTTTCGAGGCTGCGGATCCCTTATTTTTCATATCTGAAAGTTGACAGCTATGCATGAGTAGAATGTGTGCTTTTATTTAAAATGCATCTCTGGGTGATTTGTGGGGCATAGGAATTCGTTCATATAGTCCGGCCCCCCACAAGGTCTGAGGGGCAGTGGACCGGCCCCCCTGCTGAAAAAGTTCGCTGACCTAGCCAGATAGGCAAAAGGTATCAAGAATAAAGTTGTCATCGTTATCATCCTCCCCATCATTCTTCAATGGCGGTTTCTAAGCAGAGGTCGGGGATGCTTCAGCTGCATTGCGCGCGGGAGGGGGGGGGTCAGACTGGATGACCCTGTGGGGGGGGTCCCCTTCCAACTCATTCGACGATTGACGGGGGGCGGGGCGGCCTTTGAAGCGGGGCCTCCGTCGCTGAGGCCGCTCCCCACCCCCACCCCCTTGCGCATTTCGCCGGGGTCAGACTGGATGACCTTGGGGGTGCCCCTCCCGGCGTCGCGTCTGAACGTTCCCCGCCTCCCTCCTCCTCCTCCTCCTCTTTCCCCGCCTCCTCTTCGCCCTTCTTCCCTCCTCCTCCGCCGGCCGCCGCCCCTCGCAAAATGGCGGCCGGCGCCGGGCCCGTGGCGGGCGGAGGCCTCCCGCCGTCTTTTACCTCAGCCGCGGCGTCGCCTCAGCAGCAGCAGCAGCACCAACCGCCGCCTCCTCCTCCTCCTCCTCCGCCTCAGGCGGCCTCGGCCTCTTCTCCCCTCACGCACAACCACCGCGTCGGGAACCCTCTGCCGGCCTCGTCGTGTCCGGCGGCCCCGGCGTCCGCTTCTCCCGCTCCGCCGCCCTCTCCGCCTTCCCCTCCGGCTCCTCTTCCCCCGCCGGCCTCGGCCTCGTCGTCCTCGCTGGGCCCCCGCGAGCCGGCCTACAACTGGCAGGCCACGAAGCCGACGGTGCAGGAGCGCTTCGCCTTCCTCTTCAACAACGAGGTGCTCAGCGACGTCCACTTCTTGGTGGGGAAAGGCCGAGCGGGGGCCCAGCGCCTCCCCGCCCACAGGTAAGACCCCCCCGAGTCGCCCTCCAAACGCCCCCCCCCATGTTGGAGGGCAGCCACCCCCACCTCAAAAAGGGTCATTCAAACGCCCCCCTGGATTTCAGCCACGTCCATCGTGCAGAAGCAAACACCCCCCCCCTAGATTTTATTTACGTCGGAGCCCCCCCTGGCAGTGGCGTAGCGTGGGGGGTGCAAGGGGGGCGCAACATCTGGGGGTTTAGGGGGCGCAAATGACTTGCCTTGCCCCGGGTGCTGGCAACCCACGCTACGCCACTGTTGGGGGCAGAGGAGCGTGGGCGTAGCCAAGCCGCCCCCCTTTAAATCAATAGAAATCAATGGCAATGCATAACTGACTGAGGTTCTGCGCTCCCCCCGTGATAAGAACCCACGTAAGGGGTTCTCTCTATGGATAAGGGGGAAAGGGCAGATTTTGTTTACAACACACACACACACACACACCCCCAATAACAAATCCTGGCTAGGCCCATGCTTAGGAGCCCCCCCCCAATATCCCATGCCTTTTTGAAATGGGGAGCAGGGGGAGGGGGGTTGTTGTTGTTGTTGTTTATGTACTTGGGGGCAACCCTGTCGGATGGGTGGGGCGCAAATAAAGGATCGCAGCGTTAGCGTTTTCATGTTGTGGTTTTGTGTTGCAACCGCCCCCAGAGCTGCGGGAGTAGGCGATGTGCAAATTGAATGAATGAATGAATGAATGGATAATATATTTGGGGGGGGGGGTCGTGCACCCACCCACACCCAAGTCAATGGGCATTACGTCTTGTGGGCAGTTATAGAGGGCAGGGCTTATCTGCCTCCCCCCCCCCCATATTTTATTCAAGTTAGCACCCCTGGTTGGGGGGCAAGTAGGGAGGGACAACCCCCCCCCATCGCTGACCTACTTAAAGGGGCGTGGAAAGAGGGGGATGGCCATGGGGAGTAGGGGCCTGTTACAGAGCCATGGGCCTTTTTCAAGGGGGAGGCTGAGAACAGTTAAATTTGGAGGGCTCTTAAGGGCAAGTTATTATGGGGGGGGGCAGGTTACAGTGGGGTTTTGAGTATGATTGGGGGGTGGAGAGAACTGTGCTGTACACATACCCCCCCCCCGTAGGCTGTCATTCTTTGGATGTGATGGACTTGGCTGTTCTTTATACCGGTAGTTGTTGTTTGTTATGAAAATATGGGTAAAGTTATGGGACAGGAAGCTGGACAGGAGAGGGGGGCAGTTGTGGGTCCGAGAGAGGGGTGTGTGTGTGTGTGTGTGTGTGTGTGTGACGGGTGGGGCAGCTGCTGGAGGCTTTTGCTGCTGAGAAGGGCTGTGGGGTGGAAGGGGGCTTCATAGGGACAAATGGCTGTGCAACCCGCAAGGAAGCATCTGTGGGATGGGGTTTAAAGAGGATGCTGAAGGTCCCGGGTTCAATTCCTGACATCTCCAGGTAGGGCTGTGAGTATTCCCTGCCTGGAATCCTAAAGAGCTGCTGCAAGCCAGTGTAGGCCCTACTGAGCTATAAGGCTGATTCTTAGGTTCCCATGAGGTCGCAAATGCATCCTTGCTGGACTGTGTTGTTGTCTTATGCTATTGATTTTGTTTTTATGAATCTCACTAGGATTTATCAGATTGCATTATGCTGTGGGATTATATTTAATGGGAAGCAGACTAGAAACAAAATGAGTTTGCTTATTCGCAGCTGGCTTTCCTGATGCACCTGCAGGCAGAGCTGTAAGCTAGCAAGGAGTGAGCTCCAATTCTGGCATGTTAGAGGTTCCGAGTTGTGGCTGGTTACACACTTACTACCCAAAACTAGGGGGAAACTTGCCCTGGAAATATGCCACCATAATTCTAAATTACCTAGGTCCACTGATAGCTTTATTAGGAGGGCACATGCAGAAAGGCCCCAGGAAAGATGCAGCCAGTCTGCGTTCGGCTTGCTTGCTTTTGTTACAGAACTATTTGTTATTGGCCAGATAAATTTGTTGATTTCGAACCACAAGGATGTTCATTCTGAGCGTCTGGTTGTTCCTGGCTTTGGGCAAGAAAAATGATCCAGGCTTCAGGTGGAATGGATTAATTTCTACAAGCGTTTTACGTCATGCGTTCTCAGAGCAAGCATGTCTCCTAATTGGTTGCTGTAGCAGTTAAAAGCATATCTGTTTGCAAATAGAGCTTTTGTAGTGCCCAGGAGCGTAACAAAAAAACCCCATCTGATCTTGCAAGTTCCTGTGCCCTTTTACACTATGGAACTGATACCTGCTTAGTGTCAGGGCAGCAATTGTGTTCTGAAAGGTTTCTGCCTGGTTCTCTCTCCCTCTCCCTCCGCGTGTTAAGGACACTAAGCAAGACCATGTGATAGCTGCACATGGCAGATGCATGTTGCTCCCGTGTTTAGATGAAGTAAAAGCCTGTTGGGTTTTACTTAAGTTCTTAATGCAGTCTAAATATTCATAACTTGCACTGTAAAACAAACAAACAATTTATTCTGCCATTAATTACAATGCTTGAATTTGGAAGTCATGTTTTTATTCGTGCTTCGTTCTTTTATGTTGAAAAAACACCTTTTGACAGCCTGTTTGAAGGGACCCGGGTGGCGCTGTGGGTAAAAGCCTCAGCACCTAGGACTTGCCGATCGAAAGGTCGGCGGTTCGAATCTCCGCGGTGGGGTGCGCTCCGTCGTTCGGTCCCAGCGCCTGCCAACCTAGCAGTTCGAAAGCACCCCCGGGTGCAAGTAGATAAATAGGGACCGCTTACTAGCGGGAAGGTAAACGGCGTTCCGTGTGCTGCTCTGGCTCGCCAGATGCAGCTTGTCACGCTGGCCATGTGACCCGGAAGCGTCTCCGGACAGCGCTGGCCCCCGGCCTATAGAGTGAGATGAGCGCACAACCCTAGAGTCTGGCAAGACTGGCCCGTACGGGCAGGGGTACCTTTACCTTTACCTTTACTTTTGAAGGACTAAAGAGCGTAGTTTTCAATACATTTGTGTAACATCCAGGTATCACATGGTTGTTAGGGTGCCTGATAAGTTGATAACAACCACAATGTAAATAAACCTGATCTAAGTCTGTTCCTTTTTTTTAAGCATCGTTTTTATTACTCTGTTGTGTGAGCTGTGCACCAGAGGTTCTGAGGAGGAAGACTAACTTCAGGGCAGCGCACTGTGCAATACGGTTATAGCAAAATCTTAATTTGTGGTTCTTGTTGTGGGGAATGGACGAGATTCAGAGTGCAATCCAGTCAATGCCGGAACCCTCTTGTTTGTTCTTTCCAAATGTCAGGTTTGTGCTGGCTGTGGGCAGTGCGGTCTTTGATGCCATGTTCAATGGAGGGATGGCTACAACGTCCTCCGAGATAGAACTACCCGACGTGGAACCGGCGGCTTTCCTTGCTTTGCTGAAGTAAGCCCCCACTTCCTCAGGAGGAACACAGTTCTCCAAAGAAACACCAGGCAATCGCTCTCCAAGGGCTGGATTCTAACAGCGGAGCACTTGCTTCCCTTCTGCTTTTTTAAAATTTATTTTTAAAGCCACTAGCTCTCATGGTTATATAGAAATTTTGGGGGAGGATTCTCAAGACGCCAAGCCTTCAGATTCTGTGCAACACCTTAAAGTGGCCTCCTGCCCCACAGCCGGCCTTTGCTTTTCTGTTGAAGTTCTCTTTTCCATCTCCCTCCTTCTTGTAAGTCCTTGAGCAGATTAAACCCTTTTCTCTTACGAGGCAGCAGGGCTGTGCTTCTGAGACCTGGGCAGCCTTAAGAGCCCGGAGATTTGTCTTTAAGTTTGTCCCTTTACCACTGGGCCTGCCTTCACCAACATGGTGACCTCCAGGCATTGGTTGGGGCTGATGGGAGTTGTAGGGACCCCCAAGGATCCTCCAGTCTGACCCCCTGCAGTGCAGGAATCTCAACTAAAGCATCCAGGACACATGGCCAGCCAGCCTCTGCTTAAAAATCTCCAAGGAAGGTGAGTCCACCACCTCCCTAGGGAGACCGTTCCACTGTGGAGCAGCTCTTAACATCAGAAAGTTTCTCCTGATGTTGAGTCGGAATCTCCTTTCTTGGTTCTTTGGTTTGGGTCTTCCCCTCCAGAGCAGGAGAAAACAAGCTTGCTCCCTCCTCCAGGTGACAGCCCTGAGATAGTGGAAGATGGCTCTCATCTCTTTTCTCAGTCTCCTCTTTTCCAGACTAAACATGCCCAGCTCTCTCAACCGTTCCTGATGAGAGAAGCTCCCTGATTCATCCCACGGCACCTGCAGCCAGGGGGTGAGGAAAAGACCCTGAGTCTGAAATCCTGGAGAGCTTCCAGTCAGTGTAGACAATACTAAGTTAGACAGAACCAGTCTCCTGACTCTGTATGAGGTAGCTTCCTGCTTTACTAGAACGGAGATTTTTGTGTGTGAGAGAGTTTTAATGAACATTTCAGCTCCAATGTTTTTGGCTGCAGTCCACAAGGAGTTTGTTTTATTTCATTTATTGTTTATTTCTGCAGTTTGTCGGTCCTCCTTTGTCATGTTGACCTGACCCCCTAGGGCAGTTTCCAACAGTTCACTAAGTACAATAAACACCTAAAAACGTAACAGTTGTTAAAAGCAATCCAACTAATAAAACAAGCGTAGACATACAGCATAAAAGCAAATAAGAGTAAGTTACTCCCAGGGGGTGGATTGTGTGTGTGTGTGTGTGTGTGTTTGTGTAGCTCGTGGAAACCAAGCTTTTAAATAACCCATGGAAAGCCAGACTGAATCAAGTGAATATACTTCTTAAAAACAAACAAAAGTTGAAGGTCCAGGTTTGTTTGAGATGCAGTATGGTGTAGTGGTTAGAGTGCCAAACTCGGTCTGAGGAGAGCCATGTACAAATTGCATCGCACCCTTAGTCACAAAGCTTGCCAGGTGCAGTTTGAGCAAGTCGCTACCTCTCAGGCTAACATTATCCTCACACCCAACCTTGAGAGTTGAAATGGAGGAGGAGTACAGTATTATGCTCTTTGGAAGCAGCCATTATTATTATTATTATTATTATTATTATTATTATTACCCCGCCCCTATGGCTGGGACTTCCCAGCCACTCTAGGCAGCTTCCAGCACATACAAAAGCATAACAAAACAAGCTATAAATGTTATGTAGCAAGTACGCATACCTGCCCTGCCCAGCCTACCATGCTCTCCACTCAGAGAGGTCCATCTTTAATTTTTAAAAAGAGGTTTCTAGTCCTCCTTGTGCCTGAAAATTGCAAGAAAGAGGAGGCAGACACCTCCAGGCTTCTGATGGTGTGCTATGACTGGGCTGCTGCTGAGTCAGGTGCAAAATGGAGACCCCCCCAACCTCCCATTTATGGGCACGGAGAACCCTTCATACCTAACAGCTAACCTATTCCATGCTAGTGCTGTACCTTAAGTCAAAATCCTTGTTTTTAATTGCAGCAGTGCTTTCTTCCTGCCCTCCCTGCTCTCGCTCCCAGGTTTCTCTATTCTGATGAGGTTCAGATAGGGCCAGAGACCGTGATGACGACCCTTTACACCGCTAAGAAGTACGCCGTCCCCGCGCTCGAAGCCCACTGTGTGGAGTTCCTCAAGAAGAACCTCAGGGCAGATAACGCCTTCATGCTCTTAACGCAGGTATGCTGGCACAGGAGGTTCTGTGCTGGCAGGGGCTGTCGCGAGTGGTGGTCCCCACTGATCTGGAGGGCGTTGGAAAAGGTGGTGTAGGCCGTGACGGCCAACCTCAGCTGCCCCCCAGTTCTTTGCTGAGACAGTGCCTTTCAAACTCTATGTGGAAAGGTTGCATCATTGGGAACTTCTTAGTTCAGAGAAGATAATGTCAATTATTATTATTTTATTATTTATACCCTGCTCATCTGGCTGGGTTGCCCCAGCCACTCTGGGCAGTTTCAAACACATATGAAAACATAGTAAAACATCAAACATTAAAAACTTCCCAATACGGGGCTGCCTTCAGGTGTCTTTTAAAAATTGTGTAGTTCTTTATCTCCTTGAGATCTGATGAGAGGGGCTGTTCCACAGGGTGGGTGCCACCACTGAGAAGGCCCTCTTGCTTGGGTTCCCTGTAACTTCACTTCTCGCAGTGAGAGAACCCCCAGAAGACCCTCAGAGGAGGACCTCAGTGTCTTGGCTGAGTGATGGGGGTAGAGACTCTCTTTCAGGTATACTGGGCCGAGGCTATTTAGGGCTTTAAAGGTCAGCACCAACACTTTGAATTGTGCTTGGAAATGGACTAGGAGGCATTGAAGATCCTTTAGGACCAGAGTTATATGGTCCCGGCGGCCACTCCCAGTCATCAGTCTAGCTGCCGCATTCTGGCTGCTGCCCTCCATAGAGGTCCCCCCCCCACACACATTTTAATTAACCTTGTATATCTTTTTTTCACTTGCTGGCTGATGACTGTCTTTCAGGCCAGACTCTTCGATGAGCCCCAGCTGGCAAGCCTTTGCCTGGAAAACATAGATAAGAACACATCTGATGCCATCAACGCAGAAGGCTTCACAGATATTGACCTTGGTGAGTAGTCTACTTTGCAGGCTCAGTGGGGATCGTAGCGTTGGTCGGTTGCTTGGATAATTCTCTGTACTGCTTGGGTTCTGGCTTCCTGAAGGGCTGGAATTGAGCCTGTGTGAATAAAGGAAAAGGCAGGGGAAGCTGTACTATTCACAGAATGCTCCTTGAGCATTTTCAAATTCATGATATGCATTTTTTTATTTAAAAAAAACCACACACACCAACCCCCAAGTTGCTAGTCCCCATAGCTGCAAAGCATGCTGCCAAACAGTTCATGCAAAACCCAGCAGGGAGAAGTAGCAGAATAAGACTTCCAGCAAAGGGGAGGGAGTTCTTGCTGTGCCCCTGGGCAGATGTGCACAATTACAAATCTGATTCCTGCAGATTGGCACAGCAGTTCATGGTTGTTGTGTTGTGTGCTGGTGTGTGTGCATTTGCTGTTTTGGATACAAGCCTTTGTGGGTCCCAAGTTGATCCCAGAAACAACCGATTGAGGCTGTGCCAATTTGCGTCTGAGCTGAAGCGCCCCTTTCGGCTGCCGGTGGGGAAACTCAGCATGATTGAATGCTCCACCGTACAATATCTTGTTTTAAGATATTCCTGTGCATAGAAAGCTTGTGCATCAAGGGTTTTGGCCTTGCCATATCCCTACACCCTACTTTTCTATGTGCATTGTGCTTCTTGTTTATTCTTTATTTTAAATGCATGCAGGAGCATTTAAGCATGCAAGTTTGAAGCAAAACGACACGTAAGCCGGGAGACAAGCCTCATTGGTCGGTATTTTGTGTCCCAACTAAGTCGGTCTCTGCGTCAGGCGGCAGAGAGGACATTCTGTCCTTCCGTCTTCCACCAGCCGAATGCCACAATGCCCATTGTCTGGCACACACAGGATGCTTGCCAACAGAGGTCTCGTTTGTGCTGCTCCATTCCTCCCAAGCCTCGCAGGATGAAAAGGGCGAGTGGGAACAGGGCAGGGCAGCCAACAGTAGCAGCGGTGGCTGGCTTGCCCCATGTGCAGCCTTCCTCCTTCCGTCACGGCGTACCTCTGCATACGTGCAGAGACTGATCCGTGCAGATTTGAGCCCTGGTTCTTCATCTGTGGCAGCGATCGTCAGGCTGCTTTGGGGAAAAGTTCTGGTCTTCTTGGCAAGGAGATCAGATTGAGAGAGCCAAGCTCCCCGCTAGAACAGCCAGCCTTTGCTGTGTTGGGAGTGTTGCTGCTGCAACTCTCTGAGCTTCCTGTCCCACTGACCTGGTGATACTTCAGCTTCACCCAACAAGGTGCTTAACTTGTTAGCTCGGGTGTCCCAGGGTGTTGCTGTACTACAACTCCCATTGTCCATAGCCAGCTCAGGGATGGCAGGAATTTTACCCCCAGTGGGGTTTTGGGACTGGTCTGGAGAGTCCGTGCTCAGGTCTGAGCACTGAGGTTGACAGGACCTGGCCTTTGCCCTCACGTGAGAGCTGCATTTGCCCCAGAATTCTCTGCGACTCAGAGCAGTTGGCTCAGTTTGTGACACTTTTCTCAAAGCTGCCTTTCAAAAATCAGTGAACCTCCCAGGTTCCTTCCTTTCCTGGATGAAATGGCAATGAAAACAGCTCCATGCCGTCCCCGTTTGCCCTAATGTGTGGATAAGGGAGCCTGTGACCCTTCAGGGGGTGCCAGCTCCCAGAAGCCCCAGCGTTGTCAGTGGTCTGGATGATGGGAGTTGGAATCCTGTCAGCATCTTAGATGTTGCAAGAAAGAAATAGCATTCCTTCTGTGTGCAAGAAATGGGAACATGCCTCTTCTCAGATTAGGGATGAGGAACAACCGTGAGCTGGCAGCTGGTGTGGGTGACGGAAATAGCTGCCCAGCAACATTGTGGAGAGCTGTGGCTGCCCCTCTTCCCTGCCCTCAAGCCCTATATCGCCGGGGCCTGCAGCTGACGCCCCACTCTCCTTGCCCGACAGATACACTGGTGGCTGTCCTGGAGAGGGACACCCTTGGCATCCGCGAGGTGCGCCTCTTCAACGCGGTGGTCCGGTGGTCAGAGGCCGAGTGCCAGCGGCAGCAGCTGCAGGTGGTCCCAGAAAACAAGCGGAAAACTCTAGGCAAAGCCCTCTCCCTCATCCGCTTCCCCTTGATGACCATCGAGGAGTTCGCAGCGGGTAAGCCGGGAGCCCTTCTTGAAATCCAGGGGGTCTGGAGACTTAGCAACTGAATGTCACAGGACCCTAAGCGGCCGTGTATCCCAAGTCCAGGGTGTCCGCCCTGGAGCCCTTTCAAGCCCTGCCCAGGATTGAACCCGGGACTTTCTGTTACTGAAGAGCGGAGTCCCCTTTTGGACCACTCGAGGGAGTATCATAGCTGAATGAAGTCGCAAGCAGGATTCAAAATGTAAGCAGCAGAAGGGAAAGACGCCGATTGCAATAGTGGAAATAACTGTGGGGTGTAAATGTGTCATGTAATGCAGCAGAAAAAAAGGGTGGGAACAAAAACATCGTGGAGTTAAGGGTTAAGGAAAATAAGTATTAAAGTTGGAAGTTTTTTTTTTAAAAAAAGTCTGAAATTTAATAAAAAAGTAATATAAAAAAGAGCCTGGGACCTTCTGGAAAGCAGGTGCTCTACTGCCAAACTCTAGGGTCCTTCCCCTAAATTTAAATTAAGATTCTAGTCCTCATGGTCATCCATAAAAGGCCAGCTTAAACAGGAACAGAGGTAGCTGCCTTTTGCCGAATCAGACCTTTGGCCCATCTAACTCGATATTGTCCACACTGACTGACAGTGGCTCTCCAGGGATTTGGGCAGGAAGTCCTTCTCAGACCTACCTGGGGGAGCCTTCGGGGATTGAACCTTCTGCATGCAGACAGGGTGCTTGCTCTCTTTCACACAGCAATGGCTAGTCCTCAGTCGCCCTGTGGATTATTTCACTGGAAGCTGTTTTGGCCCTTCTCCCCAAAGCTGCTTGCGAATAAATACAAGCCATTAAAATAAATGTGCAGAGTTACGTGTGCTGCCAGTTCGCGCAGCCCCACAAATGCCTCCTGGGAACAAAGAGGCACTTTTGCCGCTTGCTGTGGAGGGCAAATATCGAGGGGGAAGCCAGGCAGTGATGTGGAGCAGAAAATATTCCTCTGCTGCCGCTGGGAAAATTCAGTTTCTAAAAAAAACGGATTAGTAACACAATGGAAACTACAGTAGTCAAACTGGTTAGTTTCCATGTTATAATGAACGGCATCTTTTAAAGATCTCTTGCAGGCTTCTCATGAACACCTGGTTGGCCCAGTGTGAGGGCAGGATGCTGAATCAGGTCCCAACTGATTTTGAGGCAGCGTCGGGAAGTTTTCCAATTTATTCCCGCCCGCCCCCCTGAAAACCCACATCAGTGGGGCTGGCTCTGGAGAGCAGCTTGAGGTGCTGTGGCAGAAGGGCTCGGGATGCTTGCAAGAACCAGAGGGTTCAGCGGATTGGGCGTAGCGCCCCCTTCTCTCTCTCTCTCTCTCTCTCTCTCTCTCTCTCTCTCTCTCCCTCCCTTCCTCCCCCCCCCCCCCCCAGTCCCTGGTTGTTGATACAAGTTTATTGACTGGTTCATCAGCAAAAGTGAAAGGGTTTGTGGCTGGAACATGTAGGAATGTGTAGGACAGTTGGTGTTGATAACTCCCAACGTTGCAGTTTTGATCCCCTCATGGTCCCTTCCAGATCTGCGATTCTGTTGTTCTATTTATTGCATCTACATCCCACATTTTCTCCCAAGAAGCACATGCTTCTCCCTCCTCCTCATTTAATCCCCACAGGGGATTAACTGCAAGGGAAGTTAGGCTGAGAAGCAGTTACTGGCTGCAAGATCGCTCTGTGAGCTTCATGGCCAAGCGGGAATTCGAACCCTGGTCTCCCAGATCTTATGCCACTAGACCACAGTGGCTGCTGCGAGGAAACTGTTAGCAAACCACAGTTCCCAGGATTACCTGGGGGAAATTGTGATGGTTCAAAGTGGTATAGGTAAATGGTAAAGGGACCCCTGACCATTAGGTCCAGTCGTGGCTGACTCTGGGGTTGCGGCGCTCATCTTGCTTTACTGGCCGAGGGAGCTGGTGTACAGCTTCCGGGTCATGTGGCCAGCATGACTAAGCCGCTTCTGGCAAACCAGAGCAGCGCACGGAAACGCCGTTTACCTTCCCGCTGGAGCGGTACCTATTCATTTGACGTGCTTTCGAACTGCGAGGTTGGCAGGAGCTGGGACCGAGTGACGGGAGCTCACCCTGTCACGGGGATTCGAACCACCGACCTTTTGATCAGCAAGTCCTAGGCTCTGTGGTTTAACCCACAGCACCACCCGTGTCCCCAAAGTGGTATAAGAGTGCTGTAAATGTATATTGTGGATGCAGCACCCACTGGCTTGGTCCTGACCGGGTATTTTGCCAGCACGCGATGAGGCGTCCTCGGCAGCCATTCTCCAGCCAAACATTCACACACACTACTTGGGGGCGGAGAATGCAGCCTCTGCAGTCACAGTCTTTCTGAACAGACTAGCAGCTGTGCTGCCGCCACAGCTTTCCCTCCAGAGCAAATATTTGCTGAAGGGCTTTGCGGCCAGGAACTGTTGGCAGCAGGCAAAAGCTGTGAAGCAACTGCCCCTCCCCCCCCCCCCCCGGTGGTGGATTTTGGATAAAGTGTGAGAGAGTATGATGTGGGCAGGAGGACACTGTCCCTCATAGAATCACAGAATGGTAGAGCTGGAAGGGACCCCTAAAGGTCATCCAGCCCAGCCCCCTGCAATGCAGGAATCTCAGCTAAAGCTTCTGGGACAGAGGGCCATTCCACCTCTGCGTTGAGGGGAAGGGCCGTTGCTCAGCAGCAGAGCATCTCCAGGTGGGATGGGAATGCCCTCTGTCTGAAGCCAAGTTGGAAGGACATCTAATTCAGGGATGGATAAGGCCAAGGGCCACATGACCTGAGGCACATGACAGTGGTGGGCGGGGCCAGACGCTAGTGTCTGTGCATACTACTACTGCTAAGTTTATATGCCACCCATCTGACTGGGTTACCCCAGGCATTCTGGGCAGTTTCCAGAAAATTAAAACACAGTGAAACATCACACATTTAAAACTTTTCCTATACAGAGCTGCCTTCAGATGTCTTCTAAAAGTCAGATAGTTGTTTATTTCTTTGACATCTGCTGGGAGGGCATTCCACACGAGGTGCCACCACCAAGAAGGCCCTCTGCCTGGTTCCCTTTAATCTCACTTCTCACAGTGAGGGAACCACCAGAAGACATTCAAGTTGGACTTCAGTGTCTGGGCTGGACGATGGGGGTGGAGACGCTCCTTCAGGGATACAGGGCCGTTTAGGGCTTTAAAGCTCAACACTTTCAGTTTCATTAGATGACCCCGATTTCTAGCAGTGCGGGAAAAGGAGAGGATCATTTCTCCTGTCCTTATTTTCTTCATGTCGTGTTTCAGCTTTGTAAGCTCTTTCCTAGAAACATGGTAGCAGTGAATTGTAGTTTTGGAGTGGAGAGATATTATTATTATTATTATTATTATTATTATTATTAGTAGTAGTAGTAGTAGTAGTAGTAGTAGTAGTAGTAGTAGTAGTATATTGCCGTATGCCTGCAGGTCTCAGGGCAGTTACAACTATACTTGGATTTAGTTCCCCATAGCAATCTGCTCCGTGACCCTGAACAGTTGCCCAGACATGTTCTCCCTCTTCCTCTCTCGGGTAAGAACATCCTAAAGAGTCCTGCAGCTGGATCAGGGCGACAAGGGGCCCGCCTCATCCAGCCTCCTGTTCCCACATTGGCCAACCAGATGCCTCAAGGGGAGCCCTCAAGCAGGACCCAGGCGCAAGAGCAACTCTCCTCTTTCGTGATTCTCAAACCCTGGTATTTGGAGGCATTTACTTCCTCCGACAGTTGGGAGAGAGTATGGATGCAGGAGCTCATAGCCATGAATCGCCTTCTCTGTGAATATGTCTAATCCTCGTTTGAAGTCACCTGGGTTGGTGACCATCCCTGCGCCTGGCAGGAGCAAATCCCACAGTTTAAACTGCACAATTAAACTACAAAATTCCCCTCCAGAGTAACCTTGGCCGGATGTGACTTGGTTGTGACAATTCAATATTTTTACAGGTTTTTTTAAAAAAAATGTAGTGCTTTATGTCTTGCGACTTGCTGTCATCTTAATCGATTATAGTCTAGTAATGATTTGTTGTAATCATTGAAGGTGATTATTTAGTGAGAGTTTGAGAGTTAATTTTGCTGTGTAATATCATATTCCAAACGGATTATCGAACATTACATTATTCAATAGAAGCTGTTTATTTTTCATTACGACCTGCTTGCATCGGACAGGGCTGCTATAAGCCGCGTGAGCTTCGTTGTGCATTTTGTCGTTTCTTCGGCTTGTAAATGGCCTCGTGCAATGTGGAAAGGCAGCGTACAAATTAAAAGCAAAATGAAATTAAAAGAACAAGGGAGGGACCAAGTAAAAAAACCAGTAAACGTGGTATTGACGCTCACGCTGTCCTTCTTGATGTTTCCTGCTGCCTTTCCCCAGGGCCAGCTCAGTCGGGCATCTTGACCGACCGCGAAGTGGTCAGCCTGTTCCTGCACTTCACCGTCAACCCCAAGCCGCGGGTGGAGTTCATCGACCGCCCCCGCTGCTGCCTGCGTGGGAAGGAATGTAGCATCAACCGCTTCCAGCAGGTGGAGAGCCGCTGGGGGTACAGTGGGACCAGCGACCGGATCAGGTGGGACCTGGGGCCCTGACGCCACTCGCCTGCTCCCCAGCAGAGAGCCTTCTCCCGCGGCTTGTCCAGCTGGGTTGGGAGGGAGGCTTCTGCAACACTTGGAGCAGGCACCGGGGTTCCCCAGATCCTGGCGCCTTCCAGGTATTGCCAGACTACGACTCCCAGCAGTCAAGGGTGACGGGAGGCAGGAGTCCAACGTCTGGAGCGTCCGAGATTCTCCATCCCGGATTTAAAAAGCAGCATTTCAGCATTTCCCTTAAGGTCCATAAATAGCAAAATCCTAGAGGTCCCGGGCCCTAAGAAAGTCAGATTAGCCTCAACTCAAAACTGGCCCCGGCCTGGTGGAAAGCCCTCTCTTATGAGACCAGGGCCCTGCAGGATCTGATTTCTTTCTGCAGGGCCTGTAAGACAGAGTTGTTCCGCCTGGCCTTTGGCTTGGAATCAACTTGATTCCCTTCCCCTCTTTCCTTTCTCCTTCTATGATGAAACTCCTATTTGGGGACTTCCCTGGCTTTTTTCTGGCCCACGTAGGACCAGTCTGGATGGTTGGCCTTGGTGAAGACTTGACGTTTTCATCCCCAAAAAAGTTTTTGATTTGAATTCCTGCTGTAATGAGGCTGCATTTTAATGTTGTATTTTAATCTTGTTTTTAAGTTGTATTTCAATCAATTGTTTTTATACCAGTGTTTGCCGCCCTGGCTGGGGAGGGCGGGGTATAAATAAAATTTAATAGTAATAATACTGATACTGCAGGCAAGAGATGAAAGAGCGCCTCTCCTGAGAACAGGGAATGCATCTTCTTAGACCAGGGGAGGGGAAACCTGTCGCCCTCAAGGCAGTGTTTGAAATTCGTGAGGCGCACTTTGCACCTGGATATTGGCCATTTGGAACCAAGTGAAGATGCCTAGGCACTCGGATGGCTCCTGACATCTCCACCATCCGGGGATCTGGACCGTTTTCACACACTAAGGCTCCATCCTGTAGAATTCTATCAGTTATATTTTATCCGCCCAATTGGAATGAATTTCAGCAACCAAAATGCTTTTTTCTGTGCGTCCTGAGCAGGAGCAGGGAACAGCGTTATAGCAAATTGTTGTCGCTTGTCTTTGCTTCCCGCCCCCTGCCCTGCTCACAGTTGTGAATAATATCCCCACGTCCATGTCACCATTAGGAAAAAGAGGTCGGAATAGGCCAATATATATGTGGACTGTCCCTGGGTCAAGGGACTTTTCTTCTTTCAGTTCTCAAAGTTTTTAAGCCAGCTCAAGGCATCCGAACCAGCCAGATGTTTAACTGAGAATCCACAGTCAGTCCCTCATTTTAAAAACAAGACTTTATAGCTGTCTTGCTCAAAAATGGCAACTAGACATTCCATTTTGGTGATAGTAACCTTGATTTAAGGAGCCTTTTGGCATATCTGAGTTTCTAACACTGCCTCCATGAGTTGCTGGGTTCCTCCTTGCGTTGGCCCCTGGCCACCTTGGCTGCTGTGTCAGGGATGCTGCGAGCAGGAGTCTGGTGTCATCTGTGAGACCCCCAAGCCCACCCACCCCAGCAACCTTCGCTTGCCTGTATCCAGCAGAATTTTTCTGTGCTTGATCTTCTGTACTTTCCCTCTCCAACCCTCCAGGTTCTCTGTCAACAAAAGGATATTTATCGTTGGATTCGGGTTGTATGGATCCATCCACGGCCCAACAGATTATCAAGTAAATATACAGGTAGAGAACTCTCCAGGTTTTGACTTGGGGCAGGGGCGGGCGAGGTGGGGCAAGGACAAAGATCCGCAAAAGGGGCCAGGCAGTTGAACAGATAAATGGGGGATCTGCTGAGAAAGAGAGGAAGGGAGAGGGGCGTAACTGACTTCCATCTGCTTTTCCGTCCGTCCACCAACCGATGGTTGTTGAGGAAATGTGGTACCCAGGGATGGGAGGCAGTGGAGGGAAGTTTTCCCACAAATACTTTTTAGATGCTTGTTTTTGAAGAAAAGTGGAGCTTCCAGTGGCTGAGTGGAAGATCCCATAGCAAAGGAAAAACCCCGGTAAATCCAGGGTGGGTTGACTTTTATATTAAAAAGTATTTCATGTTGTTAAAAACAACTGTGTGTGTCTGAGCGCAATACTGCAGAGCAGGACAGCATCGGCGAGATCAGAGTTTCCAAAAGCTGTGGGTCTCCAGCTGCTTTTGAACTAAAACTCCCATTCTCCCTAGCTACCAGGATCCATGGTCAGGGATGATGGGAATCGTAGTCCCAAAACAGATGGAGGGCCAAGTTTGGGAAGCCCAGGGCTAGGTGGACTCGGAATTCTGGTTCCGTAGGCCAGGGAGAGGAGTTTACATCTTCATTTGCAGAGATGTCGTGAGTTTAAAAGGTTTCCCTTTGTTTTTGTTTTTCCCTCTCTCTTTCTCTTCCTCCCCTGCCTGCCCCCAGATTATTCACACCGACAGCAACACAATCCTGGGCCAGAATGACACCGGCTTCAGCTGCGATGGGTCTTCCAACACTTTCCGGGTCATGTTTAAAGAGCCCGTTGAGATCTTGCCCACTGTCAGCTACACAGCCTGTGCCACGTTGAAGGTAACTCTGCACGCTGGGCTGGGGGGGGGGGGGAGCTTTTTCTGCCCTTCAGGGAGAGTGTGCAAACATTCCCGGTCCTTTTATATTTGGTTTTGAAGACGTGCTTTGTCCTGGCTTGGGAAGGTGAGGAGGAGGGGGACCGTCACAGTCCACCAGGGCTGGCCTTGTGGCTCACTTGCTGCCTGTTCCTATCATTATTTTATTTTAAAATTCCATTTATTATTCCATTTATATCCACATCTTTTGTACACGCTTCTTGCTCCTCTCCATTTTATCCTCACAACTAATCCGGAAGGTAGGTTTGGCTGAGAGACGGTGACTAGCCCCCAAATCACCCATTTCTGTGGTTTTGTTCTTGTTTTCGTAGTCTTGGGCGAGTAGAATGGCAAGTGGGCTCCTAACGGTGTTAGAAACTCGAATATATAAGCCAATCGCCAAAGGGTACCTTAAACTGAGGTATGTCTAGGTGCCTAACCCCTCCCCCGATGGTGTTTGTATAGTGGTAATAGCTGTTTCCATTTCATATCTATACCGCTTTATATTGTAAAGTAAAAATCCCAAAGCGGTTGACAACACATTAAAGCATCAAATTTTATTCCAGAATAAAACAAATTCAAATTTCAAGGAAAATATTTCAGATCCTTCTCTCAGGGACATTTGGCTGTCCCCCTATTTATTTATTTACCTACTTAATTTATAGAGCTTCCCCCTAGCAGAAGGGCTCTAGGAAGGCAGGGTGGCGTAGCGGTTAGAGTGTCAGACCTGGGAGATCAGGGTTCAAATCCCCACTCAGTCATGAAGCTCACCCTGGAGTCAGTCCCAGCCTCTTAGTCCACCTCACAGGGTCGTTGTAGGGATTAACATGGGGGGGGTGTTTGAAGCATGCAATCCTTGGAGGAAAAGGTGGGAGTTAAATGTAAAAAAACCAGCTCTTCTGCTGACCTGCTTAAGGAAGCTGGAGGGGGTAGCCAGGTGGAGATGTCAGTAGCCCACCTGGTGCCCAGAGATCTCCAAAGGGTCGCAATTGGACGTGCGCCAGTCGCAAAAAGGGCCTGGCGCTTGGGCAATTTCTAACAGTGGTTCCTAAATGTCCCCTCCCCCCCCAACATGGGCCACGCTTTACGGCTAGTGGACTGTTCAGCCCCAACATCAGACGCAGGTCTCTCTTGTGTGTGGGGTCGCCAGCCTTGTAATTGCTCAGGTCAAATTCGCAGCTGTGGAGCTCACTAACCTAAACGGCCTCAGTCCAGTATACCTGAAGGAGTGTCTCCACCTCCATCGTTCTGCCCAGACACTGAGGTCCAGCTCCAAGAGCCTTCTGGTGGTTCCCTCGCTGCGAGAAGCCAAGTTACAGGGAACCAGGCAGAGGGCCTTCTCGGTAGTGGCACCCGCCCTGTGGAACGCCCTCCCACCAGATGTCAAAGAGAAAAATAACTACCAAACTTTTAGAAGACATCTGAAGGCAGCCCTCTTTAGGGAAGCTTTTAATGTTTAATAGGTTATTGTATTTTAGTGTTCTGTTGGAAGCTGCCCAGAGTGGCTGGGGAAACCCAGCCAGATGGGCGGGGTATAAATGATAAATTATTATTATTATTATTATTATTATTATTATTATTATTACCTCAGCTTTGGGGGGCTTTAAAAAGAGGATTGGACGGATTTGTGGCAAAGAAATCTATTGATGGGCTCGGAAAATGCCTCTGAAAACCCCAGGAGAGTTGCTGTTGTGCTTTGAGTCCTGTGTGAGGGTTTACCCCAGGGGCTTCTGGTCGGCCGCTGAGAGTAGGATGCTGGCCTGGGGCTTGACTGCAAGACTGCTTACATGCTCTCTCCCTTCTCTCTCCCAGGGCCCCGATTCCCACTACGGCACCAAAGGGCTCCGCAAAGTGATCCACGAGTCGCCGACGACGGGCGCCAAGACCTGCTTCACCTTCTGCTACGCCGCCGGCAACAACAACGGCACGTCCGTGGAGGACGGACAGATCCCCGAGATCATCTTCTACACATAGGGGCCACTGCGGGGGGATAGCTCGCTCCCGGGCGGACGGCCATGTGCTGCCCCCCCTCCTCCCGCCTCATCTCTCCCCCTCCATGCGCACCCCTTGCGTGTCCTTCCCAGCTGAAACCGCAGGCCGTCCTCTGCCGTTCTGGCAGGAGGGCTGCTAGCCGGGGCTGGGGGCCCAGCAGGGCCGACACCGGGAGCCCACTGACAGGACGATTCGCTGGCCTGAGTCGGGCCGGGACGGCGGCTAGCAGTTCCTTCTGCCCAGGCCGGCAGCACGGCTCTACCATTGCATTGTGAACGTAGCCGTTTCTACATCCAGCTGTTGCAGTGGGGAGGCGGGGGCAGACTCGCTCTTGCGGATGGACAATCCCTGCCAAAGGAAGCCCCCCTCTGTGCCAGGATCAGGCCGGACAGGGGGATGTGGCAGGGCAAAGAGGAACTGTGTTTCTGACGGCTTGTCACCTGGCAAGGCTTGACCCAGAACGCCCTTTCTGCAGGACCCTGGCCAACCCAGGCTGCTCCTGCCCTCGCCGGACAACTACCTTGTCGTGTCACAGGACAGATTTTTTGGGGAGGGACTCGTCCCTGAACGCGAGGCAGTGAGGGTGATTCGCAGCCACAAAAAAACTTGCCTTGTTTGAAGAGTGGTTGAAGTCCCTGGACTCTGATCGTCAATATGTTGCTTGCTGCTGCTAATAATAATAATAATAATATAGTGCAACTCAACAATGCATTTTACTCTTCTACAGTCTCCTTATGAGTCTGGTTCCCATTCACAAGCTGACTGCCGATTTGCTCGTTTGGGGGTTGGTTTTCGAGCTGGGAGACGTCTTGCTAGGGCTTCGATGAGCTGCGTTTCCCGAAAACCCAGCAGCCAGAGGTTTAAGAATCCCCACCCCTAGAAAACCCTGGGCGTCTTGGTGACCTGGCAGAATTGCATCAAACCTAGAAGGCTTTTGTGCTAAAGGTGGGATCCCCACCAGCACTGATCCCACCCCATGAAATCTCCTGCCTGTGGAAACCTGTAAGCAATTTGCCTTGGGTAGGCAGCTGTCATCACCTGAACCCTAGCTGTGCTCGAACGCTGGCGCTGCTGGGCTTTTTGAAAAAAATAAATGCAAAAAGTTTCTTTGTGGTAGAGCACCCAGTGCAAGTCCCTATGTTTGTTACCTGCGCTTGTGAGCCTCAATATGGCCAGTATGGATAATGGAGCCATTCCTCAGCTACAAGCTTCTCATCGGTGCAAAAGCCTTTGTAGGTCTTTGGCTTCTTCCGAAGAGTGCGCTAGTGCATGTTGCTGCAGAAGTGGCGCATCAGTTTTGGAGGGGCTTTCGACTGCCTCTCCTCTTCATTTGCTCTCCACCCCCACCCCCCTTCTTGAGCGGTGTACATAGACGCCCCCCAGTCTGTATATAGAGATCACTGAATAGGTTCCAAGCACAGCTACTGACTTTTTGGGTGGCTGAGTAGCTTAAATTTAACTGCAGTTGCAGCCCGCCCCCCCAATTGGAATCTCACTAATGCGCCCTTCTTGGTTATAGGATGTGCTGGGGATGGTGGTGTTTGTTCACACCAGCCAAAGGCAGAATCCTGTCCAGTCGATGGTTCTTGGGCCCTGGTGCGAATCCTGCCCTTCACAAACTCGCTTGCCCACCATGCCTAGCCCCCAACCTCTTGGAAGGTCCGACGCGCCTGGAAATTTGCTCATGTTAATTATGACAGAAATATAATGAATGTATCAGATGTGCTATATATACATATTATATATATATATATAATTTTCAGTGTTCACCCTGGTTTCTCTCTTTCTGATTTGTAAATAGGAAATCCAATAAAAGGCAGGTTGTCTTTCAGCAAGGGATTCTTTGTGATTCGAAAGGAGACGGTATGCACACACACTGCAAAAGCGGGGAATTTAAAACGGCAGAGGGAGATTCTTTTGCAGACCAGGTCCTTTGCGTATCAATAGGGAGAGGGAAACTTCATTCTGAATAGTTTGCCTTCGTCGTCTGCCACATATTTTGGATTACCAATGTCTGCACCAGTGCGGCTTTAAAGGCAGGCCGGTTGCATTTCCTGGCAAGCGACGGAAGATGTGTCCATTTCTTTTTTAAAAAAGGAAACCTCAGCCTCAAAAACTCCTAAGCAGGGTATAAATAATGAAATGATTGTTTTAAAAAGGTCTTTTTTTGCTGCATGTTTTTGCTTTGTCGTGTGAGCTGGGAAGCGTGATCCAGGATTTTGCTCGCATGCGCACAGGCGCTCCTACTCTTGCCATCCTGGAAGCAAAATAACAGTGCCTGCACATCTTGGTTGGCGGGGGCTGAAGGTGCGCTGCTCCCTGTCTTGATAGCCTTTAAAAACATGAGGAATCGACTGTAAAACGAAGAGATGAAATTGGTGTTTACGGAAAAATTGGAGGCCTTTTTTGGACTATCTCAAAAGTATTATAGCAATATGAAATCATGAGGATTTGAAGGAGCAGCAGAAAAAAATTGACAAGACATGGGTTAGTAACAAAAATGTAAGCGAATATATACTGTATGTGAAGTAAATTTGCTACATCCTTTGAAAAAACCATAATAAAAATTCATATATTTTAAGAAGCCATGGGACTGCTCCCAGTTGAGTAGATCAACTGGGGCCTAGGTGGGAGAGGAGAAATGTTCCTTCTGGCAATAAATGAGGGTGAAGGGGATGGGAGTTTCACAGTAGTAGCTTACTTTCAGCATGGACTGCAAGGGAAATCCACTTTGCAGAGTGTCAATGTCCAAAGTGGGCAAGCTTCAAGCTTGCAGGACCTAATCTTTGGGGTTTTTTAAAATCAAAACGTCTACCAACCAGCTTTTATGAACGTACAACGCGCACCAGGATCAATGGCCTCTCAGATACTTTTTTTAACAGCCAAGGAGCATTTCAGCCTTCACAAAAGTACCCAGATTTTTGGCCTGTCTGAAAGCGTGTGTTAGAAACCCTGGTGGAATAATTCCCCCCTTTTTCTGCAACTGGAGCTCTTTGGACTCCCAACTTCCTGGCCAACGGGAAGCAGCGATGGCAAGCAGCTCAGACGTTGTGTGCTTTGCTGGCGCACCTCCATGCGCAAGCACAGTCTACCTTGGATTGCCACCCAGTGCAAGACTGGTTCATGCACAGTGCTTGTGGGGTTCCTATTTGGGAGGAGGGTTGTGGTTCAGTGCTTAGGAGCAAACGCAAGATCCCAGCTTCAGTTTCCAGGCAAGGCTCAGAGAGACCTAAAACCTTTGCTGCTGCCGATCAGTGTCAACAATACTGAACTAGCTGGACCAATGGGGTGACTCTTGGTTCCTGCTAAATCAGCCCTTTATTTGGAATCATGAAGACCAGAATGGCTAGGAATGTCTGCTGCCTGAAACCCCAAACAGTGTGGTCTTCTAGGTCCTGGTATGACACTGTAAACCAGGGTTTTCCCAAACTTGGGTCTTTTGCGGCTTTTGGACTACAATTCCCATTATCCCTGACTTGCTAGCTATGGATGATGGGAGTTGTAGTCTTAACAACAGCTGGAGACCCAAGTTTGGGAAAGTGCTCTAAGTCTGGAAACAAAATATTAAGAGTACCATACCCTCCTGTTTCAGCCAAAACCCAAAGAAACATCTTTGCAGAACTTATTTTTCAAGTTTTTTTTTAATTTTTTTGTTTTTCAGGGTTTTTTTCTCTTGTTTTTTGAATTTTTTTTTAATTAAAAAAAAAAAAAAGCCCCTAAACCTCTATGGCTTTCAAAGAAGCTTCAGAGAAACTTTTATATGCCATTTACCTGTGTACATTTTTGTTTTGCTTAAAGCAGTTAAAACTAAAAACTGACAACGCAAAAGTGTCTCTCGCTGCCTCGAGTTTTTGGAATCACATCGGCAACAGATCTCGTCTCTGTGCAGACTCAAATCGATCACAACCCCCCCCCCCCCCCGTTTTGTTAAGCAAAAAAAAAATTTTTTTTTCTAAAACACAACCAAACAAACCACCATTGCTGGGTCTGCAAGATTCATTTTGATGCAAGCTTCTGACAATCTGGGCCCAAACGGCAAAAACCACACCTTGATGTCGACCTCTGTTCTGTCAAGGTAAATCTTTTCAAAGCCTGCCCTTTTTCAAAACCAGAATAATCCACATTGCAACTGGTAATCCAAGCACACTCACATGCACTCTTTTTACATAAACATTTTAATTTTAATTTCTCTTTTACACCCTTCCTGGGACTGGAACTACATTACCACCCACCCACCCCCCAAGCATATCATTTAAGGCTGAATTTTTTAATTCCCTCCCCTCCTTTTCTGCACTGTTTGGGGAAGAAGCTCAAACATTGCACGTATCTAAGGAACCCTATTTTTAGTGAAAGTCGCCAGAATCGAGGGTTATAATTTTTTTCTGCCCTTTACCTTAACGCCTCCTCCCCTCTTTCCATTCCAATGCCCCCTTCCCCCCAAAAACCCACACACCCCTCTTTTGAGGCACTGAGTTTATAAACCTAAAATCAGGTAGAGCAAGACGATAATCTGAATTTTTTATATAGTTCTTTCTCCTCCCCACACCTTGCCTCTTCTTCAAGTAGCCGTAAAAGAAACAATCGGCCATAAAAGAAAAAAAGGGGGCACCCCCCCAAAAAAAACCACCCCATCTTTAAAAGCACACACAACTGAAAACTTAATTTTGGCTTTTTGCAAGGGGTCCGATGTAGAGAGAGGCATGGGGGGTGGTCAGGGTGGGCCTTGCATTCTGGCACTAACTCCCTCCAACGCAACTTGGGGGTCGGTTGGGGGGGGGGTCCTGCTGTCCAGGAACGAGAAGGACTAGAAACTTGGATCCCACTGTTAACCAATTTGACTCTAGCACAATCAAGTGAACAAGACGAGGGCAAGCATACACAGCTTTTGGTGGGTATTTTTTTTCCGTGGGGGGGATGACAGGTAGTGGGAACTGAAGCAACGGGGGGGGGGAGTATTACTAGTGAGGAGGTGCGGCAGTTTTAAGACACGTAGAATTTGGGCGACGTGGGTGCCATTTAGTGCAAGAGACCAAGGACCCCCCCCCCAAAAAAAACTTCCCTGCCCGTCTAATCACAGCCCACCCACCTCACCCAACCATAGCCTGACATTAACAAGTGTCGTGATTACAACATTTGTGGGTGGGGGGGACAACGACAGGCTTTTTTTATTTATTTAAAGGAAGCAGAACATGCTACTCTGGAATAGGTGCAAGGGGAGGCAGTGCCTTCCCCTTCTTCTCTGTATAAAAATATATTTGTCTATAAAGAAGCAGCAAGGCTTCTCAGTCCTTGTTTGGAAGCAACGGACCCCCCCCCCCAAAGTGTGCCCGGAAACTTTGCAGGTCCTAGAAGGGTGGTTGTGGGGGGGTCCGGTTGGCTGGAAGAGAGGGGGGCACAAAAACAAGGTGTGGTCCTAACTGGTGGGATTTAAAGATGGCCAAGAAACCCAGAAGGAAAAGGGGGGGTGCTCCCTACTGCCCCAAAACAACCCCCGAGGAAGAAATCTGCTTCTACCCATTTCCTTGCTCCCTGCAGCAAAATGCACAAGATTTAAAACTGCAGTGGAGAGTCGGACTTCTCAGGGAACATCCCATAGCTGAGGAGTTTAGCAGAAGCTGGAATTCGTCACTGTGAGTGTCTGATCTGTATTTGGGGGGGGGACGGGACACAAAAACAGGGTGGATTGTCCTCACATAAATTTGTTCAGCCAAAGTTTCCTTTTCACCCCCTCCCAGGGAGCTTTTGCCACAGATCTGTTCCGGTTGGAAGTTTTAGGCGCCACGCTTGCCCCCCGCAGATCAGATTTTGATTTTTGGCTTTGGCCACCCCAAACCCTCTCCATTCTGAACTCCCCCCACCCAAAGAAAATTTCCCATAGCAACAGAAGTCGTTTTGGGGGTTCATCTTGGCCGGCAGCTGTTCCTGAGATCCAAGGCCCCCACGCCCACGCCCAGCGAGTCAGTGGGTTTTTCTTTTTAATTAAAGGAGAATCTAGCTTTCTGCAAAACGAACCCCAAAGAATTCTCTAAAGCCCGGTTAATTCCAAGACGCAGGTGCTCCTTGTATTGCTACCCAAAAAAAGTGCATTGAGAAATGAAGATTCGGAAGTGTAAACGAGCCGCTTTCCTCCCCAGCCGCGAAACCCCACTTTGCCCCCCCCCCCAGCCGCGCTCGAGACGGGGAGGGCACCCCAGGGACTTCCCTCTGTCTCCCCTAAAGGACCTTGGCCACAACTAAATCGGCAGGGGTTGGGGGCAGAAACTTAAGAGAGTTGGGAACGGGTGGGGGGCACAAATCTAAAACAAAGATACTTTATGAAATAAAAAAAAATATGATGCAAAAATATTTGCATCGCTACAAAAACAGAGGGAAGGAGGGGGAGAAAGAAAATAAGGAGACTGTCCCACAAACGCAATGACTAAGATGCAATTTTTAAATTAAGTTAAAGAGACAAAGAAACAGCAAAAGGGGGGGGGAGAGGAGGGATGGGGAGGGAATATTAGCTGCAGCTGACATTCCCAGCATCGTCCCAGCAAATCTTCTGCAAAGAACTGATTCCCGGGGTTCTTTTTTTGCTTCCAAAAAAATAATTCCGTGAAACCAAGGTGAGGAAGGGGGGAGAGAAGAGCCCAGACAAGTGTGGGTTTTTTTCCCCTTGGAGGGGGGCAGCTGCATAAATAGTTAATGCTTTTTTCTCTTTGCAAAACCAAGGAGGGGCGCGGGCACTTCCAAAGAAAGTTCAGCGACGTGCCTTTTCTTCCTCCTTCTGCCGGTTCCGCTTCCCTCTGTTGCTGTGTCTCTTGGAGGAAGGGAAAAGAAAATAAAAGAAATATATATATATATTCAGGCTGAGAGTGGGGGAGAGGCTTCCCCTCCTCTCCCCGGGTGAGCCTGCGAGTGGAGTCAAAGGCGGGTTGTACGCCACACGGACCCCTTGCGACTCCGGAGCAGGCGGAGGGGAGAAAGCCCGTCTTCTCCCATCCGACCAAAGGATCAAGATCCGTTATCCACAGACAGGAAGTGAAAAGGAAGAGGGGCGGAGGGTGAAAACGTAGTCCCGAGGGGACGCCGGCCTCGGCCAAACCGGGGAAGGGGAGCACGTCACTTGTGGCGCTGGATGGTTTTCCTCTTCCTCCTTTTGAAGAAACAGCAGCACCTGAGAATCGAGGAGAGGAGGGCGTTAGGAGCCTTGCAGGCGGATCAGGCCCAAGCGGGGGACCTCAAACGGGGCCTGAGCCCAAGAGCAAAACTCTCCTGCCGCTTCCAGAAAGAGCCCCCCAGGGAGGCAAAAGCACTTGTGGAATCAGAGAACGGCAGAATTCGAAGAGTCCTCTCCCCCGCCCCAGGGTCATCTAGTCCAACCCGCTGCAATGCAGGGGTGCAAAGCAGGGCCAGGACTTGGGGGCTGGATTTGGGCACCGGACCTGAGCTTCCTCCCCCCGCGCAAGAAGACTTGGCTTACTCACTTAGTGTCATCAGCCACCTCGACCTCGGCGGGGGCGGTGATGGGGGCATTTGAGTGGCCGGCAGTGGGGTCATCTGTGTTCAGCTCCCCGTTGGTCGAACTCATGACCTGAGGAGGAAGGGAGAGGAGGCAGGTGAGATGGGGGAGAGAGAGTGCCCAGTGCTTGCACCCCTCGGCCTCTGGGGTTTTGCACAGAAATGCAGAAGTCAGGGTGCATTGGCCCCGAGACAGGACTCCCCCAAACGCAGTGCGTGACATTGAGCCTGGCATTTGGAGCCGAATCCTTTCCGGTGAAAAGCAGCAGCAGCAATAATAATAATAATAATAATAATTTATACCCTGCCCATCTGGCTGGATTTCTCCAGCCACTCTGGGCGGCTTCCAACAGAATATTAAAATACAATAACCTATTAAACATTAAAAGCTTCCCTGAACAGGGCTGCCTTCAGATGTCTTCTAAATGTCAGGTAGTTGTTTTTCTCTTTGACATCCGATGGGAGGGCGTTCCACAGGGCGGGCGCCACCACCGAGAAGGCCCTCTGCCTGGTTCCCTGTAACTTCGCTTCTCGCAGTGAGGGAACCGCCAGAAGGCCCTCGGAGCTGGACCTCAGTGTCCGGGCTGAACGATGGGGGTGGAGACGCTCCTTCAGAGATACTGGGCTGAGGCCGTTTAGGGCTTTCAAGGTCAGCACCAACACTTTGAATTGTGCTCGGAAACGTACTGGGAGCCAATGTAGGTCTTGAAAGACCGGTGTTATGTGGTCTCGGCAGCCGCTCCCAGTCACCAGTCTAGCTGCCACATTCTGGATTAGTTGTAGTTTCCGGGTCACCTTCAAACGAAGCCCCACATAGAGTGCATTGCAGTAGTCCAAGCGGGAGATAACCAGAGCATGCACCACTCTGGCAAGACAGTCTGCGGGCAGGTAGGGTCTCATCCTGCGTACCAGATGGAGCTGATAAACAGCTGCCCTGGACACAGAATTGACCTGCGCCTCCATGGACAGCTGTGAGTCCAAAATGACTCCCAGGCTGCGCACCTGGTCCTTCAGGGGCACAGTTACCCCATTCAGGAGCAGGAAGTCCTCCACACCTGCCCGCCCCCCGTTCCCCAAGAACAGCACTTCTGTCTTGTCAGGATTCAAAGCAAAGAATTCAAGGGCAGATACTGAGCCCTTTTTGGTTCGGAGATGAACAGCGACCTGATTTGGGTAGAAACGTGGGGTGCAGAGTCAAAAAGTCCAAAGACATTTTCCACCAAAGCAATCGCACAAGGTTTCGAAACCGCTTGCGCTGCAAGCCACAGGGTTTGGCTACTCCCTGCAAACCGCGGATCGGGGGAAGAAATCGGGAGTCGCTTTGATGCCTGGTGCGAGGAGAGCAATCTTGCTGCCCTAGAATCTATCGTTTGCAAGCCAAGCCAGGGTTTCTGATTGCTGTGGGGGCAGGAGAGTGGCTGCTGTGCACAGACCCTGGTTCGTGTTGAGCCAGGCTAGGCAGATTCGAGGGTAAACCATACGTGGAACGAATCTGCCCCTGCGGGTTGATGGAGGTGGAAACAGTCTCTCATGTCTTGTTACACTGCCGTTTCTACGGGGATATACGCTCGGTATTTATCACTCCTGCTATACAAAAATCTCCAAATGGGCCCGAAACTTCAATGTCTAAAACTCCTGGTTGAGGAAAAGGATCTAGAGATCACGCTCAGGGTGGCCAAATTCTGTGCGACTGCCCTAAAACTTAGGGAACAAGCTGTGCTACCAAAATGATTAAGGTTTTAAATGACAAGTGATCAAGATTTAATATATATTTTTAACTGCCGCTATATCTGTACTGTCTCTGTTATACCCAACTGCAATTCAATGTGTTCCTGTTGTGTTTTATGATTTTCCTGATATTGTAAGTGAGCCGGAACTGGTCTGTGATTGTAGTAATAAAATTCAATTCAGTTGAGCCAGGCTGCGCTGGGCAAAATGCGCAAACAGCCCAGATCTGAACCTGAGGGAGGAGAGGGTACATTACTGTAAAAGGCCGGCTCATTTTCAAATAATTATTCTTAGTACCACGCAGGGGTTCGTCAAAGAACATACTCAATCACAGGACAGCTGCAACCAACCAGGTTTATAGTCCACTTTTTAGAGAGAACTGTGGGTGGTTCAAATCCCTCTCAAGGCTGGGCGTTTAACCAGCAACACCACCTTGCTATTAGTGTTATCCAGAAAACGTTTTTGTGGCTCTCGCTAAACTGCATTACACAGTTCTGGCTTTTAAGAACATCGGAAGATGAACTGAAAACCAAACGGAACCCCATGTTTTCAGTCTTAACATTGGAAATTCTGAATTTCATGTGCAAACCTGTAAGGATTAAGAAACCACTGTCAGAAACCAAGTTTAGCTCTTTCTGGGTGTTCACGGTGTTTCCTGTGGCCAGCCTATCATCGGGTGCCCCCCCCCAAATATCCCATTACATGCCCCAACTTCTCTTCTCTAGCCCCTCGTCTGAGAACAGCTTCCTTCAGTCTCTAAAATTCCTTTGCAGAAACAAACAATTAATGTCCCAAAACATTGCAATGGGAAAAAGCTTGTACAATTTTAGTTTGCCGTTTACAGAATTCCAGAGCTCTCGCCTCTTACATAAAAGGTTGTGCCGACAGTGGGATTCTGTAGGGGACCAGGATATTATTATTGTGGCTGTTAAATATTATTATTATTATTAACATTGTTATTGTTAATACTATTATCAAATAATGTCATGTATTATTGTTGTTTTGTTGTTGTTGTTTGTTATTGTTATTGTTGTTGTTATTATTCATGGTGTGATAAGAAAATGAAATCTTTTTCCTATGTATTCGGTAATAAATGGCAAAAGCTGGAAGGATATCTCGCTGAACTTTTGAAACCACGATCCTGGAAGAAAATCAACCCTGTTGATAGAAAATAGTGGCTTTTTTTCTGAATCATGCCTCTCAGGGAACAAGTTGCTGTCACAGGAAACCCACCTTCAAAAAAACTCTGCTGCGGATTTGCAATGACAGAGAGAGAATCCCTGAATTCTTGGGGGGGGGGTGTAAATATATATATATATATATATATATATATATATATATATATATATATATAATTTTATTCTGTTTCTAAACAGCTTTGTGAAGTTTTTTTCTCTCTTAAATTATCAAATGGTATGTAGGTTTTATGAAATAAGTAAAACAGACAGGACAGTGACCAAGGTTTTCTTTAAAAATAAAAAATACCCACACCCACCCACCCACCCCATCTTCACCAAAGAAGTTTGCCATGGGAGGGGCGGGGAGGAGAACAGACGCCGGGCTGCATCCAACCTTAGTCCTACTCAAGAGTAGACACACTGGAGTCAACAGGCACGAGTCGTAGTAATTTCTGCGGGTGTACTCCAAGTAGGATTTATCGGTGTAATGCGCCTTCCCCCAGGTAGGCTTGCAATATTACCACTAGAGCTCCGGAAACGTTTCGCACTAGCTCCCCTTCCCAGAAAAATAGGGGGGGCCCCACATCATGCGCGGACACAGGCAGAGACAGGGGCGAACACATAGGCGGACCCGATTCACCATCAAGGGAAGAGCTGTGCACTCCTTTTCACACTGGGGGTGCGGGGCACATGCGAGAGAAAGCAGCAGGGCCTAAAGAGAGGGTGGTAGCCCACGCCAATTCCTACTCCAGAGTAGACCCACCGCCATGGATGAACTGGCGAAAGCCGAGTCCCAAGAGCAGAGCCATTGAAGTGAATGGGGCCAAGTCAGTTGCATCTGGGACGGTGGCAACGTTTGCAGGCGCCAATGGGGCTTGGACAGCGGTTTGCAGGTCATGCCCACCCCCTGCCAGCCCCACCCCCTACCCCATACGCCCCTCTAATGTACCTGCACGGACCCCCCAAGCCTGCTGGCCGCAAGGTGGGTTCCTAGGGCTTCCTCGGCAGGTTGCTGGCCAGCCTGAGGGTCCCACACCTCCGTCCCCTCGGGGGACTGCTAGCGACGGGGGGAGGAGACGAAAGGGGGGGTGACAAAGGCGAGAGAGGGGTCAGAAAAAGATGGGGGGTTTGTGGGGAGAGGCGACAAAGAGGGAAGAAGGAAAGAGAGAAAGGAAGAAAAAACAAAACAAAAAGCATGCAAAACGAAAGAATATAAAACAGGCCTGGATGCAAATTCCCCCAGAAGAGGGGCAGGGGGAGTGGGGGGCACCGGGTGCGGCTGAACTACGACTCCCAACCTCCACCGCCCACTGGGCTCAATGCACCTGGGGGTCTTCCACCCTCCTCCATCCCTGAATTGAAAAATGGCGTTCTCCACTTTCTTGGAAAGGAAGGCACCTCTGGAGGGATAATGGTTCTGCCCCCCTGCTGCCCCAAACTGCCCCTTCTTGCCTTGCAGGGGGGGTTTCCCAGCCTGGCTGGGCTCCAGCTCCCAGCGCCCCTGATGGCTGCCGGTTGCTGGCACCCCGACACCTGCAACGCCACAGGTACCCCAACCCTGGGAGTGACCGGCGCGGTCTGGAAGGGAAAGGGGATGGCGATCGGAGCCCCCGTGACCGAACCCTGTTGGATTCACAGCCGCTGCCGAGTTTCACTAAGCGCACGCAGGGCAGGCGCGCCTCCAAATCCAGGGTTTACCAAATGTGGGTCTCCGGCTGTTTTTTGGGGGGGACTACAAATCCCAGAATGCTTTGCTAGCAGGGTCAGGGATGATGGGAATCGTAGTCCCAGAACAGCCGGAGACCCAAGTTTGGGAAACTCTGACAAACGGCACGGCCTTCGAGAGATGCCAGGGATGTACACACCCACCCACACACCAGGTCACACTCAAAACACACATTGTGAATTCCTGCATTGCAGGGGGTTGGGCTAGATGACCCCTCGGTGTCCCTTCCAACTCTACGGTTCTATGATTCAATGAAATGGCACAAAGATCCCCAAAGGACAGGATTTAGAGCACCGTTTCCCAAACTTGGGTCCCCAGTTGTTTTTGGACTACATTTCCCATCATCCCTGACCACTGGTCCTGTTAGCTAGGGATGATGAACATGTTGAGAATTCCATTCCACTTTAAGGAACAGACGTGGGATTGTTACATGGCACGTCTGTTTACATTCCAGCACAGCTTGCTGGGAACTTCCGTTGGGTGTATAGCTTTTGCTTTTCTCTCTGAGACGACGTGAGAGAGAGAGACGACGTGTTTCTTTGTCCTGCTTTATGATTAATAAATCTGTAGTTGTAGTATGCTTCCCCAAGCCTCACACCTATCCTGTGTGCGCAGTTTGATCTGCTGATAGTGTCCCTTGGCTTTGAAGCCCGGGTTGCTGATTTACGTCGGAGGAGAAGTGATGATCTTTGCACAGGGCCGCTGGAAGGAGACGGCCCAGCCTCCTGGCCCTCTGCCTGCCGTATAGCTAGGGATGATGGGAGTTGTAGTCCAAAAACAGCTGGAAACCCAAGTTTGGGAAACCTTGTTCTAGACCAGGCACGGCCAAACTTGGCCCTCCAGCTGTTTTTTGGACTACAATTCCCATCATCCCTGACCACTGGTTCTGTTTGCTAGGGATGATGGGAGTTGTAGTCCCAAAACAGCTGGAGGGCCAAGTTTAGCCATGCCTGATCTAGACAGACCCAAGGGCTGACTCAGAATAAGGCTATGTCCCTAGCAAATCAACTCAGGGGTCAGAGCACCTGCTCAGCATGAAGAAGGTTGCAGGTTCAAAACCCCGGCATCCCAGGTTAAGTCTGTCCCTGTCCTGAAGCCCCCGAAACTTTGCTAGAAGGCAGCTCCGCACCTCCCCGTTAAATCAGCCCATCGTTCAACACCATGAGGTCTAGAATCTGCCTTTGTTTTTATGGAAGGAGCCGCCAGCTCACAAGCTTGGCGTGCAGAAGGACGCGGGATCAATCCGTTGCATACCCGTTGAAAGCAAGCCATTAATTCCGGTTGTTGAAAGGGAAACAGCCCTCTCTGCAGATCTGCTGCCAGTCAGTGTAGGCAGAACTAAGATCTATGGACTCCTATTCAGGAAGGACTTTTCCTCGGACACCGAGGCGCCTCCGTCTCTTCCCACCAGGTGGCGCCAAGCCTCTGCTCCCGCCTCCGCAAGGAGCTGGCCCTCATTGTTCACCTAAGCCCCAGGCAGGCCAAATTTGGCAGCCTTACTCCTCTGTGATCCCCATTCACTCCCTGTTTTGGCAGAAGTGAAGGAACTTTGCCGGCTCGCCCACAACTCCCTCAGGCTCTGGCTGGCCTCCTCTCCCACCCCATCACCACCCCTCTAACTGCCCCCCACCCCAATATGGACCCCTGGGGCATGGGGGGGGGGAAGAACCCCACTTACCTGCTGTTTCATGTACTGTTGAGTTTTTTCCCTGTTTGGAGCCTGGACTTGTAAATCACTCTGAACTGTGCCAATTGGGGTCGGCTGCAAAGAGGGGAGGAAAAGGAGACGGGAGCGTGAGATCGGGAACGTCGGCGGTACCGCGCTCCTTTGTAAATCGCAGTCTTGGAAGGGACCCCGGAGGGTCATCCAGCCCAACCCCTTGCGATGCAGAAATATTTTGCCCGAGATTCGAACCCAGGACCCCAAGATTAAGAGTCTGGCTGTCTAATTGATCCAAAATGTTTTCTTCTGTATCAGAGTGGGGTGGGGGGGGTATTCCCAGCCGTACTTGGGAGAAATCAGGGGTTGCTGCCTTCTGCAATCCAAGCAGCTGATCTGTCACAGAGCCACAGCCCCTCCCAAATGAGTGGAGAAGTTTCGGGAAAAGGTGAATGAAGGGGGAGAGGATAGAAATTTGAGAGAGGTGTTAAGAGCTGATGGACTCTCTTTCCTTGGACATCTTGAAGCAAAGGTTCATTCGGAATTCGATAATTGCTATATTTCGGGGGGTTGGGCTAGATGACCCTTGCGGGTCCCTTCCAACTCCACAATGATCTAAAAAGAGAGAAATTTCTTTTCCCTCTCTCCACCCACCCGCTTGAGATTTCTAAGAAATCAAACAACCTGCGCAGCTTCAAATCACCACCGTTTCAAAAGGTTCCAACACATATAGGCAAACTCCTGCTCTCTGATCTCAGGAACCACCGTGCAAAATATGGTGGACATAATTGCCGTTTTGAAAGGCCTGCAAAGGGAGCCTTGATTCAACATGGTGTCCACCTGTGTCCAGCAAAATTTGGCGGCGATATATCCAGAGGTGTTCAAACGCAGAATGAACAACTTTACAAAATTAATAATAATAATAATAATAATAATAAAATTTATTTATACCCCGCCCTCCCCAGCCAAGGCCGGGCTCAGGGCGGCTAACAACCAATACTAAAAACAAGTTGAATGAATACAACTTAAAAACAAGATTAAAATACAACATTAAAACATTAAAATGCAGCCTCATCACAGGAGGAGGAAGGGAAAAAATATAGCTGATTTTTAAAAATCCCCCTGTGGTTTTTAAGGGTCAAGCTCTGCATCTGCCTGCATTTGCTCCGGCCCTCAAAAGGGCTGCCTATGAGCAAATGCGGCCCCTCAGTTCTCCAACCCAAAGCCAGCCCCCCCCAAAAAACCCCAACTCACTAAAGGCTTCCCTGCCCAGTCGTATTCATAGTCAAAAACGTAGCCGTTCCGGTCAAAGAGGTCCGTGAAGAGTTTCCTCAAGTAGTCGTAGTCCGGCTTCTCAAAGAAGTCCAGGCGGCGGACGTAGCGGAGGTACGTGGCCATCTCCTCTGCGGAAGGGGAGGGGAGGAAGGCGGAAGAGGCAGCGGTTGCCCAATGGTCAGAGCACAGGCAATCTCACCAAGGGAAGCTAATCCAAAGGGTTAAACTGGATCGGCAGGGCAAACTTAGGGTTCCCAAACCTGGTTCTCCAGCCGCTACGATTCACATCATTCCTGACCTGCAAGCTAGTTCAAAAACAGCTGGAGATCCAAGTTTGGGGGAATTCTGTTGCAGGGAGAGGGGAAGCGGGAGGTCTGTGTGCTAGGTAAAGGTAAAGGGACCCCTGACCATTAGGTCCAGTCGTGGCCGACTCTGGGGTTGCGGCGCTCATCTCGCTTTACTGGCCAAGGGAGCCGGCGTCCAGCTTCCGGGTCATGTGGCCAGCACGACTAAGCCGCTTCTGGCGAACCAGAGCAGCGCACGGAAACGCCGTTTACCTTCCCGCCAGAGCGGTACCTATTCATCTACTTGCACTTTGAGGTGCTTTCGAACTGCTAGGTTGGCAGGAGCAGGGACCGAGCAAACGGGAGCTCACCCCGTCGCGGGGATTTGAACCGCCAACCTTCTGATCAGCAAGTCCTAGGCTCTGGGGTTTAACCCACAGCGCCACCCGGGTCTGTTTGCTGGGTGGCGCTTAAATCAGGCTTTTGCCAATGGGGTATTCCAAGCAGACTTTTACGGGGTTGCTAGGTGGCCTTCCCCCAGGGATATTCGGAGGGCTTCTCCTAACATCCCTTGCCATCAGCCATGCAGGGGCTGCTGAGAGCTTGGCGTCCGGCAACACAGCTGTAGGTCATCATGGCACCTTGTGGCCACCTGGATGCACCTGAGGAAACCTTACAGAGGAACCCAAAGGCAACGCCTAACACATGCCACCCTGAAGAAGCAGGGATTTAATAATAATAATAAGAATAATAATAATAGTAATAATATTAATTATACCCCACCCTCCCCAGCCAAGGCCGGACTCAGGGTGGCTAACAACCAATAATAAAAACAAGTTGAATGAATACAACTTAAAAACAAGGTCAAAATACAACATTAAAATATTAAAATGCAGCCTCATCACAGGAGGAGAAAGGAAAGAGGGGAAAGGGATCAAGTTGATTCCAAGCCAAAGGCCAGGCAGAACAACTCTGTCTTACAGGCCCTGCGGAAAGAAATCAGATCCCGCAGGGCCCTGGTCTCATGAGGCAGAGCGTTCCACCAGGCCGGAGCCAGTGCTGAAAAGGCCCTGCCTCTGGTTGAGGCTAATCTGAGTTCCTTAGGGCCCAGGACCTCCAGAGTGTTGTCATTTGTGGACCTTGAGGCTCTCCGTGGGGCAGACCGGGAGAGGCGGTCCCGTAGGTACGAGGGTCCTAGGCTGCGAAGGGCATGAAAGGTCAAAAGCAGCACCTTAAATCTGACCCTGTACTCCACTGGGAGCCAGTGCAACTGGTAAAGCACTGGGTGAATATGCTCCCATAGCAGAGACCCCGTGAGGAGCCTCGCTGCAGCATTCTGCACCCGCTGGAGTTTCTGGGACAGCTTCAAGGGCAGCCCCGCGTAGAGCGAATTACAGTAGTCAAGCCTGGAGGTGACCGTCGCATGGATCACTGTGGCCAGGGCGGGGCGGGAAAGGGAAGGGACCAACTGCTTGAATGGTGGTAGAGTGTTCCTGAACATGGAGGTTCTATTCAGAGGCCAGTTTTTGTGGCACGCTTGCCTCCTCCCACTCCCTCCACGACGTTACTCTAAGAAAGGTTGCAGAATCGTAGGGCTAAGAAAGGGGGACACACACCCCAGGGGGTCATCCAGTCTGACCCCCTTCCACGCAGGAATCGCACCCAAGCCAGTGGTCATTCCTCCTTCCGCCCCCGCCCAGTCCTTACCAGGGAAGTTTTCGCACAGCACTTCGACGGGGGTGGCTCTTTTGGTATCGCCAATCTTCTGGTATCGCTCTTTCAACGTGTCCGCCTGCAATGAGAATTTGGGGTGGGGAATGAGAATTTGGCAAATGCTTGTTGGAGACGTGGAGGAAATAACGGTGACATGATCCACATGTGGTGGACGTGTGAAAGATTGAGATTTTTGAGGGGGAAATATACGATGAATTTAAAAAGGTGATGGGGATAACCTTTACTAAAAAACCGGAGGCATTTCTATTAAGTATTTTAGACAAAGAGATTCCCAAAAATTCAAGAGAGTTATTTTTGTATGCAACTGCAGCGGCTCAAATACTCGTGGCCAAGGGATGGAAAGATCAGGAGACTCCAAAAAGTTGGCAAATTAAATTACAGGAATTTGTGGAGATGGCTCAATTGACTAGCAAACTCACGAGGAAACTCAAAGCAAAAATTTGCGGAAAAATGGGATGGTTATAGAAGATATGCTCAAAAATACAATAATAGTTTTGACTCCGTGCTAGCATTCGAGCGACAGAGGAAGTAAAAGGAGGTGGATAACAATTAAGGATTTATTATGTTTTCTGATTGTATTGGAAAATTTATATAGAAAGGTTTATTGTTTTATGTACATTCAACTGTAAGATAAAACATGTGCGAAGGGACTTGACAGGAAGTCAAAACTGAAGAAAATATTTTGTAAGATAAAAGGGGGGGAAATATTTATTTTCATTATCATCATTATTTGTTTGTGTGTGTGTGTTTTGTATAGGATGTTTGGGAGGAAATAAGACGGTAAATAACAAACAAAATGTATGATGTATGTAATTTTTATTTCTCAACTGTATTTTGTGGTAGTATGGTTGTAGTGATTTTTGTAATATAAAATCATTCAATAAAAATTATTTTTAAAAAAGAGAAGAGAGAATTTGGGGTGGGAGGGAGGGAGAAAGGAACATGTCTATGAGGTCCCCCAAATCACGTCCCATGGGAATGTGACATTCAAGGGATGGGTAATTGCCCCCAGCTACGAAGATCTACCTGTCGGCAAGGCTGTCCCCCCTCTTCAGGCATTGGCTGAGTTGCTGTGACCTCACAGAACATTCAGCCAATGCTCTGCTTGCTGAAGGGATGGAACCGGCGGTCCTCTAATCTACAGGCACCTTGAAGGCTTTGGGCACGTCACCTTTGGAACTCCCTGTCCCTTGATGTCACTGTACACTTTTCAGCTCCTTGTCTTGCTTAGGGAAGCCTACCTGGAAAGCTGCAGGCTAGTTTTTATCTGTTTTCAGTCTATCTATCGTTATTTTAACTTTCTGAAGGGTTTAAATTATTGTTGTTAATTTTTCTTGTTGATGATCTTGTTTTATCTTTTTCTGTAAACTGTTTGTGTAGGGTTTAAAAAACAAAACAAAACACCAATCGGGTATATGTTGAAACACTGTGAATAATTGTTGTTACAGATAATGGTCAGATAGCAAGGTTTCTCATCTTCCTTTTATCTGTTTTTCTATTCTTTCAGTTATTTTTTCCTCTCTCTCTTTCTTTATATAACTGTTTTGGAAGGATCTGTTTTATATTTTCTTTCTCTTTATTCTTCTCCTCTTTTTTTTTGGGATGTAACACTTTTTATTACCCTTTTATATAAACATGTTCGGATTTTAATGCTCAGTATGTTACAAACCTCCAATAATTTATTTTTCTAAGTGGGTGAGCTGCAAAGGGATAAGTGAAGGCAGAACTGGCCAGGTGTGTGTGGGTAAAAAAGGTAAAGGACCTCTGGACGGTTATGTCTAGCCGAAGGCGACTCTGGGATTGCGGTGCTCATCTCGCTTTCAGGCCGAGGGAGCCGGCGTTTGTCCGCAGACAGCTTCCTGGGTCATGTGGCCAGCAGGACTAAACCGCTTCTGGCGCAATGGGACACCATGATGGAAACCAGGGCGCATGGAAACTCCGTTTACCTTCCCGCTGGAGCGGTATCTATTTATCTACTTGTACTGGCATGCTTTCGAATTGCTAGGTTGGCAGGAGCAGGGGAGCAACGGGACCTCACCCCGTCACGGGGATTCGAACCGCCCACCTTCCGATTGGCAAGCCCAAGAGGCTCAGTGGTGGTTGAGAAAAAGCTTTTCCATTTCCACAGCGAAACTCACCTTTAGGCCCTGCCAGGGCAGGCTCCCCCGGAGGAAGTACATGAACATATGACCTAACGCCTCCAGGTCGTCCCTGCGACTTTGTTCTGTGCAAGAGACAACAGAGGACATTGGACATTTTCAGTTGCGGCTTGGTCATCATTTCAGAAACTTCTTTTCTTTTTAAAACCCAAAGAACAAAAGAAGATTGGAGGATGAAACTGATGCACTATGCGGAATTAGATAAATTAACAGGGAGAATGCAAAATCTGCGGGATCAGAGATTCACAGAAGACTGGTATAAATTTACGGATTATTTGGAAAGTAATTGTGATGATCAGATTACGCTTGTAGGTTTGCGAGAAGTTTTGTAAGGTGGACTATTTGAAATATTGCAAGAAAAAAGGTAACGAGGGGGACTGTTAGTTAAGATAATTAAAGGCAATAGGAATTTAAGAAATGCAGAATAAGTGATAAGAACGGAGGACCATCAGAGGGGCTGATGGAAGTCCAAAAAGATTGTGTAAGAAATGAAGTTTTGCTATATGAATGATAATTAATATGTAAAAATTAATAAAAAATTATTTTAAAACAATTAAATAAAACCCAAAGAACACGGAATACAGTGGTACCTCGGGTTAAGAACTTAATTCGTTCCGGAGATCCGTTCTTAACCTGAAACTGTTCTTAACCTGAAGCACCACTTTAGCTAATGGGGCCTCCCGCTGCCACCAGAGCACGATTTCTGTTCTCATCCTGAAGCAAAGTTCTTAACCTGAGGAACTATTTCTGGGTTAGCGGAGTCTGTAACCTGAAGCGTATGTAACCTGAGGTACCACTGTATCTTTACACTGGCTGCCTGGGCTTCCCTCCACACACACCCCTGTTTTAAAATAACAGTTTCTGTGTCCAGCACGGATGCAGCGTTTCAGAGATGGCTGCACCATTCATAGATCTCTCTCTCTCTCATTCATGTTCTCTCTGCAACATTCTCTCTCTTTCTGTCTCTGCCACACACACCCAATCTGCTTTTCCTTGCCCCCCCCCACAGCCTCCCCCTCCCCATTCCCAGGGGCTGCCTCCCCCTGCTCACCTTTCCCCAGGTGTGTGTTGATGCTCATGTACCGCGCGGTGCCGGTCAAGCTTTTGTGCTCTCGGTACGGGATGTGCTTTTTGGTCTCGGGGTCGATGAACTCTTTGGCCAGGCCGAAGTCAATGATGTGGATGACGTGTTGGCGCTTGCTGCCGGGCCGCCCCACCAGGAAGTTCTCCGGCTTGACGTCTCTGTAGATCAGGCTTTTGGTGTGGACGTACTCCATGCGGGTGATCTGCCGAAAGAAAAATCGCCAGAGCCTCTGTGTCATGTGCAAAGTAGCACTTGAGGGTCTGTGTCCTGGAAAACTGGGGCTTCTTGTAGGTTTGTGCATTTCCCCCCAGTTATATTTTATTAAATGTTCAAAAGCTTCACATTTTTCTTTTCTTTTTGTCAACCTCTCCTCCTGTTTTCCTTGGTGTACTTTAGGGGTCATCAACCTTTTTCAGCCATGGGCCGGTCCACTGTCCCTCAGACCATGTGGTGGGCCGGACTATTTTTTTGGGGGGGGGGGGTGAACAAATTCCTCTGCCCCACAAAATAACCCAGAGATGTGTTTTAAGTAGAAGCACACATTCTACTCATGCAAAAACACGCTGATTCCTGGACTGTCCGTGGGCCGGATTGAGAAGGCGATTGGGCCGGATCTGGCCCCCGGGCCTCAGGTTGCCTACCCCGGTATACTTCATCTCTCCCATCTTCTAACTCCCATATCATAAAAACAATTCAATAACCCCCAATTCTTTCTGTTGCTTATATCTCATGTCCGAAAAAGGATTCCATTCTTCCACCTGTATGCATTTTTATGGGGAGGCAAATCTGTTGTTTTTTAGACTGGGCAACACTCCAGGGGTCGCATGTCTGCAACGGCTCCCCATTTGCAGACTCCTCCGCATGAGAGCCAAAGAGTGGCAACAGGAAAATGGGGCCTTATCTGCAGTGGCTCCCCATTTGTGGAATGCTCTCCCCGGGGAGGCTTATCTGGCACCTTCATTAGACACCTAAACTTAAGATGAACTTACCATGTCTGGTTTCAATGGATTTTTCAAATGCTTAACTCAGTCTTTTGTTTTCTTTATCTTTTTAGGTAAGTTCATGAAGATACCAACAAAGGGTAAGATCAGTGTTGTTCACAATACAGTGATACCTCGGGTTACATACGCTTCAGGTTACAGACTCCGCTAACCCAGAAATAGTACCTCGGATTAAGAACGTTGCTTCAGGATGAGAAGAGAAATTGCGTAGCGGCGGCGGCAGCAGGAGGCCCCATTAGCTAAAGTGGTGCTTCAGGTTAAGAACAGTTTCAGGTTAAGAACGGACCTCCAGAACAAATTAAATTCTTAACCCGAGGTACCACTGTACTGAGAGATGCTAGTGAGGTTGTAGATGGATGCAAAACGCCGGCACCCTGCCTACAACTTCATTAACATCCATCTACAACTTCACTAGCATCTCTCAGTATTGTGAACAACACCGAACTTACCCTTTGTTGGTATCTTCATGAACTTACCTAAAAAGATAAAGAAAACAAAAGACTGAGTTAAGCCTTTGAAATATCCATTGAAACCAGACACGGTAAGTTCATCTTAAGTCTCTGTGGCTTTACACAAGGTTTTGTATTTTTCTCAGAAGATTGATAAAGAATGTATAATTATTTCGGTAGTTATTGTATGTACAGTGGTGCCTCGCAAGACGAAATTAATCCGTTCCGCGAGTCTCTTCGTCTTGCGGTTTTTCCGTCTTGCGAAGCACGGCTATTAGCGGCTTAGCGGCTATTAACGGCTTAGCGGCTTTAAGAAAAAGGAAACAAACTCGCATGAACTCGCAAGACGTTTTGTCTTGCGAAGCAAGCCCATAGGGAAATTCGTCTTGCGGAACGACTCAAAAAACGCAAAACCCTTTCGTCTAGCGAGATTTTCGTCTTGCGAGGCATTCGTCTTGCGGGGCACCACTGTATATTAGTCGCCAACGTGTTCCATGCATCATACTACTTCCTCTACAGAGTTGGCAAGGGCATCGGGGTGTGTTGCACGGGGTCCTTCCAAAAAAGCGTGGTGTTGTTGTTCTCTGCTCACCAGTTGGATGGCGATCATAAGGACCGTCTTGAGGGTGAAGGTCCGGTCGCAGAGGTCAAAGAGGTCCTCCAGGCTGGGTCCCAACAGCTCCAGGACCATCGCGTTGTACTTCCCGCAGGGCCCAAAGTAATAGACCTGAGGTATCCCTTCTGTGGAGAAGAAGGGAAGGCAGTTCAGAGGACAACTCTAGAGCTTCTCAAACGAATACCGCAAAGTGGAGTCAGGGACAATTTCGGTTCAGTTCAAGATTGGTTGAATTTCCAGGATGCTCCTTGTGGCTGAGAACTTTCTGGGTTTTTGGTTTTTTTAAAAAAATTGCATTTTAACCTGTATTTTAATTTCTTTTTCTTTTCTTATTATGTTTTTACTGAAATTTTATTGATGTTAGCCGCCCTGAGCCTGGCTCTGGCTGGGGAGGGCAGGGTATAAATAAAATTTATTATTATTATTATTATTACTACTACTACTACTACAATGCAGGCTTCCTCATGAGTAGCGTCTAAAATTCACATTTTGCACCTGGCTATCGGCCACCAGGTGAAGAGGGCTGGGTGCCAGGATGGGGATCCTTGGATCTGGACTGTTTTCAAACACCAACACCCCCTCCTGTAGAATTCTCTCCAATATATTTTATCTGCACAATCGGAATGAATTTCAGGAACCAAAATGCTTTTTCTGTGCAGTCCGAGCAGAAGCAGTGAACGACATTATAGTGAATTGTTGTTGCTTTTCTTCACTTCCCCCACTGCACTTCTCATGGTTGTGAATTATACCCCTACGTTATGAATGGTCTGAGTCACCATTATGAAAAAGAGGTCAGAACAGTCCAATAGATATGTGGACTGTCTTTGGATCAAGTGACTTTTCTTCTTTTAAATTCTCAGAGCTCTTAACCTGGCTCAAGGTTGTCTTCTGAACTAGCCAGATATTTAACTGAGAATCCATCACAGTCAGTCCATCATTTGGAAAATAAGACTTTAGAGCCACCTTGACCAAAAGGGGCATTCTCTTTTGGCGACTGTAACCCTGGCTCAAGGAGATGTTTGGCACCTAGCTTATTATATATCTGAGTTTATAACGCTGCCTAGATTCAGCCCCCAAGACCATGATGTAAAAAGAATGGGCTTTTAAGTCCCATTTTACAAGTTAAATAGTAATCTCACTAACAATTGAGTCCCGTTATCTCAGTGTGTTCCCCAAGTGCTGTTGTGAAAAGGTTAAGGGCCATCAACACACAGTTTCATTTTTATTGACTTCTTTTATTTGTATTGACTTCTTTCATTTTTACTTACATCTTCTACCTAACAGAATTCACCCACCGCTGGCTGTAACAAAACCTGAGCAATAAGATTATCGACAGAAAGAGAGTTAAAAGTCGGCTTTGAGCTTTAAGAGATCATTAAAATTAGCAGCAGAATTAACGAGAGATTGAAACATGTCAACGTCTGACATGGGTCTGGGTTGACTTGCCTAAGCAAACGTATTTTCGGGAGGAACTGAATTCAGGGAACGTCCCTGCCTGGCGTCGACCGGAAGAAGAAGAGCAGCAGAGAGGCTGTCAATATTATTAACGCTTAATAAACGCCTTGGAAGGTAGGCCAGCACGACTGTCGCCCGTCCTGCGGACAGGGAAGGTGAAGGCTGAGAAAAAGAGCAAGGCGGCAGCACAGCTTACGTCAAAAAATCAACACTGGGGGGGCGGGGAAGTAGCCCCATCGTCTTTTAGTTTCCGTCTTCTCCAGGGTCACCCTGAAAACACCTGTCTCAAATCTTTACAGCTGTTCCGGAGGCTGTGTTGCAAAACATCCCTTCAAAGCCACTCCTTGCACCATCATAAGGACTAGTGCCCATTTTTTGGGGGGGGGGATTAAGGTCTTATATATATATATAACAAGGGACGCGGGTGGCGCTTTGGGTTAAACCACAGAGCCTAGGACTTGCCAATCAGAAGGCTGGCGGTTCGAATCCCCGCGACGGTATGAGCTCCCGTCGCTTGGTCCCTGCTCCTGCCCACCTAGCAGTTCGAAAGCACCTCAAAGTGAAGTAGATAAATAGGTACTGCTCTGGTGGGAAGGTAAACGGCGTTTCTGTGCGCTGCTCTGGTTTGCCAGAAGCGGCTTAGTCATGCTGGCCACATGACCCGGAAGCTGTACGCCGGCTCCCTTGGCCAATAAAGCGAGATGAGCGCCGCAACCCCAGAGTCGGTCACGACTGGACCTAACGGTCAGGGGTCCCTTTACCTTTATATATATATATAACAAATGTTCATAAATGTACCAAGCAAACATGTACATAAATATATAAACCACATGTCTGAAGCAGCACAGGAAAACAGCCCGGAAACCATTTTGACTCCCAAACTGACCAAGTGAGTTCTCTGCAAGGTCAAAGGAAAATGGAAAAGCCTCCCCGCTGTCTTTTCCTTCACATATCCTGTCTTAAGGGTATGTCTGTGTATGAATGAATAGGGTGAGCCTATGACCTGGCTCAGGAACTAAGTATTTATCATTACAAAAGACTGGCCAGGCTCCCCAGGGTATCCAATCAAGTGAGCATTAACAGTTAACCTGCCAGACAGGTGGTAAACAACGCACTCAGATTTCTGCTGTAGACCACCCTTTCTGTGATGTAGGTATAATGTCTCTGGGGGTGGTCTTGGACTCCAGGGCGGGCAATTTAAAATGTCTATATAAGGGCAAGCACACCTTGGTTCTGGGTCCTCCTCCTTTCCTGCATGTGAAAGGGGCACCCTCTTGCAATAATTCAATAAAAACCAGTCTTACGAGCTGCTTTGCTTCTCAATATTCTCTGGTTGGCCTCTGTTCTCTGTCCGACTGATGGAGAACCTGCAAAGGACTCTATAAGGGCTCTTGTGTCCCCCATAAGGGAGTAAGGGCAGATTTTCGCTTATTACGGCTTCTTCCGAAGCCCCTCTGGGGAGTGAGGAGTGCAAGACCGGCCAGCCCGCTACCCACCTGCATTTCCCAGCTGTTTGTAGAACCTGTATTCCAGGTGGAGCTGAGGAGCTCTGGACTTGATGGGTTCCTGGAGAGAGGAAGAGGAAGAGAGAATGGAGAGCTGCAAAAATCCCTTTATTTTCCGGTGCAAATGGGGCAACATCACAGTCTGCCTGCTCAATCAGGCCAGTGGCTCGTTTAGTTCAGCTTCCCGTTCTCACAGTGGCCAACCAGGTAATAATAATAATAATAATAATAATATATTTTGAAAAACAATGGTCCCTACATAAAGATGAGGATGGGGAGAAAGAAGAGACAGCCCCGTTTAAAAACAGACAAACCCAGAGAACCAACCTATTATCGGAAGATCACTTACCAACTTGATCGCTACATATTCGTTCGTATAGAGGTTCTTCCCTATAAGAAAGGTTTTTTTAAAAAAGAAGAAGAAAAGAATTTAGTCAAAAAAAGAGACAATTACACACACACACGCAAATCCCAATTTAGGATCTCCACACTAGAAAATTCCATGACAGTTAATCCCAGAAATTTTTGGGTGAAAAAATTCCTGCATTGCAGAGGGTTGGACTAGATGACTCTGGAGGCCCCTCTTCCGACTCCATTATTCTTTGTGAGAGACCTATGTCTGCAAAAGATGGTATAAGCCCACTTGCGAATGCTTTTTTTAAAAAGGGAATTTACAATTTAAGTATCACTGTCTGTTGCGATTACAGTGGTACCTCTGGTTGTGAATGGGATCCGTTCCAGAGACCCGTTCGCAACATGAAAGAGCGCAACTGACAGCAGCGCGTCTGCGCACACACGGGTTGCGATTCGCCGCTTCTGCGCATGACGTCATTTTGTGCTTCTGTGCATGAGCGAGCAATGAAACCCGGAAGTAACCCTTTCCAGTACTTCCGGGTCACCGCGGGACGCAACCTGAAAGAACGTAACATGAGGTATGACTGTTTAATATTCTGTCCACAAATACAGTCATACCTCGGGTTACAGACGCTTCAGGTTGCGTTTTTTTGAGTTACGGACCGCCGAAACCAGGAAGTACTGGAATGGGTTACTTCCAGGTTTCGGCGGTCGCGCATGTGCAGAAGCGCTAAATCGCACTTTGCGCATGCGCCGAAGCACCGAATCGCAACCCGCGCATGCGCAGATGTGGGTTGCGAATTCTGCGGGTTGCGAACGTGCATCCCGCACGGATCACGTTCGCAACCCGAGCGTCCACTGTACCGTGCTCCTCCCCCACTTTTTTCACATCCAATAAATAAAAAGTGTTCTCTTCCAAACCATGGTTATCAGGTACTAAGGGTAGAACCAGTGCATCTCTCTCTTTTAAAGGAATGAAAAGCCTATTGTACGATAAGGGTGTTGCCGTGCATGTACAGAGTGCCTCTCCCCTTCCGGTTCTGAGGAAGTTTTATTATTATTATTACCATATTTTTTCCATGTATAAGACACCCACTATTTTTGGAGCCCAAAATTAAGCAATAATTAATTGCAACATTCCGTGTATAAGACGACCCACAAATTTAAACTTAAAAAATTGGGGGGGGGGGAGAAATATAGTCTTATACACGGAAAAATACAGTATTTCACAAACAAGCAGCTTACGAAGGAAGACAAAACAATAAAACCATCGATAAAACACAACGAACAAAAATAATTCGAAACGTTCAAGAAATTAAAATGGGCAACAGACAAAAAAACCCAAAACAGATTAAAATTCAAAGCAGCATTTTGTATTTTTATTTTTTGTTTTTGTGTAATTCTTGTATTCTTTGAAATTTTAATAAATATCATTTAAAAAAAAAAATTCAAAGCAGCATTCTAAAGTATCTGGTGGGCTGGAATTTGTTCTGTTTGTTGTGTTAATGTTTCTTGCCCAAGCGAACAGCTCTGTTGCTTAGAGCATGGTGCTGATAAATGCCAAAGTCGCAGGTTCGATCCCTGTCAGGGACAGCTGCGTATTCCTGTACTGCACCTCTTGCTAATTACACACAAATTAACTGATAAATAATGATTAACTTTTAATAATTTAGTACAACTTTTAACCAAGTTGGGTACGCAGTCTATCAAGTGTGAACGATTCGTGAAACGGGCCTTTTTCTTTTTCTTTTTGCTGGCTTTGAATAACCAGGAATGCCAGGATTATCTTACAGTTAATAATTTGTTTGTCACTGAATCGCAGAATTGTAGAACTGGAAAGGGAACCCCAGAGTCATCTAGTCTAACCCCCTGAAATACAGAAATCACATCTAATCACAGAAGGTGGTGGCTCTTCTCAAATGCATTTGAAAATAAGCTAAGAAGGCAGATCCTAAAAGCAGTTGAAAAATTAGCCCATCATCTGCACAGAGGCATCCTTTAAAAAAATGTGCAAATTTAATTGAATCGATACTTAAATATACGACTTATCAATAGGTAAAACATACCATGCTAGGATTGTGCCCAACTAAATCCTGCTCAGGGCAGATCCATTGAAACTGGGTGGGTGTGACTCAACTCTGGTCCAATGGGTCTACTTAGAGCAGGACAACCCATAATTTGCAGCATCACCAAAAAACAAAACAAAACAAAAAAAACCTCATGGAAGTTTATGGGAAAAGATCTTTCGTCACAATGTTTATCGACACTTAACAACCATTCCAAAAATAAGATAGATGGTTGAAAATTAAAGCTTTTCAGGACTCGGCTGAAGCCTCATAGCCCAAGCTTGATCGCTGAGACTACCTGCAGGAGCGTCGTTGGATCATTCCCAGGGTTGTTGAGGTTCATTTGACAACAAGGAACCCAAGCCTTTAGTGTTATCAGCCCAGCCCTGCAGAACTCTCTGCCACTTGAGATTCAACACCTGCTGAAAACCTGTCTATTCTGCCAGGCCTATGTAGGCAGTTAAGAATACATTTTTTCCACAATGGTTAAATGGTGTTCTAGGTGGAACTGATGCCGTTGTGGGTTTTGTTTTTTGTATACTTTTACTGTATTTTTGTTGTAAACTGCTTTTTTTGAAAAAAAAGTATAAGTATTTTCATATAAATAATCTTTTCAAGATCATAAAAAGTGCAACACATTCTCCTGATATTCCTAATTCTTTTTTAAAAAAGGGTTTCCAGTTACTAAATCCAGTTGACATATTTATTCACATTCTGCACCAAGAATACATTAGCGTCATCATATTCAATTGCCTTCAAAATTTCCTGATTATATCCAAGTTTTTCTTTTCTTGTTCTTCTTCCGCACCTCAGATTACATAATCCTTGCAAGAGGTAAAGGGTGTGATTGATACCTCTGTTTCATTTGGCCTGTGGCATAATTGCCTTAAAAGTAACTCGTCAGACGCATTGAGTATTCTGCCTGAAAAAACTCTTGACATCATGGAATAGTTTACAATATTTGGTTGTCATCAAACAAAACGGGCATCTAAGGAACTGGTATGCCAGCCCTGCAACCCATAATTGCTTTTCCCCAAACCAAAATTCTTCTCCTTCGCCCAATGTGCACCCAATTCAGTTATTTAAATAGTTTCCTCCCACCAAGGAAAGCTCCCAAAGTAGATTACAGACCACTTAAAAGAGGAGAGAGAGAAACAGATCCTGCCTTTTGGGCTTACAATCTAAAAGTACACAGCATGAAAGGAAAATGGTTTTGGCAGGAGGAGGAAAGAAGCAAACGCGGGATTAAGTTATTTGGCAATTTTACACAAGCCGTGAGCAGCAGTGAGCAACTATTTTGCAGCATCAATTTTGCGGGGGGCGGGCAGGCGTCTGTGAAATCCCTTAAACAGAGCTGAGCAAAGCCCAGCAGAACAACCCCAGACTTAGGAAAAAGAAGCGTGGGAATTTGAAAACATTCCGGTTTAACCCAGGCATTTGGTGGCGGAAGAAAGCCTCTTCCTGGAAACCCCCCCGAGATCATCCGAGGGGAAAAGGCTTTTCACTGCAACCTGATTTTGGAATGTTTGCAGATGGCAATCGGCTTTTGCAATGTTCTGAGCGTTTTTCGCTTTTATACGGCGTGTCCGCTTGCCCCTGTTGGGCTCCTTGGGGAGGCAAAGCACAATCTAAATCCCATGAACGATAATAACATGTTGTGCTGGACCCGGGGGTAACCCGAGAATCGCAGTCCAGGTCCGGTCCAGAATCCAAAGGTTCTGCTAGGTGTCAGTCCGACAGGGCCATGGCAGGACACGAGGCAGGAAACCAGGCAATGACAGGTACAGGATCTGGCACACAGCAACGTTGCTCCCGCAACCTGGGGCAGGGTCCGTCAGCCTTTTATCTTTGTCGGGGTAGCGGCCGGTCCTGATCCCCCAGTAACTCCCCTCCCTGTTTCGCCCGAAGGCGAGCACTCCTCCTGCGAGTACTCAGGTCTCTCCTTCTCTCAGACCTGAGTCTCTGCAGCTCGGGAGACGTCGGTGGGTTACTAGACCCAGAGGCCGCCTCAGCCTCCCCTGACCCAACCGGTAGTGGAGCAGCTGTGAGTGATGGCCCAGCTGAAGGCAACGAGGTCATCCCCGCATCTGGAGCCAGGGCAGGCTCAGGCCCCTGACTCGGCCCAGCTGGTGCTTGTTGCAGGGGAACCTGTGCAGACTGGGACTCTTCAGGATCAGTCCCCAGACTCAGTTCAGGTGATGCCTGAGGCAAAGGATCTGATGCGGACTGAGTCTCCTCTGGTTCCGAGTCCGAGCCAGAGTCCCAGACCATCACACATGTCCTCCTTCCCCAAGAGGTTCAGAGGGTGGCAACACGAAAGCGGGGCCTTTTTGGTGGTGGCTCCCTGTCTGTGGGATGCTCTCTCCAGAGAGGCTTGCCTGGAGCCTTCATTACATGTCTTTAGGTACCAAGGAAAAGCAGTCCTCTTTGGCCATTAACTAATCTATGGCCTGCTAAAGCTCGAGAGAGGGTGGTGGTAGGGCTGGGCGATATCTGGTTTTCAACATTGTGATATATCACCAGCTAAACATCATGATAGACCAATATACTGATATATCACAATGTCTGAAATAAGGATGGAGTTATGTAGAGGCATTGGCTGGCTTCACAGTTTTTTCCACATTATGGTTTTTACATAGCGCACACACACACACACACACACATCACGATTCCATCATATGTGTTTTTAATGTACACCGTCCTGGGATTTAAAAGGGGGATATATAAATCAAATAAATTGTAATAATTTATTCAAGGAGATTTATGTCAAGGAGATAAGTAACTATACAACCTTTAGACATCTGAAAGAAGCCCTGTATAGGGAAGTTTTGCAATGTTTATTATGTTTTTATATATGTTAGAAGCTGCCCAGAATGGCTGGGGAACACAGTCAGATGGGTGGGGTATAAAAAATATCACCATCATTCGTGGTTGTTGTTGTTACTATACCACCCTTCACCAAAAGATCTCAGGGTGGTGTACAACATCAAAACCACATTTTACTGAGCATAGTAATCAAAACATGAAGCGAAGCATAGGAATAGACAGCACGGCATATTTTTAAAAATTAAAAAAGATAATGTATGCACAGTGCAACAAAAAGGAATCTCCATGCAGTTTACACCGCTTAAAAAATAAAGTAAAATTAAGAAAATACAGTGGTACCTCAGGTTAAGTACTTAATTCGTTCCGGAGGTCCATTCTTAACCTGAAACTGTTCTTAACCTGAAGCACCACTTTAGCCAATGGGGCCTCCCGCTGCCGCTGCCGCTGCCGCCGTGCAATTTCTGTTCTCATCTTAACCCGAGGTACTATTTCTGGGTTAGCGGAGTCTGTAACCTGAAGCGTATGTAACCTGAAACGTATGTAACCTGAGGTACCACTGTACTTAATAGGCAATTGAAGCTTTTAGGGAAGCTTTTAATGTTTAATAGATTATTGTATTTTAATATTCTGTTGGAAGCTGCCCAGAGTGGCTGGGGAAACCCAGTCAGATGGGCGGGGTATAAATAATTTATTATTATTATTATTATTATTGATATTTTGTTGTTGTTGTTTAGTCGTGTCCGACTCTTCGTGACCCCCTGGACCAGAGCACGCCAGGCACTCCTGTCTTCCACTGCCTCCCGCAGTGATATTGATATATATTATTGATATACAATGCAATAAATAAGTATCCAAGTTGTTTTTCACGGTTACAAAAATAACTGCATAAATACAATTTTTTAATTAAAAAAATCCACATTTTAAAGCAGCAAAATTGATTAATTAATTAGAGGAGCAACAGCTCAGGAACAGCAACTCACACAGAGACGCTCCGCTCAGCCTCCTCTGCTAGAGAGCGGAAGGCTTTGCACGATCAACAGGTGCTTCTCAATGTGTCAAGGGGTGGGGGACAAATTTCCAATTCTCCGCTGGCCCCATGGAAAGCTGGCAGCCTGTCCCTTCCTGAGCGGAGGGCAAGGAATGCTATGAGGTCACGGTGAAATAGCCGAACGTTCCTTCGCTGTCCCCCTCAAAACAATTTGTCCTTGTGGCTTTCGTACGTGCAAATCTCCCCCCCTCCTCTCTCGCACCTGCTCCCGGGCATCAGCGCTTTGCATCCCTCCTGACCTTTCCTGTTCCAGAGGCGTTCCAAGCATTTAATTTAAAAAATAAAAATAAAGGAAATGAAAGAATACGGACCTCGAGGGTCCGATTTCAAGGGCGTCCGGCAGAGGGAAGCTTTTGCGCTGGGGCTCATCACTGCCGCCAAGAGGAAATATGACGTGTGCCCCCCGCTTTCTCCGGAAAGAAATTCCCACGGGGCAAAATAACTTTGCCTGCTTGCCCATCCCAATCCGCCCCATAAAACAGCCACAGAACCTCTCTGTGTTGCAAAGGATTCTGGGCACCCGCCAGTTCTGCCCCTTCCATGGAGGTTTTGGTGGTGGTGGTGGACTACAACTCCCATTGTCCTTTGCTATTTCCCACACTGCCCGGTGGGAGCTGTAGTCCAGCAGTGCTGGGAGGGGGCCACCTTGTTTGCCGCCTGGGCGCTTCCAAGCTGGACTGCTGCAATGCTCTGTCCGTGGGGCCACCCTTGGAGACAGACTGGAAAAAACCACCGGAGGAGGAGAAAGCAGGTTTCCAAAAAAAATGGGTGTGGGTGTGTGTTTATAAATAAATAGGACAAAAATATGATGCCCGCGCTGTTAGAAACTCAAATCTATAGGCCGGGCAATATAGAAAGGAGGTATGCAAATTAAAAGGGAAGTGGAATTAAAAGTACAAGGGTCATAACCTATATTTGCAACATGGATGATGCCATCCGTTTGCATAAAGTTTGTTTTGCACAGGGAAAGCAACTATACAAGAAGTAAGGTTACAGGGAACAAGGCAGAGGGCCTTTTTGGTAGTGGCACCTGCCCTGTGCAACGCCCTCCCAGCAGATGTCAAAGAAATAAACAACTATTTTACTTTTAAAGGACAATTGAAGGCAGCCCTGCTTAGGGAAGTTTTTAAAATCTGATGCTGTACTGTTTTTAATATTTGGTTGGAAGCAGCCCAGAGTGGCTGGGGAAACCCAGCCAGATGGGTGGGGTATAATTATTATAATTATAATTATAATTATTATTATTATTATTATTATTATTATTATTAGCGACTAGAACTCCTCTGCTCAGTCCTGTGGATATTTTGCTGGGTCTTGTGTGTTTAGTCTTAAGGTCTAAAAACTTTTGTAGTAATTTAATTTACGCAAAGACAGCCACGCTCCTTGCAAGCACATACACCTTCTTGAAAAATCCTACACAATTCCTCAGCGGCTGCTACTTCACTGTGTGGAATGCCTTCAGTCTAAAAGCTCCAGAAACTTTTGATTCTGTATAAATTTAATTTGCATATGTTCACTGACACCGACACACACAGACAGAACTCATTTTCTGTAAAATTCAGCTCAGTTCGCAGTGGGCTGCCTTATTTTAAGGTCTACAAACTTTTAGAGTTTGCAGAAATTTAATTTGTACAGAGAATAATGCTACTCTCTGCCCAGGCACACCAGATTTTTGAAAAATCCTGCTCAATCCCATGGCCACAGATATCTCAGTGACCCTCTGTCACGGATGCTTGAGCTGTTGATTCCTGCGTTGCAGGGGGTTGGACTGGATGACCCTCAGAGGTCCCTTCCAAAGCTACGATTCTTTGATTCTATGATTGCTTTCAAGTCTAGAAGCTGGGGTTTTTGCGGGGTTGGGGAACTGATGAGTGCGACATTCAAAATACCACGTCTTTGAGGAACACGACCCGGAAAAGGAAATCTGATCTGGGCATAGCTGTCAACTTTTCCCTTTTCTTGAGAGGAATCCTATTCGGAATAAGGGAATTTGCCTTTAAAAAGGGGAAGCGTTGACAGCTATGGATCTGGGCCGGGGTGGAGCGAATGCAGGAGCAAAAAATAAATAAATCAGAGGGTGGGAGCTCCAGCTGAGCGGAGATCTGTCTGTCTGTCTGCCAGGGGGTGGCCGGAACGAGAGGCTGCGCCTGCGGGTGGCAGAGGATAAAGGAGGAGAGATAATCCCTGGCATTTGGGAGGATGTAGCGGAAAATATAGCCTTAGCAGCAGAGCAATGGAGAGCGGCTATTCTCCAGCTGGCACCCGGGACGAATCCTCCCAGGGAAACAGACTGGTGCTGCCAGGGTCTGCAAACATTGCTGGTGCTCAGCTAGGCGGCAGGATCACAGCGTTAGAAACTCAGATACGCAAGCTAATTGCCAAATGCCACCTGAAACCTCGGCTGCGGTGGCTGCAACAGAAGGATCTGGGCAGTTTGACTGGCAATTGCAACTCAACGGGGAAACAGCCCGAAATCTTGCAAGAGATGCCCACTCTGGGATGTGTGAGTGTCTGGAGGTGGTTGGAGGATGGATGGTGGCTAACGGATTGAAGTGTTGTTTCTGGGGGGCAGGTAGGTGTGGGGGACTCCCTGGTCCTGAAAGTGGTAACTGTGCCCCGGAAGGAGCAGGTGTGCAGCCTGGGGGTCATTTTGGACTCACCGCTGTCCATGGAGGCGCAGGTCAGTTCTGCGTCCAGGGCAGCTGTCTACCAGCTCCATCTGAGACGCTCCCTGTCTCGCCAGAGTGGTCCATGCTCTGGTTATCTCCCGCCTGGACTACTGCAATGCGTTCTACGTGGGACTGCCTTTGAAGGTGACTCGGAAACTACAACTAATCCAGAATGTGGCAGCAAGACTGGTGACTGGAACCATACAACTCCAGTCCTAAAGGATCTACACTGGCTCCCAGTACGTTTCCAAGCACAATTCAAATTGTTAGTGCTGACATTTAAAGACCTAAACGGCCTTGGCCCAGTATACCTGAAGGAGCGTCTCCACCCCAATCAAGAAGCGAGGTTACAGAGAACCAGGCAGAGGGCCTTCTCGGTGGTGGCGCCCACCCTGTGGAACGCCCTCCTGTCGGATGTCAAGGAGATAAAAGAACTGACTTTTAGAAGACACCAGAAGGCATCCCTGTATAGGGAAGTTTTTGACACTTGATGTTTTATTGTGTTTTTAATACTTAGTTGGGAGCCCCCCAGAGTGGCTGGAGCAACATCTAAATAATAAAATTATTATTATTAATGTAGCCGTAAAGGAGAAAATCATGAGCAATCTGAGATTTCAACAAGACCTAGAACCTGAGGGCACTTTTTATATGATTTCGTATTCACTGTGGAACCATAATTTCCAAGACAACCCTCACTGTGGGCCTATCAGATTGGGATTTATACTTGACCATCACATTACGCTGAGATTCTTTACTCTGCTATTTCAACCCATGTGCAACTGTATTCATTCTGTGTACCTGCTTCAGAGTTTGGCCTCTCACCTTTTCATTTTCACCCGTCGTTCTAATCATCCTCCCCATTTTATACACACACAGCTCCCACTAGCAGGAAAGGCCTGTTATCCAAAATCTCAGTTAAGTAATTATACCCAAACCTTGATACACGAGTGGCTGATTCAGATATCCGAACCGCCAGAGTGTGCCCACTTCCACACCTGCTTGTGTTTCGCTGGTCAGCGGAAGCCATTTTCGGGCAGAAACCACAAAGGGAGGGAGAGAGTTGGAACAAACCAGGGAGCAGAAGAAACGAGACGTACCAGGTTCCTCCCATTTGTTTGACTTTCGCTGGGGGGTCTGCAACAGTTTGGGACAGAAAGCATGCATCAAATGTCCCTATAAATAATGGGAATCGTCAGCCAGCTCATTTAGCAAACCATTTCCTGGGAATGCATTGCGTTCAGAAAGCAGGGTGGAATTTGAAAACAGTTGGGAGTTCTTGTTATTAAATATACCAAGAAAAAAGCACATCAAGAACTCAGGCCAATGTAAGTTTCAACAGTGGGAGTGGTCCCTACTCGCAAGTCAATAGTCAATAGTAACAAAAACTAATCCATTCAAAAGTATGTATTCTGACAGGGATTACAAACTGAAACAGAGATTACAAACTCAAACTCATAAAAATATGTATAACACAATAATTTGTTACAGAATTAGAGAGAAGAGTTTATGAGTAGAGATAAGTTCATGTTAGTCCATCATCAGATTCGTCGTGGAGGTCTTAGTTTCAATCACTGAGCAGAAGTCAGAAGTCAGTTATGGATTAGAAATCAGGAAAGGGTCCTGTTTCGATGTATTCACCTTCATCAGCTGGAAGTATCAAATATTACATGAAAATACATTTAAATTCTAAATTATCCTAAATTATAATCTGTAAAACAGTATTATATAACATTTGGTTCCTTACCTAATTTTTAAAGGGTTCTACATATTTTTATGAGTCTGAGTTTGTAATCTCTATTTGAGTTTGTAATCCTTGTCAGAATACCTACTTTTGAATGGATTAGTTTTTGTTACTATTGACTATTGACTTGCGATGGTGCTGGAGGAGACTCTTGAGAGTCCCATGGACTGCAAGAAGATCCAACCTATCCATTCTGAAGGAAATCAGCCCTGAGTGCTCACTGGAAGGACAGATCCTGAAGCTGAGGCTCTAAGACTTTGGCCACCTCATGAGAAGAGAAGACTCCCTGGAAAAGACCCTGATGTTGGGAATGATGGAGGGCACAAGGAGAAGGGGACGACAGAGGACAAGATGGTTGGACAGGTGTTAAAGAAGGACAGAACTTTCTTTATGTATGCTACAACAGCAGCAAGAATACTTATTGCAAAGCATTGGAAGACACAAGATCTACCCACTTTGGAAGAATGGCAGATGAAGGTAATGGACTATATGGAATTGGCAGAAATGACTGGCAGAATCCGAGACCAGGGAGAAGAGTCGGTGGAAGAAGATTGGAAGAAATTTAAAGACTATTTACAGAAATAATGTAAAATTCATGAATGTTAGAATGATGTTGGATTGAAGTTAAGTGGTTTCTAGCTGTAATGGTATAAAAGAATATGGAAAAATTGGTTTTCAATACGTAAAAACCTAATGCTATAATATATTAAGATTAAAGATCAGGATTAAAAAGGAGGGAAAGGAATTGCTGGATTAATAAATGGAATTGGAATACAAAAAAGGGAGGTATGAGGAGGTCCGGGAAATAAGTAAATGTAAGAGAAGTGATGAAAAGATGGAATTGTTTTTAATTTTTTTTTTTGCACTTTGTATTTTTCTTTTTTCTATTGTTATTTTTCTTATCAATGTAATCTTTTTCTTGAAATTTTAATAAATATCATTTAAAAAAAACAAAAACAAGATGGTTGGACAGTGTTCTCGAAGCTACCAGCATGAGTTTGAACAAACCGCGGGAGGCAGTGGAAGACAGGAGTGCCTGGCGTGCTCTGGTCCAGGGGGTCACGAAGAGGCGGACACAACAACATTGACTTGCGAGTAGGGACCACTCCCACTACTGAAAATTACATCAGCCTGAGTTCTTGGTGTGCTTTTTTCTTGGAATTTGAAAACAGGCCACGGACAGGAAGGTGCAGAGACTCACCTAGTCGAAGCTCCCCAAAGTTCCCACACCCGATCTTCTTCCCGACACGGAAGTTCGGGCCGACCATTAAGACTCCAGAGTTGGTCCCGGACGTCCGGCTCCCGTGCGTGTTGCGGCTGCTCCCTGTCTTAGACATCCTTCGCCCTTCCTCCGCGTCCCCTTTGCCTCCTCTCTTATCAAAATCCATAAGTTTGTGATACCCTGGCCTCTCCACGGTTACGCTGCTGCCATGCAAATCCGAGGGCCGAAACGTTGCAGGGGACGGCTGGGGGGTCAGGGCGGGGAGAGGGCGGGGTAGGGGGGTCAGGGGAAGGAGGGGAAGGGGAGCACGAAAGCGAGAGAAGAGGAAAAGGAGGTCGAAAACGCCGGTTCTCTTTTCTTGGTCAGTAAACCATCCCGGGTAGAGGAGGAGGAGGAGGAGGGGAGGGCACCAGGGGGCGGACCGTCACCCGCATGTGCCGCGCTAGTGGGCCGGGGGTCCTCTCCTCGAAGGGGCCGTGGGGGTTCCTTCCGGCGCCTGCAGCGGGCTGCTCTCCGAAAACGGCGACATGGCGGCAAGGGGGAGATTGAGAGCGGCTATCTTGCGGCAACGCTTCACGTCCGAGCTGGAGGGGGAACAGAAGGCTGGTTAGCATGCGAAACAAGCATGCACAGAGTTATATTTCAGGAACAGTGGTCCCTCGGGTTAAGTACTTAATTTGTTCCGGAGGTCCGTTCTTAACCTGAAACTGTTCTTAACCTGAGGTACCACTTTAGCTAATGGGGCCTCCCTCCACCACCTCACGATTTCTGTTCTCATCCTGAAGCAAAGTTCTTAACCCGAAGTACTATTTCTGGGTTAGCGGAGTCTGTAACCTGAAGCATATGTAACCAGAGGTACCACGGTATAGAAGTTCATTGCCAAACGGCCCCTGAAACCTCAGTTGCAGGGGCCGAAACGGACCTGGGTGCAAGAGCTCCGTTCCATCCCACAACAACTGGCTTTCAGAAGCATCTGTTCCCCCAGCCCTGGAGGCAGAGCAGAGGCCTAGTGGCTAGTATTGTTAGTAGTAGTAGTAGTAGCCATCAACAGCCACAGATTTGTCCAACCCTCTCGCAAAGCCATCCAAGGTTGGTGTTCACTGCTGACCACAGCAGCAGAGAGTTCCGCAGGTTAGTTGTGCACTAAGTATCTCACAGCGCCATCGCTTTCTCAAGAAGCCCCTCGGAACGCAACTGCGCTCACGATCCCAGGAAACTATAGTCCAGAATTGCAGTTTTGATTTTCTCCCTTAGGGAAGCATTTCACAATCAATAATAAGAATAAGAATAAGTGAAGAGGGTTATGGCTGGTGGAAGGGGCAGGGGGGAATTTCCCCCCAAAGAACCAAAACACCCAGTTTTTAAAAAGGTGCCCTGTTAATCTGGATTAGGAGAGGCCTCTCTTAAAGAGGGGAGAAATGGCAGTAAACTCCCAAGCGACTGCCAGCGAGGCGGAGGAAGGCGGGCTCATCCTAATTAAAGGGGGAGCTAAAGAGGGTTAATTTTGTTCTTAAATAAAGTTCTGACGTCTTGCCAGTGGAAAGCCAGCGTGTCAAGGAGACAGGGCTGCTGAAGGACTAGCTTTCTACACACAAGGAAATAAAAATGAGGTTAAGCCCGGGAATAAAATAATGTCTCGCCAGGGGAAAGCTAGCATGACAAAGGGATGGGAACGTTGATGTTTTCGATGTTTTCGATGCGGAAGGGTAGCTTTTCGGATCCTGTGAACAAACACTGCTGCCGCCCAATAGCCTCACACGTCCAAAGTTCTCCCCAAGATTGAAGATACCAGGAAATTGCCAAGTTTTTGAGCTCAGGTAAACACAGACAGAACAGGAGGGGGTGCAAATCCTACACTCCAAGACGCTGGGAGGAAGCAGAGAACAGGCAAAAGGGCCAGGGGTCCCCCCCCCCTTGAGCATCCCCACGGCACCCAGGTGACCCATGGAAGCAGGATCCTGGGACTCCAAACCAGAACCAGAAGTCCAACTTGTTCCCACGGTGTGTTTAACACACATTTTCCAGCTTCCTTACCCTCCTGCTTCTCCTTCCTTGTCTCCAGAGAGGCGGCTGCAATTTCCCCAAATATAAATCTCTATCTCCCGATTTGCACAAGCGTGGTTTTTCTTAGGGAGGGGGGAAAAGAAAAACCTTGCCGTGGAACAGCCTGGAGAAACGCTTCCGTGTGTGTCTCTCTCTGTCTCTCTCTCCAACCCAGCAAACGGAGACTCTTTTTCTATTTCCTGGTTTGACTGCCGAAAGCAGGCGGGGAGAGGAGGGAGGAAGCGCCACCAAGCAAGTTCTCAGAGACCTAGCGAGCGCATCGGCCGACTCTACGTCAAAGAGGAGGAGGAGGAGGAGGAGGAGGCCGGGCTCTGGGGGAAAAGGAAGCCACATCATAAACAGACGAGCGGAACCACGGTGCCGGCAGAACCACGGCAGCGCTGGCGGCGAAGGTTTGGCTAAGAGTGGGGCTGCCCAGGAGGGAAAACTGGCCCCTCCACAAATCCATGCGCACACGGCTAATATGTGCCACGTTCTGCGCTGTGTTACAAACGCAAAATATATCAGCTGTCCCCGAGAGCTTGCAGGGAGCTGCGACTCTTGCAGAAGTCTCCGTCCAGTTTCAGACACATTTTCTCCCCTCCACCAGCAAAAGAAACCAGCAACCCATTTTCGTTTTTTTCCTGTTATCAACACAAAAAGTATAGCGGTCATGGAGCCAGGTTTGCGTGTTTTTATGTTGCAAACCGCCCCGAAATCTGCCAATGAAAGGCTGTCCACAAATGTTAATAGTACAGTGGTACCTCGGGTTACATACGCTTCAGGTTACATATGCTTCAGGTTACAGACTCCGCCACCCCAGAAATAGTACCTTGGGTTAAGAACTTTGCTTCAGGATGAGAACAGAAATCGTGCTCCGGCGGCGCAGTGGCAGCGGGAGGCCCCATTAGCTAAAGTGGTGCTTCAGGCTAAGAACAGTTTCAGGTTAAGAACGGACCTCCGGAACGAATTAAGTTCTTAACCTGAGGGACCACCGTAATCGTATCAGCCGTCTGGTGTAAGGAACATGGATATAGCGGACACTTGGGTTGCGAACGTGATCCGTGCAGGAGGCACGTTCGCAACCCGCAGCGCCATGCCTGAGCACGCAGAGGTTGCGATTCTGCACATGCGCAAAGCACGATTTAGTGCTTCTGCACATGCACCGAAACCCGGAAGTAACCCATTCTGGTACTTCCGGGTTTCGGCACATCCATAACCTGAAAACACGCAACCTCACGCGTCTGTAACCCGAGGTATGTCTGTATAAGTTAATCGTCTGGGAATTGTAGCGCTGTGGGTGTTGTCAGGAGACGCTCTATCCTCCTCCCAGAGTTACAGTTCCCAGAGTGGTTTGATAATCGTTCTACAACTCTGGGAGTTATAGCTCATGGAGGGGAATATGGGGTCTCCCAACAACTCTCTGCTTCTCATATGGAAAAATTGGATTTTCAATACGTAAAATCCTAATGCTATAATATATTAAGATGAAAGATCAGGATTAAAAAGGAGGGAAAGGAATTGCTGGACTAATAAATTGAACTGGAATACAAAAAAGGGAGGTATGAGGAGGTCCGGGAAACAAGTAAATGTAAGAGAAGTGATGAAAAGATGGAATTGTTTTTAATTGTTTTTTTTCTGTATTTTGTATTTTTCTTTTTTCTATTTTTCTCTTTCTTATTTATGTACCCTTCTTTTGAAACTTTAATAAATATCATTAAAAAAAACAAAACTCTCTGCTTCTCTTAGCAAACTACAACTCCCAGAATGCTTTGCAGGAAGCTGCAAGTGTTTAACGTGGCGTGATCCCGCTTTAAATGCATAGTGTAGATCATAGAACTGCGGCGTAGGAAGGGGCCACGAGGGTCTTCTAGTCCAGCCCCCTGTGTAGGACTCAAACCCAGGACCCTGAAATTAAGAGTTTCATGCTCTCCTGACTGAGCTGGTGTTCAGCAGCCATTCCTGATTATTCCAAATCACTACTGAGTTTGCACTGCGCTGCAATTAATTGCTTTGATGCAAGGTTTGAAATTAGCAGGGCGCCAGACGCCTTTAGATTCAAAATTTGCAAGCACCTCAAAAAACCTGGGTGCTATTTTTTGTGTGTGGCTGACACTCAAGGATTACTAAAATGTATGTGCTTTGAAGCCTTGAAACATGTTAAAAATAGACAATATGTTAAGGAGTTTGACAATAAAGAGAAGTATGGTGTCAATATTGTAAACACCAAATTAAACATGTACAGTGGTACCTTGGTTTATGAACTTAATCCATTCCGGAAGTCCGTTCTTATACCAAAACTGTTCTTAAACCAAGGCGTACTTTTCCTAATAAGGTTTCCCGCTGCCAGTGCCCTTCCACCGTTTGGATTCTGTGCTTAGACAGAGGTAAAGTTTGCAAACCGGGACACTACTTCTGGTTTTGCGGAGTTTGTAAACCGAATCATTCTTAAACAGGACTGTTCTTAAACCGAGGTACCACTGTATTAACAATTTCCGCTAAAAATGTGATATTAACAATGTGTCACTTATGTGAATTGTATATTAGTTCATGCTTATCAAAATAATAATTAAAAAGTGTTGTCGACCCACCCCCCAAATGGCGACTAGACATTCTGTTTTGGCACCCGCAACCCCATTTGGCTCCTAGCTTTTCTACCGCAGTTTCTAACACTCCTTTGATGGATTGCTGCCTTATTTCTAGGCTACGCATTTTTTATCTGTTTTACCGGGCTTCCAATATCTGACAATTTCCCACGCCGTCCTTGCAGCCAGCCGTTTTGTTTTCAGTGTTGTGGCTGCAAAAGCAGGGGGCAAACAACACACCAAAACCAAAGACCGCGGCCCGGGTTCGAATCACCACTCAACATCTGAAGACCGTTGGGCGACCTCGGGGGGGACGGTCAGCCTCCCTCTTTTCCACCTGGTCCCACCTCGCAAGGTTGTTGTTAAGAATTTAAAAATATACAGGCAGGGGAAATGACCATATATAGTCTTTAAAGAAAGCTTTGGCTAAAATTATGCTATACAGTGGATGCTCGCGTTGCGAACGTGATCCGTGCGGGACGCATGTTCGCAACCCGCAGCTGCACGTCTGTGCACACGTGGGTTGCGATTCGGCACTTCTGCGCATGCGTGACCACCAAAACCCGGAAGTAACCCGTTCCGGGACTTCCAGGTTTCGGCGGTCCGTCACCTAAAAAAACGCAACCTGAAGTGTCTGTAACCCGAGGTATGACTGTACAGTGGTACCTCGGGTTACATATGCTTCAGGTTACAGACTCTGTAACCCAGAAATAGTACCTCGGGTTAAGAACTTTGCTTCAAGATTAGAACAGAAACCGTACTCCGGAACAGACCTCTGGAATGAATTAAGTACTTAACCCGAGGTACTACTGTATATAAAATGAACAGAGGAATAAAAACGTGCCACGATTGTGTTTTGTGTGTGTTCATGCACTCTTGAAATTCTGCATTTCAGCTGGTGGGGAGATTCCGGAGCTGCGTTTAGCACAGTTGATCTTTTTCCAGGACTAATTCAAATGTTTGTGTGTTGACTGGAATAATTTCCTGCCCGCAGCCTGTTGTGTCTATAAAGCAAGCGTTGCCAGACCCCCCCTCCCCCCTCACCACCCAGCCAATAAATATTAAAAGTCCCTTCTCCAAAAGCCAGAATTTTGGCAGCAGGCCAGCAGATAACCCTCCTTCCCTAATTCCCCAGCCACCTAAAAACACAGAAACGTTTATCCAGCGTTTCTGGGTTAAACTGGTCATCCACCGCCCAGAGTGGCTGGGGCAACCCTGTCAGATGTGTGGGGTATTATTATTATTATATTATTATTATTAATATTATAAATTTTATTTATACCCCGGCCAGAGCCAGGCTCAGGGCGGCTAACACCAGTAAAATTACAGTAAAAACATAATGGGAGGGGAGGAACCAATTTAAAAGACAGTGGTACCTCAGAGGAGAATGCAACCCGCAGGGGCACATCTGCGCACATGCAGGTTGCAATTCGCCGCTTCTGCGCATGCGCGTAATTTCATTTTGCGCATCTGCGCATGCATGAGCAGCGAAACCCGGAAGTAACCCTTTCCGGTACTTCTGGGTCGCCGTGGGACGCAACCTGAAAAAACGTATCATGAAGCAAACGTAACATGAGGTACGACTGTACAGGTTAAAATGCAATTTAAAATGCAGCCTCGTTTGAAAAGTAGCCCATAGATCAAAACCATAAGGGGAGGGAAACGTAAGGGTCAGACTGAGTCCAAACCAAAGGCCAGGCGGAACAGCTCTGTCTTGCATGCCCTGCGGAAAGATGTCCAGTCCCGCAGGGCCCTGGTCTCTTGGGGCAGAGCGTTTCACCAGGTTGGGGCCAGTACTGAAAAGGCCCTGGCCCTAGTTGAGACCAACCTAACCACCTTGAGACCTGGGACCTCCAAAATAATGTTGTTGTTGTTGTTGTTAATGGAGGACCTTTCTTCAGAGGAGGACAAGTACTTCTGGACCCACTTGCGCCTTCCACCACCACTGACCCTAACCTCCACTGTCTATGCTCTGGTAACTTCTTGGCTAGATTACTGCAGATCACTCTCCGTGGGGCTGCCCTTGGAGATAACCCAATCGCGCAGAATTTGGCTACCGGGATTAATAAGCAGGATTAGAAGGTCTGAGTGTATTGCACCAGTTATTGCCTAAACTGCGCTGGTTACCCAGTTAAGTTTCTTGTTTGTTTCAACCTCTAAAAGCCCTAGATGGCTGAGGACCCCTTATCCCTCAGGGGGGTCACCTCTCTGCCCGTGGACTGGCCTGGAATCTGCCTCCAACCTGTTCAGAATTAGCCAGGCGCCAGGCACATTTTGCACCTGGCTATCGGCCATAGGTCGGTGGTTCGAATCCCCGCAACGGGGTGAGCTCCCGTTGCTTGGTCCCAGCTCCTGCCAACCTAGCAGTTTGAAAGCACATCAAAGTGCAAGTAGATAAATAGGTACCGCTCCGGCGGGAAGGTAAACAGCGTTTCCGTACGCTGCTCTGGTTTGCCAGAAACGGCTTAGTCATGCTGGCCACATGACCCGGAATAAAGCCAATAAAGTGAGATGAGCGCCGCAACCCCAAAGTCAGCCATGACTGGACCTAACGGTCAAGAGTCCCTTTACCCTTTACCTTTATCGGCCACCTGCAACCAAGTGACGATGTCTGGACACTAGGATGGCTCCTGACATCTCCACAATCCGGGGATCCTTGAATCTGGACTGTTTTCGCACACTAATACCGCATCCTGTAAAATTCTATCCGTTATCTATTATCTGCACGATCGGAATGAATTTCAGCAACCAAAATGCTTTTTTCTGTGCATCCTGTTGGAGTAAGCCAATATACATGCAGACTATCACTGGATCAAGTTGACTTTTCCTCTTTTAAGTTCTCAAAGCTATTAAGCGAGCTCAGGGTTGTCCTCTGAACTAGCCAGATGTTTAACTGAGAATCAGTCAGAGTCAGTCCATCACTTGGAAAATAAGACTTTAGACCAGCCTTGCCCCAGAATGGCAACTAGACATTCTTTTTGGCTACTACAACCTTGGCCTTAAGGAGTCCTTTGGTTCCTAGCTTATATTTCTGAGTTTCTAACCCTGCACCCTCCAGTAAGCATGTGGCCCCCAGAATATTTTTGCAGTCGGGAGGAACATAGTCCTCCTGCCAGAACAATAGTCATACCTCGGCTCCCGAACGCCTTGGGAGTCGAACATTCCAGCTCCCGAACGATCGGAAACTGGAAGTGATTGTTCCGGTTTTCAAATTTCTTTTTGGAAGCCGAACATGCGATGGGAGCTTCCTGCAGCCAATCAGAAGCCGCGCTTTGGAAGTCGAACGTTTCAGAAGGCGAACGGACTTCCAGAACGGATTCTGTTCGACCTCCGACGTATGACTGACAGAATCATAGAATTCCGGAGCTGAGAGAGAACCCAGAGATCATCTAGTCCAAGGGTCAGCAAACTTTTTCAGCAGGGGACCGGTCCACTGTCCCTCAGACCTTGTGGGTGGCCGGACTATATTTTTTTTTAAAAAATGAGTAAATTCCTGTGTCCCACAAATAACCCAGAGATGCATTTTAAATAAAAAGACACATTCTACTCATGTAAAAACACATTGATTTCCGGACTGTCTGCGGGTTGGATTTAGAAGGCGATTGGGCCGGATCCGGCCCCCGGGCCTTAGTTTGCCTACCCATGATCTAGTCCAGGCATAGGCAACCTCGGCCCTTCCAGATGTTTTGGGACTACAACTCCCATCATCCCTGGCTAACAGGACCAGTGGTCAGGGATGATGGGAATTGTAGTCCCAAAACATCTAGTCGAACCCACTGCAACACAACTGCTTCCATATTTTGCGCTGTACTCAAATGTTGTGCTATCTTTCCAAAGGAACATCCCTGACACCCCCAAGCCCTCCAAAAACAGAACAACACAGAAATTCTCCACGGCCACAAGAGGGGAGGGAGAGGCATGAATGCCGCCTCTGTCTCTTCCAGATGCTAAAAATCAGGACAGCTCTAATTCCCCGCCTACCATGATTCCTGGGCTCCACCTTTTCTAGACAAGCCAGCACACACCTGGTTGGAATATACAGATATTTATATATTATGCAGTGCAATACCGAAGGGAGTGACGAGATGCCACAATGGAAAAAAATAAAAGCACACACAAATCTTTAAGCAGCGCCGTGTGGGAATCACAAAGAAAACAGGAAAGCACTAAAAATAACGAGCACACACAGATTTTTGCAGCACTGCACAAGCCAGGGGTCTAAATAAAACATTTCCCCGCCCATGCTGGAAAAATAAAGGAAGAGGAGGGTTTTGGGGGAAGGTGTGGTGAGGACAAGATGCCGTGCGCAGGATCCTATCATCCCAGGAGTGTTTCGGGTTCTCCCAACCCGGGGGAGAAGTCGGCAAGTCTTTTAAACAAGGCTCGGCAAATCTCCGCTCCCCGGATCTCCCGGGACGAACAATCAGAGGTTCTCTCCTCCGTGAGATCAAGCGAAGGAGCAAAACAAGCTGCCCCGGGATCTCGGGTCGCAGGTGGTGCGAGAAACATACTCCCTGCGACTCCCCTGCAAGGAACAGCGGCGGCTTTTAAGTTTCCTCTGAACATAAAGGCGACACGGTACACGAGTTCATAAAATTATGAACAGAATGCAGAATGGTTTTCCTCCATCCCTCCCACCGCTAGAACCCTGGGCGTCCGACGAAGCCAGTGCTCAGATCCTTCTCACTGGTGTCCCATAGCATCTGGTTGGCTGCAGTGAGAGGAGGATGCTGGACTAGATGGGCCATTTGGCCTGGTCTCCAGCAGCCAGCATCTTCTTGCGCTCTTGTGGAACCTCCACAGCCAGAGACAGTCTATCTGTATCCCTAGCTTCTTGTGGGTATTTTGCCACTGGGGACTAGACAGACCACTGGTCCCATTCGGCAGTCTCTCATGATGCTCTTATGCGCAACTAGGCATGACGCCACACAAGGGATGCCCAGTTGCCTTGAAACTGGCAAAACCAGGGTTGCTTCCTGTGTCAAATTCCGAAGTACAGTGGACGCTCGGGTTGTGAACGTGATCCATGCAGGATGCACGTTCGCAATCCAAAGCGTTCGCAACCCAAAGCGGCTCCTCTGCGCATGCACGGGTTGCGATTCGGCGCTTCTGTGCATAGCGCAATTTAGCGCTTCTGAGCATGCGCGACCGCCGAAACCCATTCTGGTAGTTCCGGGTTTCGGCGGTCGGTAACCCCAAAATACGCAACCTGAAGCATCTGTAACCCGAGGTATGACTGTTTCTCTTTTATCCTGAACAAATCATGTGTCTGTTTTGATTAAGCATTTGAGCAATACTCTGTTAAATCACTGAGCCTAGGACTTGCCAATCAGAAGGTCGGTGGTTCGAATCCCTGCAATGGGGTGAGCTTCCGTTGCTCGGTCCCTGCTCCTGCCAACCTAGCAATTCGAAAGCACGTCAAAGTGCAAGTAGATAAATAGGTACCGCTCCGGCGGGAAGGTAAACGGCGTTTCCGTGCGCTGCTCTGGTTCGCCAGAAGCGGCTGAGTCATGCTGGCCACATGACCCGGAAGCTGTACGCCGGCTCCCTCGGCCAATAAAGCGAGATGAGCGCCGCAACCCCAGAGCCGGTCACGACTGGACCTAATGGTCAGGGGTCCCTTTACCTTTTCCTTCAACCAATTATTTCTTCCCTCCGTTGTTTCCCCCCGTTGCCTTGTGGCCCTGTTGAATACTGAACCACCTGTCTTTGAGCTCTACACACAGGAAGGTAGAGAACAGAGGAATCACAGGACGGTGGGTTCGGAAGGAACCCCAAACATTGTTGTCTAGTCTAGCCCAACCCTAGGAGAAAAGTAAGTTTTTAAGAAAGATGTAAAAAATGCAGTGGGTGAGATCTGGTTTCCAGCATTGCAATATATCACCAGCTAAACATTGCAATATTCCAATATCTGAATATATCGCAATGTCTGAAATAAGGGTGGAGTTATGTAGAGGCATTGACTGCATAGGACACAAAAACAAAAACACACACATCACAATTCGCGATATATTGCCAGGTCAAAATCTACAAAACGAATACAGTCATACCTTGGGTTACAGCCAATTCAGGTTGCATTTTTTCGGGTTACGGACTGTTGAAACCCGGAAGTACTGGAACGGGTTACTTCCGGGTTTCGGCGGTCGTGCATGCGCAGAAGCACTAAATCGCTCTTTGTACATGTGCCAAATCGCAACCCGCGTGTGCGCAGACGCACCACTGCGGGTTGCAAATGTGCATCCTGCACAGATCATGTTCGCAACCCGAGTGTCCACTGTATCAAGATATGGACTTCAAGCCAGTTTTGTGCATCCAGTCTAGCTCTTGCAAACCCATCAGTGGAGGTGTTTAAGGGGGGGGGCATTTTTTTGAGAGAGGCTGGCCTTCCCCTCCGCACCACAAAGCTTTCGCTCCGCCATCGTAAAAGAGGACTAATGGAGAGTCGGAGGGGCAGCCCCACCCTGTCGCCCCTTCGCAGCCCTCATTCCCCAGCTGTTTTTGCAGGAGCGCTTGCAGCCCACCGCCCGCCCCGGAGAAATGCGATGCCCGCAGTTTGGCTCAGGGCGGCTGTGAATGAGGCGTTTCATGCATGCTGTCCGTGCAGGAAAGCGGCCGACAGACATGGCTGTGTGCTCGCGCTCCTGAAAGAAAAACAACGATTTGCAGGACACGCAGATACGCTACCAGTCTCTCCAAACAGGCTCCTAGCTAGAGCCAATCGGGAACTCTAAGAAACTGGAGAAAGGGAAAAAGAAACCCAGTGCCGTTCTCAAACTGGCAGCGCCGCTTTCGAAGGAGCAAAGTCTGCCATCTTGGTTCAGCCTGGCGCCCAGCACCATCCGAACGTATCTGTGCCATTCAGGGCAGTGCTAGAATTCCCCCAGGCGCCTGGCGCGTTTCCAGTTTCAAACAGGTGGAGGCCTCCAGGTGCTTCCTGTGAATGCCTTACCTGCCCACCCCAAAAAAACCCCTGCACACATTCCACTTCTCTTTTCTCGCTTTCTGCACTAAGTTTTCCTAGAGCAGGTTTATAAATAGCTGTCTGCCTTGTGGCATGTCAGGTCTACCTCCAGGCAACGTTGAAGTTGGAAGAAGATTGGCACTCCCTTTTCTTTTCTAAGCTCTAGGAGGTTGCTAGGTTGCTCTTGACCTGTCCCTAAAATAATATATATTTTTTAAAAAAATTGGCCAAAAAAATACTGCCGCCGTTCTTTGTCAAGCTTGAGCACTGCACTGTGTGGGGCAGCCCTTGGAGAGCGTCCGCAAATTCCAGGTGGTTGAGTTTAAGAAGGATGTGGACAAGCTGGAAGGTGTGCAGAGGAGGGAGACCAAGATGCTCAAGGGTCTGGAAAGCAAGCCTGATGAGGAACGGTTGAAGGAGCTGGGGATGATTAGCCTGGAAAAGAGGAGACTGAGAGAAGACAGGAGAGTATGGAAGATGGAGCCAGCTTGTTTGCTCCTGCTCTGGAAGGTAGGACCCAAATCAACAGCTCCAATTGACAAGAAAGGAGATTCTGACTAAATATCAGGAAGAACTTTCTGAGTGTACCAGCTGTTTGACAGTGGAACAGGTTCCCTTGCGAGGTGATGGACTCTCCTTCCTTGGAGGTTTTTAAGCAGAGGCTGGGTGGCATTCTCTGTCATGGATGCTTTAGTTGAGATTCCTACATTGCCTGGGGTTGGACTGGATGACCCTCGGGGTCCCTTCCAACTCTTAAGATTCTATGACAAGGGGCTCTGAAAACAGGGACTAGGCCATGACAACTGGGCTTTCCCTCCTTTCCTGGCTTGATTTTCGGTACAGTGGTACCTCTGGTTGTGAACAGGATCCGTTCTGGAGCCCCGTTTGCGACATGAGTAGAACGCAACCTGCGCCTGTGCGGGTCACGATTTGCCAGTCCTGCGCATGTGCATGACATCATTTTGAGCATCTGTGCATGTGCGATCGGCAAAACCCGGAAGTAACCCGTTCCGTTACTTCTGGGTCGCTGCAGGACGCATCCTGAAAGAACGTAACCTGAACCGAATGTAACACGAGGTATGACTGTACAGTGCAAAAGTATTTGAAGGAACAGATTCACCAAGAACCACTAAGCAAACTATCAATGGAAAGGAGTGGAGAAAAGATTTTGGAGGCTTTTTCGAAGAGCCTTTAAGTTGCTATTGGTTGACAACATAAATTCATCTTCTAGTGTGGTACCTTCCCCACTTTTGGAACTCACTGCCTATTGGCGCATTTGCTTGCTAAAACAGTTTTGTTTAGGTAATGCTGACATGTGATTTAACCTGTTTTTTCAGCTTTTCGGTGATTGTAATTTAAGCAAAAACTCATCCGGGTCACTTCATTTATTAAACTTTGCTGAGGCGGCTTTACAAAACTCGACGTGTGTGGGGCAGCTGGCTGGAGGTGTGGAGAGGCTTTCAAACTTTCGGCCAAGGAGTCTCTGCTGCAAAGCACCTGCTCCCAGGGAGCTGCCTTATAATACAGAGTCAGACCCTCTGCACTGACTGGCAGAGTATCAGAAGGCATCGGAACGAAGCCCTGTATCAGGAAGTTCAGGTTCCAAAGAATGTTCGCAAACCGGAACACTCACTTTTACAGAGTTCCGGAGCCAAAGCGTTCAACTTGCAAGTTGTTTCGGCTCCCAAACAACGCAAACCCGGAAGTGACTGTTCTGCTTTATGAACATTCTTTGGAACCCGAACATCTGACACGGCTTCTGATTGGCTGCAGGACCAGCAGCAGCTTTCTCCAGAGTTTTGGACAAGGAACCTTCTCAGTGCTACCTGGGGAGATAAATGGGACCCTCTGGACAGGGCGAGAAACTCAGATATAGAAGTTAACCGCCAAATGGCACCTTAAACCTAGGTTACAGTCGCCACACTGAACTGTCTAGGCATCATTCTCCCCCCAATGAAATAATAGTAATCAGTGCTTTTTTTTCTTAAAAAAAATGTTTAGGGGTACAGTCATACCTCGGGTTACAGACGCTTTGGGTTGCGCGATTTCGGGTTGCGCACTGCACTGAACCCGGAAGTACCGGAACGGGTTACTTACGGGTTTCGGCGCTTGTGCAGAAGTGCTAAATCATGCTTTGCGCATGTGCAGAAGTGCCAAATCGCAACCCGTGCATGCGCAGATGCGCCGCTGCGGTTTGCAAACGTGCCTCCCACACGGATCACGTTCGCAACCCAAGCGTCCACTGTACTCTCGTTTTCCTACTCATATTGAAATACTGTCCCTCAATGAGGCCAAACTTAAGATTCACAAAATGTTTAGGGGTATGCGTACCCCTGTGTCCCCCCCAGAAAAAAAGCACTGATACTACTACTACTACTACTACTACTAATAATAATAATACAGTTGTACCTTGGATTCCGAACGTTTTGGCTTCCGAACACCACAAACCCGGAAGTGAGTGTTCCAGTTTGTGAACGTTCCTTGGAACCTGAACATCCAATGTGGCTTCCGCAGCTTCTGATTGGCTGCAGGAGCTTCCTGCAGCCAATCGGAATCTGCATCTTGGTTTCTGAACATTTTGGAAGTCGAACAAACTTCTAGAATGGATTCAGTTCGACTTCCAAGGTACCACTGCAATAATAAAATTCCACTTCTATACCGCTTTCATTTAAATTTCAATACCTCCTTTCTATATTACTATACAGAAAGTGGTTTATGAGCTGAAGAAACCACAGGACAGGCAGCAAAGATCACACACCTAATAAGCATCTGATCCAAGACAAAGTCACAATAACTTTAAAGAATAAACAACTTACAGAAAACAAAGCAATGTCAAATAAAGAAATATTAAACAACCCGTTAGAATGTAATAGTAAAATGTAAAACGCTTTTTATATTAAAGGGGAAAAATAACAAGGCAGTTGACAACACATTAAAACGTCAAATCAAAACAACCCAGAATAAAACAAATGGAGGCTTCCAGTAAAATATTTCAGATCCCTTTCTCAGGGACATTTGGCTTTCCTCCCATTGATTTACCTACAGTGGACACTCGGGTTGCGAATGCGGTCCATGCGGGATGCACGTTCGCAACCTGCAGCACCCGCAACCCGCAACAGTGCGTCTGCGCATGTGTGGATTGCAATTCAGCACTTCTGCGCATGTGCAAAGCGTGATTTAGTGTTTCTGAGCATGCGCAACCGCCAAAACTCGGAAGTAACCCGTTCCGGTACTTCCGGGTTTCGGCGGTCTACAACCCAAAAAAACGCAACCTGAAGCGTCTGTAACCTGAGGTATGACTGTACTTAATTTATAGAGCTGCCCCATAGCAGGAGGACTCTAGGAAGGCAGGGTGGTGCAGTGGTTAGCGTGTCGGATGAGGACCTAGGAGATCAGAGTTTGAGTCTCCACTCAGTCATGAAGCTCACTGGGCGACCTTGGAGTCTCAGTCACAGTCTCTTGGCCCACCTCACAGGGTCGTTGTAGGATTAACTGAGGAGGGGGGTGGACCATGGACTCGTTGGAGAAAAAGCTGGGAGATAAATGAAATAAACGAGATCTTCTGCTTATCTGCTTAAGAAAGCTGGAGGGGGCAGCCAGGTGGAGATGTTAGTCGCCAGCCTGGCCCCCAGAAAGATCTCCATGCGGTTTAATGTTTTAATGTGTTGTCAACTACTCAAAAATGAAAGTAATAATAATATGTACCATTGCAAAAAGAAAGAGAAAAAGATGGTGCCTGGACATTCTGTTGTGGCGACAACAAGCTAGGTTTAAGGTGGCATTTGGAGATAAGCTAATATATCGGGAGGGATGCGGGTGGCGCTGTGGGTTAAACCACAGAGCCTAGGGCTTGCCGATCAGAAGGTCGGCGGTTCAAATCCCCGCAATGACGGGGTGAGCTCCCATTGCTCGCTCCCTGCTCCTGCCAACCTAGCAGTTCGAAAGCACACCAAAGTGCAAGTAGATAAATAGGTGCCGCTCCGGCGGGAAGGTAAACGGCGTTTCCGTACGCTGCTCTAGTTCGCCAGAAGCGGCTTAGTCATGCTGGCCACATGACCCGGAAGCTGTACGCCGGCTCCCTCGGCCAGTAAAGTAAGATTAGCGCCACAACCCCGGAGTCGGCCACAACTGGACCTAATGGTTTTTACCTTTACCATATCGGCGTTTTCAACCCTGTATCAGCTGATGCCACAGAACTAGATGCAAGTCACTGTTTCCCATGCGCAAGTGCTTTTAAGCTAACCACTGTGGAGCAGGAGATTCTAATGCGCCTCTCAGACTGAGCCTACCTCGCAGCGTTGTCAGGAGATTTAAGAACCACAGCGAAACATAAGCAGTGGGAAGAGGCTTAGCTGATGGGAAAGGCTGTAAGCTCTGCGACAGGGGGGGGCGGGTTCAGCCCCCACCTTCCTGTTTAAAACCACAAAAACCCTGAGGACTAGAGTCTTAAGCTTATTTTCAAAGGAAGTGGTGTACCTCAGTGGTAAGAGGACTTTCTTTGCATTTAAAAGGGCATTTCCAGGCTCAGCTGGCAGAGGTCTCCTGCCTAAAAGCCCAGAGGGCGGCTGCCAGTCAGTGCAGCAGGTGAATGGTTCGACTCTGTCAAAGGCAGTGTGGTGTAGTGGTTAAGAGTGGTAGACTCGTAATCTGGTGAGCTGGGTTCGAGTCCCCGCTCCTCCACATGCGGTTTTCTATTCTTCCGTGTAATGCAAATGTTGAAGCCAAGGTTGTGGGTTCGAGTCCCACACTGGGCAAAAAGATTCCCGCATTGCAGAGGGTTGGGCTAGATGACCCTCGTGGTCCCTTCCAACTCTATGATTCTATAAACAATTTCCCTTAGCCTGCATGGGAACAAAACAAAACTTCTCCTGTGTCTTGTCAAGCTGTTTAGAAAAAATAAATAAAGATTCCTAACTGAACACGACTGGCCTCATAAGCCAACCCCTTCTTTCAGAAGTTCCTAAACACCACATTTTATTTTTGAAGCTGTTTCTCAGCATTTCGCTCGCTAGGAGGAGGAGGGAAGGGGGAATCCGATGTATTTCCTGGTCAAATGTTCTACTGCCAGAAGGATTCGCACGCTTTGGTTTATCCGTTCCAGAAAGGCCTCGCCAGAATATAACAAGACCCAAGATAGTGACTTTGCAAACACAGTTCCGGGCAAATAAATCAGGGTTTTTATATATACAGCCTGCCTAACAGATTGCTTTAAAAACCTGCCACGAAGACACTTTGTGCACACACACACACACACACACACACACAAGCAGAAACATAACAGGTTTGTGCTTGGAAAATAAAATTACAGAGAGAGCAAGAATCCAAATGGGTGGTCCCCTCCCTTCGCTCGGAGCGCCGCAGGCCTGCCCCCAGAAGGAATTCTTCCCTATTCCCCCATCTCCAAAACCCACCAGACATTTTGATTTTTGACTGTCTGGGGGCAATTTAGGGCGATAAGCAGAGAGAGAGAGAGAGAGAGGAGATGTTCCCTGCATAAAAACCCCCAAGGATTCCAAATCCCTTTATGTGTTTCACATCAAAACACTTTTTTTTTGGGGGGGGGGTTCTTTTTGGGAAGTTGGGAAGTGGCAGGATGAAGAAAAGATGCAAATAAAGAAGGAGTTCTTTGCTTTAATAACAAAACAAAAGACTTGCTACAGATAACAGAAGGTTCCAAAGGGGGGAGGAAAACAAACCAGTTAGATTGCAACAGTTAGATTTTCACTTTTTCTTTTTGCAATTTGAGGGGGGGGGGGAGGTTGCTACTAAGGAGGGATGAAAGAGAAAAGACAAGGCCTGGTCTGAGATGGGTGGAAAAGAAAATGAGGTGGATTTGCCAACCTGGGGGTTAAAAGACACTCAGCTACAGCTGCACTGACCCTCATCCCACCCCCCCAAAAAACCTCCCTTTTTTGTTAAAGGTTCCTTTCATTTCCTCCTTTTGTCTCCCCTCCCCCTCACCTCTCTTTTTCCCTTCCTTTTCCACGAACACACCCAAGCTATGGATGTTGCTAACCTACTGTTTTGGAAAAAGGGACTTTTGTGGGGGGGGGGGGTGTTGAGAAAGAGGCCCAGTTCCCACAGGAAGGAAAGGGGGAAAATGATAAAAGCAGACTCCCAGAATAACAACTGTTTACAAGGAATTCTTTCCTTTCAGTTGCAACCATCATCATCATCATCATCATCATATCATTTCTGTTTCAAAAGATAACCCTCCAAGTTAGAAACCACCACACTTCAGGAGCCACTTTCCTCCGCTCTTCAAATTGGGGAAGAAAATTTAAAAAGTTTTTTTTGGGGGGGGGGGGAGGACGTTTCCAAAAAAAGCACTGAAAATATAATACAGCTTAAGCACTGCTCTTTGTCTTGCAAAACGAAAGAAAGAAGACAAGGGAAGTTAAGAGCAAAACAAACAAGTAGGCCTAGGTCACAGTTACCTCTTTTTAATTCTTTTTTGGCGTAAAGAAAAAAAACGAAGAACAAGCCTCTCTTCCAATTCACACAAACACATGTCTCTGTCCCATACAACCAAAATCCACTTTTTAAAAAACTGGTCCATTCCCCCCCCCTTTAAAGTTGGAAAGGCTTGTGGAAAGGAGGTGGGTATTTTATGAAATTCCCTCCAGCCTAAATGCAAATCCCCCCCCCCTACAAAAAAATTAAAATATAAAGGGGAGGCTGCGAGGGTGCTTTATTTATTCCTTGGGTGGAAGAGAGAAATTGGGGTGTGTGGAGGAGAGAAATGCAACAGGGCCAGCAGGCCTCTCTCTGCCCCCCCTTTTTTCCAAGTTTAACTCACACCCAGCTAAGCCTCCTTCCTTCTCCCCCCTCCCACCAGCAGCCCCCCCACCAATAAATTCCTAATAAAATGTCTATAAATGTGTTGCAATAGGGCTGGATCCATGTGCAAAAAGATGAAGACCCCCTTGGCCCCAAATGCAGCTTCCTCTTTCCTACCCCCTCGAAAAAAAATTGCATTAATGGGTCTTTTTCTGTCCCCCCCCCAAAAAAAATTGCACCTATATAAAGCAATGCAAATAGGGCCCCCCCTCCAAAGCAACAATTAAGCCCTTCCCAAATTAACCCCCCCCAAAAGACTCACCTGGCTTTCTTCCCCCTCCCCCTGGCTCCTCAGGGGTGGGGGCCCCCGGGCCTGCCCCCCTCCAGGCGCCCCATTTCGCGCTCCCGTCTCTTTCAAGCTCTTTCGCCTTCTGAGCAAGCCAAGCAGGGAAGGGACGGCCGGGGCGCCAGCGGCGTAAGGCCCGGCGGCGCTCTATGGCGCTGACGTCACGCCGCCGGCGCAAGCCGCCTTGGTGAATCCGGGGCTCCGCTCCGCAGCTGGCTTAGGCGACTCGGGCTCGCTCGCTCGCTCGGGGGGGGGGGCCCTCCGCGCAGGCGCAGAAAGGGGCGGGCGGGAGGGGAAGAGGAAGAGGCCGGCGGGCAAAGAGGGGAGAGGTCGGTGGGACTCGGAGAGACACTTCCGGATTCCCGTTGGAGGGGCCGTCCATGTGCGGGGCAAAATCTGGACCATTCGGCCTTTGGAATAATTCCAGGACCAGAACTTAACCCATAGGTAACTGGGCTTATTTTACCCGCTTATGGGTTATTTTTATTTCATTTTTTAACTTCCATCTCTTGTCACACAGTTGTCTCTTATTTACTGAATATTCGCAAACAAATTGTGAGCAGATAAGAACATGGGCAGGAACATTATTGTAACAACCTGCAGTTTCATAGGAGTGTATATTTAAAGTAGACGGATAAATGAACAAATTTAAGTTAATCTGGAGGTGCAGGAAATATTAAAAAATAAATTGAAGGAACGGCAGAAAGAGGGGGAAGGAAGTCGAGTTTTGAAATGTTGAAATGACTGTAAAATTATTGAAACATATAAACCTGAAAATAAATAAATAAATAAATAAATAAATGTCTCTTGTTATTTATTATCTCCCTCCCCCATCTCTCTCTTTATGTGTGTGTGTGTGTATATATATATATATATATATATATATATAAATATGTTGTTAAGTTGTGGGTGAACATATCAGACAACACAGCGATTCTTCAAAGCAGCTCTTTATTTGTAAGCTGGAACAGAACTGAACTGAACTGAACAGCAAACAGCTCAGCCGGCCTGCTTTTATACACACACACACACACACACACACACACACACGATACTCCTGGTGGCTAGGGGGAGAACTTCAATACATAACATATGTTGTTCTTGTTGTTTAGTTGTTGAGTCGTGGAAGGAGAGTCGACCGCCTTCCGAGGGATTTCCTCCCGCTGTCAAACAGCTCTTGCTGTCAGAAAGTTCTTCCTGGAGTCGGGATCTCCTTTCTGGTTGCTTGAAGCCAGGGCTTTTAGATAGATCGGTTGGATAGAGTGTGGTGCTAACGATAACAATAACGGTAATGATAACGATCTTATACCCTGCCCATCTGGTCAGGCCTCCCCAGCCACACTGGGCGGCTTCCAACAGGAGAATAAAAGTACAATAAAACACCAAACGTTAAAACCCTCCCTAAACAGGGCTCCCTTCTTATGTTTTCTAATGCCGCCGGCCCCTGAGATATTGACAGCGCTGCAGGGTGTGGCTCTCATATCCATATCTGGAGGGACAGGGAGCAAAACATCTCTCTCTCCCCTTTCCCCACCCCATGTAGAATGGCAAGGGATCTGTGCATCCGGCTGGGAAGAAGGTGGTGGGAGTGTGGAGCCCAGCCAGGGGCTGGCTGTGGGCAGGACCCTTGCACTCCCGGGGGTTGGACTAGATGCCCCTTGGCACCCCTTCCAACTCTGCCATGCTCTGATTCTCTCGATCTGCTGAAGGAACGGGCGGGGGAGCAAGATGCAGAAGAAGGGGAGGCACAACCACACCCCCCAACAGCCCCCTCTGGCCTGACCCACGGGGGCCTCATCCCAGCACACTTTGACCCCCCTGGTTTTATTTTTCTTCATTCAGCTGCCGGACAACCCAGCAGCCTGGCCCTTGTTTGCCAGCTGATGTCACAAAGTGCTGCTTTGCAAGCAAGCCTGATAATGCCCTGCAAGGGGGATGCCTGTCAGATGATGGTGAGAGATTTGTAGAGAAAATGAATGCTGAAGGTAGGAGACCCAGAGGAGAAGAGGGGCATATTATTATTATTATTATTATTATTAGCGTCACCCGTCACTGGCGCACGGGGCTTGGCTCCTTGGCTTGACTTGTTGACAGCTGTCGATAGCTTGCCAGGTCCCTGCCTCTCAGCAATGCAGCTGTGCAGAATTAGCCCCTTTTCACGCTGCAAGAGCCCCAAATGGATGGTGTGTACACAGACTTTGGTTTTAAGGGAAAAGCTTCTAGCGGGCTACAGCTTGCACGGGGCAGGAGCCTAGTGAGATTTGGTTTTTATTATTTCTTTGCACCATCTCTGCATGTGACTCTTGATAAAAAGCAAAGAATTCCTTCCAGTAGCTCCTTAGAGACCAACTAAGTTTGTTATTGGTATGAGCAGTTGTGTGCATGCACACTTCTTCAGATACCTTCAGATGTCTGCATGCACACGAAAGCTCATACCAATAACAAACTTAGTTGGTCTCTAAGGTGCTACTGGAAGGAATTTTTTTTATTAGGTTTCGACTATGGCAGACCAGCACTGCTACCTACCTGGAACTAGAACCTTGACAAAAAGGTCCCTGCCCCAAGGGGCGTACAATCTTTTGTATGACACAGGGAAGGAACAGAGAACGGTTAAGGTCCAGGGTGGATCCTGAGTCCTCCTGCGACACATAAGTCAAAGTCTCTGAGTTTAGACTTTGGGATTCTCGGACATTTCCCCATCAGCCCCCCTTCCCCTTTTCTGCAATATGGCAATGGAGGTGATGCTATTACAGTTCCAAAGGGAATGTCAAGCAGGGAGGGAGGGGGAAGAGAGAGAGTGGAATTCTGGTGGAGACGGAAGATGGAAGGAGGCTTGGAAGGGGAGTTTGAAGGGGGGGGGCAGGTGAGAGTCGGTTGAGGGCGGTGGGTTCTAGAAGGCGGCACGAGGGGGGGGGGGCTGGAGCTGAGCTGGACTGAGAAGCAGCAGAACAGCCACCATTGCTGTGAGAATGTGGCGGCAGGAGGATTCGCTTTATTCAGGTGAGCCACGGAGCCAGGGCTTGGCTTCTACAGAAATGGTACCTCAGGTTAATAACTTTGCTTCAGGATGCTTAGGATGAGGACAGAAATTGCGCAACGGTGGCACGGCGACAGCGGGAGGCCCCATTAGCTAAAGTGGTACTTCAGGTTAAGAACAGTTTCAGGTTAAGAACGGACCTCCCGAATGAATTAAGTTCTTAACCCGAGGTACCACTGTACTGCTAAAGCCCAGATGCCTCACACCCCACCTCCAAGCTTCACAGAACTGGGCTATGCCTGATTATCGTCTCCCAAAGCAACTTGTTATTGTTGTTTAGTCATTCAGTCGTGTTCGACCACTTTTGTTCTTGGTAATCTTTGAATGAAAAGTTGCTTTCATATCTCCCATTTTCTTGATCAGATCTCTGGTTTTTCCCATTCTATTGTTTTCCTCTATTTCTTTGCATTGCTCGTTTAAGAAGGCCCTCTTGTCTCTCCTTACTATTCTTTGGAAATCTGCATTCAATTTCCTGTATCTTTCACTATCTCCCTTGCATTTTGCTTGCCTTCTCTCCCCCGCTATTTGTAAGGCCTCGTTGGACAGACACTTTGCTTTCTTGCATTTCCTTTTCATCGGGATGGTTTTAGTTGCTGCCTCCTGTATAATGTTGCGAGCCTCCATCCATAGTTCTTCAGGCACTCTGTCCACCAAATCTAAATCCTTAAACCTGTTCCTCACTTCCACTGTGTATTCATAAGGGATTTGACTTAGATTGTATCTTACCGGCCCAGTAGTTTTTCCTACTTTCTTCAGTTTAAGCTTGAATTTTGCTACAAGAAGCTGATGATCTGAGCCACAGTCAGCTCCAGGTCTTGTTTTTGCTGACTGTATAGAGCTTCTCCATCTTTGGCTGCAGAGAATATAATCAATTTGATTTCGATGCTGCCCATCTGGTGGTTTCCATGTGTAGAGTCGTCTCTTCTGTTGTTGGAAAAGCGTGTTTGTGATGACCAGCTTGGTCTCTTGGCTGAACTCTATTAGCCTTTGCCCTGCTTCATTTTGAACTCCAAGGCCAAACTTGCCACTTGTTCCTTTTATCTCTTGACTCCCTACTTTAGCATTCCAATCCCCTACAATGGGAAGAACATCCTTCTTTGGGGTCATTTCTAGAAGGTGTTGTAAGTCTTCAGAGAACTGGTCAATTTCAGTTTCTTCAGCACCAGCGGTTGGTGCATAAACTGGATTACTGTGATGTTAAAAGGTCTGCCTTGGATTCGAATGGAGATCATTCCATCATTTTTGAGACTGCATCCCAGTACAGCTTTCGCCACTCTTTTGTTGACTATGAGGGACACTCCATTTCTTTTACGGGATTCTTGCCCACAGTAGTAGATATAATGGTCATTCGAACTGAATTCGCCCATTCCCGTCCATTTTAGTTCACTGATGTCCAGGATGTCAATATTTATTCTTGCCATCTCATTTTTGACCACATCCAGCTTACCAAAGTTCATGGTTCTTACATTCCAGGATCCTATGCAATATTTTTCTTTACAGCATTGGATTTTCCTTTCGCTTCCAGGCATATCCGCAACTGAGCGTCCTTTCGGCTTTGGCCCAGCCGCTTCATCAGCTCTGAATCTACTTGTACTTGTCCTCCGCTCTTCCTCAGTAGCATGTTGGACGCCTTCCGACCTGAGGGACTCATCTTCCAGCGTCATAACTTTTATATGCCTGTTTTCTTTGTCTATGGAGTTTTCTTGGCAGGGATACTGGAGTGGCTCGCCGGTTCCTGCTCCAGGTGGATCACGTTTGGTCAAAACTCTCCACTATGACCTGTCCATCTTGGGTGGCCCTGCATGGCATGGCTCATAGCTTCTCTGAGTTATTCAAGCCCCTTCGCCACGGCAAGGCAGTGATCTATAAAGGAGCCCAAAGCAACTACTCTATTCCAAACTTATTCACTTTATTATCATGCGTTGGCAAAAGACTTTCTGAATTTGTAGGGGACACCTCTAAACCCTAGAAAGAAAGAAATGGTAGGATGTGGACGATTTGGAGTATTCAGGGAAAGGCACCTAGCAGGCTTCAGCTTGCATGGGGCAGGAGCCTGGTGAAATTATTTTCCTATTATTTCTTTGCACCATCACTGTGCATGACCCTTGATCAAAAAGGTCCCTGCCCCGAGGGGCTTACAATCTTTAATAGGACACAGGGAGGGAACAGAGAAAGGTTGAGGTCCAGGTTGGATCCTGAGTCTAGGTCTCTGAATTTAAACTTTGGGATTCCCGGACATTTCCCACCTGTAACCTCTTCCTCTGTTTTTTATTTTCCTTTCTGTCTCCTAGGACAAAAGAGGCTGCTGAGGCGGAAAACAATGAAGGAGGCTGGAGTGAACTGGAGTCAACCATTGGAGATTGTGGTAAGTTAATTCCATGGGGAATCCATTCCCCACATGTGCAGGGAGGTCATGGCGCTGACCTGCGTGAAACAGGGCTGGGTTGGGGGTGGCAGGCTGGTCTCGCCCCAGCCCCTCGCTCCCCTCTTTCCAAGCCAGGGGTCAGGCGCCCAGGCAGGAGCAGGCTGGCAGCCTGTGGTGACGTGGGCATGGGCAGCCTGGCAGGGGCGCTTGTTCTGCCCCCCTAGAGAGTACAATGTCCTTCTTCCTTTGCAGGGCCGTGGTTTGGGGAACCAGCAGCAGCCCAGCGGTGCAGGGAAACCCAGCAAAATCCGGAGGTATGTTGTGACCTTGTGTGGCAGGGGAAATGTTTCCCAATGATCCCAGGCCGGATTTAGAGATCCTGTACTTTTATGAAGAGGGTTTCTCTGTAGTCCATGCAGGGCCCTAGCTAGGGGGTGGTGAGGTGGGCCCCTGCCAGGGGTGGAGGTGAGGGGTGGGGCACAAAATCGACTCCAAAATTTGTCCATCAACATGTCTAAATATAGAGGTGATAATAATGAATATTATCATCTGTATATTTATTTGGTTCCAACTCCTCCAAGCAATCAGACTAACAGAACTTGTTTCTTCCTTAGGCGAGAGGCCCGCCAGTACGAGGGGGGAAAGGCTCCCACCTCAGGTAAGTGGAAATGCCAACAGAGTGCCCCATATTTTAGGAATGTTTCCTTCCTCTGTCCCCCCTCCCTCATGCGCCAGACTGGTGCTATCATCTGGGATCCAGGCGCTTGCTGATTCCTCCATTTCCTTTGCAGGGAGGGAGCCTTTCCCCAACATCTACTTCGCACTGGCAAAATCCCTGGAGGGACGTGGCGAACATCAGGTACTGGGACAGAAGGAAGGAGTCCTTGTGGAACTTCTTTTGGGGGGTCATCAAAAATGGGGCAGTAGTTTTTCATCCGCCCCAGCCCCTTCTCATCAGATGGTTTCTGCTTCCTCCACAGGACCACGCCTCCAGGGATGAGGCTCCAGCGCCTGCTCCCGGGACAAAGATTGACAGACCATCGCGGCGGTTCCCGGCAGTTCCTGATCCTCGCCTGCCTCACCCTCCCTCCGTTCCCCGTGCGGGCATGGCTCCTACCCGGCCGTACTTGGCGCAGAAGCAGCAGCCAAGGCTTCCCCCCATCCAAAAGACCTCCCAAGTGATTCCGGAGCCGGGGGAGACTTTGGCTGCTGCCTCTGTGCCAGGCCGGTCGGGATGGAGCCCGGATGCCCGCACGGAGGAGTTCAGGGTGGGGCAGTTAATAAGATCAGGTAGGAGGAAATGCCCCCTTCCCAGGTCCCCACCCTACTGCCCCAGACTGGGGCTCGCGTAGCTGGGAGCCGGGCGCCGGCTGATGTCTCCCTTTGTATTGCAGCGAGGAGAAGGCTCAGCCTGGGAGCCGCCGCATCCCGGGAGGGCCTGGAGCCGAGACAACGGCCTCTCGCCTCACAGGTAAGGGGACAGGGGGATTTCATTGCTTTGCCGCTCGCGATTTGCGGGTTTGGGCGGCGCGGGCAGGTGGCACGTCGGAATGTCACCCCCCTTCAGGATGGCACCTGGGGCAGCCCGCTCCCCTGCTCCCCATCAGTACGCCCCTGGCCACAAAGAGGGTTCGAGCCCAAGAGCCCTCTGCTCACCTGGGACTTCCTGCAACGACTTCTTGAAGCCCCGTCCCTGGTCATTTGGTCTGTGACAGACCATTCACACATTCAGGGATTCCTTCTTTCTTGCAGGGTATTACATCTGCACCGCTGTGGCTGCTGCTGAAGCCCCCTTCCCACAAATAAGGTAAGAGGAAGAAGGGAGAATTTGCATGGAGCAGGGAGAACACCCTGCTCCAGACTTCCAGACCAACTCTCTGACTTAAAATCATGGCGTTCCTACGAGAGTTGGTATCAAAATAACATGGAAGCAGTACAGAAATGGATAAGGCGGAGCTATGGCTGATAAGAAATGCAGTGCTCAAGGTTTGGGCAAGGAGGACAGACCTGGGCTAAAGCAAGTCTTCTTCTCCCACAGGCCAGTCGTGCTGCCCTCAGAGAGCGCCGCTCGGAGCGGAGTCACGTTGACTGGCCAGAGTCCGCAAGCCGCCCCCGGCCCCCGCACCCTGCCACTTTCCTCAGGCCCGGATGCTTCATCCCTCTTGACGCTTTAAGATCATTCCTTGTTCAGAATGTCTCTACACCAGTTCTTACTAGAGCCAATAACCTGTCACGCCTGGAACAGGGACCGAACTCAGATTGCCATTAGCCCTAATAATCATAAAGTTCACATCTATAAGAAGAGTGGGAACCAGTGGGTGAAAGCTCATGAGCTCAAAGAGCACAATGGACACATCACAGGCATTGACTCGGGCCCCCAAGAGCGACCGCATTGTCACTTGTGGCTTACGTCTGGAGTCAGAAGGATGGAGTGTGGAAACCAACACTGGTGATTCTGAGGATCAACCGAGCAGCCGCCTTTGTGAAGGGGTCACCTTTGGAGAACAAATTTGCTGTTGGAAGTGGCGCTCGACTCATCTCTGGGTGCTACTTTGAGTCTGAAAATGACTGGTGGGTGAGCAAGCACATTAAGAAGCCCATTCGCTCCACTGTCCTTAGCCTGGATTGGCACCCTAACAATGTTTTGCTTGCAGCTGGATCCTGTGACTTCAAATGCAGAGTGTTTTCAGCTTACATTAAGGAAGTGGATGAGAAACCAGCCAGCACACCCTGGGGATCCAAAATGCCCTTTGGTCAGCCGATGGCTGAATTTGGTGGCGCAGGAAATGGTGGTTGGGTCCACAGCGTCAGTTTTTCCGCCAGTGGCAACCGCCTGGCCTGGGTCAGCCATGAGAGCACTGTGTCGGTTGCAGATGCCTCCAAAAACATGATGATCTCTCAATTGAAAACAGAATTCCTCCTATTGCTGAGTGTGTCGTTTATCTCGGAGAACAGTGTGGTTGCTGCTGGCCATGTTTGCTGCCCAATGCTCTTCAACTGTAACGGCCGTGGTACCCTGACCTTTGTCTCCAAGCTGGACATTCCCAAGCAGAGCGTACAACGCAATATTTCGGCCATGGAACGTTTCCGCAACATGGACAAGAGAGCCACTACGGAAGATCTCAACTCTACTCTGGAGACGCTGCATCAGAACAGCATCACCCAAGTGTCTATTTATGAGGTGGACAACGAGATTCCGCAAGTTCTGCACCACTGGTATTGATGGAGCAATGACCATCTGGGACTTCAAGACATTAGAGTCCTCGATCCAGGGGCTGCGGGGCATGTAAATCTGGCTCTCTGTTCTCTAGCAAGACAACTCGTTCTGGCACCTGCACAGACATGAAAAGGGATGGTGAAGATAGGTCACTATTTGAAGCACTGAGAAAATGACGACTTGGTGGATTTTTTTCCTTTTCCTTTTCATCCCCCAATTTTGGTGAAATGTGTTGGTTTGAAAATCAGCTGTGATTGTGGTATATATTTGGCTTTGTTTTTATTATTATTATTGGTTGTTGCATTCCATTATTTGCCAAAGCGGCTCCTTAAAATAGTTTATTGCAGGAAGTATGAATCACTAACTTAAAAGGGGAATTTTGTGTAAACATGTCTGCTAGAACCGAAAAAAATAAAGAAAGGGGGGAAAAAGCAAGTCGTGCTGATAACTCTCTATCTGTTTCTCCTATGGGAAATATTCCACCTGGAAACTTTGGTGAATTTCTGAAAAGTTTTTTTTCTTGGAAAATGTACAACTAGACCAGGGGTCTGCAACCCGCGGATCCGGAGCCGCACGTGGCTCTTTTACACCTTTGCCGCGGCTCTGGGGCGGATACTAGCGAGGGGAGGAGGTGCATTGTGCGCCCCGACACTCCCCACTGTGGCGGGCGCTGTACTGGCTGTGACGTCGCATGGGGGCAGTGCGTGCGTTAGTCACGCACCGTCCCGACGTCACCTTCCCGCCCACCCACCCGCTACATTGAAAGGGGGCATGTACGCTGGTCACTGTTTTGAAGGGGAGTGAAGAACACACACACAAAAAAAGGTAACTTGTTAATTTAACGTTTATTTCTATGAGGAGGAGTAATTCTGAGGGGTCAAACAAAGAAATAATTAAAAAAGTGACAAAAAAGTTATTTTTATAATGACGAGTTTTGCGGCTCCCAGTTTTCTTTTCTTCGGAAACGGGTCCAAGTGGCTCTTTTTGTCTTAAAGGTTGCAGACCCCTGAACTAGACTATGAGTCAAAGAAGCACAGCTCCCCCCCTTACCCCGACTTGGGAATCACGGGGGGCGGGCGCCGAATGTCCCCCCCTCCAAGTGCGTGTGTGTGTGTGTAAACAAATTCTTAGTTCGTTTTGTAATAAACCGGCTTATAACTGTGACTCATGAAGCTGGTTCCTCCGCTGAGAATGCTGGCCACATGACCCAGAAGCTGTACGCCGGCTCCCTCGGCCAATAAAGCGTGATGAGCACCGCAACCCCAGAGTCATCCACAACTGGACCTAATGGTCAGGGGTCCCTTTACCTATATATATATGTGTGTGTTTTCTCATGTTATATATAGTTGTTTCATATAAGCGATAAAATGTCTCACATCAAATGTAACTGATCTGTAGAAAAGACTCTGCGACCTGAAAAAAATGACAAAGTGCGTACTTTTTTAACCTAAGAAAATCTTGAATATTTAAAATAATCATAATAATAAGAAGAAGCGATAAAATGAAATAAAAAGCATTTACCAAAAAAGAAAGAAAAGCCATGGGTGTAAGAATAAATAAATATGATCACTCCGCCAAGAAATAATAATAAATTCTAAGTCTTTCCCGCAGTTTAACTCTGCGCTGTGTGAATAAGTTGTTTCTTTTTCTCTGTCCTGTGTCTCCCAACATGCAGCTTCACTGAGTGTCTACGAGTTCCGGTGTTAGATATTATATGTAAAACTGGGGTTGGTTTTACAGCACAAGCCATCACCAAGGGATTCAGTGTCCCCTGAAGTACATTAACAGTCAGAGAAGGATGGATGGAGGCAGGAAACAGTTGAATCAAGGCAGATCTTATTTTCCAGTTGCAACAGAGTCCCCCCCCCCTTTTGCTGGGAAGTGAGAAGGGACCTCCCCTGCAACAAAGCTATGTAGATTTTAAAGACTTTAGAAATTGCCCATCTCCTTAGCCAAAGACCACCCAAAAGCATTATTGAATTTTAGTGTTTTGTTGGAAGCCACCCAGAGTGGCTGGGGAAACCCAGCCAGATGGGCGGGGTATAAATAATAAATTATTATTATTATTATTATTATTATTATTATTCATACAAGCATCACAGAAAGAGGTGGTTGTTGTTGTTCAGTCGTTTAGTCGTGTCCGACTCTTCGTGACCCCCTGGACCAGAGCACGCCAGGCATTCCTGTCTTCCACTGCCTCCCACAGTTTGGTCAAACTCATGCTGGTAGCTTCGAGAACACTGTCCCACCATCTCATTCTCTGTCATCCCCTTCTCCTTGCGCCCTCCATCTTTCCCAGCATCAGGGTCTTTTCCAGGGAGTCTACTCTTCTCATGAGGTGGCCAAAGTATTGGAGCCTCAGCTTCAGGATCCGTCCTTCCAGTGAGCACTCAGGGCTGATTTCCTTAAGGATGGATAGGTTTGATCTTCTTGCAGTCCATGGGACTCTCAAGAGTCTCCTCCAGCACCAGAATTCAAAAGCATCCATTCTTTGGCGATCAGCTTTTTTTATGGTCCAGCTCTCACTTCTGTACAATACTACTGGGAAAACCATAGCTTTAACTATATGGACCTTTCTTGGCAAGGTGATATTCCTGCTTTTTAAGCTGCTGTCTAGGTTTGTCTTTGCTTTTCTCCCAAGAAGCAGGCGTCTTTTAATTTTGTGACTGCTGTCACCATCTGCAGTGATCATGGAGCCCAAGAAAGTAAAATCTCTCACTGCCTCCATTTCTTCCCCTTCTATTTGCTAGGAGGTGATGAGACCAGTGGCCATGGTTTTAGTTTTTTTGATGCTGAGGTAGTCTACAGAAAGAGGTAGTCTACAGCAAAAATTTGAGAGTGTAGCTTGTCTCCTGTTCGTCAAGATACAGTGGTACCTTGGTTTTAGAACAGCTTAGTTTATAAACAACTTGGATTAAGAACACTGCAAACCCGGAAGTAGGTGTTTTGGTTTGTGAACTTTGTCTTGGAAGCAGAACATGTCGAGTGTGTTCCATTTGTAAATTGAGTCCCCTACTGCTATGGGAAAGCACGCCTTGGTTTAAGAACACTTTGGTTTAAGAACCGACTTCCAGAACGGATTAAGTTCATAAAAGAAGGTACCACTGTACCTGATAACACTTATTGATAGAATTATTTAAAGAAATATTATGGTATGGTGAACTTGCAAGTGGGATTTGAGCTATGAGCAACAGAAGTAATTAGATTACAATACTGTGGTTATGATTTAATAGCTATTAAGAGAGGAAGGGGGGAAACAACAACTCCATGGAAAACAGGGTGGGAAGTTGATAAAAATAAGAGAAAATATGAATTTGTGTTTTGACTGCATATGTGAAGAATGTTGAAACTTAACAAAAGAGAATTGGGGGGGAAGGAGACTTTGCTCCTCATGATCTTGAACAAAGAGATGGTTTTAAGTGGAAACCTGCGACGGGGCCTTATTATACAGTCAGACTGCTGGTCCCATCTGGATCAGTACTGTCTACACTAATCGGCAGCTGCTTTCCAGGATTTCAGATGAGGGGCATTCCCAGTCCTGGCAATGATCAGAGTTTGCACACGGGACCCTCTGGAAGGCAAGCAGGTGTTCTGCCAGTGAGCTACCCAAACTCCACAGGATTGAAAGTTGAAAAAGTGTGAATTGCTCGCTAATGCCCGTTAGAAACTGTGCTTGCAATTCTTGATTTGGGAATAAGCCTATGGTCCAGGGATACGGGTGGTGCTGTGGGTTAAACCCCAGAGCCTAGCACTTGCCAATCAGAAGGCCGGCGGTTCGAATCCCCGCTACGGGGTGAGCTCCCGTTGCTCAGTCCCAGCTCCTGCCAACCTAGCAGTTCGAAACCACGTCAAAGTGCAAGTAGATAAATAGGTACCGCTCCGGCGGGAAGGTAAACGGCGTTTCCGTGCGCTGCTCTGGTTCGCCAGAAGTGGCTTAGTCATGCTGGCCACAGGACCCGGAAGCTCCCTTGGCCAATACAGTGGTACCTCGCAAGACGAATGCCTCGGAAGACGGAAAACTCGCAAAACGAAAGGGTTTTTGGCTTTTTGAGTTCGCAAGACGATTTTCCCTATGGGCTTGCTTCGCAAGACGGAAATGTCTTGCAAGTTTGTTTCCTTTTTCTTAAAACCGTTAATACAGTTGCGACTTGACTTTGAGGAGCAACTCATAGCACGCAGTGTGGTAGCCTTTTTTGAGGTTTTTGAAGACTTTGGTGATTTTTGAAGTTTTTCCAAAACTTTTCCGACACCGTGCTTTGCAAGACGAAAAAACCGCAAGACGAAAAAACTCGCGGAACAAATTAATTTCGTCTTGCGAGGCACCACTGTAAAGCGAGATGAGCGCCGCAACCCCAGAGTCGGCTACGACTGGACCTAATGGTCAGGGGTCACTTTACCTTTACCTTTACCTTTACCAGGGGGATTTACTTCCAGAGAAGCGTTCCTTATACAATTTTTAAATTATCATTTCTTTGCACTCTTTTAAGCATCTGCTAATTTTAAAAATTCTTTTAAAACCCATTTAAAAACAAGCAAACCTTGGTTTACTCCATCAGCAAAGTTACCCGCCTGCCAAAAAAAGCTAGAAGGTGTGATTCGGTTTAAGGTCTGCAACAAAAAGAAATGTCTCATTCTGCCTGCTTTACTTAACACTAGGCAAAATTTTGCATTCTCCACTCTCGTATGGGAGGCGTCCCATCGGATCCCGGTGTAATGGCTGCTGGGAAATCCTCGCTTCTTTTCTTTATCTCTTTCCTTTTGAGGAAGAGGCGGAAGAGACGACGTAAAGTGGGAGGGGCTGGGAAGGAAATAAGGTTTTGCGGCAACAAGGCGGGGGAGGGTGGTTTGCGACAGTGTCGGGATTTACGGCAGCTCTTTAACCCTTTCCGTTCCGGTTGATTTTTCCAGTTCCTTCCTATAGCAGTTTGTTTTTCTATTGATTTAGGAATCCTCTAGGTTAGATTACTGCAACGCGCTATCTGAATTCTGAATCACAGAATCATAGAGTGGGAAGGGACCTCTAGGGTCATCTAGTCCAACCCCCCTGCAATACAGGAATCTTTAGCCCAAGCTGGGGCTCGAACCCACGACCCTGAGATTAGATCTCATGACAGTTTGGAAGCTTAAGCTGGTGCAGAATTTGGTGGCAAGACAGTTTGAGCATATTGCACCGATCCTGACCCGATTGCACTGGCTGCCTATCGGCTTCAAAGTGCTGGTTTTGACCTATAAAGCAAAAATAATAATAATAATTTTTTTATTTATACTCCATCCATATGGCTGTGTTGTCCCAGCCACTCTGGGCAGCTTCCAACATATATAAAACCGGTGAGACATCAAACATTAAAAACTCCAGATGTCTTCTAAAAGTTGTATAGTTGTATATTTCCTTGACATCTGACAGGAGGGCATTCAGCAAGCTGGGTGCCACCACTGAGAAGGCCCTGTGCCTGGTTCCTTGTGTTAACGGAGAAATCTGAGGGCTCCCTTGGACAAAAAACAAGGACACCAGCCAGGAATACCAGAGCAAAACAGCGGCCAGTAGGCTTGGTCTTTATTGAAGACTGGACTCCTACCTGCCACCAGGTGGAACAAGATGGAAGCCCAGAACGAAAGAGCCCCCAAACTTTTATTAGCTGCTAATCCCCATGTTACATCCCCCCCAACTACATCACTAATGCGTCATGGTTACATCATGAAAGGGGAGGTCTGGTAGCAGTAATCTGAGCATCCTGGACCCTGCCCCATGGTTCCCCTTGCCCTCCACCAAACACCCATCAAGTGTAACAAAAGAAGATATTTACATTTCCCTGTTTCCCAGCCAAGTTAATCCCACCCTTTGGTCTTCCTCTGGGTTTGTTCTTTCTGGAATGGCTACCTGCCTGGCACTCAGGTATCAGGAGGCCAGGGATTATCACTCAGGCAGAGGGGCTGCTGAGTAGCTGAGCTCACACGTCTATATGAATTTCTGAAGTTTTCCCAGTGAGCCAGTACATAGATACATTGATCAGTGAATTCTTACATTTGGTATCGTGCAGCAAAGGCCCTTTGAATAGATAGGAAGAAACTGTGATGTAGTGTTTTGTAGGGACAAATCACAAAAGTCACAAAAGCGATTGTGCTGGTTTTGGTAGTGGGTTGCATGTGCATGATATCTGATGGAGGGGCAACCCCCCCAACCTATACATAAATTCCTGCAACACCTGTAACCTCACTTTATTAATCACACCAATATTAAGGAGAGCATGAGGATCTGAATCTCAGGGCCGGGATTCGAACCCCATGTTGGGCCAAAGATTCCTGCATTGCAGGGGGTTGGGCTGGATGACCCTCAGGGTCCCTTCCAACCCTACAATTTTTTCATTCTGTAAGTATGTATATGGTGTGGGTGGGCTGTCAGGATCTAGAGGACTGGTGTTACTGGGAGACCCATAATTCGGGGTTCCCTGTGTGCAGAAGGGGGAATATCTGATCCTATCTGAGTTTATGCTGAAATGAGCCTGCATTTTAATGTTGCGTTTTAATCTTGTTTTTAAAGTTTTATTTAAATCAATTCTTTAATATCTGGTGTTAGCTGCCCTGAGCCCGGTCTTGGCTGGGGAGGGCAGGGTATAAATAAGAATTATTATTATTATTAATATTATTATTATTATTAATCCACCCCACAAAGGGATACATACCTTCCAAACTCTGGGTGTCTCTATCCCCATATTCTCTAAATGAGGCCACTCAAAACCTCCCCATTTTGAACTCCTTTTCAGTGTACGTGTGGACATATCAAATGCTCCCCATTATTTTTGCCTGCCCCCTCAAAACTAACCTCGTGGTTGTTTTATTTTTAAGCAAAATCACATTTGTTCCATTCACACTTCACACCTTTGTTGTTTTTTTTACAGTATGGGAAATGTGATTTCATGTATCCCTCCCTCAAAAGACTTTTCATGGATAGAGAATCATAGAATCAAAGAATTGTAGAGTTGGAAGGGACCCCAAGGGTCATCCAGTCCAACCCCCTGCAGTGCAGGAATATTTCGCCACACCTGGGGCTCGAAATCACGACCCTGAGACAAACTTTTTAAATAAACCATAAATACCCCTCTCCAAAACATGATATCTCTCTGTCTCAAGTCTGTGCGTTTTCAAAGTGAACACTTACTCATACAATGTATCTGGGATATTTCATTTATGTTATGAACTTTATCGAGCTGTCACATGGTATGGAATAATATTTTTTTTAAGCACTGTATCTTATCTTATTTACCTTATGAACTCTACCTAGCTAGGAAACGACACTTTTAAAGCAAACATTTATTTGCACTGCACACCCCCAATATATTTATCTCGATATTTACAGGAGTAGTTTGTAAGATAAACTATACCACATATAAGATACCGTATGTTTAAAGGAAGCAATAATTTATACTTCCTTATGTGCTCTCTCTATTTGGCTATAAATAAATAGTTTATATGTATTTTCTATACTTAATATAGAAAACCTCTATCTTCAGTACATTTTATTTTATTTTATTGCTAGGGCTAGTGGCTGATGCAAATAAAGATTCTTCTGATTCTGATTCTAAATAATTTATAAGATAAACTATCTTATATTTATAAGAACATTAAGGTAAGATAGCATGCTTTACGTTGCATGGAAAATATATATTGTGCATTCGGCCGACCCCTGTGATACAGTGTCTCTGCTTATAGCACTTACATGTATTGTGCTATAGATAGATACTGTAATATATAACTCGTTTATAAGGTACGCTGTCTATAACAATATAACTATTTCACTCTGCCATGTGTTCCATTATCTTATTCTTCTTCTTAAGGAAAAATTCACAACCCTCATTTAAATACATGCAAAGCAACAACAGCAACACTGAAAGAGACTGACTTGATCTTAACAGAATTAAAATTGAAGCCTTAACAGAATTAAAATGCAAGGAGATTGCAATAAAAAGGTGGCCTTTCGTGAATAGCGGCATTTGCGTGCTTTTTGTGTTTTAAAGGAAACATTTGGTATTTGCACTGCTAATTGCGATGAGAGCTATAGAGAAGATTCATTATAAAAAATGAACATACAGTATATATTTTAAGAGAGACAAGTAGATGTGCTTTTAAACGGACATTTATATTTCATATACTGTAATGCTGTGTAGGGAGAATGGACAAGCCTGTGCCTGTGCGCTTTCAAACTGACATTTATATTTTATATTATGAGGGAAAGGCAATGCGCCCGTGTGCTTTCAAACGGATATTTACATATTATATATTGTGTATAGATGGGCAAGTCTGTGTTCGTGCGCATTCAAACTTAACATTTATATTTTATATATTAGAGAGCAAGTCTGCGCCTGTGTCTTTTAAACTGATATTTATATATTATATAGTGTATCTCTGAGATGAGATTTTATATTTTGTATTAGAGAGAGGGACAAGCAAGTCGGCCCCTGTGTGTTTTTAAAATGATATTTTTATAAATATATTGATAGGTCTGCACCTGTGTGCTTTTAAACTGATATTTATATATTATATAGTGTATCTCTCTATAGAGATGAGATTTTATATTTTATATTAGAGAGGGACAGGCAAGTCTTCGCCTGTGTGTTTTTAAAATGATATTTATATAAATATATCGAGAGAGGTCTGTGTCCGTGTGCTTTTTAACTGATATTTATATAAATATATTGAGGTCTGCGCCTGTGTGCTTTTAAACTGACATTTATATAAATATATTGAGGTCTGCCCCTGTGTGTTTTTAAACTGATATTTATATAAATATATCGATAGGTCTGTGCCTGTGTGCTTTTAAACTGATACTTATATATTATGTAGGGTATCTCTCTAGAGAGATGAGATGTTATATTTTATATTAGAGAGAGGGACAGGCAAGTCTGCGCCCGTGTGCTTTTAAACTGATATTTATATAAATATATCGAGGTCTGCGCCTGTGTGCTTTTAAGCTGATATTTATATAAATATATCGAGAGAGTTCTGCGCCTGTGTGCTTTTAAGCTGATATTTATATATGATACAGGGTATCTCTCTAGAGAGATGAGATGTTATATTTTATATTAGAGAGAGGGACAGGCAAGTCTGCGCCCGTGTGTTTTTTAACTGATATTTATATAAATATAGCGAGAGAGACGGGAGCAGGCCCGTGTCTGAGGCGATCTTTCCACCCTTCTCTTCTCCTGAGGTAATACGAGAAAAAGGCGGGCTGGCCTCGACTCCGCCCCTCGCCCCGCCCCTCGCCCCGCCCCCTCCGCCGCGTCGTCACGTCCCGCCTTCCGGCCTTCCGGCCTGCTCTGAGGCGCAGCGTCGGCGTCGCCTGGAAGGGGAAGCCGGGCCTGGCGAAGGCCTGAGGCGGCGTCGGCGGCGGGCCAGATGGCGGAGTCCGGAGGGGCCGAAGCCTTCGCCTCCGCCGAGCGGCCGCCCACGCCCAGCGTCGCCGGGGGAGGCGGAGGGAGCGGCGGCGGCGGCGGAGGAGGCGGCGGCGGCAGCAGCAGGTGAGGAAAGAGGGAGGAGGAGGGAGGAGGAAGAAGATGCGGGAACTCCCTGCACTTGTCTATTTGGTACCCGTTATTCTTGCTGCTTTCCTTTCCTTGCAGCACATCATTTATTAAGATGTTTCTTTATATTTTTTAGGGCTGTTTTTGCTGTTATTGTCATGCTTAGTGCATCGGTTAGTTGTTGCTTTATGTTCATTCTACATTAATTGTTATTATCTTTTTTTTTTTAAAATGATATTTATTAAAGTTTCCATAAAAAATTAAACATAGAACATAAAAAAGAAATACACAATTCAAAAAATACACAATACATAATCCAAAAAAGAAAGAAGAACAAAAAAGAAAAGACAAAAAAGAAAAAAAAAGTTAAAAACAATATCACCTTTTCATCTCCATTTTTAGATATTAATTGTTATTATCATAGCATTTAGCATATCGTTGTTGCTGTTCTGTCGTTGTTATTCTGCGTTATTTGTTGCTATCATCATATTTAGTATAGAATTGTAGAAGTGGGAGGGACCCTGAGGGTCATCTAGTTCTTTTTTTAAAAAAAATGATATTTATTAAAATTTCGGAAACAAAAAATTACATAGTTAAAGAGAAAAGAAACAAGGGAAAAGATAAAAAAGAGAAAAAACATACAAAATACAAAGTACAGAAAATAAAATAAAAAAAACTTAAAAACAAATTAATCCTTCCGTATCTTACATTTCATTTCCTTGCTTCCCTGACCTCCTCTCACCTCCCTTTTTTGTATTCCAGTTCAATTGGTTAATTCAGCAATTCCTTTCACTCTTTGTTTTTGTCTTAGTCCTTTAACTTAATATATTGTAGCTTTAGATTCTCACCTATTAACAATCCATTTTTACATACACCTTTATGGCATTGCTGCTTAAAACCACTTAACTTCATTCTGACATTCTGACATTCATTAATTTTACAATATTTCTGTAAATAGTCTTTAAATTTCTTCCAATCTTCTTCCACCGACTTTTCTCCCTGGTCTCGGATTCTGCCAGTCATTTCCGCCAGTTCCATGTAGTCCATCACCTTCATCTGCCATTCTTCCAGAGTGGGTAGATCTTGTGTCTTCCCCTGAGGGTCATCTAGTTCAACCCTCTGCAACGCCCAGTGTGGGACTCGAACCCACAACCCTGGGATTAAGAGTCTCGTGCTCTGCTGAGCTGTCCCAGTCTTTGGGGTATCATTGTTGCTCTTTTATTTTATCACATGCATATCATTATTTTGCAGTATTGGTTGTTGTTGGTTAGAGTCTGGTGCTGTTAATGTCAGGGTTGTGGGTTCAATCCCTGTATGGGGCAGCTGCATATTCCTACATTACAGGGGGTTGGACTAGATGACCCTCAGGGTCCCTTCCAACGCCACGATCCTACAATTCTGCAATTTATTATATTGCTGCTATTCTGAATTTATCCTGTTACTATCATTACTATTTTATATCACTGATCATTATTATATTTATATCATTGTCACGGCTTTATTTTATCATATGCCTTGCATAATTCTTTTATATTGTTATCATATTGATTATATCTTTGTTAGTTTTATTTTATTGTGTTCCGATCATTGTTATTTTACGTTTATTATCCTTATCATTGTATCATTGTTACTGCTTCATTCCTATCATTATTACTTTATATTATTTATTATTTTATCACAATATATTTTTGTTGTGTTGTTGTTATTTACTGTGTCTAATTTGTGGCTGGGGCAACCCAGTCAGATGGGGCAGCGTATAAATAAATAATTACTATTATTAATATTATTATTAGTACTACTACTTCTATTTTATTTTATTTTAGTATGTTACATTTATTGTCATTTTGACCATCGTGGTTGTATCAACCACAGAATAGTAGTAGTAGTAGGTGTTGTAATAATAATACAGTGGTACCTCTGGATGCGAACAGGATCCGTTCCGGAGCTCCGTTCGCATCCTGAAGCGAATGTAAGACGAGTCTGCACGTGAGCGGGCTGCGTTTTGCCGCTTCCATGCATGCGCGTGACGTCATTTTGACCGAGCGGCGAAACCCGGAAGTAATGCACTCCGTTACTTCTGGGTCACTGCGAAGCGCAATCCGAAAATATTTAAGCTGAAGTGTATTCATCCCGAGGCATGAGTGTAATAATAATAATAATTATAATTATAATAATAATACAGTATATAAACTCCCCCTTTCTAAGACACGGCCCATCAAACAGCATAGAGTTATATAATTGTAGAGTTGGAAGGGATCCCTAGGGTCATCTAGTCCAAACCCCTGCCATGCAGGAATCGTTTGCCCAGTGTGGGACTCGAACCCACAACCCTGAGATTCAAAGTCTCATGCTCTACCAACTGAGAGATATCCACCCCACCACTCGACGATTCAGCTGAAGAGTTCTGACAGGTATTACAAGTAAGCTTGTTGTAGGTAAGTTCAAGTGCTTTGTTAAATGGCTGTGTGTATTTTGCTAAAAAATGAGCAAGCTTTCCGGTTTCACAGAGTACTTCTTCAGGCTGGATGTTGGAGGTGGAGATAGTTGTCCTCGACCACGTTGCAAAAGCCCCAGTCTCCTGCTTGAGGGACAGAACACAGGAAATGGCCTTTTATATCCCAGGTCAGATAATGAGTCGATCTCGCTCAGGGTATTGCCTGCTTTGTGTTGACCGGCAGCTGGACTGTTGACATCAGGCAGACACCTTCCCTGTATTCTTTCCGGCACCTGCTTAAAACATTTTATTCTAGGCTAGCCTATCTAGACAAGTAGATGATGATTTAGAGAGAGAACGCGCTACCATTTGTTTTAATCATTGTTTAAATATATTTAATACCTGCTTTTTTTAAAAAATTGACAGTGTTTAATGTTTTCTTTTATATTGTTGTGAACTGCTTAGAGCTTCCTAGTTTTTTAAAACAAATGATCAAGTGGTATATAAGTTTTGTTTAGTAATAATAACAACAACAATAATAATAGTAATTTTTATTGCACCCTGCCCATATGGCTGGGTTGTCCAGCCACACTTCCAGCATATATAAAAACATAATAAAACATTACACATTATAAGACTTCCTACTACAGGGATGCCTTCAGGTGTCTTCTAGGAGTCTGGTAGTTATTTATCTCCTTGACATCTGCTGGGAGGGTGTTCCACAGGATGGGTGCCACTACTGAGAAGGCCCTCTGCCTGGTTCCCTGTAGCCTCACTCCTCACAGTGAAGGAACCACCAAAAGGCCCTCAGTGTCTGGGCTGGATGGCGGGGTGGAGACGCTCCTTCAGGTATACAGGGCCGAGGCCGTTTAGGGCTTTAAAGGTCAGCACAACACTGAGTTGAGCTCTGAAAAGTACTCGGAGCCAGTATAGATCAGTCTGGCTGCTGCATTCTGGATTAGTTGTCGTTTCTGAGTCGCCTTCAAAGGTAGCCCCACGGAGAGCGCCAAGTGGGAGTCCAAGTGGGAGGATAGCTAGGGCACGTACCAGAGTAGATGGGTCTCAATCTGATCTGTGGAGCGAGGTATTTGCTCCTAAGCAAGAGTGAAAATTTGCAGCCTCCTAACACAGGTCAGTTGTGCTTTAGCTCTTAAGAGATCCCGAGTGTCCTGCATTCTCGATTCAATTTAAAACATATTGGTGGACATTTAAAAAACTACACACCTGCCAAAGGGGAGACTCTGTGGGACTTAAGTTTTAGCCCACTGCTGGCCTATAGGGCTTCAAATATCCTTTCCAGATTTAAGAATCTCCTCACTCCGTGCACTTGCTCAAGAGAGGTGTTGTGCTCTTGTTTTGTACGGTGGTGAAAGATCTGAATTGTTTCAGTCACCATGGATACAGCTAATTTATCTGAAGGAGGCTGACTGTATTATATGTATATATACTTTTTAAAAAAATTCTAATTGCCATTTTAGAAGCGGAAAATGTGCCTTCTGTGCAGGCATGTAGCTTGAGGCACTAAGTGAGCAGCGTTTAGTAGAATAGCATTAGGTTTTAAGTATCCTTAATGCTTCCCTCCTTTATTTTCCGGTTTGTGTGCCTGGGATAAAGTTTTAAGACTCTTCTTCTTCTTCTTCTTCTTCTGCTGCTGCTGCTGCTGCTGCTGCTGCTGCTGCTGCAGTACAAATCCAGAATGATGCATCTTGTGCTCATCAAAGCATTTGATGAAAAAAAGTTAAGGGTCGTGGGATAGGATTAGGATTATTTTCCACATGCACACAAAATGTGCATTAAGCCAAGCCACAGTTCATTCTACTGAGCAGCTGGGAGAACTCAGTAGAGCTTGTGACTCTTAATCTCGGGGTCATGGGTTCAAGCACCACCTCTGGCAAAAGATTCCTGAGTTGCAGGGGGTTGGACTAGATGACCCTAGTGGTCCCTTCCAACTCTATGATTCTATAAACAATTTCCCTTAGTCTTCTAACTGCTTCTGCTTCTGCACGTCTCCAATCAAAAGGAGTCGGGAAGAATAGCTTGTTCACAAACGGCATCGTAGCTTTGTTGTACCTTAATGGGATCATTTCAGTGCTGAACTGTCTTAAGAGTTTGTTCATTGAATTTGTTCTGTTTAAGGTTTTCTGTACCTCCTTTCAGCCACAAAGGCTCCATGGGGGAAACACAAAACAGTAAGCAGTGCACAATACAGTAAAATCAATAGGATACGATTAATAACTGGGAGGGGAAAATGGACACATCACTACTGTAATACCATCCAACAGCAGCAGGGAGGACAGAGTTTTTTAAAAAATATATATTTTTATTAAACAATTTTAACAGAACAACTTATCAATCAAGAGTTAATTGAAATGGGGTGGGCCATTCCTCTGTAAGGGATGAAAGTTAAGATATAGTGATAAGGGGGATCTGGTCCTTTCTTTTTCTGTTTCTTCTTACTTTAGTTTCTTTCTTCTCTTTACTGTATTTCCTGTAGATTGGTTTGTTTCTTTTACTGTGTTTCTGAAAACTTCATTTAAAAGTCCCCCCCCCAAAAAATAATAATTAACCGGGCATCAAATTTCATTTTGGGTGCTAGGAAGGGACATGGCATGGCAGAGTGTGTGTGAGAGAGAGAACTGAGTGTCCTGCTTATTTTTTTACTGCCCCCTGTCAATTACCTCAAGGAAATGTGGCCCTCCCCAGAAAAAAAGAGTTCCCCTTCACTGAATTAAAACAATCCAGAAAAGATGTTTACCATGTGCCTAAATCAGTGCTTCCCAAACTTACGCTTCTCAAGCTGTTTTGGACTACAACTTCCATCATCCATAGCTAGTAGGACCAGTGGTCAGGGATGATGGGAACTGTAGTTTAAAAAAAAAGCTGGAGACCCAAGTTTGGGAAACCCTGGGCACTAAATTCTCCAGAAAAGAGGGGGCCAAATGGACCTTCTAGGAGAGAAGGTTCTGGTAAGGATTACAAAAAAGCTAGCCGGTGCAAGGGGTTGTGGATGTCCCAGCATATTCAGTGGAGTGGGAGAGATTTGGGAACCCTACTTCCTGCTTCCAAGCCCTAGTCCTGTGAGCTAGCCAGGGGCACCTCACCTGGACGCTGTCACAATGGCCATTTCAGCCCAGCTCAGGGGGCAGGTGGAATCCATCTGCCTCAGCTGGCAGCTGCAGTTTGCTTTCATGCTTCTCATGGCACCCAATGCTGGTGGTCCCAGACTGATCAGGTAGGTGCCAGTCTGAGAAGTTGTGGCTGAATTGTGAAAAGACCCCTGCTTGCTCTTTGGTTGAAGCAGGTTTGGGAAGCAAGCTTTACTTAGGAATCTATTGGGATACCTGCCCTATACCAGGTTCCTCCAGCTCAAAATCGTCTACACTGACTGGCAGTGGCAGTTCTAATAAGAATAATAATAGTAATAATAATTTATTTATACCCCGCCCATCTGGCTGGGTTTCCTCAGCCACTCTGGGCAGCTCCCAACCGAATATTAAAAACACAGTACAGCGTTAAACGGGATGCAGGTGGCGCTGTGGGTTAAACCACAGAGCCTAGGGCTTGCCAATCAGAAGGTCAGCGGTTCGAATCCCTGCGACGGGGTGAGCTCCCGTTGCTCTGTCCCTGCTCCTGCCAACCTAGCAGTTCAAAAGCACGTCAAAGTGCAAGTAGATAAATAGGTACCGCTCCGGCGGGAAGGTAAACGGCGTTTCCGTGCGCTGCTCTGGTTTGCCAGAAGCAGCTTAGTCATGCTGGCCACATGACCCGGAAGCTGTACGCCGGCTCCCTCGGCCAATAAAGCGAGATGAGCGCCGCAACCCCAGAGTCGTCCCTGCCTGGACCTAATGGTCAGGGGTCCCTTTACCTTTACCTTACAGCGTTAAACGTTAAAAACTTCCCTAAACAGGGCTGCCTTCAGATTTCTTTTAAAAGTAAGATAGCTGCTTATTACCTTAACATCTGATGGGAGGGTGTTTCACAGGGCAGGCGCCACTACTTCTCCAGGGTTTCAGGCAAGAAGATATGGCCAGCTATGCCTGGAGATACCAGCAATTGAACCAGCGACCCTCTGAGTTCAGAATAGACCACTCTGTTCTGCCTTGGTCAGACCACACCTGGAGTCCTGGGCGCCACAATTTAGGAGGGATGTCGACAAGCTGGAAGTTGTGCAGAGGAGACGATCAAGGGTCTGGAAATCAAGCCTTGTCAGGAATGGTTGAAGGAGCCGGGTATGTTTAGCATGGAAAAGAGGAGACTTAAGAGGAGATAGAATAGCCATCTTCAACTACCTCAAGGGCTGTCAGATGGAAGATGGAGCAAGCTTGTTTTCTCCTGCTCCGGAGAGTAGGACCTGAACCCATGGCTTCAAGTTACAAGAAAGGAGATTTCGAGTAAGCATTAGGAAAAACTTCCTGACAGTGAGAGTTGTTTGACAGTGGAATGGTCTCCCTGGGTTGCTTGTGGACTTTCTTGGAGGTTTTTAAGTAGAGTTTGGATGGCCATCTGTCCTGGATTCTTTAGCTGAGATTCCTGCATTGCAGGGGGTTGGACTGGATGACCTTTGGGGCTCTTTTCCAACTCTACAATTCCAGGAGGGCATCAGATCTTGTGGGAGAGGGGATGCTGTGCTGGATGGGTCTCCTCTGGCCTGATACAGGCGTGCTGCCGAGCTCTGCTCGCCTTCCTACGGCCCTGATTGTGTCAGTTATATAGGCCAGCCATTTGAAAGCCTCTCTCTCTGTTTCCTCTTTCCACCCATATCACCCCCTCGTCCTCGCAGCATGGCAGACAAGAGCAGCACTTTGAAATGCACTTTCTCCGCCCCGGGCCACAGCGCGACACTCCTGCACGGCTTGGCCTCCCTCCGGGCTCAGGCCCAGCTGCTGGATGTCATCCTCACCATCAACAACGAGGTGTTCCAGGTCCACAAAGTTGTCCTGGCTGCCTGCAGTGACTACTTCAGGTGAGAGACCCGGAGCACCCCCTCACCTCTGCTCCAGCGTTAGGAGCTCAGATAGTAAAGGTAAAGGGACCCCTGACCATTAGGTCCAGTTGCGGACGACTCCGGGGTTGCGGCGCTCATCTCTCTTTATTGGCCGAGGGGGCCGGCGTACAGCTTCCAGGTCTTGTGGCCAGCAGGACTAAGCCACTTCTGGTGAACCAGAGCAGCGCACAGAAATGCCGTTTACCTTCCTGCCGGAGCGGTACCTATTTATCTACTTGCACTTTGACGTGCTTTCGAACTGCTAGGTTGGCAGGAGCAGGGACCGAGCAACGGGAGCTCACCCCATTGCGGGGATTCGAATGCCAACCTTCTAATTGGGAAGCGCTAGGCTCAGCGGTTTAACCCACAGCGCCACCCACGTCCCTGGAGCTCAGATATGGTACCTTAAACCTAGCTTACGGTTGCCACAGCGGAATATCTCTTTCTTTTTATAACAATTTTATTGAAAGCATTTTTAAAAACATATTAAACAATAACACTGAAACTCATTTATAAGAAAATACAGAACAGTATTGTACACAAAAGAGAAAGAGGAAAAAAAGAATAGACTGGAAGAATAACTGAAAAGACCCTTTATCACATTTATATTGTGCATATCTTATCATTTACCCACACATCGAAAGGCAGGCTCCCCCAGCTCTCACCTGGGTGCCTACCTCTTCTCCCAGTCTCCCACCCTGACTGAGATCCTTTTTTAAAAACAACAACAATTTTATTGAAAGTTTTTAAACATATTAAACAATAAAATTCAAACTTGCACATAAGAAAATACAAAACACAATTGTATAGAAAGGAGAAAGAGGGGAAAAAAGAATGGAGAGAGAAGAACTAAAAAGACCCTTTATCACATATTGCAGCATGTTGGGGGGTTGGACTAGATGGCCCTCTGGGTCCCTACCAGCGCTACAATTCTATGATCTCAACTACATTGCTTGACTGTAGCTTGCTCTTAGAGCAGTTCATTTGTCCCAATATGCAAGAAGGAGAAACACAAACAGTGGAAATGGAACTGGAGATGGCATGAACTAATGGACTAAAGCAGAGGTTTTTATTATTTTTTTTTTAAAGCAATTTATTGGGTTTTACAATAATAATAAACATAATAAACAATATAACATTTGTCTTAACATAGTTTCACATTTTCTTTGGACTTCCTCACATCCCCGCTCCCACTTTCATCGTTATAACATTTTGTCAGCAATTTATCATCTTATTTAAATTCTTATATCTCTTCAATGTTTCATAATCTTATGGTTCTCATAAAGAGTTAAACTTTCACAGTCTTACTTGTTTTCTTAAAAACTTCTAAGTTAAGTGGTGCTCAGTTATTTAGTCTAGCATCTTATTTAGCATTCACTCAAATCACAATATTTTTGTAGATAGTTCTTAAATTTCTTCCAATCCTCCTCGATTCTCTCTTCTCCCAGGTCACGGATTCTGCCAGTCATTTCAGCCAGTTCCATGTAGTCTATCAGTTGCATCTGCCATTCTTCCAGTGTGGGTAAATCTTGAGTTTTCCAATGTTTTGCAAGAAGTATCCTTGCTGCTGTTGTTGCCCAGAAGGAAAGCCTCTGGTTTCTTGGTAAAGGTATATTTAAATACCTTTTTCAATTCATTATAAATCATTTCCCAGAACGCCTTCACTTTAGGGCAGGTCCACCAGAGGTGGAAGAACGTTCCCTCACACTCTTTACATTTCCAACACTTATTATCTGACAGGTGGTAAATTTTTGCAAGTTTAACTGGGGTCATATACCATCTATAAATCATTTTCATTACATTTTCTTTCAGAGCGTTACATGCAGTAAATTTCAATCCATTACTCCACAACTTTTCCCAGTCCTCAAACATAATATTATACCCAATGTCCTGTGCCCACCTTATCATAGCCGATTTAACCATTTCATCTTGTGTATTCCATTCCAACAGCAAGTTATACATCCTTGAAAGTACCTTAGTCTTTGGTTCTAACAATTCTGTTTCTAATTTCGATTTCTCCACCTGGAACCCTAGTTTCTTATCATTTTTAAAAACTTCTTTAATCTGAGCGTAATGTAACCAATCTCGCACTTTGTCTTTCATTTTCTCCAAACTCTGCAGTTTCCAATTGTCTCCATCTTTTCTAATATTTCCCAATATTTTGGCCATTTAGCCTCCATATTGGGTCTTTTCGGGCCTTAGCTTCCAAAGGTGAAAGCCACCTTGGTGTTTTATTTTCCAGCAAGTCTTTATATTTTGTCCAGACATTAAACAATGATTTTCTGACAATATGGTTCTTGAAGGCCTTATTTGCTTTAACTTTGTCATACCATAAATATGCATGCCATCCAAAAACATTATTAAACCCTTCCAAATCCAACACATCAGTGTCTTCAAGAAGTAGCCAGTCTTTTAGCCAGCAGAACGCTGCGGCTTCATAATACAACTTTAAGTCCGGCAGGGCAAAGCCCCTCTTTGTTTTGCATCAGTTAATATCTTAAACTTGATTCTGGGCTTTTGCCCTGCCAGACAAACTTCGAAATATCTCTGCCACTTCTGAAAGCACTCCGCTTTGTCCAAAACCTGAAGTGTTTGAAATAAAACAACATCCTTGGCAATACATTCATCTTAATAGCAGCAATTCGGCCTAACAAAGAAAGTTTCAATTTTGACCAACTGTCTAAGTCTCTCTTAATTTCTGTCCAACATTTTTCATAGTTATCCTTAAATAGACTTAGATTTTTTGCTGTTATGTTTACTCCCTAGGTATTTTACTTTTTAACCACATTAAGTTCCGTCTCATTCTGAAACCGTTCTGACTCTGTATCAGTCAAATTTTTCCCCAAAACCTTAGTTTTCTGTTTATTTAATTTAAATCCCGCCACCCGACCAAAATCATTAATCAATTGTAATACTCTTTTCGTACTGGGCTCTGGCTTCTGCAAGGTCAAAACCAGGTCATCTGCAAAAGCTTTTAGTTTATATTGTTTCTGACCAACCTGAATTCCTTCAACCAACCGATCCCCTCTAATCATGTTCAGTAGCACTTCCAGAACCGAAATAAATAGCAAAGGGGAAATAGGGCAACCTTGTCGTGTCCCTTTTTCAATTTTGAACTCTTCTGTAACCACATTATTAACTATCAGTTTAGCTTTCTGTTCTGAATATATCGCCTCAATCCCATTCTCAAAACCCCGTCCCACTCCCATCTCTTTTAAATTTCCCATCATAAATTTCCAAGAAATATTGTCAAAGGCCTTCTCCGCATCTATGAAAATTAAAACTGCTTTTGTATTTATATCTGTTTGCAGAAGTTCCAAGATGTCAATAATGTTCCTTGTGTTAGCAAACAGATGTCTGCCTGGGAGAAAACCGGCCTGGTCCTTATGAATTACTTCATTTAATACTTTTTAAATCTACTTGCCAAAATGTCTGCAAATATTTTGTAATCCACATTTAAAAGAGAGATGGGACGGTAGTTCTTCAATTGTGTCTTTTCAGCTTCTGACTTTGGTATTAATGTGATGAACGCTTCCTTCCACGAATCCGGTGCCCTCTTCCCCTCAATAATTTCATTGCTGACCTCCATCAAAGGTTGTATCAAATAGTCTTTTAATGTCTTGTAATACTTGGAGGTCAGCCCATCTGGCCCTGGAGATTTGCCAAGTTGCATGTTCTGAATAGCTTGTTCAATCTCCTGTCGTGTTATTTTAGAGTTCAGGATTGTCCTGTTTTCTTGAGACAATTTAGATAGTCCATTTTTGCCAAAAATTGTTTAATCTCAACTTCGTCTTGCGGCCCTTGGGTGTATAATTTTTAAAATATCTCTGGAAACACTTTCTAATATCCACTGGATTCTGAATGTTTTTTCCATCAACCTCTAAGTTTGTAACCGTGTTTAATCTTTGTCTTCTCTTCAACTGCCAAGCTAGCAGTTTTCCACATTTATTCGCCGACTCAAACGTTTGTTGTTTCATTAATTTCACCTTCCATTCAATTTCCTGATTTATCAATTTAGAATATTGTGTTTGATAGAGTTTAATTTCTCTCAGAGTTGGCTGTGACTTTGGATTCGCTCTTAATTTCTTCTCTAATTCTTTTAATTTGTCCAAGATCTTATCTTTTTTCTCATTTAAAGCAGAGGTTTTTAAACTGTGGTCTGTGAGTTCCATTTGGGTGGCCTGTGAAAAGGCTACAGCACAGTCAAATATCTCTGTACTCAGCCCTGCGCTTAACTTTCCTTGATGTGATGATTGAGGACTAAGGTGCCCAGAAGAGGGGTCCATGAATCGTGCAGCAGCAGCAGGACGTGTGTCTGTTGCTGCTCGTGAGTCAGCTGTCTGGATAGAGAGGTCAGTTGCCGGAAATCTCCACATCGGCGCAGTTGGACCTGTGACTGGCTCCCGGGGAATTTAAAAAACTGCTCTTCCACCAGCGGAGGCTGACTGTCTTCTCCGGAAACAGTGCAGGAAACCGTCCCTGTTGGTGTTAGGTGAAGGGGGAGGGAGGGTGGGAGAGCATTTCTTAAAACGGCCCCTAAATCTGTGGTACGCAGGGCATCTGTTTTGCATGTGGAAGGTCCCATGTTCAGCCTGCAGGCAGGGCTGTGAGAGGCTCCTGCTTGCAACAGCGGAGAGCCTGTGCCAATCAGTGTGAACACTACTGAGCTAGATGCACCATTTAATCCGGCTCCGTGTCAGGCAGCTGGAGCCTATGTGGAGCTGCTGTGTGGCCAGGGATTGCCAGGGATGTTGGGAGTTGTAGTCTTACAACATCTGGAAGCAAAACCTGCATGCAGGCCCCGAGTTCAAAAACACTCCCCTCACCCCAATCGCCAGCAACTGGTATTCTGAACTGCAACTGGTATGCTGAAACATTACTGTCTCCGACTGTGGAGACAGAGCACAGCCATCCCGGCTAATAGCAGTTGAAATTAGGCCCCGTGATTTTAGCAGGTTTACTCTATAAGTAAAACTGAATTGAACACCACCCTGTTTTTCTAATCCCCTTTTAAGAACTGAATTGGCACCGACTAAGAGCAGGGACGCGGGTGGCGCTGTGGGTTAAACCACAAGAGCCTAGGACTTGCCGATCAGAAGGTCGGCGGTTCGAATCCCCGCAATGGGGTGAGTTCCCATTGTTCGGTCCCTGCTCCTGCCAACCTAGCAGTTCGAAAGCACGCCAGTGCAAATAGATAAATAGGTACCACTCCGGCGGGAAGGTAAACGGTGGTTCTGTGCGCTGCTCTGGTTTGCCAGAAGCGGCTTAGTCATGCTGGTCACAAGACTGCAGCATGTGCTGTATGCCGGCTCCCTCGGCCAATAAAGCGAGATGAGCGCCGCAACCCTAGATTCGGTCACGACCTAATGGTCAGGGGTCCCTTTATCTTCCCTTTAAGAGCAGGCGAAATAAAGTGCTCCACAGAACACATCTTCACAGAGGCGTGGCGATAGACGTGAGTTTAAAAAGGGGGCTTATAGAGTTTCGTGGAAGAGGAGCAAAGAGGCACCTGTGGCTTATTAGCTGTGATGTTTAGGAGCGTTACCAGGAACGTTTTGGCCCGGCCTCTGTGGAGGGCTTCTGCCATTGTGTAAACTTCCTGGAGGCACCTGATTGTTGCAGTGGCAGGCTGTGGGTTCCATAGGGTTGTGCGGCTACCGCAGTGGGAACTGTAGTTCAGAGGGCACCAGGCTGGGGAAGGCTGAATCAGACGGGCCTCTGCTCTGATCTAGCAGGGCGCCGTCAGACCATATATCACCGGTCCTAAAGGATCTACACTGGCTTCCAGCATGTTCCTGAGCACAATTCAAAGTGTTGGTGCTGACCTTCAGAGCCCTGAAGGAGTGTCTGCATCCCCATTGCCCAGCCCAGAGACTGAGGTCCATCTCAGAGGGCCTGCCTTTTGGCGGCTCCCTCACTGTGAGAAGTGAAGTTACAAAGAACCAGGCAGAGGGCCTTCTCGGTGGTGGCGCCCTCCCCGTGGAACGCCCTCCCATCAGATTGTCAAGGAAATAAAGAACTATCTTGACTTTTAGAAGTCACCTGAAGGGAAGTTTTTAATGTTTGCTGTTTTATTGTGTTTTCAGTATTTTTCTGGGAGCATCTCAGAGTGGTGGGGCAACCCAGGCAGATTGGCAGCATATTATTATTATTATTATTATTATTATTATTATTATTCCTTCAGCTGTGCTCCCGCTTCTGAGCCTGGCGACTCACCCCTCCCCACCCGCACAGCGGCTTGCTTTGCATTCCCCCTTCAGACTTGATATCTGGGGGGATTGGGAAAACTACCACCACCATTGGGGCAGAGGATCTACTAGGCTCAAAGCCTTGGCCACGTCCCTGCTGGGTGTAGAAGTGGCGAGTAAGAGCCCCAGTACCCAACTCCTACACTGGCCACTCCGTGCTTGGCACTGACAACTCTTTCTCCGCCTTCTTGCAGCTACTGGTGTTAACACCCTCCTTGCTTTTTTGGCTACCTCCCGAGATTTGTGTGTGGGTTATTATTATTATTATTAACTTTATTGCCGTAAGTTTCCCTAGTAACATCAAACCCCAGAGGTTTATTGCTCTTCCTAACAGGCGAGTGATTATCGGAGGCAGATGCTAATGGCTCTTGTCCGACTGAATTTGTGCACTTATGGTGCTGGGCCATAAGTGCACCAAGAGCTTCTTTGATAACTTGGGTATGTAGAGGATCTAGTAGCATGTTCCTCCCTTTCTGTCCCCCCGCCTTGCCCCAATTTAGGTTCAGATCAAGGGGGCGAGGGAGAGGTGGCTCTGAAAAGCTTTTCGCCTCTTCTTTCTTTAATCTGGATTTCAGGGCTACGAAGTGTCGTCTTCTAACAACACCAGGATTATTTGACCGTGCCTCTCCGGACGTTTAGCTTGCCGTTGTTGATAAAAAGCCTTCCTCCCGCTCCACAACAATGGAGCAGCTTAAGATATGCCGGCATCATAATGCATAAAGCTTCCATTTGTTGCCCCTGATGAACAATAACCATTTAGTGGCTTAGCCGGTCACTGAGCTGTGGGGAGGGAACTCAGCGCTTCGATTTTCCGGAGTAAAATTGACCTACATCTGGGCTGGGCGTAGACAAACGAGCGACAGATTCTCTTCTTCCCACAGACCCCTGTTGTTAGTCAGCTCCCCTTTCATTTACCTGTCTGCCCAGCCCTTTCCTGTCTGGTAGCATCTCAAGAGGATGCCTGGACAGTTCGCTGACATTTCACCTAAATATGCCAACAATTTCAGGGCTCCAGAAAAGCGGAATGCTGGTCAGAATAGAAAGTGGTGAAAAGCCACCAGAGAAGGGTCGGGGCAGATTTCTCTAGGGTGGGAGTTTCCTTAGCCGTGGGGCAGCTGCAAAGATTCTTAAATTTTATTTTTTGTTATTGTTTATTAAATTTTATTGGCCACTTTCTTTACCAAGGTAACTTAAAACACATAAACGTACAGCACAAAAGAAAACACAAAAGGTAGGGGTGAACCATCCCAAAGAGGCTACGGATAATTAAAAGTCAAAGGAAGGCCTAGTAGAAATGGAATACTTTTGCCTGGCACCTAAATAATATGCAACAGTTGGAAAATATTTTGCAGAATACTTAAAAACTCAGTGTAAAGATGTTAAAACTCAAATAGGATGTGAGTAAGAATAGCAGTGAGGGTAAACTCTTTGTTTTTTCTTGTGAGATAGGGTGAACGTATAGAGTAACTATAATATGCCACATAAATTCAAATTTTGAGGGAACCAGGGAGGGTGGGAGCGGAAGTCATAGCTGGAAGGATTGATTGGTAAATTTAAAATGTTACTGAATTGCTTATTTGTTAAATACTACTACTACTATGGGACGCGGGTGGCGCTGTGGATTAAACCACAGAGCCTAGGACTTACCGATCAGAAGGTCGATGGTTCAAATCCCCACGACGGGGTAAGCTCCCGTTGCTCGGTCCCTGCTCCTGCCCACCTAGCAGTTTGAAAGCACGTCAAAGTGCAAGTAGATAAATAGGTACTGCTCCGGCGGGAAGGTAAACAGCGTTTCTGTGCGCTGCTCTGGTTCGCCAGAAGTGGCTTAGTCATGCTGGCCACAGGACCCGGAAGCTGTACACCGGCTCCCTTGGCCAATAAAGCAAGATGAGCGCCGCAACCCCAGAGTCGTCTGCGACTGGACCTAATGGTCAGGGGTCCCTTTACCCTTTACTACTACTACTACAGTTGGCCGATGGGTTAAAAGGATAACTTTAACTTTGTGGAAACGGGAGTCACTCAGCAGCCTTTGGGGAAGCTGCCTGTGTTGACAAGCTAGGAATGGTGAATCTGAACACTCTCCTCTCTCTCTCGGGCTCTTTGACATCTAGGGCCATGTTCACTGGTGGAATGCGGGAAGCCAACCAGGACGTGATTGAGCTGAAAGGCGTCTCTGCGAAGGGCTTGAAGCACATCATCGAGTTCGCCTACAGCGCCGAAGTGACGCTGGACCTGGACTGCATCCAGGATGTCCTCGGGGCGGCCGTCTTCCTGCAGATGGTGCCGGTGGTGGAGCTGTGCGAGGAGTTCCTCAAGTCTGCCATGAGCGTCGAGACCTGCCTCAACATCGGGCAGATGGCCACCACCTTCAGCCTTGCTTCCTTGAAGGAGTCGGTGGACGCCTTCACCTTCCGCCACTTCCTCCAGATTTCCGAGGAGGAGGACTTCCTCCACCTTCCCCTTGAGCGCCTCGTTTTCTTCCTCCAGAGCAACAAGCTCAAGAGCTGTAGCGAGATCGACCTCTTCCGGGCCGCCATCCGCTGGCTGCAGTACGACCCAGCGCGCCGCGGCAACGCCAGCCAGGTCCTCTGCCACATCCGCTTCCCGCTTATGAAGTCCTCCGAGCTGGTGGACCACGTCCAGACTTTGGACATCATGGTGGAAGACGTCTTGTGCCGGCAGTACCTCCTGGAGGCTTTCAACTACCAGATCCTGCCCTTCCGGCAGCACGAGATGCAGTCTCCCCGCACCGCCATCCGCTCGGACGTGCTCTCCCTCATCACCTTTGGCGGCACGCCCTACACGGACAACGACCGCACCGTGAGCAGCAAGGTCTACTACCTGCCGGACGGCAGCGCCCGGCAGTTTAAGGAGCTGACGGAGATGGAAGTGGGCAGCAGCCACACCTGCGTGGCGCTGCTGGACAACTTTGTCTACGTGGTTGGCGGGCAGCACTTGCAGTACCGCAGCGGCGAGGGGGCGGTTGACGCCTGCTACCGCTACGACCCGCACCTGAACCAGTGGCTGCGCATCCAGGCCATGCAGGAGAGCCGGATCCAGTTCCAGCTGAATGTCCTGCATGGCATGGTCTACGCCACGGGGGGCAGGAACCGCTCCGGCAGCTTGGCCTCGGTGGAGAGGTACTGCCCGCGGACCAACGAGTGGAGCTACGTGTGCTCGCTCAAGCGCAGGACGTGGGGGCACGCCGGGGCCGCGGTGGGGGGCAGGCTGTACATATCGGGCGGCTACGGGATCTCGGTCGAGGACAAGAAGGCCCTGCACTGCTACGACCCCGCCATGGACCAGTGGGAGTTCAAGGCCCCCATGAACGAGCCACGAGTCCTGCACGCGATGGTCAGCGCCAACAGCAGGATCTACTCGCTTGGGGGCCGCATGGACCATGTCGATCGCTGCTTTGATGTCCTGGCGGTGGAGTACTACGTCCCCGAAGCCAACCAGTGGACGACGGTAAGCCCCATGCGGGCGGGGCAGTCCGAGGCGGGCTGCTGCCTGCTGGAGAAGAAGATCTACATCGTCGGGGGGTACAACTGGCACCTGAACAACGTGACCAGCATCATACAGGTGTACAACACGGAGACGGATGAGTGGGAGAGGGACTTGCACTTCCCAGAGTCTTTCGCTGGCATTGCCTGCGTGCCGGTCATCCTGCCACAGACCACAGCTCGGAGGTGACCACCCTGAGACTTCAGCCCAGTCTCCCGAGGCATCACATGCCATCAAAGATATACATTCTGGCCTGCCCCATTTTGGAAAATAAAAGGTTTTGTGTCCACAGCAGGCGAGCAAGGTCTTCCACCTTACCCTCTGGTCCTCCATAACTTTTCAACAATTTGTGTTCCATCCCTCCTGGGTTGGAGGAGGTTATGAGGAAGACTGAGCTAGGATTGTGGTGGGGTTTGTGCGAGAAGGGATGGGTGGTGCTCCCCATTAACTCCTCCCCCCCATCTTGCAGGTATTTTTTTATTTTGAAAAGAAGCTCCTTTCTCCTCCCTCCACCCCCCAAAATTATGAACTGCGGAGTTTTTACTGCACCCCAGAGCATTGGTTCATGTGAGTTCGTTTGGTCTGGAGAGTTTAAAAGAAAAAAAACTAAGGACATCCTGAACTTCCGAAAAAGCAATAAAGGAGGATGAGGCAGCTGGCTGGGGTGGGCTGGGGTGGAGGAACTCACAGAGGAGATGAAAAATGTGTGATCTCATCCTAGCAGGTGTGCCTGTTCACCCCCCTCCCCCTTTGAAAAGCACATTTTAAACACAAGTACATCACACACCAGTTTGGGTAGTCTTCTTTCTCTCAAAAACCGTAGAAGGAGTTCCCAAACCACGTTCTGTGGACCACCGGCAGCCCACGAGCTTCATCCCGGTTGTCCGCTGCGTGTCCCTGATGGAACGGCAATAGAAGCTGCTGCTCTGTCGCCGTAAGTGGCCTGAGAGGAGTGGAGAGGATTAGCAGCAAAATGGAACAGGAAGCTAGAATTGGGATATTCAAAACAACATGTAAGGAATAAAGCAATTCAAATGCAATTAGCAATTGTGCAGCGCCTAGCACAGCGCGGTAATGGGCAGAAAAAGAAATTGAGCTTAAGGTTGGTGCTGCCACCCTGCTTCCCCATGTTGTTCTCGCAGGACAGCAATGCTCCCCCAGATTTCTTGGGGCTGCCTTTCCCAAGTCAGCTGGCTGCCCACCCCCTGCCGCAACACACCGTAACTCTGTTGCTGCAGGAGTAACTCTGGTCTGGGCCAGAGATGGGCCAAGGAGGTGCTTTCTGGGTTGGTTTGATTCCGAATAAGTGTTGTAGATTATTATTTTTATTATTATTTATTAAATTTGTATGCTGCCTTCTGCTCAAAGATCTCTGGGGCAGTTCACAATGTAAAATTACAATATAAACAACACAAAATACACAATAAAAATGACAACAACAATCTAATAATCCCCCCTCCCACAACACATTTAAAAGGGAGGGCATTGTTAATCAGCCAAAGGCCTGGTTTAAGAGGAACATTTTGCCTGGTGCCTAAAGGTGTATAATGAAGGTACCAAGTGAGCCTTCCACAAACAGGGAGCCACTGTAGACAAGACCCCGTTCTGCCAGGTCTCACATCACCACACACTGCCCCTGGGCAACTGCCAGCCCCTGACTGTCCACCCTGCACCCTTGGGCGACCTCCCCTTTAATTTTTAAACTGGCCTTGAACCTGCCATTTTTAATTTCCCACAATGCCAATAGTGCCCTGCTGCCCTGCGGTATCACGGGAACATTTGTGCCTGGTGGCAAGCTTGCTGCTCAAAAGACAGGAAACATTTTTCTGCTTTGCACATGGATTGTAGAAACACAGAATTGTAGAGTTGGACGGGGTCCTGTGGGTCATCTAGTCCAACCCCCTGCGATGCAGAAAAGCATCCCTGGGAGGTGGTCCCTGGTTCAATCCCAGTGGCAACTCCAGGTAGGGCTGGGGAAAACTCCTTGCCTCAAACCGTCAGAGTAGACAATACCAACCTAAATGGACCAAGCGTCCTACTCTGTATACTTAATTTCCTATGTTTCTAGAGGGGTGCTGCATAGTGGAGCTGGCCAGAGATTGCCATGCCTTATCCCTGAAGCCAGCCATGATTATATTCCACGGAGTGGAGTTAGCACAGCTCCTCCTCTGTAGTTGCTCCCTGAGCTATAGTAGCCCCTTTGCTGTAGTGTTGCTGCTGGCTGCAGCTGAGACTCTCTTAACGCATTTTAACCGCACAGGCCTGAGCCGCGGCTTATAGGATGGAACAAGCTACAAACCCACAAAACAAAGTGAGCTGTTTGGAACAGGCGAGAATGCATCCCTGGCCGTTCATGCCTTTTGCTAGTCAGCTTTTTCGCTTCTGTCTTAACAGATTGTGGACTCTTGGAGAACTTCCCACCCCTCCCTGCCAAGATGCGAAATTAAAGCAGGCTTTTCTAAGCACGTTTCGATGCGTTGACGTTCCAAATTATTTTGATGCACTTAAAAATGTTCGAGCGGGAGGCTCGGCTCCTCTCCCCTCTCACAGGAAAGTAAAGTAAGGGGGAGGGGAGATGCAGAAATTTAATTATTTGAAATGTAGCATTTTTTTCAGAGGATGTGTTCTGCATGTGTTGGTGGTCCAGAACTTTGAAGTGGGATGAGATTTCTAACCAAAAGATTTGTTTTTGTGTGTGGTTCCCCCTTTAACTTGAGAGTTTTAAAACGCACAATTTTTTTTTACTCCAATGAGATTTATTATTACTGTTCATTTCATTTCCATACCGGTTTATATTTCAAAGAAATAATCTCGAAATGGTTTGCAACACATGAAAACATCAAATGAAACAATCCAGAATAAAACAAATTAATGCTTCAAGGGAAATCTTTCAGATCCTTCTGTAAGTGACATTTTAGGTAAAGGATAAAGGGGACCCCTGACCATTAGGTCCAGTCGTGTCCAACTCTGGGGTTGCGGTGCTCATCTTGCTTTACTGGCCGAGGGAGCCGGCGTACAGCTTCTGGGTCATGTGGCCAGCATGACTAAGCCGCTTCTGGCGAACCAGAGCAGCACACGGAAACGCCGTTTACCTTCCCGCCGGAGCGGTACCTATTTATCTACTTGCACTTTGATGTGCTTTCGAACTGCTAGGTTGGCAGGAGCAGGGACGGAGCAACAGGAGCTCACCCCATCACGGGGATTCAAACCACCGACCTTCTGATCGGCAAGTCCTAGGCTCTGTGGTTTAACCCACAGCGCCACCCGCGTCCCTTTTGCTTTCCCTCTTATTTATTTACCTACTTAATTTATAGAGCTTCCCCCTAGCAGAAGGGCTCTAGGAAGGCAGGGTGGCATAGCGATTAGAGTGTCACACCTGGGAGATCAGGGTTCAAATCCCCACTCAGTCATGAAGCTCACTGGGCGACCCTGGAGTCAGTCCCAGCCTCTTAGTCCACCTCACAGGGTCGTTGTATGGATTAATGGGAGCGGGTGGGAGTTAAATGCAAAATAAATCAGCTCTTCTGCTGACCTGCTTAAGGAAGCTGGAGGGGCCAGTCAGAGGGAGATGTCAGTTGCCAGTCTGGCACCCAGAGATCTCCACATGGTTGCGATGGGTAAAAGTCATCCCACTTCAAAGTTTGGGGAATATCAAACACTGGACCCAACCAGCACAGGCTGGAGCTGACGGTAGTTAAAATTTCAACCTGTGGACACCAGTTTGAGGAAGCCTGCACAAAAGAGAGGTAAGTTACTGCAGGGAAATTGCAGCACTTAACAACAGTGTGTCAAAAGGAACATAAATTGCAGGTGTAAGGTACTTCTCATGTAGCTTTGTGACTGCCTCAATCCTGCTTTCCTGGGTATCCTTCTCTGGATTTGGGGAATGGGACGGGAGGATAAGATCTAAGTCAGTTTAGGTTGGCCAGGAGGGGTGTGCTTGTTCTCTTTCACACAGCGTGCCTGCGCCCGTGGAGAGCGGCCTCATTTGTGGGTCTACAACCACTTCGCCTCCTTTCGAACTGCAACCTCCATGCTGCAAGAACTCGCTGGTATTTATTTTCAATAAAAATGAGTTTTGATACTGCTCTGTGAAAAGTACCTGGGGTGTTTTCTGCCAGAGTTTCGTTCTTGGTGGTGGTGGTGTCCAGCAGCGCTCTCCTTAAGTTCTCAGTGCAGAAGGGGTACAAAAGTGTGCTTCTGTCAGATTTGCGGCAATGAAAATGCCTGCCTTGCCTCCTCCGTGCCATTTGGGCCGAGGGCTGACTCCTAGTGAAAAACAAAACTGCATATGGTCCCGTCCCCCCCATTGTGGAGACTGGCCAAAACATGACAAAACACGAAGAGATGGAAGGTTTCTAGAAATAAAAACATGGGGTTGTCTCCAAAATTAGTCATGCTTGGAGTTTACACATTTAAAAGAGAATTGGCATGGCTAACTGAAGCCCATGGATCTGACCCACTTAAATTAATGCTCCATTAACTTGGGACTAGAGTCCATCTTAGCATTGCATATAGCCTACCGTCTCTACTCTGGAGTAGGATGCAAGGTGCGCTTTGCATTGATGAAGGCAACTGCTTCAAATGCGCAGAAAGGTTGACTTGCAGAACTCTCCGCCACTGCATGTCGCCATGGTCTTTTCTGTTGAGATTGCTCCCAAAGAGGATTATGAGAAATTCATGGTGGTACCAGAGACTGATATCTGAAATGTCTATTTCTGCAGCCTCCATATCCAGAGAGACTTCATAGAATTTATCTGTATTTTGATAATTTTATGTGTTTCTAATTGCTTTTTTATTTTTAAAATGGCTATTTTGCACCATGTTATGTAAACAATTTAAGAGATGCTGGGCTGCATCTAGAGCTAGCCCTGCTCACAGATTAATGGACAGGACTAATTTAGGTCCATTCATTTCAATGGGTCTGTGAGCAGAAATGAGTTGGTTTCAATCAATATATTTATTGATTGAATCAATTGAATCAATATATTGTTATACTGAAGCTGAGGCTCCAATACTTTGGCCACCTCATGAGAAGATAAGACACTCTGGAAAAAACTCTTGATGTTGGGTAAGATGGAGGGCACAAGGAGAAGGGGACGACAGAGGACGAGATGGGTGGACAGTGTTATAGAAGCGACCAAAATGAATTTGATGAAACTCTGGGAGGCAGTGGAAAACAGGAGTGCCTGGCATCCTCTGGTCCAGGGGGTCACGAAGAGTCGGACACGACTAAACGACTAAACGACAACATATATTGTTTAATAAAATGTTCAGAGGCAGCCTGTCACTGAACATCAGAATAAGCAGATTCCCCTCTGCTGTGGCTTTTCATTTTAGTGCCATCATTTGGGGGTAGACTGCTCCTGTCTGTGGAGGCTCCATTATTTCTCATAACTTAATATGTCAGATATGGAGCGGGGGGGGTGTATTGGAGGCTTAAACTAATCAGGAAATTGAGAGAGGGGGAGGTTTAATTACTGGGGGGCGAGGGGAGCCGGCCTACCAAGCAAGGAGGGCCAGAGAAAGGAGATAAAGCACTGCGCATGCGCCTGAGATAGAGCGGGGGGGGGGGCCCCCCACAAAAACAGCTTTCTGCGCCTGCGGCGAAAAGCAGCGGAGGGATGTGTGTGATAAGAGATGAGAAAGCGCGGCGCATGCGCCAGGTCGCCTCGTTTCATTTCCCCCTCCGCTGCCGAGTTTGCGCGCTGCGGCTCCACTCGTCTCTCGCGAGCCAATCCCCTCCTCGCTTCCCACCTATTCTGCCCATTTCCAAGCTTGCGCGTGCGCAAAACCAACACCTCCCTCTCGCTACCTCGCCACCCACCTTTTGGTCTGCGCATGCGCGCCGCGCCTACTCCAGTCCATCCCTCTCCCTCCCTCTCTTTTTATTTTGCGCGTGCGCGTTGTTGCATCCCGAGTTCTTTTCTCTCTCCGTCCAGCCCCCTTCTCGCTCGCGCGTGCGCGCTGCGTCCGAGCCTCCGCTCCGCAAGCCGTCCTCCTCCTCCCCCCCTCCTTCTATTCTGCCCGTTCCTACGCCTGCGCAGTCGCGCGCCTGTGGGCGGAGCGTGCGCAGTCGGCCGCGCCGCCTCTCCTGCCAGACCTCTCCGACTTTCGCGCCTGCGCAGTCGCCCAGATTTTGCTTGTTTGGTTGGCGGCGCGGCGGCCGGGTGGGGGAGGAGGGAGAGAGGGAGTGAGGGCGCGCGCGGGTGCGCAGGCGCACTGGCGCCCGGAGCGGGAGGGGGCGGCGGCGGCGGCGACGGCGGCGGCGGGAGGGAGGGATGCGGACGGGGGAAGATGGCGGCCTCGTCGAACAACCCGCGGAAATTCAGCGAGAAGATCGCGCTGCACAACCAGAAGCAGGCCGAGGAGACGGCGGCCTTCGAGGAGGTCATGAAGGACCTCAGCCTCACGCGCGCCCACCGGGTGAGCCCGGGCTGAGGGGTGGAGGCGCTGGGCGGACGCCCCCTCAGGGAGGCAGGGAAGGAGGGAAGCCCCTCACGGCCGCCTCAGGGGTCGCCAGGAGGGAATAGCTCCGTGAGGGGCGACGGTGGGGAGGCTGGCAGCCCCTCAGGGAAGGAAGCCCGCGCTCGCCTCAGGTCCGGGAGGGGGAAATTAAGCGCGGTGGGGGGGGGGACGAGGAGGAGAAAGGAAAGAGGGAGGGATGGGATGGAGGCGCCTGGCTGACTGACTGAAGGGAGGGACGCTTCAGCATCACTTCATCCGTTTGCGTGAGAGAGGGATCTTATGCGTGTGTGCATTTGGGAGGGGGGGTCTTTGAGGGGTGTGGAAGTGGAGGGAGGGAGGAGGAGGAAGACACCCCCCCCCAAGGAGGGAAGCTCAGCATCACCCCATCTGCGTGTATGAAGGAAAAGTATACATACATACATATACACGCGCACACAGGCATGCTGCCCATCTGGGTGTCTTTGAGGGGTGAAGAAGAGGAGGAGAGAAGTGGTGGGAGGAGGAAGGCCGAGGGAGGGGGCGTGAGAAACGGGGTGGGGGGTTGGATGCGCTTGGCTGACATACCCCCCTTCTTAGGAAGCCCAGAATACTCTCTCCTCAAGGCATAGCTGTCTTTTTTTTTTAAGGGAAATTCCTTTATTCCGAATAGGATTCCTCTCAAGAAAAGGGAAAAGTTGACAGCTATGCCTCAAGGGTGTGTGTGATTGGTGTGGGGAAGTCCTTGAGGGGCAAGGAAGAGGATAGAGGAAAGAGAGAAGAGGGGGGAAGAGGGAGGGATGGGGGATGCTGGCTGGCAGGCAGGCAGGCAGGCATCCCAGCTGACATCTCCTTAGGAAGGGGAGCCCAGAATGGCCCCTTCCTCTGCCTCTGGTGTGATGGAGGGGGGAATGGTAGTACTGGGGTTTGGGGGGCTGAGGAGGAAGATGGAGGAAATGGTGATGCCCTAACTGGTTGACACCCCCTTAGGGAGGGAAGCCCAGAATACCCTCAAAGTGGCCCCTCTTCCTTGTTCCCCCCTTTCAGAAGGGAGAGTTGAAGGACTGCCTTCTCAATTATATCCTATTGGGGGGTTGGGGGCTGCTGAGAGGTCAACACATGATCCCTGTTTTCTCTATCCCTTCCGCTCTTCCTAAAAGGGTAGTTTACATTTGAGGCAAATGGGGGGGGGGGTTGAATTTAGGGAACTGGTTACATACCCCATTTTTCAGGATTTTAAAAGGCCATACACAAACACACCCCATTTATGGGTGTGAGGGGAAGGGTTACTGGCGGATGTGAAGGAAAATTAGCTATTTGGGGAAACGGGGTTAAGGGGGCTACAAGATGTCTTGTCCCCCCCTTTCCTTTCTCCACTTCCTTAGAAAGAGAATTAAGTAGCCTCAGTTTTATGACAGAGGAAAATGGGGCTGTTCTGAGGGTGGGATAAATTGGGAGGAGTGACACCCTATTTTCCTTCTCCCCTCAGAAAAGATGTTAAAAGCCTGTTTGGTGGTTTGAGGTTACAATATTGACACGTGTGTGTGTGTGTGAGAGAGAGAATTTAGGGTGTGATATCCCCCTTCCCATCCTTCAGTAAGGGACTAAAGGACTGCTGCCTCAATTTACAGGTGTGATTAGAAGGGGGGAAGGTTGTAGCTAAATGTAGCAGGACAGCAAACAGAACCCCCTCTCCCCACTTTCTGAATTCAGAAATGTGTGCCAGGTTGAGGGGGGATCAAGAATCGCCCTTCCTCAAACCCATGGGTCAGGAATGGAAATGGGGATTAATACACAAAAGGGGAAGAACTGCTGTCTCCCCTCTTTCTCCCTGCTCAGAAAGGTTGTGTGTGTAGGGTTAAGGACCCCCCCTTCTCAAATTATAGTGGAGGGGTCTGAAAAATTAAAGAGGGGAATTAGGTGAAGGGCACCCATAGGAATGGGTTGACACCTCCCCCGAAGGAAACAAGGGGGGCAGTGACCATCCTGTCACCCAATGCTTTGGAATTATTAAATGAAAGGGAGCAGAAGAGAAATAAAAACACTGGGGAGTGAGTGGAAAGGACCCCTCCAACTACTTGCAGAGGGGGTGGTTCTTTATGTCCTCTCCTTTTTCTGTCTGTTGGGGAAATGGGTTGGGTGACTCTAGCAAGCAGAGTGGGGTGACGCCACTTGCCCCCTTGCACCCCAGTAGAAGGTCTGGGACAGAATACACCACCAGTTCAGTGGAACTCTTAAACTGGGGGATAGGAGAGATAAACATTAAAAAGATAGTGTAGAGGTAAGTGGGATCTGATGGGAGAGGGACCTGAATGAATAACTTTCCCTTCTCTGAAGGTTTGAGGAATTAATATATTGTGGGGGAATATTGAGAGCAGGTTAATTACCCACCCCCAAATACGTGAAGTAGACCGTTATTGGTGCATCCCTTCCTTTTTGACAGGTAAGGGAAGGTCTGCTCATTTCTACTCCCTTATGAGGAATGTGGGAAAGTTGGGAAGATGCTCTCCTGCCCTGATGTATAGGGGGAGGCATTAATAACCCCCCTCCCAGTTTATGAATTGGGGATGAAAACAAACCAATGCTGCATATATGGGGTTAACTAAATTCTCCTGTTATTATGCTGTGAGTGGGAGTGGATAATTTACTCCCTTCTTGTTATCTGTACAGTATAATGAAAATTCTTAAGGGAGATTAAGGAGCCCTTTCCATTTATTTGCATGTGGGGAGGTCACCATGGGGGATTATTTTGGGGAGTGGGAACTGCTAATGAGCTCTCCAGTTCATGTCTGTGCTGAGGATTTAATGACCCATTTTCTATTATCATTATTTATTCTGCTATCCTGTATTTCTTAATCACCTTCTAAAATATTGGCTCAATGTGATTTACACATAAGATAATTAAAAACAGTGAAAAATACGAAAGCAACAAATGAATCAATTCTCCCTATAAGGGTGTGGGAGAGAAATGTGAGGGAGGGGTTCTGAATTATTCTCCCAGTGCTTGTGTGTTTTGTTATGGGGATATGAATAATTTTTCTTGCATTTAAATTTATAGCCCACCCTTCCACCCAAAGAAACCTAAGGGGTGTTTTTATTTGCAGGGGATTGTGGAATAAAAGGGTGTGCTGATTTCTAATTTAACATGGAGAATTGTGAGAGCGGGGAGTTTATGTAACCCCCTCCTCATTGTATTTGAATATCAGGTGTTGATAAAGTTCCCTTGTGTGCATGTGAGGGAAAGGAGAAAAGCTTAATAATGTGTGTGTAAATTGTTCCGAGGGGGGTGGCTAACCTGTAGCCCTCCAGATGTTATAGTCCGATGACTCCCATCAGCCACAAACGATGGAATCTGGAGGGCCACGGGTTAGCCACACCTCTGGTAAACGAAAGGTTTGTTTCTAAATCCATGAGTATGTCTTTGTGCATGTGTTCAGAACAGAGGAAATCATTAATAATATTTACTAATTTGAGAACTTGCAGCTGTCCAGTAAAGCCAAGGCGAACCTTTTTTTTTTTTTAATGCTCAGTCGCAATGAAGAGATAACATATGACTCCTGTTAGCATAGATGCTGTTTGTTGGTGGGGGTGAGTCTGCTGCAGTTAATATTGTGTATGGTTGAGGAGTTATGGTGGGAGTGCTTTGTGGACTCGGTGCCTTCTCTGATATGTGTGCTTGCGCTATGACCGGTTATCGTAATGCCCATGAGTGCACATGGATTGCGATCAAGTTGCTGCCTCTATCCAAGAGTAGGAGGGCACAAGCATTACATTTCTTCTGCAATAATGCCACTTTATTTGACCAGGTGGGGGGGGCTGGATTTGAGCAGCACATCCTCATGCCTTTCTCTATGTGTAGAGCAGTTGAAGGCCGATACGGGCTCCTCATCACAGCACTTCGGCATTGCTAAAAATGTGCGGTGCGCACAATTCTTTAATGCACTAAGTTGTCTGGTTTAGTGTGGGCTTTCTTTGCTATGGAATTCGAATTTAGTTTGTCTGGTGTGGCTGTTATTAATAAGTAACAACAGTAATGATGCACCTACAACCTGGCACCTTACAATTCATTTTATAATGTTCTCTCTTAGTAATATGGCATTGTTGGCATTTTCTTACAAACGGTGGAAAGTTAATAGCTATCTCTGGGGTTAGGAGAGTCAGTTGTACTAGAGTGTGTTAGCCACTGTGCTCTTGCAAAGTTGATGGCACTGTTAACACACAAACACACCATGGCAAGAGAGCAATAGAGACCTCACCAACTTGCCTTCCTCCAGATGTGTTAGATTTCTTTGTCCTTCTACCCTGACCACTTTCCCCCAGTGCTAGAAATTAGCCAGGTGCCAGGCACGTTTTGCGACTGGTGCAGGTCCAGTTTTGGCCAAGTGAAGATCTCTGGATGCCAGGTTCATGCCTGGGCAAAGCAAAATGTCACTTAGAGAAGGATCTGAAAGATTTTCCTTGAGGCTTCAATTTGTTTTATTCTGGATTGTTTGATTTGATGTTTTAATGTGTTGTAAGCTGCTTTGAGATTTGTTTTTTAAAATATAAAGTGGTATAGAAATGAAATGAATAATAATACTACCAATAATAATCACCATTGGGGGGGGGGGGGAAATGGTGCCAAGACATACCGTTGTGGTGACTGCAACCTGTTAGATTATATCTCTGCCTCCCACACTGGCGGCCGTGAATCAAACGCCGTCTAGAGGACCACAGGTTCCCCCATCCCTGACAATACCCTAGTTGGCATAGGGATCATCATCAGTTGATTATGCATATGGTCTGTTTCTTGATGGAATGCAAGGCTTGCTTTTCAGTATCTAACGCTTAGGCACCCCCTGTATTAGTTGGGGTCACCCCGAAACAGACTGACGCTGCAGCAGGGTTGGGTGCTGTCTCAAATCTTTCCAGTTAAGGGTAGAAAAAGGGGCTCTTAAGAACAGGAGACTAGCCTGCTGGGTCAGACTGGTGGCCCAACTAGTCCAGTATTCTGTTCTCACAGTGGCCAACCAAATGCCTCAGTGGGAAGGCCACAAACAAGATCTGAGCACAAAAGCCCTCTCCGCCCCCCGCAATGGTTTTCAGCATTTAGGATTCCTCAGAGCCTGCAACTGTAGAGGCACAGCATAGCAATCATAGCATGAATTTCTCTCTTGGATTCCCCCGGCCCCACATATCAAGCATACAATCGTTGGCCTGTATTTGGGTCAAGTGAGCAGCCAGGCTTTTGTTCTGTTTGGGCTGCTGGTGATCATTACATCTTTTTTAAAAAAAATTGGGGCCACTCCAGATTAAGGCACTGAGGATGAGATGACTGAGTTTGGGAGATAACATTTTGGGGCAGGAGGAGAAACAGCGAGGGTAGCAATGAAGCCCAATCTTCACTGCTGATTGAGTGTGTGGGGGTGTCCCTTGGGAATATGTGTTAGTCGGCTGATGCAGCGTAATACCCATTTAACATATCTCTCTAAATTCATTTTCATCTGCTGGGCAGGATCGGCAGTCTAAGCACGCTCCCTTTAACGCTGCTGTCTCTGTCACAGGTGCTGCCTTGTAAAGCTTTGTGGAAATGTCATGTCGTCTCAGAGGGTCTGGGTTCAAGGGGCTTTTGCTACGTAGGGCCAAGGGTCGGCAGAGTAGCCTTTGCCTGCTCAGGGACTGCAGCACCCATCAGCTGTGCAGCTGTGGATGATGCGAGTTGTAGTTCAAATCACCCAAAGGGTGTAAACTTGATGCAGACAAGTTAATAGCTGGTGGCTCTTTCTGAATTTCTCACTGCCCTCACGCTGGGGCAGACTATTGCAGAAAAGCAGGTGTGATAGATATAAGAGATTTTAAAAGGAGCTGTGGTGTGATGTTCTGTTGCAGGGGGTGAGTGTTTATTGGGTGATGTTTTCACAGTGGGCTGACAGTATAGTGGTGCGTGTTCCGTTTCAGTGTGCCAGTACATGGAAAGAATATCTTTTATGCACCCTTGAGCCTGTAGTATTCTCTCTCCCTTGCATCTACAAATGTGGTACCAAAAGAGACCCGGTGAAATTCTTTTGCATTTGCAGAACCAGTGTGTGACAGGGGTCTCTTCTGCCTAGCAATCTGTTCTCATTCCTCCCACCTGCACATTGAGTCAAGAGGTGGGGGTTGTGGTGGCAAATACCCCATGGATAATGTCCCTGCTGCACCTTAATTGGCGCCAAGGGCTCTAAAGCACACCTCTTCCAGCTATGCCTAGTCTCTTGCGGTTTGGGCAAAAACACGTAACTACAAATTATAGTGTGATTATGGAGGTTGTGCCTCCAGCCTGGTCTTCTTCCGAGGCGCTATCTGTCATAGGTGGTTTAGTCATAGGTGGTTTAAAAAACGAAATCACCCCTCTTTCATCTGCCATTCCCTTACGTGTGCAAGGAATCACAGGTGCTTTTGAACGTGTGTGTGTGTGAGAGAGAGAGAGACAGAGAGAGAGCGCAAAATGAAATTATAATAGGCCAGGAACAATTGAGCATAGTGTTGATTCTGTCAAAAAGAAGTTTCCTCTTTTGACTTCCTGGTGTTGGGATAGTGTCAATATTTGCTTTTCAGAGGTTCGGAGATAAGCCTAGATAAGGAACAAAGATTACATTTTACTTTTTTCTATTTTTTTTGTCAATGGCTCTTTGGCTGAAATTGTGGATGGACCTGGGTGGTATCAGGTGTTTGGTGACTGAAGTGGCCTAACCCTTCTGTTGACTTTGGATCTGTTGTTACTCTGATAGCAGAACTTTTTGAAGAGTCAGCTCCATCGTTGAATTCCACGCTGCACCCCCCCCAAATGTGCCCCAGGGGTTCAGTCGTCTTGATCAGCTGTTAGTTTTGCCAGAGATACACTCTGAGGAGGGGTAGGAACATAGAGGGCCAGGCCCCCCTCCAAATTTGTCACATGGTGGACTTCCTCTCCACCTGAACTAGGGAAGTTTTTAATGACTGATGTTTTAATGTATTTTTAATCTTTTGTTGGAAGCTGCCCAGTGACTGGGGAAATGCAGCCAGATGGGCGGGGTATAACTAATAATACAACAACAACAACAACAACAACAACATGCTTCTGGATGCCAGCAGCTGGGAAACGCAGGAGGGGAGAGTTGCTCTTATGCTCAGACCCTCCTTGTGGGTTTCCCAGAAAAGTCACCTGGTTGGCCCCTGTCAGAAGAGGAGGCTGGACTAGGTGGGCAGTGGGGTCTCATCCAGCAGGCTCTTCTTATGTTTGGCAGTTGAAGGGAGCCTGGTGGGCTTGAAGGGGAGAGGCTGCCACTCAGTGGAGTCTCTGCTTTGCACAACTTACCTGCTTTGATCTTTAGCATCTTCAGGTAGGACTGGGAAAAGACTCCCTGCCTGGAACCCTGGAGATGTGCTGCTGCCAGTCAGTGGAGACAGCACTGAGTGGGATGGATGACTCTGTATCTGGCAGCTTCCTGTCAGTGTTAAGAATTTCCCAGGTGCCAGGAGAAATGAACTAGATAATAAAAATAACAACAATAAAAATGATTCTCCTTGCCAAAAACAGAGAAGGTGCCTAGACATTCCATTGTGGCGACTGCAACCTAGGCTTAAGGTGCCAATTAGCATACATAGCTGCATTTCTAACACTGCTGTCTATGTTCTTCTGGGACAGTAGCTTCCTATTGCAAGCCCCTTATTTACAGATATTCTGCCCAGGCTGCTTATATTTTCCAGCTAGCTTTTCACTCTGGAGGCTGGTTTCTTTGTCTTGATACCTGTGGAAACATCATGGATGAAGTATGTCGCTTGCTTTCCCTTCAAAGTAGCCTTTCCCAATGTGTGTGTTTGTACACACACACACACACACACACACACACAAAATAAAATAAAATAAATGCCAGGAACATCTGGAGGGCACCTGGTCGGGGACGGTTCATCTAGGCAAAATAGTCTTTGTCACTGATGACTGCTTATGTTCTGTTCCTGTTTGAGATGTCTGCAGGCAGAGCAGATGGCTAGTGGGAGAAGCTTTGCTGTGCTGCTAGCTTTGCCCTTAATTTAAAGAAAAATAATAACAATCATTTAAAAGGGAGCAACCACGTACGCTTTAGCACTCTGGGAATATTTTAATGGTATCAAATAACGATGGTCAGCGGAGAACGACCAATCAGTGTGCTAATAATAAAAAGCAATAACAATGGTAATTAGCAAGTCAAAATCTCCTGCTCTGGAGAGTAGGATTCAAACCAATGGCTTCAAGGTACAAAAAAGGAGATTCCGACTAAATATCAGGAAAACTTTCTGACAGTAAGAGTTGTTAGACTGTGGAACATTCTCCCCTGTTCTCCTTCGTTAGAGGTTTTTAAGCAGAGGTTGGATGGCCCTCTGTCACGGATGCTTTAGTTGAGATTCCTGCATTGCAGGGCATTGGACTAGAGGACCCTCGGGGTCTCTTCCAACTGTAATTCTATGGAAAGGAGTGCTGTGCCATTATATGTGAGGTTCAGTTTTCAAAAATTGGACTGGGGGCAGGCAAAAATCTGCCTGCCCCCCACTCCGCCCTGCCTCCTGGAAGAAGTGATAACTTTTTCATCGCTAAACTATGGAATTTGTTCTTGCAACGGGCACCAAGTTGTGTGGCTTTAGAAGAGGATTAGACATGTTCATGGAGGACAAGGCTATCAATAGCTATTAACCACAATGGCTGAGACTTACAAGTGGGGAGAGCACTGCTGTTGAGCTCGTCTACCTTGAGGGCTTCCTATTTGGGCACCAGGTTGGCTGCTGTGAGAACAGGATTCTGGACTAAATGGGCCCCCTATGGCTTGATTCATTTTGTAACATGATGGCACCATTGATGACAAATGAAGCCTCATTCCGAACGCAAGAAGAGATTACACACCTTTTGTCTAGGCATCTGAGGTACACTCCTCGCCAGGGATGTGGTGGCTTTTTTTTGGTAAACTTTCTCATATCCAAGTAACTTGCATAGAGTAATTTGCATTGGAAGATTTTCCTGAAGCCCTTGCTTGTCTTTTACTTGTCTTTAGCAAAGGAAAGCTACGGCCCTCAAAACCGCCAAGCTTCCCTCATAGCGTCTTTGAAGTGGGCACTGTCTGTCCATTGTTACTTATGAAGTTAGAAAAAGGTAGAAATTCTATGAGGAAATTAAAGCCCTGGAAAATCCTCTGTTTTGGACAAGTTATTGCTCCCTACCTTGCTGTACTCTAACCCTGGCTGTGTCCAATTGATACAGAACTACCTCTGGTTGGAAGTTTTGGGGTTAGGCATCCCCTTTCCAACAACCCTTTGGAGGTCCCGAGCCTCAAGGAGGTTAGATTGGTTTCAACTAGGGCCAGGGCCTTTTCAGAACTGGCCTCGACTTGGTGGAACACTCTGTCACAAGAGACTAGGGCCTTTGGGAATTTGACATCTTTCTGTAGGGCCTGCAAGACGGAGCTGTTCCGCTGGGCCTTCGGCTTAGATTCACTCTGACCCTTGGCTTTTTTGCTGGCCCATGTAGGACCAGCATGGATAGCTGGCTTGGGTGAATATCTGATGTTCCCTCCCTTTATGGTCTTGATTTATGGGCTACTACTAAAATGAGGCTGCATTTTAAGCTGTATTTTAGTTAACTATTTGTTGTTGTTGTTGTTTCTATTACGTTTTATTGTAATTTATATTTGGTGTTAGCTGCCCTGAGCCCGGCCCTGGCTAGAGAGGGCGGGGTACAAATTAAAAAATACTATATTATAATTATTATTATGCTCTGCCATAGCTCGTATCGACTCTTGCCTGGCAAGATTGGGAGGGCTGGCAGCAATTGTCTCAGCAGTGCAGGGGGAGGGCTGCTTTCTATTTTCTTTAACAGCTACAGCCTTGTGAACAGTTCTGTACACTTTTGCCAAGAGGGAGCAAAAAATATCAGAGAGAAAGGGGAGGTGTCTTCCATGTAGGGCAGTGGGGAGTGCACAAAGCACTGCACACACAACAGATTTCAACTCAGCACTAATTCCAGGGCACTTCATAGAAGCATAGAATCGTAGAATTGGGAGGGACCCAAAGGCTCATCTAGTCCAACCCCCCTGCAATCCAGGAATCACAATTAGAGAATCCCTGACCTGACAGGTGGCCATCCAACTTCTGCTTTAAAACCTTCAGTGAAGGAGAATTCACCACCTTCCCAGGTAGTCAGTTCTGTTGTTGAAGAGCTCTTGCTGTCAGAAAGTTCTTCCCAGTGTTGAGTTGGAATCTCCTTGTCATTTGAATCCATTGCCTCGAGTTCTCCCCTCTGGAGCAGCAGAAAACAGTCTGGCTCCATCTTCTGTGTAGCAGCCTTTCAGGCATCTGAAGATGGCTCTCATGGACATTATCTTATTTCTGTACAACATCCTTTGCTAACCTGGTGCCGTGCAGGTGTCTTCGGCTCCCGGATCTCCTCACCCCCTGCCAAAGGTCTCCAGAACACCATCTTGGCAAATGGATTGCCACGCAATAGTGTTTTTCAGGAGAACCTGTAGTTCAGTTGTAGGAACAACGCCTTTGCATACAGGTGGCTCCAGCTTCAATTGTTCCTTAGCAATTCCAGTGAAATGATGTCTCAGGTAAATGATGATGAAGGAAGTCCTCTCCTCCCCTTGTGTCCCTGGCTAACAGTCAGAGTAGACAATACTGGCCTTGGTGGATGTAGTCTGTCATGGTATAAAGTAACTTCTTTTGTTGTTATCTCAGAATTTAAGATGCTGGTTTATGGGAGCTGAGAGAGGGAGTTTTGACTTAAAGCACTGTGGGCTTTTAAACCTTGAGACTGAGGGCTGATTGTGTCCTTCCAAGCCTCTATCTGGTCCTTTCTAACACTCAGTGTTAGAAACTCAGATAATATAAGCCAGACACCAAATGGCTCCTTAACCCAGGGTTATAGTCACCAAAACGGAATACCTGGTTGCCATTTTGGGGCCAGACTGCTCGAAAGTCATATTTTTCAATACAACTTTTTGGTTCCTGAAATTCATTCTGATTGTGCAGATAAAATATAACAGGTGTGTGGAAACATTTCATACCCAAGAATCTCCAGGCACGCACCTCCAGATGGTGGAGACATCAGGTGCCATCATAGCATCCACTTGGTTGCAAGTGGCCAATAGCCAGATGCAAAATGTGCATGGCAGATTTCGTATGCTGGGCCCACAGCCCATAATGAGCCCTGCTGCATATCTGGAACATTTGTACCTGGTTGGGATGTGCCCCTGAACACATCTCTTGCTTCTCCGGATGGAGAACAGAGAGGGTGTGTGTAGAACCTAGCCTACTGTACAAGCATAACTTTTACATCCATTGCTCCATCCCCCCTTGGCCTATGGCCCTGCTCGCCACTGCTTTGTGCCCCCCGGAAGGACACCCAGAAGGAAGCGCGGTACTCGGGGTGACTTAAAACCCACCAAGTGAGTTTGTTGCATCTTATGCTTCTCTCTGTCTCGACATTTCGCTGGCTCCCAATAAGGTATAATGACTGCATCGGAGCTGGGGGCCCCCCTAATGTCCTCGGGAAGTGATAGGGAAGCGACTGTTGGCTGGCTCCTGGGACTGCTGGAGGTTGAGGTATGCAGGCTCCCCATCCTCTGCTCCAGGGGGATTTGACTGATAGTGTGCAGGGGCCGCCAAGCACAAGAATCTGTGCAGAGACTGTGCCTTTCAGGTGGGTAGGGTGTGATGCGTCCCTTACCTCTGGCTGCTGGCAGCTGCAAGCCAAAAAGGGCATGATTCTGCCACGTTTTTGAGTGTCCCAGGGAAGGCAGTTCCACACCTGGAGAGACACCCCTCCTGCTGTGTAAGGTGCAGCACCTGCAGGACCAAGCTTTCATGCTGGTGTTCATGGAGAGATGAATGGCAATCTTTGATGCACAGCACCACCAGCCATTTTGCTGCTACTTCTCCCCCCTCCCCGCCCCCCCCTCCTGTTTTGTTTGGTTGTATATGAAATTAGATGGAGTTGGTGCTTTCTTTTCTTCTGCTCTTCTGCGCCTTCCTTTTTAAATTTTTATTTATTTATTTTGTTTTGGAACCAGCACCTTGGCCTATCCCTTTGCTTCTGCGGAGGCGAAATGCCCCCCTCCCACATTATTAGCAATTGTGTGCCCCCCTCTCTCTTGTCTAAATTCCTCCCCTTCCTCACCACCACAATATTTGTGAGCGTTCACCGTCATGTTCGCTCTCTCACATTCTTCCTTGGTTGCAGCAGAGGCTGTGAGCCGCTGCTTTTCCACAGCTTGTTGGCTGTGCTGTGCCCCCGCTTGGATGTCAAACCATTTTTTATTTTCTTGTGATCAACCCCCCCCCTTCCAAATCGCACACATGGATAAACACCTACGATTGTTTGGTGTATAGCCTTGTGTTGGCGGCCCATGATACCTCCTCCTTATTCCTTTTTTTATTTTTTTAATCTGAGCTTGCGGAGCTCTTATTCTCTTAGATCCTCCTCCCCTGGAAACAATTTCAGCGTGAAGAGCGAATAAGCCTCTGATTGAGGGGGCGGAGGGGAGGCGCCTTTTGCAGTTAGCAGGGAGTATTCTGACATTTCTGCTGTAATGCTGAGAGTGGGAGGCAGATGGTTGATGAAGGGGGCCACGCAGCAGCGCCACCAGAGATGCCTGAAAGGATGTGCTTCTGTGATGCGCATCTCATAAGTGGGAGAGGGTGGTGGGGAGTCCATCTTGCCAGTCTGGGGTGGTGGAAGATTCTGCTTAAATTGGGGAAGGGGGAGATCTTACCAGGAGGGTGAAATGGTTGTTCCTTTAGAGCAGAGGTTCACAAACTTATTTGGCCCACCACCCCTTTCAGAAAACAATTACTCAGCCCCACCCCCGAAAGCTGCCTTCTTTCAGCGAACAAACAGAAAGATGCAGTGAGAAATTTGCATTCTTTGATGCATCTGTGTTTCTACCTATGCCCTACAGCATAGTAAAGAAAGACGTTGTTGTAAATAAGACACCTTGAAGCTTGAAATTATAAAAGTATTTATTTAAATCAACCCTAGTAGCATTCACATTGCACACAGAAAATTGAGATAACAAAGGATAATATTAAAATAAAAATCACTAACACTTCCTGGGACTGGGTGGAGCCGAAAAAGGTTCACCCAAGCCCAGAAAGAATCCTTTCCTCCAGCATCACCTCCACATCCTGGGGAGGCATTGTCGCCATCCCACAACGGCGCCCGACCTGGCAATAAGCATAACACAACAGATGAAACATATACGAATGGTTTCTCAAAAGTTTCTTCTCTTCTTCTTTATGCTTTCACCGCCTCCTTATTTCTATTCAACCCCCCCCCATTGCACCTGAGGCGACTACCACCCCCCTGGATCATTCCAGCCCTCCCCTCGGGGGTGATATCGCCCACATTGAGAAACACTGCTTTCGAGAGTGTCTCTTCCCCCCACACTTCCCCACAATGAACAAAGGAAGCTGCCTTATACCACCTGGCTCACTGTAGTATGCACTGACTGGCAACAATTAGCTCTCCAGGGTTCCAGGCAGGATTCTCTCCCTGCCCTACCTGAATATGCTGCCAGGAGCTGAACCTGGGACCTCCTGCTCTGTCCGTGATGCCAGTTGCCCCAGCTTGATCAGCACCTGCTACCTGCTGTGCCTCTACTTCAGCTCTTTTGTTAATGGCAGAGTAAAGGGAGTGTTGACATTTGCTGTTTGATACATCACTTAATACGGCAAGCTAATACAGCACTTTGCATACAGCGCTTCATGCATACTTGGTTTTCTGAGCTAGTGTGTGCCCTTCCCCAGAAAGAAAGAAAGTGCCCACCCTTTTATTCCAGTTGTCAGTTGTTCCGATTTTTGCACTCATGGCTGCAATCTGCCCCGAGTCTTCACCACGAAGGGCAGGTAAGGGATCTAATAAATAATAACAGTTTGTTTCTCTCCTAACTAACCAACTAAGCAGAGGCTTGACAACCATATGTCAGGAGTGCTCTGATGGTGTTTCCTGCTTGGCAGGGGGTTGGACTTGATGGCCCTTGTGGTCTCTTCCAACTCTATGATTCTATGATTCTATGATTCTATGATGGTAAACCAAGGTTTGTTCTTGGCCTACCATTGTGGTTTGCTAGCAGAGAAACAAACCGCAATTGTGGCTTTTTTGTGTGCAACGGCAAGTCAGCCACTGGTTTGCTGCCTCTGCGTGTGAACGGAAAGAGCCACTAGCAAACTTCTGAACAGTATCCACCAGCACGCCATGTGTTCTTGCTAAACCATCATTAATTTTAACAATAGTTTTATTATCTGCAAACTGGGAGTAGGTGTCTCTGTTTTCTTCCTCCTCTTCCTTGTTCTTTTTCCTTATTCTCTCACCCCTCACATCTTTTCACTTCTCTTTAAAAATTGTAAACGATAAAATGGTGGTAGTGTTTTTACTTGTGTGACAAAGCTTAGTTAAGCAATCAGGCTCGAGCGGCTGCATGCGACCCTCCAGAATTCTCTGTCTGGTCCTTAAGGCTCTCTTCAGACCACACCTCCTCTCCCTAAGCCACACGCTTCACAGGCCTTTTGCCTAGCCTGGAACGCATCCTGGATTTGTGATATTCCCTCTTGCTTGCCTGTATCGAGAGAGGTGCACAAGTGACTTAGCTGCATGGCTGGAATGTAGCCTGTTATGCAGAGCTGCGTCTTGAGCTGCTCCCCAATTTTTGCCTCTGGTCCCACCCATCATTGCCCCACTGCCCTGGAAAGTTTCTCAGGATGGAGTGTGGCCTCCTGGGCTGGAAAAGATTCCCCACCCTAATCTAAAGCTCTGTTTAGCATTCAAAAAAGTACATGTGAAAAGGATCTAAGGGTCTTGGTGGACCACCAGCTTAACATGAATCAACAGGGTGATGCAGCAGAAAAAAAAGTGAATGCTATTCTAGGCTGCATCAACAGAAGTATAGCGTCCTTATCAAGGGAAGAAATAGTGCCGCTCTGTTCTGCCTTGGTCAGACCACACCTGAAATACTGTGTTCAGTTCTGGGCACCACAATTTAAGAAGGATGTATGCAGAGGAGGGTGACTGAGATGGTCAAGGGTCTGGAAACCAATGGCTGAGGGAGCTGGGTATGTTGAGCCTAGAGACGAGGAGACTGAGAGGAGATACGAAAGCCATCTTCAAATATCTAAAGGGCTGTCACATGGGAGATGGAGTCAGCTTGTTTTCTCCTGCTCCTGGAGAGTAGGATCTGAACCAGTGGCTTCAGGTTATAAGAAAGGAGATTCCGACTAAACATCAGGAAGAACTTTCTGATAGTAAGAGGTGTTAGAGTGGAACAGACTCCCTGAGTGTTTCCCTGGATGGTCCTGGCAAAGAGACATCCCAGGCAGCGAGTATCTTCCCTAGGCCTGAAGAATCTCCCCTTGATGTCAAAACCAAGAATGGCTGTTGCAGGCTGGCACTAATAAGCCACAACACCCAGACGAGAAGTGATAGACTGGTAAAATGAATTGGGGTGAAGGTCTTCCAGAAGCCAGGCACCTTTTTCTATCTCCAGTAGTTACTGGTGAATTGCTTTGCTGTGAGGAAATCTGGGGTGGGAAGGAGGAGCCACTCGCTAGTAAGGATTTGTTAGCAAAGGTTTTCTCCTTTGTTTTGTTTCTGTGATACGCTGATTGCTTTAATTTTGCTCGCAAGCCCACCCTGGGAAATGAAGAACTGAAAGGCGTTGTTTTAAAACACGCTAAGATGAGTAGGCTCTAGGGTTGTTGCATCCAGCGTTAGTCTTCTTCAGAGTAGATCCTTTGGAATTAATTGGCATGATTAACCGAGGCCCATTAATTTCAGTAGGCCTACTCAGAGTACAACTTAGTGGTTCCCTTGTGATTGGAACGTCACGGCTTGTAAGCAGTCGGGATGAGAGGAAGAGCTGATTTCACTCAGAAATAACATGCCTCATCGTCCTCACCAGCCTTGCCAGACTGGGCAGAGCCTCCCTGCTCCAGTGCTGCCTGTCCCACCCACCCAGTTTTTGCGCTGCCTCTTCAGGTGTGAGCCACGTGCAAACCTCCTCTATTCTCATGGGTTGCATCGTCAGCCGTGTCAAACATTCAGGGCTTTGTGTGTGATGGAGGAGAGCGCTATCAACAATGGCTGTGCTCTGTCTCCACGGTCAGAGATATTAATGCTTCTGAATGCCTGCTGCTGGAAGCCCCAGGAGAAGAAAGTGTAGTTCTTGTGCTCAGGTCCTACTTGTGGGTTTCCCATAATTGGCATCTGGTCAGCCACTGTGGGAACAGGATGCTGGACTCGACGGACCGCTGGCCTGATCCAGCAGATACTCTATCTCCTTAAGTTCTTATGTGAATGTGTTTCCTTCCTTCCCCTTCCTCAACAAATGTCCTCTTAATTGCAGATCCTTTCTATTATTATTACTGCAACTGCTGCTACTAAAGAAATGGCAATTAGGAGTCACTGCTAGCCTTGGGAAATGCCATTTTGGGCCTGTAGAGAACTTTTGAATCGGGTTCGTTCCTCCCGTGGCTCAGCTGGGGCTGCCATTCATTTCCATCGGCTTGCTGGCAAACAATGGTGACTGTTTCTATATGGTGCTGAGCAATTTGCAGTCCGAAGCACAAGGACCTAACATGTTGCTGATTGGCAGCTTCTCTCCAACTTTCTAAGCGGCTTTGGGGAATGAACGTGGTCCTGTAACAGTTTTCTAGTAAGCCTTCAAAAGTTGCCAGCCTACAAACATACTTGCTAGTTTCTAGTTTGTTAGAGGGCGGGTTCTTTTTGTATTCTGAAGATGCAACCTCCCCCCACCCTGCCAGTCCTTGATACCTGATATATATAGCTCTGCATCGCTATCTATATCAGTGGACCCACCCCATTCTTTTTAATTGTAATTTGTTTTAAACTGATTTTAATATTGTCCTTTTAAATTGCCGCGGTTAAGAAATTACATCAACCAGTGGCATAGCGCCGTTTGCCAGTACCTGGGGCACGTGTGCTTGCACATGCCCCAGATGGGGGCAGAGTGCATTCGTCCAGCCCTTGCCCTCACTTCCAGGTGCAGAGAGTGAAGAGCACCCTCTGTGCCCCATCCAGGGCACGAGGGCTCACCTGGCATGGGCTGGGGAGTGCAGAGGATTCTCTTCATACTCTGTGCTCCTCAACCTCTGCCAGTGGCAGGCAGGTGCTTGAGTGCTGGACAAGGCACAGAGGGTGCTGTTTACCCTCTGCTCCCCAGGGTGCAATGGGGATCTTTGGGGGGGGTACCTGGTTCATGCTCCCCCCCCCATTGTGTATCTGGGGCAACGGCCTTGCTGCCACCTCCCACGCCATGCCACTGACAACAGCAGCAACAACAAAAACAAGAGAAACGGAAATCCTTGATGGTCAGCTTTGAGATGAAGGCTAGAAGAGGCTAGTTTTTAAAAAAGAAAAGGCTTTACCATGTGAACTGGCAGAAGTGAGGTGTGCCACCCTGTTCTCCTTCCACCAACCTACTTGACTTCCATGCTGAGTGCGGAGGATCCTTCCTTCCTCCACCAGCTCCCTCGGTCGCCTGCATGGAATCACCGATCGCCTGTGGCTACCAGGCAACTCAACCGGGTTACAAAACATCTGTGTCATCGAAGGAAAATATTAACTGTCCCCAGAGTGGACTCTTGCCATGTGCAGCTCAGACTGTAAACTGGGTTTGTGTTGATATGGTTTATGTGAAGTCTGGGAAACTCCCCCCCCCCCCAACTTTGGCACAGGCAGATTAAAAGCAACGCCCACCGTGTGGGTGATGGAAATGAAACTTGAGTGGAGGTGCATCTCCGCCAAGGAGGTGAGTGCGTGTAGATACAATTGTCTGTAAAGCCAGCGGAGAACAAAATGTACTTTTAACTGTATGCAAATAGGAGCCTGGCAAGACTTACCTCATTGCAGAGCCTGCAGTTAAGTTATGGGCTGCATCAACATCCGTGTGTGTGTTGTTCTAGAGCTAGATTCTGTGATGCCAAGTGAGCTGACATGCAGAGGCTTTCTTCTTCAAACAGTCCAGAAATAGCAAGTAACAGGTCAACTTTCTCCTAAGTGCTGTGGCTGGCTACTTTCTCCTTGATTGAATTTCTCTTCCCCGTAAATCCTTGTAAATGGATCTGCAAGCACAATATTAAAGGGATATTTTGTCCTCTGCAGTCGGGTGGTGCTGAGCTAGGCCTTTTGAACTGGCGTGTGTATGTGTGTGTTGCTGCCTTGAAATGACTAACTCTTTCACACCACGGTGGCTAAGAACAGTGTTTTGTTGGCAACCAGGAAAGGCAGATTCATTGTTCCAGAAGTCTTATTAATTCCATTGAATCTGCCACTTTTTAATCTGCCATCCAGGGCAGCTTGCTCAGAGCAAGAAGGCTGCTGCAGCAGCTGTTGGAATATCAATACAGTGGTACTTCGGGTTACATACGCTTCAGGTTACAGACTCTGCTAACCCAGAAATAGTACCTCAGGTTAAGAACTTTGCTTCAGGATGAGAACAGAAATCATGCTTCGGCGGCGTGGCAGCAGCAGGAGGCCCCATTAGCTAAAGTGGTGCTTCAGGTTAAGAACAGTTTCAGGTTAAGAACAGACCTCTGGAACCAATTAAGTTCTTAACCCAAGGTACCACTGTAGCTGCTGCTGTTGCTGCTATGTAGCTTTAGCATTATACATTTGCTAATGGAAAGCAGAATTAGCCTGCTGTGGTTGCTTTTATTGCAACCTCCCCCAATTTGGTGGCCCCCAGATGTTTTGGACCACTGTCCGCAAATAAAGAGCTTTTCTCCCTCTCTCATACAATGCTAGAACTTGGAGCCAGAAAAGTTGAATATTGGAATATTCAGGACAGGCAACAGAAAGGACGGCGCATATCTAAGCTATGACGCCCACTCCCACGAGATGTGGCAACAGCCATCAATTTAGATGGCATTAAAAGGGGATTACACTCATTCATGGAGGATGAAGCTGTCAGGGTCCACTAGTCACGATGGCTGTATGCTACCTCTGGGAACAAAGCAAGTTGCTGTCCAAAACAGTGTTAGAAACTCAGCTATATAAACGAGGCGCCAAATGGCACCTTAAACCTAGGTTACGGTCACCACAGCAGAATGTGTAATTTGCCCAGGGGTTGGATTAGATGATCCTCGGGGTCCCTTCCAATGCTACAAGTCTATGGTTCTGTGATCTTAGCTGCCGTATTTTTTGCTCTATAAGACTCACTTTTTCCCTCCTAAAAAGTAAGGGGAAATGTGTGTGCGTCTTATGGAGCGAATGCAGCCTGCACAGCTACCCCAGAAGCCAGAACAGCAAGAGGGATTGCTGCTTTCACTGCGCAGCGATCCCTCTTGCTGTTCTGGCTTCTGAGATTCAGAATATTTTTTTCTTGTTTTCCTCCTCCAAAAACTAGGTGCGTCTTGTGGTCTGGTGCGTCTTATAGAGCGAAAAATACGGTGCATTGCTTGACTGTAGCTTGTTCTTACAACAATTTACTTGTCCCCATATGCAAGAAGGAGAAACGTGCACAATGGAAAGGGAAATGGCATTAACTATGGACTAAAGCAGAGGTTTTTAAACTGTGGCCTGTGAGATCCATTTGGGTGGCCTGTGGAAAGGCTGCAGCACAGTCAAATATCTCTATACCCAGCCCTGTACTTACTTTCCCTGATGTGATGATGGAGGGCTAAGGTTCCCAGCAAGGGGTTCCTGATTTGCATGGCAACACAGAAGCACAGGATGCGCTACTGTAGCTGCCCATGAGTCAGCTGTCTTGATGGACATGGTCAGGTTGGTCAGTCGCCAGCCGGGCACCCAGAAATCTCCACGTAGTCGCAGTTGGACTTGCACAGTAGCAAAATGTGCCTGGAACCTGGGGAGTTTCAAACACTGATTGGAACATCCCACCCACTCTGGGAGGCCACAGGTAATGAAAGGCCTAGTGGAAAAGCAGCTTTTTGCCTGGTGCCTAAACATGTGTAATGGGAGGTGAGCCTCCCTGGGGAGAGCATTCCACAAAGAGGGAGCCACCACTGAAAGGACCCGCTCTTGTGTTGCCATCTTTGGGACCTCCCTTGGAGAGGTCATGTGAAGAAGGGCCTCAGATGATGAGCGCAAGGTTCGGGTCAGTTCCTGTGGGGAGAGGCGGTCCTTGAGGTCCTGGGGTTCTGATCCATATAATGCTTTATAGGTCAGTTAGTCCAGAAACCAATTGCATTGCCTTTTGCTTGAACTGGGACCAGGTGTGTTTTTGCAGCCACGGGACCACAGCTCCGTGGGGCTGAGAACAAGCTGTTCTTCTTGGGCAAACCCACTGAATTAAACAGGCTGCCTTAATTGAGCTGTGTGTTTCTTATTTGAGACTCTTAATGTATGGCTCACTAAACGGAGCGTAGCAGTTTAAGTACTCGAGAGTGTATAAAGAGTTCCTGTTTTATGGTGCCTGGCTGCTTGCTCTTCCTTGATCAGTGAGGGAACAGATCAAGCGAACGTGGTGAATGGATTTATCCACCCACTCTGCATGTTACTCTCCAGAAACAAGGCATGGTTAGCAGAGTCAGACGTCTAAATTTGAGTCTCTTACTGGAACTGGAATGACATCTCCAACTGCAGACCTCAAGTTCTCAAAGCTGTATGGCTGATTGCCTAAATTTATCAGATTTATGCCCAGTTTCCAGCCAAGATAGCCTCCCAGTGGTGCAGTATAATTAGAAGGACATAGATGTGAGTTTTCTTTGCATGGTACCTTGGTGATTGGTGCTCACAGCGCTGGAGCTGCAGGTTGAGAGAACAGGATGACGAGTGGTCTAAGATGTGAAAAAGTTCCTTTACTTGTTGTTTCACAGAGTCTTTGGGCCAGTGTTCAAAATCAGCCAGGCACATTTTGCACCTGGCTTTCGGCAACTTGCAACCAGGTGAAGCCTGACATCCCCGCCATCTGGGGATCCTTGAATTTCAACTGTTTTCACACACTAATGCCCAATTCTTTAGAATTCTATCAGTTATATTTTATCTGCACAATCTGAATGAATTTCTGGAACCAAAATGCTTTCCCCATGCAGTCTGAGCAGGAGCAGTGAACATTGTTATAGTGAATGGTTATTGCTTTTCTTCACTTCCCTCACTTCACTGCCCTGCTCAGAGTTATGAAGAATATTCTCACATTCTGAATGGTCCATGTCACCATGAAGAAAAATAGGTAGGAATAGGCCAATAGATGTGTGGACTGTCCCTGGATAAAGTTGATTCTTCTTCTTTCAGTTCTCAAAAGTTCTTAACCTGGCTGAAGGTTGTCATCTGAACTAGCCAGGGTTTAACTAATAATCACAGTCATTTGAAAAATACGACTTTAGGGCCGTCTGGCCCCCAAATAGCAACTAGGCATTCTGTTTTGACGACTGCAACCTTGATTTAAGGAATCATTTGGCACCTAGCTTATATATTGGGAGTTTCTAACACTGCTTTGGGCTGCTTCTCATTCAGGCTTCAGAGATTAGAGCAGAGAGTTTCCTAAACAGGCTCATTTCCTGGAAACGGACGCATTCACGGAGCAGGCCTGCATGTATCAGAGCCAGCCTTCCTCCTTTCTTAAGTAATGCAAGAATCCCCTTTGGCAGGCGCTGTCCGTAACCCCACTCCATAGCACCTGCGTGCAGAAGGTCTCCAGCTCCTCTCAGTGAGACCTCTCAGCCTGAGCTGCTGCCTACCAGTGCAGGCAACACTGCTTTAACGTTAGGCAAGGTCCCTTTCCTAGGGGAAAAGCAAGCAACCCAGCAGATGTCAGGGTGGGAAGGGAGGACATTTCAGGGAGTTTGTTGGCAGAAAGGAAAGGGCACCTCCTTTTATTACCCCTCCCCTAAAAGGTCCTTTCCCACCTTAGCTCTCTTTGGTCACTTGGCAAGGCCAGCGTCTTCCTACTCCTCCCTGGAGTGCTTCCCTGGCAGCTTTATTTATCTTACACCCATTGGCTGCCAATCAGCACCAGACTGGCATTGGGCACGTCCCTCCCTCCCTCTCTCTCCTGCTCCCCCCCCCCGCCACTACCTGCCTGCGCGTGCTGCCTTTCTGCCATCCAGCCACTACGCTTTTCCGCGAAGAATGTAAACATTCCCTCCTGTTTGCTTTCTGATTTATCAGGAGCTGTGCCCGGTTACATAACTGCATATTTATGGCTGCAGCTAAAAATAATTTAAAAAACACCAGGAACAGAAAAAGCTATTTTTATCCCACTCGGCAGTGGGCATCTCTTGCTTTTTGTGTGAGTGTGTGTCTCTCTCTGCATGTGCGTTGACGCTTTATTTTGGTCACTCCTTTCATCTCAGGAGTAGGCGTTTAGCTAAATTCATTTATTTTATTTCATCTGTCATGGATGTTTGAGTTGAGGTTCCTGCATTGCAAGGGGTTGGACTAGATGGCCCTTGGCATCCCTTCCAACTCTATGATAAAATGTATACTCCACTTGATTGTGAAACAAAAAAAATGCAAAATGCCTCAAAGCGGTTTACAAAAAGAGTATGTTGATAAAAACAATCAGAAGCAACAATTTAAAGCACTGAAAAAAATTAAACAGGGCAATAAGCTAAAATAGATTAAAACACACATCAATATTCGGCATATTGTCTAACCTAAATTGTTTGACTGACTGGCAGGAGTGGGAAATCTTAGGCCCTGGGGGCCAAATGTGCTGCTCCGATCCTCTCTGTATGGCCCTTGGGATTCTCACCGTCCCTCTTCTCTGTTCTCCTCAAGGGCTTTTGCCTGATTAGACTGTGTCCTTGGTCTCTGATGATCCCTCTTGGTTGCCTGGATTGAAGGGATGCATAGACACTTTGGTCTTTTGCACACTTGGAGTGCAGCCTCAGATGCACAGATAAGAACATGGGTAGGCAAACTAAGGCCCGGGGCTGGCCCAGATCCAGCCCAATCGCCTTATAATCTGGCCCGGGAATCAGGGTGTTTTTACATGAGTAGAATGTGCCCTTTTATTTAAAATGCATCTCTGGGTCATTTGTGGGGCCTGCCTGGTGTTTTTACATGAGTAGAATGTGTGCTTTTATTTAAAATGCATCTCTGGGTTATTTGTGGGGCATAGGAATTCGTTCTTATCCCCCCCCCATATAGTCTGGCCCCCCACAAGTTCTGAGGGACAGTGGACCGGCCCCCTGCTGAAAAAGTTTGCCGACCCCTGGATAAGAGTCTCATGCATTGTTCTGTCTCCTTTTCCTTGGCCCCTGCCTGTCACTGTGATACAGCCCCTTAGATGCTTCCCTCTGAGAGAATGTGGCCCACCCCTGCTATCATCTCTCTCTGCGATAGGAGGGCCTGGGACCTTCTCTATGCCTAAGCCCAGGGCAGAGCCTGAAGGCTTGAGAGGCAGCCATTTTTTGCTGGAGCCAAGCAGACCTGTGCACGCTTCATGCCTAGAGGGGCGCCGTCTGCACTCCTGTCGCAGAAGAGAGCCAGCGCTCAGGTAGGGTTTGCAGTGCCAGACTAGGACCTGGGAGATGAGGGTTCAAATCTCCACTCGGCCATGCAGCTCTCTGGGTAATGATCCTCAAGGCTTCTCTCAGCCTAACCTACCTCACAGGGTTGTCGCGTGGGTCAGTGAGGGGGGGGGAGGACCATGCACGCCACCTGGAGCTCCTTGGATAAAATAAGTGATATTTAAATGCAATAAATAACAACAACAGCAATAATAAGAGAGGCATGCCGTGAATGTGCTCTGCCCATCCCTAAGTGTTGCAGCAGAACCACCTGTAAGTACAACCTCCTTCTCCCAAGGCAGTTTACCTCGGGGAGTTGCAGGTGCTGGGCCCCAGCAAAAAGAGAATGCCTTCTTTTCTTGTGAGGCTTCCCCCCACTTTGGCTCTTGGAAGCAGATTGCTGGAACAGGCCAGCCTGAGCCAGCAACGGGCTGCTGTTCTCGTCCGCCTACAGGGTTCTCTGCGCCGCCTAGCCCTCAGCAATGGGCTGTGCGGATCGATGGGGCGGCGGGAGTCTTCTGTTTGCTCTGGGATGGGAAGGTGCGCCACGGCTGCCTCATTAGGTCCAGGGCCCGGCCTGGCAAGAACAGCGCATCTGCTGATTGATAAAATGTTTCTGGCTCCCGGTCCGTTCCGCCTTGACTTCCAGCGGCCCGTATTGATTACATTTCATTTCTTTTTCTTTTTTAACTAAGCTGCATTAATAATGTAAAAGCTCTTAGGACGTTTCTAGGCTCTGGGTGTAATTGGCAGGGGGCTGCTGGTCTGTGCGTGTTTGTTTTAATAGAGCTCCTGGTTATGTCTGCTTAAATGGCTTGCTTACAGATCCTGCGTAAAAATGGTCTGCTGATTTCAGCATGTTCCATATGGAAGGGCCGTCGCTCAGCTGCAGAGCACAAGCTTTGCATGCAAATGGTCCCAGTTCAATCCCTGGCATCTTTAAGCAGGGCTGGTTGTTGTTGTTGTTGTTGTTGTTGTTGTTATTGTTACCCTAAAGGAGAGAGCTTACAATTCTTTCTTTCTTTCTTTCTTTCTTTCTTTCTTTCTTTCTTTCTTTCTTTCTATTATTATTATTTTATTATTGTTAGCCTGCCCTTTACCCTTTGTTGTTTAGTCGTGTCCTCCTCTTCGTGACCCCCTGAACCAGAGCACGCCAGGCACTCCTGTCTTCCACTGCCTCCCACAGTTTGGTCAAACTCATGTTGGTAGCTTCATGAACACTGTCCAACCATCTTGTCCTCTGCTGTCCCCTTCTCCTTGTGCCCTCAATCTTTCCCAACACCAGGGTCTTTTCATCATGATAATGTTACCAACTGGTCCTGTTTTAAGAAGGGGAAGCAAAGTGCTTCCTAAACCTTTTGAGACTTCAGGAATGGTGTTTGTTTTTGTGTGGTTTAATTTGTAGATTAAAACCCAAGGCAAACTCAAAAAGACGCTCATATTTTCTTGATCAGATTCTGGAGCAGTGGGTAAAAAGATCCTCTTTGCATCTGTGGGGACCACAGAGCTAATATGGTAACCATTCTGTGTTCACTGGTTGTCTGATATTCATTGGGTGGTTAGTATGTGAAATCTGTTTTGGACTACAGCTCCCATCAGCCAGCATGGCCATGTGTCCCCAGGGCTGATGGGAACTGTAGTCTGAGACTTCTGCAAGGCACCAGGAAAGACTGACCTGTGTTATCACGACCTGTATATATTTGTGTTGCTTTCACCAGATCTGCTGCTTCCAGCTTATATTTGCGTACTGGTGTGTTGAAGCTGATGATGTGTTTAAAAGGGGTTGTGGGATAAATCTTAATAACGTATAATATCCCCTCCCCTTCCTTTTTTGTCCAGCTAGTCAGGAACTTGGCGTCAGGATTTGGTTGTCGGGAATGACGATGCTTCTTTCAGCATGGGCTAGTGTTTCCCAAAGTGGGCAGTACCTCCCTTGGGGGGCAGTGGGGTTATCTAGGGGACCCTAAGAGGCAGGGGGCTCTGTGGGGTGTAAATGCCTATCAGACTTTGAAAAGCTGGATCAAGTTCATCAGTTTCATTGAATTCATAAAATGAAATAGTTTTGATTGGATATTGAATGCATGTGCAATTGATTTTGAATTTTATTGTGTCCTTATCTTCCTTAGTGGGTTGTGCAAACTGCTATTCTTAATTATGCTTTGTGTAGGGTAGGGGGTTACTGGAGATGAATTTGTGGAGCCGAGGGGGTGGGACCCCCCCAAAAGTTGGGGAACCACAGGAACACACTGAAAATGCCTCCTTGCTCCCGTCCTTCCTGTTCATGCCTGGGTCAGGCCAGAGGTAGATGTCTAGACCAGCACCCTTTTTCCCCTGCTCTGCGCAATTGGATGCCTCCATGCAGCCCACAGACTCAGGGACCAGAAGGCAGGACTCCCCCTCCTCTTGTTAAATGGGCATTCAGAGTCAAGCTGCCTCGGAAATGTGGCTGTTGCATCTGTACCAGCCCTCATGGCGCGCAGATACCCATGGGCATGTGTTCTTCAAATTGGCCTGAGGTTGGCTTGGCTTTTTTAATAAATATGTAATTAACATAGTTTACATGCCACTTGATTGCAATAAGATGTTTACAAGATTCCAAAGCAAATAAATGCAGTCACTTCCAGAAAGTACAGCTAGTGGGTACCTGCTATATCTCAACGGGCATCCTATTCCACAGGGCAGGAGCAGCAACACTAAAAGCCCTGCTGCAAGTTAGTATGGATCGGGCTTCTCAGACTTTTGGAGCACACGGGAGAAGCTTTCCGGCAGTCCTCAGTGATCTACTGCTTGTGTAAGAGACAAGACAGTCTCTCAAGCAATCTGGTCTTTCAGTTATGTAGGATCTTGAGTATCAACACATTGAACTTGGCTCAGTAGCAGCCAGTGTGAGCAGAGCATTACAAGCAACCTAGCCCCTGCGTTCTGCACCAGTTGCATCCTCTGAATTAATCCCAAAGGTATATCTATTGCAGAAATCCAACTGTGAGGTTAGTTGGGTACAACCATGCCAGGTGCTTGGGTTCCATATCTCCTCCTGGCCAGCCCAGGATTGTTCCTTCTCCACCTGGAACCTGCACAGCTTAATTAATCTTCCTCTTTCTCTGTTTTCTAGCTACAGCTACAGAAAAACCAGTATTTGCAGTTGGGCCAGACCCGTGGCCAGTACTATGGAGGATCCCTCCCAAATGTCAATCAGATTGGGAGCAGTGCTATGGACCTGCCTTTCCAGGTGAGGGTTGCCCTTTCTGCCCGAGAGCATCGGCAGATATTTCTCTTAATTTCTTTTTTCCCTCCATCTAAAAAGCAGTATCCACATGCTGCACTAAAAGGAGCTGTATACATTATTTTGTCATTCATTTATAGATATGTATATATATGTGTGTGTGTGTGTGTGTATTGAATCCTGCACTTTCCTCCAAAGGAACCCAGGACATTGTGTAGAATAATAATAATAATAATAATGTTATTATTTATATGCCACCCATCTGACTGGATTGCCCCAGCCACTCTGGGTGGCTTCCAACAAAATATCAAAACACACAAAAAAAACTGCAATATTAAAAACCTCCCTAATTGGTTCAGACACCTGTATTCAGGTCCCATAAATTGATATCAGACTGCAAAGTTGTTTTGTTTTGTTTTTTGGTGTGTGTGTGTATGCAAATATTACTAGTAATTCAGTTTTGAATGGCCACCTGTCCTGGATTCTTTAGCTGAGATTCCTGCATTGCAGAGGGTTGGACTAGATGACCCCTGGGGATCTCTTCCAACTCTGTGATTCTATGAATAATACCCCACAAATATTCTTGCTTGGTCTGTAGGAAATTACTAGCTACTATGCAGGAGAAAGGCCAAGCCTGTTTCTCAATTTTGAAAGACTATATAAAAGATTTGAAAGCGTTTGTAGTATCCTTGAAACTGATGGACTTCAAGCACGCAATTATTCCTATGAAGTCAGGTTAAACTTCGCTAGCCATATGCATGAAAGCAATTTGCCACACTGGTAGAAGTGGAAGAGACCCCTGAAAGTCATCTGGTTGAATCCTCTGCAATGTTGTCACAGGGTTGTTTTTCCCATCCTTTCAATGCCCATTTGCCTTTCTCTTCAGACTCCGTTTCAGTCATCAGGATTGGACACCAGCAGGACGACCCGGCACCATGGGCTGGTGGACAGGGTGTATCGTGACCGGAACCGCCTTGGCTCGCCCCACCGGCGCCCGCTGTCCGTGGATAAGCACGGCAGGCAGATATCCTTTGGCTCAGCATTGCAGCCTAGAGCATAGGAGGGGATGCATGTGCCTGGGAGATGTTTAGGAAGGTGCAGCTTATCAGTAGGTGCTGGGAACACACGAAAACCTGAACTGGTAACACATTAAAAATACACTGTGCACAAGGAAAGAGAGACCAGGAAGGAAAAGGAAAAAAGCAAGCTCAGGCGTCAGTTCTTTAAAAAGCAGTTCTGAGAATGGATATCTGGCCTAGAAGCAGCCCAGGGGCAGGAGGCATCTGATGAAGCTGGTCCTTCAGCGGAGGCGACTTAACGTGCCCTGCTTCCCATCTCTCCCACATTTAGGGCCCTACTAGAAGCCCCCCTTTCATTCTGAGGTGGGATGTGGCATAGCCCTAGTTAATTTTCATCTGAAAGGCCATGAAGCCATCTGTAAGAGAAGGATGAAGCAGTGCTTTGAGATCAGCTTTAGCCAGAGGTGAAGGGAAATGTCAGGTGAAAGGAAAGAAGAGGAAGCAAGGCATTGAGAGAGGGAGAGAGAATAGAAAGCAAACACCGTCCGAACACCGTTTTGTAGCTCTTCCCCATTAAGTGCAGTGGGTTTCTTTGCAAAACTGGGGGCTTGCCCTGTGCTGACCAAACACCATGTGGTGTCTGTGTGTAAATATATGACGCCCAACAAGGCCTGTCGAACACTTAAAACTTTTATTGCTGAAACTTTCCCAAGAAGCTCTGGATACCTTCCCTTCTTCCTTGACTGCCCGACTCACGTGGACAGCTGTCCGTATGGTACCGTCTACCTGTCGCCTCCTTCAGACACAAGCTGGAGGAGGTACGTAAGTGCTGATTTTTGAACTCGGGGTATTCCGGTTGCAAAATGCCCTGTTGATCCTCCTCCTGTCTAGCACAGTCCTGCTTTAAAAACTGCAATTCTTTGTCGGGACAGGGGTGGGCAGGCGGAGAGAGAGAACTGCAGACAGGGAGTCTCCTGGATCAGGCCCCTGGCCCATTGAGTCCAGCATCCTCTTCTCACAGGGGCCAACCAGAGGCCCCAATGGGAAACCCACAAGCAGGACCTGAGCACAAGTTCACACTCTGGTAGTTTCCAGACACTGGTGTTCAGAAAATGCCAGTTAGGGATGCTGGCATTGCAAGATCCTGCTCTGAGCTCCCTTCATCCAATTTCTGCCCAGCTGCTCCTTTTATACCGTATTTTTCGCTCTATAACACGCACCCGACCATAACACGCACGTAGTTTTTAGAGGAGGAAAATCCGTAGGCATGCCACCCATAGGCATTCCCTCCATAACACGCACAGACATTTCCCCTTACTTTCTAGGAGGAAAAAAGTGAGTGTTATGGTGCAAAAAATACGGTATCTCCAACCACAGAGAGACCACAAGGCAGCCTCTGTCCTGTTGTCGAACAACTCCTTTCATTAGGAAGTTTCCTCTAACATTTAGCCAAAATCCAGGCAGACGTCAAGCTACTTGGCTAGTGATTTCCTGCACTCCTTTTTCAAAGCCGGGTGGGAGGTTGGCCATTGTAATGAGTATGGGTTGCTCGTGTGTAAGTTGCCGCCTTTCCTGGCTTTGTTGCCTTGCTAAACCTTTCAGTCTGGGCAGCCCTTCACTTCGTGGCTGCCTCAGTCGCTAGCAGAATCCGTCAGTGGGCGTTTCTTAAACCTTTTCCAACATAAAAGTTGTTTGACACCCAGTCTCCTCCTACTCTCTCTGCGCGGAAGTCTTCTGCGCAGGGAGGGCGTGGGTAGCGGAGGACCCGTGCTCTCCCCTCTGGTGTCCGGTGAAGAGTCTGGGAGCCCTTTCGCCGCTTCCCCCATCTGCCCCTCTTTATTCCTGGTGTTGCGCTGAATTGCTTCCCCATCTGCTGAGCTGCCTCTCTCCCTGCTGGGCCCTTCTCCAGCATCATTTGAGAGCCTTCCCTCCGCCTCTAGCTCCGATGTCAGTTCCCTGACAGCCACTTTCCAGCTCTGATAGTTTTTGTCTGCCCTTTCTCAACCAGGACCAATTCAGATTCTGCCCTGCACCAGAGTACGATGACTCCCACTCAGGCGGAGCCTTTCTTAGCTGGGTCACAGGACATGCAGCAAAAAAGAGGTGAAGTATATACAGTATATCTGTTTTGTCACTGAGCATGGGAGGGAGGCGGAAAGGGCTTTTAATGAATAGTCTGAGACTTCAAAAAACACACCCACCCTCAATAAAAGCTGTAAATTACACAATGCAACTTACAACCTAAAAATATACATATCGAAAGTCAGGTCAGTACACATAAAGGACCTTTTTTTAAGGAAAACGGAAGAACAAGGGAAAGCATTTAAAAAAATGCAGTTTAGTTTTACCTGCTTGGGTCCAACGGAGTCTCGTTTTCAGGGCACCTTTTGCTGATCCATAATGAGATTTCCCCCCCACCTTTAAATTAATTTCTTGTAGTCTTACTGTTGGCCGTCCCAGGCATGGAGGAAGACACAGCGGATACAGAGAAGAACCTCTCGAAGCAAGGGTGGGAAGCTAAGAAGGTAAAGGCACTGATTCTGCCCCAGTGTGACATGCTACACAGCTACATAAACTTGTTCCAACAAGTTCCCCAACTGGGGAAAGTTGGGTTTGCTTCTAAGGCTTAATTAAGAGCGTTCAGGGTGGCGATACCTTTTGGCTTATAAGCTCTCTTTTGAAAACAAGGTGTCCTGACAGCTCATGATTAGATTCTGCAGCCTGTATAAATGATGCAGAAAAGGAATGACTCTGTTTCTCTCTCTTGTCTCTCTCTCTCTTTCAGACCGGATCCTCAAGGCCTAAATCCTGTGAGGTTCCAGGAATCAAGTACGTGAAAGAGTCGGGGTTGTTTGGTTTCTGCATTGGTAGGACACTTTGGCTGGCTTTTTGTAGAAACAAAGGGTTATATCCCCCGTTGGTCATACTCTGAGGAGACCCACTGTAATTGGTGAACATCCTAGGCTGAATTAAATTCAGAGGGGTCTGCTGTGAGTATAACTTAGTTGGATCCTTCCCCGTCGTCTGTTGTCCCTTCCTGTGGGTGTGCTGGGAAGAGTCATGTCGAATCATGAAGTTGGAAGGGACCCCAAGGGTCATCTAGCCTAACCCCCTTCAAGGCAGGAATCTCAGCTAAAGCATCCCGGATGGATGACCAACCTCTGCTTAAAAACCTCCAAGGAAGGAGAGCCCACCACTTTCCAAGAGAGTCTGTCCCACTGTCCATCAGAAAGCTCTTTCTAATGTTTAATCCAGGGGTAGGCAACCTAAGGCCCGTGGGCCGGATGCGGCCCAATCGCCTTCTAAATCTGGCCCATGGACGGTCCGGGAATCTGCGTGTTTTTACATGAGTAGAATGTGTGCTTTTATTTAAAATACATCTCTGGGTTATTTGTGGGGCCCAGGAATTCGTTCATTTCCCCAAAAAAATATGATCCGGCCCCCCACAAGGTCTGTGGGACGGTGGACTGGCCCACGGCTGAAAAAGGTTGCTGATTCCTGGTTTAATTGGAATCTCCTCTTTCTTGTAACTTGAAGCCATTGGTTGGGTCCCAAGCAGGAGAAAACAAGCTGGCTCTGTCTTCCATGTGACAGCCCTTTAGATTTTGGAAGATGGCTATTGTATCTCCTATGTAACTGACAACAAAGAAAGTACAGTGTCATTGCTTTAGCAACTCTAGGAAATACAGTGGTGCCCCGCAAGACGAATGCCTCGCAAGACGGAAAAACCGCTAGACGAAAGGGTTTTCCGTTTTGAAGTTGCTTCGCAGGACGAATTCCCCTATGGGCTTGCTTCGCAAGACGAAAATACCTTGCGAGTCTTGAGATTTTTTTTCGCTTTTCCCCTTTATCTAATCTGCTAAGCCTTTAATAGCCTTTAATAGCCTTTTAGCAGCTAATCCCTAAGCCTTTAAGCCTTTAATAGCCGCTAAACAGCTGATAGCGCTAATAGCGCTAATCCGTCAATGGGCTTGCTTCGCAAGACGAAAAAACCGCTAGACGAAGACTCTTGCGGAACGGATTAATTTCGTCTTGCGAGGCACCACTGTAGGTACAGTGGTACCTCCGGTTGTGGACAGGATCTGTTCTGGAGCTCCGGTCGGATCCCGAGGTTTCCGCAACTGGAGGGACCGCTTTTGCACATGCATGCAGCGTGGTAAAGCGCTTCTGTGTATGCGCACACGGCGAAACCAAAAAAAATACTTCTAGGTTTCCCACATTCACATCCTGAAGGATATGCAACCGGAGGTGTGCACATCCAGAGGTACCACTGTGGTTGCAACTCATTGGGGAGTCCTAAGAACAATGGGAGGCAAGGCTTAGTTGAGACATCATGGGAAAGCCTAACTGTGGTGTGGCACAGTGCTTGAACTGAGATAACTATGTGGTCTTGGGGTATTTTTGTCTGTCAAATGGTTCAGTTTTCTCTCCCCCGCCCCCCCCGGTTTCTTCTTGAGCACAGCATCTTTCCGTCAGCTGACCAGGAAAACACTACCACACTTATCCCCGCCACTCACAACACGGGTGGTTCCCTGCCGGACCTGACAAACATCCACTTCCCCTCTCCTCTCCCGACGCCGCTGGACCCAGAAGAATCCCCTTTCCCATCCCTCAGCAGTTCCAACAGCACCGGGAACCTTGCGGCCAACTTGACGCATATGGGCATCAGCACAGCCAATCAGGGTAAGGGGTGCTGCGGCTGCAGCTGCCCAGAATGACAGTGTGACTTCACTTCCTGTCCTGCAATGCCACTTCCTGTCTAAGCTCGCTTTTCACTGTTGCAAACCTCCTTTGTCTAGTTTGTCGTTCTGGGTGGAGGGAGATCTGAAAACCAAGCCCTGTCTTTGTGAAGTAATTCCATTTTACTGGCGATAGGGAGCGGCAGTTAGCAGGCGGAGGCCCACAGAATCATAGAGTTGGAAGGGACCTAGAGGGTCATCTAGTCCAACCCCCTTGGATGATGTTGGGCAGAGCCTGCTTCCTCTGAGGGTAGCAGAGCATCAGATACCTCCAAAATACAGTGCTTTAATTTTCTAAGACAACTTTCAACCCCCTTTTTGGCTGTGGCTCTTATACCCATTTTGCAAATCGCTGTTTAAAAGTTCAGTTTCTTTCTCCTTGTCCCCTCATCACGGCAAACCTACGAAACCCAAACATTTGGGGTAGAGGGAAGAGAGCCCCTGAGCTCCTTAGAAAGATGGTGATTATGATGATTTGTTTATTACATTTATATACCACCCTTAATCCAAAGATCGCAGGGAGGTTCACAACAGAAAAATAACAAAACAAGAATACAGATCATGCATATGTGGTCGAAACCAAGAATTTAAAAGAAAAAGAAGAAAAGGAGAGAAGCAGTGAGGAAGGGGGGAGAAGACTGGCAAAGCCCACATGGTGTGCATATCATGCAAACAGCTCTGAAGAGGGGGCCCAAATCTCAGGAAAGGTGTGTTTTTTTCGTCTCTGGGCAGAAGTACCTTTTTCATACACTGCAAGATAGGAAAGGCCCTTCAACCAATCAGCTATTGGAGGAGTTGGCTAGTCCTTCCAAAACCACCACCACCACTACTACTACTACTACTAATAATAATAATAATAATTTATTATTTAAACCCTGCCCATCCAGCCGGGTCTCCCCAGCTAGTCTGGTCGGCTCCCAACAGAGGACTAAAAACTGAATAAAACTTCAAACATTAAAAACTTCCCTAAACAGGGCTGCCTTCAGGTGTCTTCTAAAAGTCAGATAGTTCTTTATTTCCTTGACATCTGATGGGAGGCGTTCCACAGGGTGGGCACCACTTCCGAGAAGGCCCTCTGACTGGTTCCCTGTAGCTTTGCTTCTCTCAGGGAGGGAACCGCCAGAAGGGCCTCGGAGATGGACCTCAGTGTCCGGGCAGAACAAAGGGGGTGGAGACGCTCCTTCAGGTATACTGGGCTGAGGCCGTTTAGGGCTTTAAAGGTCAGTACCAACACTTTGAATTGTGCTCGGAAACGTACTGGGAGCCACTAACGCATGCAAGTTCCAGGACGTTAGGATATAATGGAGTATAACATAGGAGGGAAACCCTGTAGCTCATCTCAGAATGCGTAGGATGCCCTGTCTACACCTGGCACGTTCAGCATGCAGCGGGATGGAAATGAAGCTGCAGCCTCAGATGTAACCTGACTTAGCCCCTCTCCCGCTGCCCAGGGGGTCATCTTGTTTGGGAGCTGAGTTTATTAGGTTGCCAGGACAGCTGAGCATGGTAATAGTTCTCAGTCCATGCGGGTGGAGGGAGATCGTAGAGTTGTTGCCGGTCATTGCAGACCAGGCTTGGGGGAACCTGCTGCCCTCTAGAAGTCGTTGGACTCAGCTCCAGTTGACGTGGATGGTAGCCAAGAGTGATGGGAGTTTCAGTCTTAGAATATCCGTCACTGTAGGCAGTTCTGAAGAAGCTGCCTTATACAGAGCCCATAGAATCGTAGAATGTTAGGAGCTGGAAGGGACCCCAAGGGTCATCCAGCCCAACTTTCTGCAATGCAGAAATCGCAGCTGAAGAACCCCTGACGGATGGCCAGCCAAACCTGCAATGACAGAGTCCACCGCCTTCCGAGGGAGTCCAGATTGTGTATTTTGAAGCGTGTTCAGGGGGTTTTATTATTATTATTATTTTATTTTATTTTATTGGTTTTCACTTATTACATTACAAATGTACCGAAGCCAACACCATTTCCTCCCCTTCTCCCCATACATTTACATTTATATTTCTTCAGTCCATTATATTATTCTTTTCTCCTTCCTCCCACTTCCCTCCACCCCCACTCGATTTCCTCCACATTATACAATTTACAATAATCTTTGCATTCTACAGTCTTCTCAAATCGTCTATATATTCTTATTTTTTTTCCTTACTAATTTTTCTTCCTTCCAGTACTTCACATTTTAATCTAGGCATATTAGCGTATCTTTTTTTGAGCAATATTTTGCCATATATTCATCAAAACATTTCCACTCCTTTTTAAATTTTTGATTCGACTGATTTCTTATTATAGCAGTTAATTTTGACAAAATTAAATATTCATTTAGTTTACAAATCCATTCCTCCTTTGTGGGTATAGTTTGTGACTTCCACCTAGTAGCAATCACTATTCTAGCAGCTGTACTTGCATATAGAAAAATTCTTTCCCCCCCACCCCCGTGGTATCTCTTCATCTATCAGTCCAAGGAGATATGTCTCTGGTTTCTTTGTTATTGATATTTTCAACATCTCCTTTAGTTCTTCATGTACTACTACCCAAAATTTCTTAATTTCCTCACACCACCACATATGAAATCCAACCTATGTTGGAGATGTGGTGGAGAAATAAGCGTGTTCAGGGTTAGCCTTGCCAGAACTACCCTTTGGCATGGGAACGAGTGACGGGAAGACCCCCGCGGGAGCCCGTGTGCTGACATTTCCCTCCATTTGCCGCAGGGATGACGACGACGCAGGCCTCTTCCCAGCAGCACCGACAGCCACCCACTGGTCCCCTTTCGCTGAACACAGACTCCAGGAGAAACCAGCCCCAGCAGGTCTCCCCCACGCTCTCGCCTCTGTCGCCAATCACTCAGGTACGCAAGGGATGCGATGGGGGTCACTTTTATTGGGAGCATGCTGTGGAGTAGGCGGACGAGGCTTGGGTCTGCGGTTTCCATAATCCAGTGCTAGTTTTGACAGAAAGGCTGGCGCTGAAGAGGGGTGGCAGAAAAGATCTGATGTTGTTCTGAGTTACTGGTGCCAGCAAACTTTGTGGCTGAGTGGGGATTTGAACCCTGGTCTCTCTGGTCCCAGTCCAACACTCCAACCAGTGCACCACCATTGGCTGTCTCATATCCCAGCTCTTGATATCCTAGCCTTGGAATTGTGGAATTGTAGAATGGGAAGGAACCCTGAGAGTCATCTAGACCAACCCCCTGCAATGCAGGAATCTTTTGCCCAACGTGGGGTTCCATGACCCTGAGATTAAGACTCTCAAAGTTTATTAAGTGGCCCAGTGAGACCTCTGGGCACTTTGGAATGTTTTAAACACACAAGCACACATACGTTTGAGCATCACTTATTTCTGCTAGGTGCTGGCTGTTTCCACAGACCACTAGTAGGGACCCCTGCTCTTGGACTGGGTCATCTGAAGGAGAGCGCCCTGGCCTCCCTGCCTGTCCTGTGACCCAGGGGAGGCTATTCCTCACTGCCCTCTCCTGCCCTGTCCCCCTCCCCAGGCCATGGCAATGGACGCCCTCTCCCTGGAGCAGCAGCTCCCGCCCTACCCCTTCTTTACCCAGACGAGCGCCCAGCAGCAGCAGCAACAGCAGACCCAGGTCGCCAGCGCTCTCCCGCCCAATGCCTCCCTGATGCAGACGTCCGGCCTGCAGCGAGGGGTGCAGCTGCCCCCGCTCTCCGTCACCGTCCCTTCCACAATCCCACAGTCTCCGCCGGGAAGCCAGACCCAGACCTCCATGGGGATAGACATCAGTTCGGTAAGCTGGACTGGGGAAGGGCTGGGCGGGCAAGGTAGGGAGCCCTGGGGGGTGTGGGTCTAGGTCTGGGTGGGTGTGCACGCGGAGGACTTGCAAGATCTCCTGGGTCATGCAGGAATAGGGCAGCGAGAAGTTGGTGCACAACCACCTTTGCAGAAGTGTTGGTCTGCCATCTACATCGCAGGTGCCTGACCTCTTTAGAACTTGAACTGCTTCTCTGTAGACAAAGCAGATGGCTTCCAAGACCATTTTGGCAGTCACTGCTCCCACTCCCGGGGGCCTCTGGGAAATGAGTCGCTACAGAGATTTCTCCAAAGGGTGCATGTTAGGAGAAAGGACTGCAATTTCAAGGGGTCTGGGTTGGGCGTTCCTAAGCAGGCTTTTAGGTAACAGCTTCAAGGCAGAGGGCAGGCCTGCCTCCCAAGTCCGGCCGTGCGCTCTGTCGTTCTGCTCAGGGTGACTTTAGGGGAGCCCTTGAGAGCTGCCAGCGCCCGTATATTTCCTTGTCTTGGCAAAAGGAAATGGGCATGCTGGCTTCTCGGGACATCAGCCTGAGTGGATTATCAGGATGTACAGGAAACTGTCATGCCCTCTATCCCAGGCTTTTGGCTTGATCAAAGGCAGCTTCTCCTGGGGAGCCTCCCACCTCAGCCTCTGCCAACACCAGGCCCTCTCACTGATCTGGAATCCTACAGTTGTGCTAGCTGGGAGGGTGGGGTGGTTTTGGGAGTCGCTACACAGTGAATGACAAAGGCTGGGTTTAGTTCCCGGCTTCGAGCCTCAGGGTCCTCAGTGGATGGAGGTGTCTCACCTGCCTCCCCTGAGCTTCCCACTGAGTCTCCACTTACCATAGAGGATGCAGGAGCAGCTTTGCTAAGGTTTGAGCTTGCAGCCTTCCCCTTCTGCCCCCTTTCTGTCTTCTCCAAACTCCTCTTCACGCATTGGAGCGGTTGGCAGAAGCGTTTGCTCTTTTTAGTGTTACGAAGCAGAGCTTGTGTATGTGTGGCTTTTCTTTCTTCTTTAAAGGCAGGGGACCAGAAAATTCTGCAGCCTTTCTAAACGATGCCAACTTCTTGACACCCTGCTTCTGAATTGGCTAGGGGTCCTCCCCAGCCCTGACCCTCAGGCCTGGGGGTCTACAGGAGGAGAGATTTTCTCTTGTGCTCGGATCCTGCTTGCAGGTTTCGCTTGGGGACATCTGGTTGGCTACAGTGAGAACAGGATGCTGGACTAGATGGGTCACTGGCCTGATCTGGCGGGCTCTTCTTAGGTTCGCACCGTGTTCCAAGCAACCCTTTGCACCAATGAGGTCTCTGTGTTTAACGTTTGACACTGAGGTTCCCAGGAAGTCCGAAATCGCACACACACCCTGTCCTTTTTCTCCTGGGATTTCAGTACATGCATCCACACCCAGCAACATCGTTGTTGTTGTTGTTGTTATTATTATTATTATTATTTATTACATCCCCTGGACAAGGCAGGGGAGAAGCACCTTGCTGCAAGACAGGAGTGGAGAGTTCACTGAGCACAGATCTCCCCAATTTTAGATGCAGGTGTGAGAAAGCCAAAGAAGGGGCTGTGTTCTCCTTGCAAAAGCAGTGTGCCAGCCACACCTCTTAAGCGGGATCCGTGGAGGAGAGGACTTACTGATGGCTACTAGCCATGCTGGCAGGGTTCCCCCTCCATAGTCAGAGGCAGGCCATGCTGCTGAATCCCTGTTGCTAGAAACCGCAGGAGGGGAGACCTGGTGCTCAGACCCTGTTTGAGGATCAGGCCAATGGCCTGATCCAACAAGCTGCTCTTATGTTCATCAGTAGATGGGAGGCGGCGGTGAAATTAAGCCCTGCATAGATAAATGTATGCATATTTATTCCAGTGTAAATGCATAGAAGTACCTGTGGCTGGGAGAAACTACAGGATGGGAAGGTGGTCTTGTGCTCAGGTCCGGCTTGTGGGATCAGGCCAAAGGGGCCCCACTTAGCCCAGCTTCCTGTACTCACAGTGGCCACCCAGATGCCCCCATGGGAAACCAGCAAGCATGACCTGAGCAGAATGGCAACTCTCCCCACCCGACACGGTGGCTTCTGGTCGGCCCCTGTGAGAACAGGAGGCTGGGCTAGATGGGCTTTTGGCCTGACCCATCGGCAGCGCTCTTCTTTCGTCCATGCGGGTCCTTTCCCTCCAGGAGTTTTGGGGGAAGCCTGACAAGGAAAGGGATGTTTAGAAACCAGCTGTGTCTCCTCAATGCCTTTCCTGTCCTTCTAAGGAGCAGAGGCATTTGGAATACAGCGTATGGTTCCTGGCTGCACCTTGCTCTCCAGGAAGCCAGGGAGGAAGTCCAGAAATGATTGTACCCCCACTTTTTTCTGTCCATGATCTCTTGGGGCATTGTTTAACCGGTACTAGCTGACTCCCTGGGTGTTCATACAAGGGCTTTTCTTCCCTCCCATCTCTCTCCTCTCTCTCTTTCTCTCCACAAAAGAACCCTGTGATTTCATCTGCCTTCTCTCCTTCCCCCTACCCTATTCTCTCTCTCTTTCTCTAACTCTGTGTCCTTCTGTAGGGTTCACTCCAGCAGTACCGCAACAATGCTGGCTCCCCGGCCAACCAGTCTCCCACCTCTCCTGTCTCCAATCAAGCTTTCTCTCCTGGCAGCTCCCCTCAAGTAAGGGACTGACTGCATCTGTGTGTGTGCGCTCTCTCTCTCTCTCTCTCTCTCTCTCTCTCTCTCCAGGCCTTCCACTTCCATGCTTCTCAGTGGGTCCGTCTTATTTTCTCTCTCTCCCCAATCCCTCTTAATGTCACATCGTCCAATTTTTAAATATATATCTTTATTTATTGAATTTCTATACCACCCTTCATCTGAGGATCCCAGGGCGGTTTACGATACAAAAACGCAAATACACATAACATAATAACAGACAAAAACAATACCCCCCTCACTTCCAGCTATGTCTAGATGAGTGCTTGCCTGTTTTTAAATAAGGCGTAAAAATAGGGTTTGCACTGAACCTATACAATGCTGCTAGATTCATACTTCTTCAGCTATCGCATAAAATGTAAAGGTAAAGGGACCCCTGACCATTAGATCCAGTTGTGACCGTCTCTGGGGTTGTGGCGCTCATCTCGCTTTATTGGCCAAGGGAACCGGCGTACAGCTTCCGGGTCATGTGGCCAGCATGACTAAGCCGCTTCTGGCAAACCAGAGCAGCGCACGGAAACGCCGTTTACCTTTCCGCCGGAGTGGTACCTATTTATCTACTTGCACTTTAATGTGCTTTCGAACTGCTAGGTTGGCAGGAGCAGGGACCGAACAACGGGAGCTCACCCCGTTGCGGGGATTCGAACCGCCAACCTTCTGATCGGCAAGTCCTAGGCTCTGTGGTTTAACTCACAGCGCCACCCTCGTCCCACCTCAGCTATCACATAGGTTTTCCTAAATGTGCAGACTGTTTTGATAATCCAAGAGGTTTCCCCCTCGTAATGCACACACTGATTTATATAAGTGGGTTTGAGATGACATGAGTTGAAAGGTGGCAACTTTCTGCTGTTAAGTTGTAAACAACACACTTCAGAGTACAAGGTGCAGCTTCTGGTTTTCTTCAGTATTGTCCATCACTGTTTTCTGCACTAAGTACAAATCTTACTCGGCTTCTCAGTGGTCACTGGAAGCGATATTGTATAATAACTATTAATATTATCAGTGTCATGAAGTTCCCGTCCTTTGTCCTACATTAAACACACAGAGACCTACTTTTGAGTAGACGTGTATACAGATGTTTTGGAGTAAAATTCCCAGCTGCCCCGTGATGGCTGGGCTGGAGAGTGCAGGTTCTTTAAAAGAACCCCCCCCCCCCCACAAATAAGCATGTTTGCTAGGTTTAAAACAGGCCAAGTAACAAAAAGAGGGGAAAGAATCTCCAGCCCACAGAGGTCTTAATCCATCACACACAGTCCGAGTTCCAAAAGTGAGTTTCAGAAATCCATAGGAGGAAGAGGGTTAGTTACAAAATGTATTGAAAGATCAAAAGAAGAATCAAAATGTGAGACTTAAGTGTACCTATAAAGACTTTGTTGTCCCCTGGTACCTTGGAAGATAATCAGACCCAAACGACAAATAGTGGGTTTGGAGGCCTGCTAACACAGCCGGAACGAGTCGGCTAAGTCAGCGCACAGCAAAGACCCGCCGTAGGCGTCATGTTAATTGCCCACATAGCTGACGGCAGCCGGAGCACACGAAACCTTTTAGTACTTTCGTATTCAGGGAAAGCAAAGCACCGCTCGTTCCCAGCTCTCATCCCACAACGTGGGAGCAGTTAAAACAATCAGCAGCAGTTAGAAAGGGTTTTAAAAGGGTGAAGCAGCGCAGAGTGGAAGACCTCAGGCAGTCTTGGGTGCTGCTGTTGCTGCTTCTTGGTGGGAAAATCAGGGGTGGCCAACCTTTCACGCTCTCCACTGTAGAATTGGGACCCTGAGGGTCATCTAGTGCAACCCCCACAATGCAGGAATCGCAACCAAAGCATCCATGATAGAGGGGTCATCCAACCTCTACTTAAAAACCTCCAAGGAAGGAGAACAAGGGAGACTGTTCCACTGTCAAACAGCTCTCACTGTCAAATTTCTTCCTGATGTTGAGTCCGAACCTTCTTTCTTGTAACTTGAAGCCATCAGTGGAAATTCTGTGTGGAGAAAATCAGCTTTCCCCCTCCAGAAGTTCCTGGACTACAGTTCCCATCATCCTCTGCCCATATAGACAACAGCAAGGGGAGGTGGGAGTTGAGGTCCAGCAGTGCCTTGGAGGACCACCGCCTTTCCCCCATCCCTACGTTAAATTTAATGTACGGGTCTGGCCACTCTATTCGATAGCCTTGTAAATAAACCGGGGTCGTGTCTAAGCAAGTTTTCCTCTGAGCACGACCTACTGAAATCAGTATACCCAAGCGAGTCATGCTCATTTGATTTCCCCAGGTCTGCTCTGAGGACGACTGCATGCTGGCTACAGCCCTTGGTTGTTACAGAGGCGAGGAGTAGACTGAGCACCGGCACCTAGCCACATTAGCTATGTGGGGCCTCCCTGCTCAGGCACACTCTACCTCTGAATGCCGCCTGCTGCCGGTGTGGTGGACAGAGCACCAGCGGCTGTCGGCCATCATAGCAAAACGGAACCCTTGTTCGCTGCCACCAAACACCAGGTGGTGGCGACAGGCTGCCATTTCCTTCCTGCCAGGTTTAGGGGGCATCTGTAGAAAGGGCGCCAAGCCATGTGGCCTCGTCCCCCTCTCTCCGCCTGCCTCGATTCAGAAGGCTGAGAAGACTCGGAGCACAGTTTGCAGGGGACAGGTTCATGCAGGAAGAACAAAGCTGTGAGCCAGCCTTATGAGGAAAGGTTCCAGTGTGTGCATTTGTCTTTTTTTCAGTTTTGAGAAAAGACGAGCAACAGGCGATGGGATAGAAGCCTATACAAAATGAGAACGTGGACGGAGAAAACATTTTTCTCCCTCACACAAGGTGCTGGACCTCGTGGGCATTCAAGGAATTTCTGGCCTTCCTTGCCGCAGCGCTCAGCCACTCAGTTAACGAAAGCTAGCAAGCCCCTCTCCCTCTTCGGTTCTGCAGAGAGAGCCTTTGGCTTCTGCAGCCAGCGGAAGAGGCCAGGTCTTGGATCCCAAAGTGCTGAAGCGATGAAAAAAAGCCCTTCCCGTTTAATCACGTCTCCTCCACCCCCTACCTCCCCGGTCTCTGCTGGCAAAGTTATTAAAAACAGTGCAGTTAAGGATCCTCAAGGGGAGCAATTTTTTTATTAAAAAAATGCATCTGTATCACTTTGCACTGCTGCACAGTTGTAAAATGAGAGTGGTTTCTCATAGACCCGCTGGTGGGGAGGAGGTGGTCGGATTATAATAGCCCAGCAGAGAAAGGTTAGGGCAGAGGGATTCCTGAATTTAGGTTGATAGTGGAGAAGGAGGCTCGCTCGCTGCTGCTCATCTCGGCTGTTTTTTAAGCGCAGGACCAGGCTTGCAGAATCAACCTGGTTGGATTTTTTTTTTTTGCAAAAAAACCTCTTTAGGTCTTTCCTACTTTATAAGAGACCTTGTGAGACCAGGACTCTAGAAGGCAGGGTAAAAGGAACTCGAAAGATTTGCTTTGCTTTGCCTTCTTCATTTTGAAGCAGTTTGGGGAATTGTAGCATTCGGGAGCTTCTCAATCAGGCTTTGCCAAGCTGATCTAATCTGTGCATGACTAGCGTTGGATGGAAATAGTAATAACAGCCGTAGGAGTAGGACTACAAATAAAAATATTATTGGGCCACAACCAAGCGAATCTTACCAGCGTCTGATGAGCGTTGGATATAACGAGTCATAAGCACAGTGGTAGTAGGAATAAAAATCTTGCTGTCGTTCCAAGTAAACTTCCTAACCAAAGGAGGAGGGGGGCATCTCAGTTGCTGCTGTTTTGGGTAGCACAGCCCCTTATCCTCCCCATTGCTCCACTGGCATGCAGTCATGTTGGTCAGGACAGTTTGCAAACTATCTCATCCATCAGAGCCTTTCTACCCCTCTCCCACCCTCTGGGGCAGACATGCTTCTTCAAACCATGCGCGACCCATTCACTTTTGTCCCCTCTCCCCCTTTCCGGCCTGTGTGTTTCTGGCATCGTGGTGGCAGCGGCATAGCCCTCATCTAAGGTGGGAACCAGGTTACTGTGCCCCCCCCCAGTCCCATCTCCTCTAGAGCTCTGCTCTTGAATTCATCATTCTGGGGCTGGTTGGTAGTTAGCCGGTGGGGTGGGGTGGGGTGGGGACTTCACCACGCAGCCTTCAATTCAGCGTCCTCAAGGGCGGTCTTGGCAGACTGTCTGCTGCCCCCACTCTGGATTTCAGCAAAGGGCTCTTCTCTGCACTGATTCACCTCCTCCTCCTTCTTGCAGCAAACATCTATCCTGGGGAGCGTCTTCGGGGATTCCTGTTACGACCAGCAGATGACGGCCAGGCAGGCAAACGCTTTATCTCATCAGGTGAGAGCACTTTCTGTGACTCCCAAGCACCCTTTGACTGGAGGTTCAAATGGGATTGGTGGTTTCGACTCTTCACCACCCAGAGAAGTTTGGTTCATCGGGCGGCCAGATAAAATATTTGCTAAATTTGTATGCCGCCCTTCGTCCGTAGATCTGGGGGCGGTCCGCAGCGTCAAAATGCTAAATCACAATTTTAGCCATGGTTGCAAAGCGGAACGTAGAATCATAGGATTGTAGACTCGGAGGAAGGGTCCCCAAGGGTCATCTATACCAGCCCATGGTTCAGAGCAGTATGCCCTTGGGATGATGATGATGATGATGACGATGTATAACTTGTACCCCCACCCATCTGACTGGTGGGTTATGAACCCAGCCGGCTTTTCAGCCCAGCCCAGCAAGGCTCTTTTATTAAGTTCTTACCTCCAGGATTCCTTCCTCCAGCTTGAGCAGTTCAACATGATTGAGAACGCCATCAGCTCCAACAGCCTCTACAGCCCCTGCTCCACCCTCAATTACTCCCAGGCGGCCATGATGGGCCTCACCGGAAGCCACGGGAGCCTCCAGGACGCCCAGCAGCTCAGCTACGCCAGCCACGGGAACATCCCAAACATCATCCTCACAGGTGGGTCTGTGGTGTGGCGCCTGGGGGGCGGGACCGGCTGCGCATCGCCACCCTTTGGACCTTTGCAGCTGCTGAGTTTCTGAACAGCAGCAGCTGGTAGGGCAGAAGGCAGGGAGCCCAATAGCAGGTGGCACTGCGGCCGGCGGGACACGGAGCCCACAAATGATAGTATTCTCCTCCTCTCTGCTGATTTCCTCCTACAAGGGGCAATCGATCAACCAGTCTTTATGGCAGTCAAAGACCAGCTGGCGAAAAGAACAATAAAAACAGGTATAACTGCTTCAGCACCAAGGGGCAGAAGTAGGCAGAGCTGAGAATTTCACATGTGCTTATATGCATTAAAAGCAACACTCCGTCAGCTAAAATATGTGAGCCAGAGTTTAAAATCGGTATTTGTTCGTTGACCATCACTGTCACCATGGTCTGGCCTTGTTGCCATGAAACAGAATTTCATGACGGGCCTGGTGACCTCCAAGTCTTGGATTTTACAAGGGGAGACAGTGAGAATCAGGAGGAAGAGGCTGGCAGGCAGGCAGGCAGGCAGGGCCACCCCCCAGACTGGTTGCAGGTCAGAAGGCGGGCAGACATAGGCTGGTGGGGCAGTGCCCATTATGCCCTTGCAGAGCAGACTCCATTGTTTCTGGGCCAGACAGTGTAGACCATGGGTCAGCAAACTTTTTCAGCAGGGGGCCATTCCACTGTCCCTCAGAACTTGTAGGGGGCCGGACTATTTTTTTTTTTTTTAAAATGAATTCCTATGCCCCACAAATAACCCAGAGATGCATTTTAAATAAAAGGACACATTCTACTCATGTAAAAACATGCTGATTCCTGGACCTTCCGTGGGCCCGATTGAGAAGGCGATTGGGCCGCATCTGGCCCCCGGGCTTTAGTTTGCCTACCCATGGTGCAGACAGTACTGAGCTACATGGACCCAAGGGTCGGACTCGGCACAAGGCGAATTCCTACATTTTCCTTGTTCAGAAAACCATGAGGACTAGAACATAGTTTTTCTAGGAAGAGCTGCAGCTTAGCTACAGGGCTTCACATGCAGATTTCCCCAGGTGCAATCACCTGCAGCATCTTTGGGTGGGGCTGGGAATGTCCCCCACCCTGGGTCTGACTGTCTGAACAGCTTCGTGTGTTGCTAATGTCTGAAGGTTAGCAACCTCCAGGCTTGCCCCAAGGAGTGGGTCAGGTGGAAGAGGAACGGAGGCTGACCCTAACCAAAGGTCTGTCTGTCTTTCTCTCTCCCTCCACTCTGCCACTCCCAGTGACCGGGGAGTCCCCTCCCAGCCTGTCGAAGGACCTGACCAGCTCTCTGGCCGGCGTGGGGGATGTCAGCTTCGACTCTGATTCCCAGTTCCCCCTGGACGAACTCAAAATCGACCCCCTGACCTTGGACGGGCTGCACATGCTCAACGACCCCGACATGGTCCTCGCTGACCCCGCCACAGAGGACACTTTCCGGATGGACCGGCTGTAGGGGAGAGGGGAAGAGCGGGTGCGTCGCCGAGAGTGAGAGAGCGCATGCCAAATCGCAAATAAAAGGTGTACCAAGTCTCGGCGCCCGCAGAGGCAGGGACCGGCCCACCTCGGGTCCGTCGCACCTGAGAGCCGGGCTCGTTCCACCCTCACAGAGCAGCTGCCCACCCCCCTGTCTCCCTTCCCCCTCCAGAGGCCACTGGTTTGGGAGAGGACCTCTTTATCCACAAGCCCCCCTTGCGCCCTTTCCGTTCCTCTCGCCCTCTGCTTGCCACCAAAGTTCGGTCCTTGTTCTCCTTTGCACTAAATGGTTTCTCCGTGTTTGTTTTTGGGAAGGCAGGGAGTGGGGTGGCAGTAGAGGAGGCTGCTCCCTCTCTTCCTCTCCCCCCCGCCCCGGTGGCTGGGCAAAGCGCTCTGAAAAGGTAAATAGATAGTTCTTATCCCCCCCCACCTCTGTCAAAACTACCGAGTCTCCGGTTTCGGTTACAGAAACAGCCACTTCTGCATGAAGCCGGGAGCTTGGGGGGGGTGCTGGGGGTTGCGTGACAGACACGTGAAGCCCCACCACCCCTGAGTTCAAAAGCTACGTTGTGGATATTGCTGCTTTCCTTCTGGGAAATGGGGTGGGTGGGGTTTCAATGCAGGAGGTAGTAGGGAGAGTCCGACGAGCCCTCCAGAATTATTTCCTGAGACAGATGCTTGGCTTTGAAGGATGGGGTGGGGTGCAAATGGTTTGTGATCTCTTGCCCTCCCCTTTTTTGCTAGCCTTGACTCTCATCCAAAACTCTTGCTGCCTGTTCCCCCGTTTGCCACCTTGCTCAACAGTTGCAGAAACATCTCTTTTGGGGGGGCAACACCGTCCGGGGATTTAGTTGCACGAGCCGCCTAACTCCAAGGACTTTTTTGGCAGGGGGTGGGGGACAGGTAGAGGAAGAGGAGGGGCAACTTTATTTATGTCACATACTTCTGTTACCTAAAGGAAGGAGCTGCGATTTCCTCTGGGTTGAACGCTTGCGGGATTATTGCTGTCCAGCGTGCAAGTCTCTCTCCCCTCCCCTTTTTGCATGGCAAAGGCAGTTCCCGCCCAGTATTAAAGGAAAATATCTCATGTGCATGATTTGTTATTTTTTAGCAGGGAATAGCGAGGAAAATCCGGTCAGCCTTGGAGGGGCGCCGAGCCAGACTGAGCCCCCAAATGGTTGCTGAGGGTGGCAGAATCAGAGGGGTTCAGTGGGGAATCGTTTAAGGGGACCCCAAGACGTACACACACGTCTCCTGCTTGCAAAGTGGACAGAGATGTTCTCTCCTTTGACGTCTCGAGCGGGAGGCGCTCTTTGGCGTGGGGCAGTTTTTTGGACTGACTCCGTTTGTCACTTTCCGTTGGCAGAATCTCGTGCCAAGTGCCCCTGGGGTGTTTGTGGGTCCCTGAAACAGATGTCTGGAACTCAGAAATCCCCTCGCAGGCATGTTTGTGAGTCTGAATGCTTCAGGCAGGGTCTCCCTGCTCCCCACCCCTCAAACACTTTTTTTTTACAGCATCCCATTCTCCAGGCCAGGTCCCTGGTTTTCTGTGCTGCTGGGGAGGAAGTGAACCTCCCATTTGCCGAAAATGCTAATCTGGTAGCCTCCTGTGGCTCCCTTGGCCTGGCTGGGCGATATCTTAAGTCCTCTGGGCCTTCCTGGCTGGCGCAGCAAAGCTCACCTCCCTGCTGTCCCCTCTTCTGCTCTGAGTTGGCCAGGCAGCGTTCAACTTGAGTCCCTGCCTTGTTGTCCCTCAGGTTCTGGGTTTGAGTCCTGCCATAGCCTTCCCCGAATGCCTCCCCCCGGCGAGTTACAGCTGGGCCTCTGGGCCCCTGCATGTGCCGCTAGGAAGTCCCGTTCCGAGTACATGTCTGCTTACACTCCGCCTGTGCCATCCTTTGTTTTACGACTTTTGCACTAAAACTGTGCTGTCTCCTAGGCGTTCTGTGTGGGCGCTTCGATGCAGTGCTTTCCCCCCAGCCCTTTCGACTCCCCAGAAGTGGTCTCTCCCATTGTTATATAACCCGTATCAGTATTTTAGCCTCTAGTACTCGCCATGGTCTGCCCATTTCAAGGCTGCTCTGGGTCCCTCTCCTGCACGAGGAGGAGTCCCGTCTGCTAAAAAAAAAGCCAGGAGGTGGTAACTCTCCTTCTCCGAACGGTGAATGCAGGGATCTCGTCCTTTGGCCTCCAGCGAGCCTGTCAGAATTCATTGGTCCGACTCTCTGGGATGCCCTTCCCTCAGATCTCAACATGTGCACAGTCCTCTTCAGTCTTTGGCCTGCCGTTTGGGGATGTGGAATTGGAAGACGCATTGCCTGGTTTGGTAAACACACGCAGCTCTCGAACCGGACAGTTTTATAGGGAGATGTACAAATCTCTCCTCCTCCCCTTTTCTAAATTACACATTGTACATAGGAGAGCCTGCGTGCGGATAAACTGTAAGTAGTTTTACAAAAATGGCCTTAATATATATCTCTCTATATATATCTATATATCTGTATACACACGTGAAACACAAACACAAAAAAACCCTTTCTGGATTTGTTTGAGGGTCACTGAGGATTAGGGACCATTTGCTTTGGAGGGGCACTGTTTAAATTTCTGGTTTGTGTTTCATTTGTTGCTGTTGCTGGAAACTCTTGTTAAAGATGGCAGGATCGTAGCGCAAGATATTTCGATGTGCTCGGTATCTCTCTTCCCAGCAGGGGGCAGCGTCATTCTTAATTTATCATGTTGAGTATCCAAGCGATGACTTTAGCACAACGGCAAATTATTTCCTCCGTTAATGCACCTTATATTCTGCTTCTTTCTGTTTTTTCATCATGGGGAGGGGGATTTCTATCCTCACCCCCACCCTCAATTCTGTGTTTAAGGCCAGGCACCCGGAGGTTTTGAGATACATGCTGTCTGCATCGAAGCTTGCTTAAAATTGCTTATTTTGAAGGGGGCGGAGCTGAAAGCTCCCCATATCCTTCCTTTTGGGGCATTCTAGCCACCATGATTCTGTTCCAGGGGAGAATGCTTTGTTGCCATCGTTGAGCAGAGAGGATGTCCTGCTTTGTTCCAAAGCGGGAGTGTTGTTCGTTGCTCAGTTAGGGTCAGGTTTAAAAGAGCTGCTCTCTTTTGGTTAGGTGCCTGGCTTGTGTCTGCATGGGCACAGTGGTGCGTTTGTCTTAAGCCGTTCCTTCTGTACTCTCCTTTCCTCCCACCCCTTTACCCTTCCAACAACCCTGTGAGGTAGGTTAGGCCAAGAGATGGCAGCTGGCCCAGGGAATGCCTGCGCTGAGTGGTCATTTTATCCTGGGTCTCTGTGGGCCTTAATCTGACACCAGCCTGGTCCAGTATTGCTCTGTGTGTGTGCGCGCCAGCTAATAATACTGTGTAAACGAGACCAGTTTCACCCCTGCAGTGCGGTCTGAGCCCCTGAACTTACATAAGCCGTGCCCTTTCTCCTTATAATTTGGCAAGAAAAAGTTCCCAGTGAGGAACCGAGTGCAGAAGTCGATGTCCCTCTGCTCCACAGCACCTCCACTGGAGCAGGCCAGGAGGGGTACTGCGCCTTCTCATCCCAGTGGGAGTCCCAGTGGGACCCACAGAAGCCACTGGTTGCCAGGCAGTACAGGCTTCCATAGCTCAGTTGGTAAGAGCACGAGACTCTGAATCTCAGGGTTGTGGGTTCGAGACCCACGTTGGGGGAAAGGTTCCTTCATTGCAGGGGGATGGGTTAGATGACTCCTTGGGATCCCTTCCAGCTCTACAAGTCTGTGATTCCTAGCAGGAGCTTTGCTGCCAGCCCAAAATATTAGCAAGGCATGTTAGAGCCCTAGAGCTGACTGGGGCCCAATTCTGCAGAGTTCGAGTATCTTTGTAATCAACAAGGGTCTCTTCTGGAAAAAAACCCCACGTCACATTCCTTAAAGCAGGATCTTTTCCTTTTAAAATCCCCACCAAATTGTTGGTCTTTGAAAATGGACGTTGGCCCCCAAAAGCCCCTCTTGGCATCAAGTGCCAAATGAATTAAATGACGATGGTGACTGTCGTCCTCATTGTCAGGGCCCTGCTCCATTTCAAGCTGTGTGGAGAAGCGTTCCTGAGCATATGCAGAGTTCCGCTGCCCCCTCCTCCTCTCCCCCTATAACCCCCACGCCCCGATGGACCTGGTCCCGGTTTTCTAAGGCGGGGGGTCTCCCCACCTGCTCTTTGGGTGGGCTCTGGCGGCCAGCGGGTGTCAAGAGGCCAGGATGGGTATCAGAAGCGATTGCGAGGATGGCAGGCTGTGGGCAGAGAGGCCGGGGGCTGGTGTTTTAAATCCACAGTGCTTTCCGTCAGCTTTGAAAAATGTCTTGCAAAAGCAGGGGGGAGTATCTTGACCCAGAGTGAATGACTATATATACATATAGATTGGTGTGTGTGCGCGCATGTGTAAGCAAACTGAGATGGAAGTGTAAAAAAAGCAAGACTTAAAAGTGGTCAGGGAGCGGGGTACAGATCGACCAACTGGATCAAGCCTAGCCCCCTCTTCCCACAGCAGCCAACCAGACCCCCAGCAAGCAGGGGCTAATTGTATGGATGTCCTCAGATACAGGATGCTGGGCTTGGTGGTGGTCAGACCCAGCTATGCACAAATTGGGGGCGGGTAGGATAAGACATCCCCCCCCCCCATCCCTGCCAAAAAAGGCCAAATTTGGGGGCGGCTTCTGCCCATTGCATGGCCAGGGAAAACTGAGTCTTGTTATCGCTGTGGCTTTTCTGCATGTTTGCAGGAGTCTTGCTGGGGGCTCCTTGTAAATCTATCTCTGACAGGCAGCAGCAAGAGACTGAGCTGTCCCTTTTTTTAAAAAGAAAAAGGCTACTTCTTTCTCTCCCCCCCCCCCTCGTTTTTCTGTGGTGGTCCCATTTCCATCCTTTTTTTCCTGCCTCCATCCTTTCAAGGCAGCCATCTTCCCCCACCCTTTTTTTTCTTAGGTAGAATTCCTCTCCGGAAGAGGACTACCTACATACTACACCCATGGCTTTTGAAAAAAGAAAGAAAGAAAGAAGGCACTTTGATTTTTATTATTTTTAATTAAAAAAATTCCCTTGTCACTGTGAAAACATCTGTGAAAGAGCAGTTGAATATCTGAGTATGCATTCTTCTTTTTAGGGGGGGAAAATGGGGAACCCAAACAAAAAGTTAAGTGTTTTTGTGTTGTAACATTTCTTTTTTAATGAACCAGTTTAACCTTTTATTTTCAAAAGAAAACTTTTAGGCTTTGTGCGGAATTCCCATATTGCAATATGTGAATTGGGGGTTGGTGCGGAGGGTTTAAATAACCAACACACTACGTTTATGGAACTTCGGTCGATAATCTTTGTGCTTTTCGTTGTATTTATTATTATTATTTTTTATTTTAAAAAAAGGGGGGGGGAACAACTTCCTTTCGGGGAGGGGGAGGAGGGCACGGTGCGTGTGTGTATATAAATATATATATATATATATATATTTTAAAAAGTATATATAAATAAATGTGAGCTTGGCCAGTTTCTACTGTGTTTATAAAGGAAAGGCGTGGCTTTTTTGGGGGGAGGGGAACGCAGGCTGGGGGGGGGGGAAGATGCTTTGAGGCGGCCGCAGCAGCAGCAGCAACAGCTTGGTACTTTCTGCCTTTGGGGTGTTGGGTTTTGGTTTTCATCCCCCATTTACATAAGAACCGAAAGCAAAAAAATGTATAATAGCTGTTGGTATCTTAGCATGTGTATTGAAGCAAAGGCTGTCTTGGCTCAATGTCCCCGTTCTCCACCTGCAAGTTGGACGATCTCACGCCTGTGGTTGAGAATTCATTGCCTCTTTTTGCTTTTTGCCTGGTTCCCTTCTCTCCTTTCCTACTCCCCGCCCCTCCACCCCAAAGCCTTCTCGGTATATCGATAACAATGACAAAATTCCCAGCGTTAATCGTTCTCCTCCTCCCACCAGCCCCAATTTTCAGGTGTGTCAAAAAAAGATGGAAAGCTCACCTTTGGGACAGGGTTGGGGGGGGGGGAGATGGGCTCTCAGATGCCTTCTCTCTCCCCCCCCCAGACACAACTTATATATGTTTGGGAGGCTGGGGAAACCCAGTCGGATGGGCGGGGTTCAAATAATAAAATGATTATCACCATTATTATCAATTGCTGCCACATCCAAACGGTGTTCTGTTACTGTATGGCACGGCTGACCTGAGCCGGACGTGTCTTCTCCTGGCCCAGCCTTCGCCAACCTAGTGCCCCCCCCCCCCCCAATGCTGGCCGGGGTGGGCAGGCAGGTTTTTGGAGGCTGGGGCTGGGTGCGCAGTAGAAGCTTCTCTGAAAAAAAGCACCAGCAGAGCTTTAAAACATAACTGGGCAGATCAGCAGAGGCTTAATGCTCTCCCTGACCCCCCCTTCCCAAAAATGAATGGGTCAACATACTTCTCCCCATAACCCCTCCACCCTTTTGCAAGTGTGTGTGATTGGGGAGGGAGGATGTGAAGTTTGGCATGTCCCCCACTTTAAAAATCCCACGAACAGCAAGTAGGATTCAATTGAATTCAGTGCAAATAAACACGACTTGCTGAAATAAAAGGAGGGAGGGTTGTTTTAGGGTTTGTCTGTTTTTGCCAAATTGGGCGGGAGGATTAAGTGTTTTGTGGGGGGTCGTGGTGCACCCCTCCCCCAGGTCTGGGGATACCTGTAAGTTCTAGATTACAGTTCTGTTAGTTTCATAAGCCTTCATTTGCAGCTGATAGTTTTTAGAAAGACCACAGGGAATAGCTGCATCATTTATTTATTTATTTTGTTTAAAAGAGAAATGGCGGTATCAGGAATCCCTACTAAAAGCCATTATCCTTGTAGTGGGGAAGATCCACAACCGTCTTGATGACGCGGCACCTGTGTTTCACTTCGGGAAACCCTAACCGACCAGCGCATAGAAATCAGCCCTTTTGCAGAAGCCGCTCAAAACTCTCTGTGCCAGGAGAGGGAACGGCTTAATCCCTACTCAAGATCCTTGATTTGGAGAACACTTAGCTAAGGCACGGCTTGCAAATGCAGCCGCTTGTCGTGTGGCGCATCTCTTTGGTTGCCCTGCCATACGCAACAGAAACACCAGGATTAATTCTGCAAGCTTTTGCAGGTTGCATCTGCTGTTGGCCATACTCCGAGTAGTCCTATTGAAACAGACGGATGTGGCCAAACGGGTCTGGTGGATCTGCTCTGAGCAGAACTTAATTGAGCTGCAACCCTAACATCACTTTCTTTTGGGGGGGGTAGGGGGGATAAGACCATGCCTAGACGTTATTTCCCCCTTCGATCCTAACTAGTTCCTAACTCTATAAGGGCATGAGCAGTTGCACATTAAACGTAATTATCCATATTATAATAACCATATTGCTAGAGACATCCAGAACATTAACGCAACTTAGCAAGTAAACAAAATGTGCTTAGTTCTAGCTGTTAGTCGGGTGGTAGCTTTTCAATACATGGCTTTCTTTTGGGGGCAGGGAGGAAATTTAATTTTTCTCTCCCCCCCCCCCCAATTTCCTTTGGGGCACCTGAAAGTGTAAAAGAACACCAAGGGAAATGTCGGTTTTCTCTGAATAAGGTAGATTCAGCTGTGTGTGGCAGCTTTCCTTACAGACAGGCAGCTAAAAAACAGTAACACAAAAATCATATTTGGGGGGGGGAAGGCGGATTAAAAGGGTGGGAAGGGAACAGTCTTTTGTTTTCTGTATTTTTGGACCGTGTAACATCCTGTTCTTTATAGTTTTTTTTAAAAAAACAAAAACATGAGGACTAGTGGAATGACTTTACTGATATATGCAAATCCTACCATTGAGTTACAGGTTTTCTTGGGGGGTGGGGAGGGGGGGTACTTGGGGGCAGCAGCAGCACAGGAACTCTGGAGCATAGAAGCTTAATTTATTGTGGCTTTTTTCTTGGCAAAAAAAAAAAAAAAAGGAACCCTGAAGGTGGCTTTGTAAGCGTGTGTGTGTTTTTTTCTTCTTTTTGCAAACTTAAGAACATGACAATGATGTGAAAAAGCGGCAAAACTCTGTGTACATTCTTTTTGATCTCTCTTTTTTTGGTTCGTTCGTTTCCTTTTTTTCTTTCTTTCTCTGTGAAGGCTTTTTTTTGTCTTTGTAACTTTGCATTATTTGTAAATGAAATGTAATAAAGTTCAGCTGTTTTTCTCTCTGGCTGCTCAGCTCTGCTTTTCTGAATAATTGTTGTTAATTGCAAAGCTGCTTTGCAATGGGTTAAAAAGGGTTATTTTTGCAAAATGCCTTCCTCTTCCCTAGCCAGACGGCAGTTTTGCTTTTCTTGGCTCTCTCCTGGCTTTCAGAGAGCCTGCCCTGCGGGCAGCGTCATAAAACAAAACACAACCTTCTTGTCCTTAAGACAAAGTAATTTAATTCTCCAAATTCTCTATACATACATATTTTTTAAAAAGTGCTTTCTCTGCGTTTCTTCTTATTGCTTCTGAGAAGGTGCGCATTTCATTACCTGCCTTTAATGCGCCAAGGATTCAGGGCCGAGGAATGGGCATGTAACTGGGTTTGGGAGGAAGCCATGCGCCACGTTTACCCAGGGTCACTTGCTCAGACTGGCAGCCGCCCACCAGGCTTCTTGCCACCTGAGCCTTGAGGGGCTGAGGATCGAACCAAAGCAGGGGCACCTCTCTTGCAGGATGCCAGAGCAGGCCAGATTGGATTAGCTCAGCACACATTTCCCTCCCTGTCCAATTTAATTTACATTTCTCAAAATTGGTTACTTGCAAGACTACGACCATTTCTCAAGAGGGACGTCGCACCGCATCACCCCGTTTTTGCATGAATCGCTGATCTGTGCCTGGACAGTGGTTCATGCAGGGATGCAACGGTCAGCCCCACTTTCTTGACATCAGACCCGAACCCCCTACCTAGGGGTGGAGCAGAAGGAAGCAGCCTCCCTCTGCTGGCGAGTGCTTTGGAGTTCTTGGAAAGCTTCTCCCAGCTAGCCTCTTCCCTCCATGTTCTCAAGCGCCTCCGCTGGAACAACTGATTCTCTTCTGCACGGTGCAGAACATTCAGCAGATTCGTGGCCAGTGAGGGATTCCAAGGGGGCTTCCGGTTACTAGGGAAAGGGAGGCGCAGCGATGCCAGAGGGCGGCTGGGCAGCTGCTGCAAGGTGTTGCAGGACTGTCCATAATTCGATATATTGTAAAAAGAGCAGGAAGCAGAGGGGTGAGTATGTGAGTCTCGGGCCAACCCTAAAAGGCGCTTAGTAGTCTTGCTGGTTCCGGTAAGATTCGTAGTCCTCTGGGATCGTGTCTGTGAATGAGAGAACAGGAGGCAGTGATCTTAGAATAGGGTTACCAGACGTCCCTGTTTCCTGGGGACAGTCCCTGGATTTGCGAATAGGTCCCCGGACAAATTCCATCCCTGGAATGTCCCCGGATTTCATCTGATGTCCCCGGGAAACGTGGCAGCGGCTGTCTCAGCAGCCCGGAGCAGTTGGCTCTGGCCGGCTTCAGGAGCTGCCCGGAAGTCCCCATCTGATGGTGGTGCAGAGGCTCTAAGGTGCAGCTTCTGCCTCCACCTTCCCTGAGCCCAGCAACTCAGCTGGGAAGGGCGGCTTTGTGCTGCCTATTGGAGCAGCCTCCCAACTCCTACTTGCGTTCAAGCAGGAGGGGGCAGGGATCTCTCAGTTAGGCAAAGGGAAGCCTCCCTTCCCAGCTGAGGGATCCCCGTCCCCTCCTTGCACGCAAGTAGGAGTTGGGCTGGGGCTGCTCTGAAAGGCAAGTGTGAAGCCTCGCTTCCTAGCTGAGGGACCCCTGTCCCCTCCTGCTTGCACGCAAGTAGGAATGGGATTGGGGCTGCTCCGATGGGAAGGGAGGCATCACGCTGCTCGAGCCTCGTCACCACCGCTGCTCTCGGCCCTCCTTCTCCGCCTTCCATGCCTGACCCACCACGCATTGCTTCCCCACTACCACCACCGAAGAACCAACACCTCAGGGGCTTCCCAGGCTCATGGAGAAAGGAGATAGACGCCTCAGAGGAAGGGGAAACGTGGCGGTTGAGGTCAAGGCGGCGGCCGCCCCTCTGCCACTGCCATCGCTGCATCATCAACGTCCCAAACGTGTAGTAATTAATTAATTAAAGTGTCCCCGGATTAATTGGGGAAAATTCAGATAAGCTTATCTTAGAATGGTAGAGTTGGAAGGGGTCATGAGGGTCATCCATTCCAATCCCCTGCAACGCAGGGAGTTACGGAGTCCCGCCCAGTAAAGGAGAGACTTGATGATGGGACTGTGGGAGTAAAGCGCTTTGGTACACCCATCCCTGGCCAACACTCTGTTCCTACAGCGGCTAAATATCCATAAGAAACTAGGAATCCAGATAGACTGCCCCGGACCTGGAGGTTCCACAAGAACATAAGGAACCTGGCTTCTGGATCAGGCCAAGGGCCCATCTAGTCCAGCATCCAGATACCCCCACGGGGAGCCCCCAAGCAGGACCTGGGGTTTCCAGAAGCATCACTGCCTCCAACAGGTGAGTCCCAAAGGAAATACGACCCCAAGACTCACAACTTGCCGGAGTCTGCAAAAGCAACTGAAACTCGCTTTCTTTTTGCTTGTGTGTGAAACCCTGTCACTAAATCTGTTTTAGCTCCACCCCGTGGCATTAAAATGGGCATGGCTTTGAAGGCTGCACCCAGGAGGGGAGAGAGGATGTGTGGGGCTGGGCGGGAGGGAGTGGGGCCTGCTCACCGTTGCAGCGATACCGCAGGTTGGACCAGATGATGTTCTCCTGGGAGAAACAGAAGACCCCCAGGCGCCCGCCTCTCATCGTGGTGTCGAGAACAACGCCTGTGTCGGCCACCAGCTCAGGACCCTCGTAGAAGCGAGCCCTAGAGAGGCAAGGAAAACCATCAAGGATTCTAATGCCAGCATATTTGTGGCAAAAATGTGAGGGTCTAGGAGGCAGGAGCCTCTGCTTGAAAATAATAAATCATTATTATTACTATTATTATTTATACCCCACCCATCTGGCTGGGCTTCCCCAGCCACTCTGGGCGGCTTCCAACAAAATATTAAAATACCGTAATACATGAAACATTAAAAGCTTCCCTAAAGAGGGCTGCCTTCAGATGTCTTCTAAAAGCCTGGTAGTTGTTTTTCTCTTTGACCTCTTTTCCACAGGGCGGGTGCCACCACCGAGAAGGCCCTCTGCCTGGTTCCCTGTAACTTGGCTTCTCACAGTGAGGGAACGGCCAGAAGGCCCTTGGCGCTGGACCTCAGCGTCCGGGCAGAACGATGGGGGTGGAGACACTCCTTCAGATATACTGAACCGAGGCCGTTTACGGCTTTCAAGGTCAGCACCAACACTATGAGTTGTGCTCAGAAACGTACTGGGAGCCAACGTAGGTTCCTGTCTCCGAGATGAGTTTTTGAAATAATAACACAACATCTCTTTGGAAATAACCCCAAATAAAGGCCCCTTGTATCTTAGGAGCTTGCCTTATCTGATTTTATTTTTTAAATACGCATTTCCCAAAACAAGACAAATACATTAATTGGAAACAAGGGAGCTTATAACCTCTTGCTACGTTTGAAATAAATTTTGCAGGGTGTCTTGCGTTCAGCGACAACAGAAAACAAGAAGATACGGTATATAGTGGTACCTCGGGTTAAGTACTTAATTCGTTCTGGAGGTCCATACTTAACCTGAAACTGTTCTTAACCTGAAGCACCACTTTAGCTAATGGAGCCTCCTGCTGCCGCCGCGCCACCGGAGCCCGATTTCTGTTCTCATCCTGAAGCAAAGTTCTTAACCTGAAGCACTATTTCTGGGTTAGCGGAGTCTGTAACCTGAAGCGTATGTAACCAGAGGTACCACTGTATATCATTTTAACAGTTTTCCAAAATCAATTTTCTCAAAAAAAATTAACTTGATCACTTAACATCTTTCATTCTTTCTAATTTAGCTTTAAACATCTTAATTCCTAGAAATCTGATTGGTTCTTACGTACACTGTGCAAAAAGTTTTTTGTGTGAATAAAACGACCTGGGCCGAGGGGTAGACAGGAATTATTATTACACGCACTCCTCCCAGAGTCTTGCTGGTTCAAGCCTCTGTGTGTATTTTATTATCAGAGTCTAATCCTTCCTTAGCAATGACAAACCTAGACAGCATCTTAAAAAGTAGAGACATCACCTTGCCAACAAAGGTCCGTATAGTTAAAGCTATGGTTTTCCCAGTAGTGATGTGTGGAAGTGAGAGCTGGACCACAAAGAAGGCTGATCGCCAAAGAATGGATGCTTTTGAATTCTGGTGCTGGAGGAGACTCTTGAGAGTCCCATGGACTGCAAGAAGATCAAACCTCTCCATTCTGAAGGAAATCAGCCCTGAGTGCTCACTGGAAGGACAGATCCTGAAGCTGAGGCGCCAAGACTTTGGCCACCTCACGAGAAGAGAAGACTCCCTGGAAAAGACCCTGATGTTGGGAAAGATGGAGGGCACAAGGAGAAGGGGACGCCAGAGGACGAGATGGTGGGACAGTGTTCTCGAAGCGACCAGCATGAGTTTGACCAAACTGCGGGAGGCAGTGGAAGACAGGAGTGCCTGGCGTGCTCTGGTCCAGGGAGTCACGAAGAGGCAGACATGACTAAGCGACTAAACAACAACAAATCCTTCCTTTGCTTTGGGAACGCCTCACAGGACCACCACTGAGCCAGGCCTTTCCGCCTGGCACCCATCCCTGGCGCACCTGTGCACCTGGTCCCTGCCACTTACCGGATGTAGCCCACCTGGGGCCGGTGCTGCAGGAACCAGCGGTAGGAGGTCTTGTCCTTCCAGCCGACGTTGCGAGGGTCTTTCCAGAGCAGCTTGACTTGGTTGGCCGTGTCCCCAGTGTGCCAGAGGGAGTTGCGGAGGTATTCTCCAGGGCCCGTCTTGGACTTCACTGCCTGGGATTGGAGGGAAGGGCAGGGAAGTTCAGAAAGCAGGAGTGGGTTGTGGGGGCTTCCCTGAGCCCCCCACCCAGATGTGCTTGGAGAACCACAACCTATCAGCGTCAGCAACCCGCCCCTCTCCTATTTCTATAACCCGCCTTTTTCGCAAGATGGGATTCGAGGCAGCTTCTGGCATTTTAAAAATAATGGTTGTAAACATTTTTTGGGCGAACGTTTTCATTCGTAAACCGGTTTTGAGGTTTTCTTTTCAACACTCAGGCACGTGGATCTTACGAAATCAAAGAAACAAATGTTGTGGAATGCGAAACAATTCTAACGAACCAGTGTAGTCAAAATGAATCCGAACACATTTAGAACCTGCTTGTCATAGAACTGTATTTTGTGTTTTTTATCCAGTATTTTTATGTTGTGAACGGCCCCGAGATCTATGGATGGAGGGCGGAATACAAATTTTAATAATAATAGAGTTAGAAGTGATCCTGAGGGTTCTCTAGATGAACCCTCTGCAATGTGGGAATCTCAACTACGCCATTCATCACACACACACACACACACACACAGAGAGAGAGAGAGAGAGAGAGAGAGAGAGAGAGATCTTGAGGCAAGCCTTTTCCTAGAGAAAAAGACTACCAAGGGCAGTAGGACTAGTTGAGGTGATGAAAGTCTAGGGGAGCTTCCAGATGACCTGATCTGTTTGCTAGGAGCATTCCATTCTGATCTGAGTACTTGGCCATGATCCCATCAGCCTCGGCGTCCGACGGCTGCCCTGGCAGGGGATGATGGGAGTCTAGGACATCTGGAGGACAACATGTGCACTAAAGTCTGTCTTAGCCCCTTTCCTGGAGGCCGGCCAGAGCCTTTGCCTTGTGTCTGCAGGAAAACTGGCTCTTAACTGCTTGAACAGCCTGCGGAGCCAAAATGCAGACGAGATTTGAGAGAAGGCAATTGAGATATGGGACGCGGGTGATGCTGTGGGTTAAACCACAGGACTTGCTGATCAGAAGGTCGGCGGTTCAGATCCCCGCGACGGAGTGAGCTCCCGTTGCTTGGTCCCTGCTTCTGCCCACCTAGCAGTTCGAAAGCACGTCAGAGTGCAAGTAGATAAATAGGTACCACTCTGGCGGGAAGGTAAACGGCGTTTCCGTGCGCTGCTCTGGTTCGCCAGAAGCGGCTTAGTCATGCTGGCCACATGACCCAGAAGCTGTACGCCGGCTCCCTCGGCCAATAAAGCGAGATGAGCGCCGCAACCCCAGAGTCGGTCACGACTGGACCTAATGGTCAGGGGCCCCTTTACCTTTAATTGAGATGCAGATCAGCCGTTGGGGAAAACATCCCTGTTTCCCCGCTCTCATTGCCAGAGAGGAGAAACAGAGATGGGAGATTTTGTGTGGCCTGTTTCGTCCCATTTTCCTGGCTTGACCCGCGGTGTCTGGGCTCCCCCTGAGCTCCTCAGCCACCTACCTTGAGCTGGATCCCCGGTTCCGCCACAGCCCGGAAGGGGTTCGCCTGCCAGTAGGTCTGTTCCATCTGCTTCCACATGACCACGTAGAAGCTGGCGCTGTCCTGGTAGCCGAAGATGAAGCCGGCATAGTCATCGTCCGTGGCCGTGTTCACGTGGAAGGTGCCCTCGAAGTCCACCCCGTTGAATGCGGTGTACCCTCAAGCAAGGGAGAGAGGGGTCACCGCCACAGAATCTGGGGGCGGGGGGCGGCTGGTGGTCTTGGCCTGCAACTCCTGCCAGACAGCAGGAGCCCCCAAATGGCTAGGGGTGGGGAGGTGCAGTCCAGCAGCACCTTGAGGGGCAGAGGTGGCCCCCCTGCAAGCATGGGAATCCTGTCTCAGGCCCTTGACCCATCTAGCTCAGGACTGTCTGCACAGACTGGCAGCAGCTCTCCAGGGCTTTAGGAAGGGTTGTCTCCAAGCTCTAGCTGGAAAAGCCCCCAGGGACTGAACCTCGGACCTTCTGCATGCAAAGCAGGTGTTCTCGGCCCAGTATACCTGAAGGAGCGTCTCCACCCCCATCGTTCTGCCCAGACACTGAGGTCCAGCACCGAGGGCCTTCTGGCGGTTCCCTCATTGCGAGAAGCCAAGTCACAGGGAACCAGGCAGAGGGCCTTGTCGGTAGTGGCACCCGCCCTGTGGAACGCCCTCCCAGCAGATGTCAAAGAGAACAACAACTAGCAGACTTTTAGAAGACATCTGAAGGCAGCCCTGTTTAGGGATGCTTTTAATGTTTAATAGACTATTGTATTTTAATATTCTGTTGGAAGCCCCCCAGAGGGGCTGGGGAAACCCAGCCAGATAGGCAGGGTATAAATAATAAATTATTATTATATTATTATTATTACTATTATTCTACCCCTGAGCCATGGCCCATCCGCCCCACATCACTATCGGGCCAAGTGCTGGGGCCAGGTCAGCCAACAACTCACAAGATGCCAGTGAAGTTAACACTTTATTCAAAGGAAACAGCTCAGACCAGTAAGTATAGCAACTCTTCCCAGTAATAATAATGTCCATGACAATCACTTTTATCAACAAGCCCATGACATTTATGTTCGGATGACACAGCTATTCACTGATATTCTTTATTGGTGGTTGGTTTTTATGAAGACTTTGAGAAAGAATATGAATAATGGTGGGGAAAGGATGTGGGATTTATGTGTGGAAAATACCACTTACCGACTGCCAAACCCGGGTCGCTGTTCATGGTCTGAACAATCTCCATTCCCTGCAGATGAGAGAGAGAGAGAGAGAGAGAGAGAGAGAGAGAGAGAGAGAGAGAGAGAGAGAGAAAGAAAGAAAGAAAGAAAGGGTGCTTTTTTCAGTCTGAGAGCATCGTTCCAGAAGCACAGGTGGTTTGGAAGCACTAACTGGACTACTGCAAAGTGCTTGGTGTGGGGCCACCTTTGAAGACCACCTGGAAGCTACATCCGGTGTAGAACAGCTGGGGAGCTTTTTCAGCCGTTCAGAAAACATAACACTGGGTGGGTCAGCGTCCCTATTTGCTTTCATCTCAAAGCCAAGGCTGTGGTAAGTCACAAAACTTTAGAAGCTACACAACTTGGAAACTAAATGTCTGAGGAACGACTCCCTCACATCCATCTCCCTGTGCCACCCCTGGAGATTTGGCTCCCAGTACGTTTCCAAGCACAATTCAAAGTGTTGGTGCTGACCTTTAAAGCCCTAAACGGCCTCGGTCCAGTATACCTGATGGAGCGTCTCCACCCCCATCGTTCTGCCCGGACACTGAGGTCCAGTGCTGAGGGCCTTCTGGCAGTTCCCTCACTGCAAAAAGCCAAGTTACAGGGAACCAGGCAGAGGGCCTTCTCGGTGGTGGCACCCGCCCTGTGGAACGCCCCCCCCATCAGATGTCAAAGAGAAAAATAACTAGCAGACTTTTAGACGACATCTGAAGGCAGCCCTGTTTAGGGAAGCTTTTAATGTTTGAGGCATTACTGTATTTTAATATTGTGTTGGAAGCCGCCCAGAGTGGCTGGGGAAACCCAGCCAGATGGGTGGGGTATAAATAAAAAAATATTATTATTATTACTACTACTAGTTCCCAGGGCCAGACAGAGACATTTGGAGGGCCACATTCACACCCCTCTTCTGGACAGCCCCCTCCCCACCTGGGCGTAACTGAACAGGGACACGGAAGGAAGCCTATTCTGTGGAAAGCTTTTCCTTCCGCTTCGGACTACAGCAGGAAATGGGGTATGTAAAAGCCCCCAGCTGCTCCTTTGCCAGCTGACCTGGTTGAGGACGATCCAGTTGGGATCGATCTGCGCGTCTCCCTCAGGATCCAGCACCACCGTCTGAAACGCCCGGAAGTCGGTCAGCGTCACCTGGGCATTCTCTGGGCAGACGTCTATGCGGTCGACCACCAGGTCCTTATCAAAGTCACCCTGGCAGGCGTCCCCAATTCCGTCTCCTGCAAAGGGAGAAGGGGGAAGGAGGCTCAGTTTCCTAAGAGCAGCTCTACCCCCCCCCCTCGGGGTTCCCGTTGGATCACGGAAGGACCCAGGCAGGGGATGGTGGGGCGGGAAGGTCACAAATGCCATGCCCCCCTCCCTGCAGGCAGATGCCGCTAGAAGAAAAGTTAGGATTCAGGGACTTTCCTTTTTTACTTATTTTATACAGCGTAGGCTCGGGTTGCAAACGTGATCTGTGCGGGATGCACATCCACAACCCACAGCGCTGCGTCTGCACACATGCGGGTTGTGATTTGGTGTTTCTGCGCATGTGCGACCACCGAAACCCAGAAGTAACCCGTTCCAGTACTTCCGGGTTTTGGCGCGTCTGTAACCTGAAAAAATGCAACCTGAAGCATCTGTAACCTGAGGTATGACTGTATTGATTTACATTTCTAGGTCTCTCTTCTGCCCACAGGCATTCAAAGCAGCTACTGAAGTTGGAAGACAAATAGTTTTTTAATTAAAAACAACAACAGCAAGTTGATGGATCTCATGGATTCGAAGTTATTGTTATGAGTTTGGCGGGGGTGTCAGTCTGGACGATACCCTGGATCGCTTCCAATCCTGTATACAGTGGACACTCGGGTTGCGAACGTGATCCGTGTGGGATGCACATTTGCAACCGGCAGCAGCGCATCTGCACACGCATGGGTTGCGATTTGGCGCTTCTGTGCATGTGCAGAGCGTGATTTAGCGCTTCTGCGCATGCACGACCACCGAAACCCAGAAGTAATCCATTCCAGTACTTCCAGGTTTTGGAGCATCCATAACCCCAAAAAACGCAACCTGAAGCGTCTGTAACCCGAGGTATGACTGTATTGCGGTGGGTGGGGGAGGGGGGGAAATGTATAAGAGGAAGCCAGACCAACCAGTTATTTTGTCAAGGCCATGCCTTTGGTAGGCCAACTGAGACCTGCAATTCTACAGATCCAAAGAGGCTGCCCTGTTGCCATAGAGACGTGTGGGTGGTCCTTCTCCCACATCACCTGGCTGGATGCCACACCATCGTGGGATAGAGAGCAGGTGGCCAGAGGGGTGTGTACGAGTTTTGCTGATGACTTGGGGGCGGGGAGAGAGAGATGCCTCGCTCTGTGCAGGATTTGGGTCTCCAATTGGGGAAGCAAGATCTGCTGTTAATGCTGTGATCCTCTCTGCCCTACGCTCAGGTCAATAAAACCATACATGCTAAAAGAGACTACAGTCTCCGCTGCAGAAACACCTTTGCAGTCTTTCAGCACTCTGAGAGGGGACAGCACCTAACGAACCGCTCCAGGTGAGGCTGTGGCCAATGACAAAACCAGAGAGGTGGCCTGGTGAGGTTTCTGCTCTTTTTTGCAAGGCCAGTTCTCTTCCTTACTGTCTGTGTCTTCCTGCCCGGGGTTAGGGACCAAGCGGCAGTTGTCTGGTCCGGGGGGCCTGCGGTCAGGGATGCCGTCGTTGTCGTCGTCCTCGTCGCATTCGTCCCCGATCCCGTCCTGGTCAGAGTCCAGCTGGGAGCTGTTGGGCACCGAGGGGCAGTTGTCCCTGGAGTCCTGGTGGCCATCCCCATCCCTGTCGTGCAGAGAGAGAGGAAGGGAGGATTGCAAGTTTAGGGTGTGGGAACTGAGGCTTCAAGAGCAAGGGAACATTGGACCACATGAGAAGCTCAGAGTCACCACTTTGACCTGACGGCAAGCAATGACCCAGCAAAGGAGAAGATAGAAGAGGAATTGGCAGTGGCTAGGTCTCTTTCTAGGGATGCGGGTGGCGCTGTGGGTTAAACCACAGAGCCTAGGACTTGATGATCAGAAGGTCGGCGGTTCGAATCCCCGCAACAGGGGGAGCTCCCGTTGCTCAGTCTCTGCTCCTGCCAACCTAGCAGTTCGGAACCACGTCAAAGTGCAAGTAGATAAATAGGTACCACTCCGGCGGGAAGGTAAACGCCGTTTCCATGCACTGCTCTGGTTCGCCAGAAGCGGCTTAGTCATGCTGGCCACATGACCCGGAAGCTGAACGCCGGCTCCCTCGGCCAGTAAAGCAAGATGAGCGCCGCAACCCCAGAGTCGGCCACGACTGGACCTAATGGTCAGGGGTCCCTTTACCCTTTACCTAGGTCTCTTTCTATGTCTCCTTTTTAACAGGTCCCTCTAAAGTAAACCGATTCCCTCAGGATGAATGGACAAAATTCAACGATTATTTAGCTAAATTTGTTAAGTTAAACTAATTGGAAATAGCTTGCAGGCAACAGATTGGCTTAGGAATTTATATAAGTTAAGTGATGTTTAACATGTACAATTTCGAATTGAAAAGATATAAGGATGTGAATGGACTAAGTTAAGTATATAAGGATTAGGATTTGTAAAGCCGTTATAAGGATATGCATGGAAATTCAACCAAGCGGAAGCGAGGAAGTCACTTAACAATGTTAATAACTGTAATTTTAATAAAGGTTATGATTTATGTTTGCTTGTGTGTTTTGTTCGTTTATAATTTTGTGAAAATTAATTTTAAAAAATAATAATTTTATTTTAAAATAAATAAAAGTAAACCGATTCCCAGCTCTGAAATTCCTTGGCTGAGCTCTAGCCCTGACTCTGGACCCAGACTCCCAGGTTTCTTTCAAGGTGAATCTGGACCACACACTCCACAGGAGGCTGCCTGCTGTATCTCCGCATGAGCTAGTCTTGCCCTTCAACCATCCCCCGCCCTCCTGTCCTCCATCCATCCAATCTGCCAGGTTGGGTGCAATTGGATCTTAAGATGTAGTAGAACTAAGTGCCCTTGTAGGCGTCTGTCTGTCGCATCTCTGTATGACTGCCTGCTCTGGGTGCTCCGCCTGTCAGAAGAGGCCATTATTGCACAAATCCAGTGGCGTGTGCTACCCTGAGGGGAAATAATGATTCTCTCTCAGTTGCTCTTACCTTTGGGTGTCATGATAGGACTCAGGACTATGGCAGTTCAGCAAAACAACTCCTACAGGTGCTCCGTAGCTCCTACCCCCCCAACAGGTGAAACGAGACGAGCCATTTCTATAACTTACCGGTCTTGGTTGGTATCACACAGGTCCCCCACGAGATCGTGGTCAGTGTCTTTCTAAATAACAGGAAGCAACAGCTGCATTATTTGCTTAAAAGAAAATAAAAAAGTTTACAGGAGCAAAACAAGACTTTGAAATCCGTGACTCTTAATTTAGGGTTACCAGATGTCCCCAGTTCCCGGGGACAGTCCCCGGATTTGCAAATCTGTCCCTGGACAAATTCCGTCCCCGGAATGTCCCCAGATTTGCAAATCTGTCCCTGGGAAATGTGGCAGGGGCAGCCTCAGCAACAACACATCATATGGGGACTTCCGGCGAGGCAAAATGGCAGGTGCCACGGCAGCGAGCAGCTCCTGAAGCCAGCCAGAGTCAACTGCGCTACCAGGCTGGCTGTGGGCTGCTGACTGCTGCCGCCGCCGCCACTGCCAAAGGGGAACCGGGGACGTCCGGCGGTACAGATCTCCTGCCCCACTTCCCCCTTTGTTTTGACTGATCTGGGGAGGTTCAGGAGTCACGGCCGGCCGGCCGTTGCTCAGTTTTTTAAAAGCTTTGCGTATTTATGTTTCACAGGGCGCGAAAGAAGGGCTTTGCACCTTGCCTGGCAGAGAAACCATGCGCCTTGCGCCTCTCCTGGGCAACGGCCGCCCGCCCGCGACTCCCAAGCCTCCCCCGATCTGTCACAACAAAGGGGGCAGGAGATCAGGGAAGGCTCAGGAGTCATGGGTGGGCAGTGTGCTGTTGCCCAATTTTTTTAAAACTCTGCGCATTTATGTTTCACAGGGTGCGAAAGAAGGGCTTTGCACGTTTATACAATGTGCATGTGTGCTTGGGCCCAGGGTCTTTTGCCTCACCATCCCTACTACTGACTCCCTGTTGCTACTCAGCTTCAAAGAAAAGAAAAGAAAAAGTGTCCCTGGAGTCATTGAAAAAAATCTGGTAACCATATCTTAACTGCAGGGGGTGGGGAACCATGTCTACCTACAGCCCCTATTTCAAACCTTCTCTTGAAAGATCTAAGCCATACAGACATTCACCTTCAAGGCATCCTTCAATTTGCTCTCCCACCCTTGGGAAAAGACCCATTTGCACCACACGCCACCAACTCATTCCTTTCCCCAGGAAGTGCTTACCTGGTCCGGGTTGCTGATCAAGGGGCAGCTGTCGCAAACGTCTCCAACCCCGTCACCGTCGCTGTCCCTCTGGTCTGGATTGGGGATCTTCACGCAGTTGTCCAGGACATTTTTAACCTCTGAAGAAGCGGGAGGTAAAAAGAGTCATCAAGAGTGCGGCATCTTGCCTGGCCTGGAAAGCTGTAGGAGAGGTCTTCCCTCCTATGCAGGGAGGGGGCAAGGCAGGATTTCTCCTCCTGGAAGAGGCATCAGTGCTTATGCCAAAGTGAGGAAGAAGAGTTTGGATTTGATATCCCACTTTATCACTACCGGAAGGAGTCTCAAAGCGGCTAACATTCTCCTTTCCCTTCCTCCCCCACAACAAACACTCTGTGAGGTGAGTGGGGATGAGAGACTTCAAAGAAGTATGACCAGCGCAAGGTCACCCAGCAGCTGCAGGTGGAGGAGCGGGGAAGCAAACCCGGTTCACCAGATTACGAGTCCACTGCTCTTAACCACTACATCACACTGGCTCTCACAAAAATTGAATGCCCAATCCACAGTTCTTCTGGGAGCTTACATTTAAAATAAATAACATGTTTTTCAAAAAGCCTCCTGGCCAATTAGTTGTGTGTCTCTTTGTTGATTAATTCAGAAGGTGTGTGTTTTAATTGACTAAATGGTCCATCTTTCCACTCTAACGGAGATGAGCTTTCTCGGTCATGTCGTGGAATGACGACAGGACAGGTGTTGTCTGTGAGATGCCAGGTTGGAGCAGCTATGATTGTCTTCTCCTGACCATCCCTTTGCCTCAGGCCTGATCTGGCAGCTAGGCTCTTCTTACATTCTTGCAGAACCTCCAGTTCCAGAGCCAGTCTATCTCGATTTCTAGGCTCTGCGGGGTATTTGGCCACTGTGAGAAGAGGGTGGCCCGACCTAGGAGGCCTGCTCTTATGTTCATCACCATAATAATTTGTGACTATTATTGCTGTTAATCCACCCGCTCATCATCATCTATCCTGCTCTTCAGCCCCCTCTGTCTTTGAAATCGCTCAGGGGCCCCACAGGCACTCACTGTCTCCGTCCATGTCATCGTCGCACAAGTCCCCCCGGCCGTCTCCGTCACTGTCTCGCTGGTCGTTGTTCTTCACGTTCCGGCAGTTGTCACAGGCATCGCCAAAGCTGTCCTGGTCGCTGTTGCGCTGGTCTGAGTTGCGCACAAACACGCAGTTGTCCTGGGTGGGGAGAGGAGAGGAGGGGTGAGTCAGGGGAGGGGGCTGAAGAGATACGGGAGGGCGAGAGTTTGCCGCTGGACTGGAACCCTGAGCCTGTCTCTAATAATAATAATTATAATTTACAGTGGTACCTCAGGTTAAGTACTTAATTCGTTCTGGAGGTCCATTCTTAACTTGAAACTGTTCTTAACCTGAAACACCACTTTAGCTAATGGGGCTGCTGCTGTCGCACCACCGGAGCACAATTTCTGTTCTCATCCTGAAGCAAAGTTCTTAACCTGAAGCACTATTTCTGGGTTAGCGGAGTCTGTAACCTGAAGTGTCTGTAACCTGAAGCGTATGTAACCTGAGGTAAAGGTACCCCTGCCCGTACGGACCAGTCGTGTCCGACTCTAGGGTTGTGCGCCCATCTCACTTAAGAGTCCGGGGGCCAGCGCTGTCCGGAGACACTTCCGGGTCACGTGGCCAGCGTGACAAAGCTGCTCTGGCGAGCCAGCACCAGCACAGCACACGGAAACGCCGTTTACCTTCCCGCTATAAAGCGGTACCTATTTATCTACTTGCACTTTAGGGGTGCTTTTGAACTGCTAGGTGGGCAGGAGCTGGGACCGCAGACGGGAGCTCACCCCGCCGCGGGGATTCGAACCGCCGACCATGCGATCGGCAAGCCCTAGGCGCTGAGGATTTACCCACAGCGCCACCCGCGTCCCTCCTGTAACCTGAGGCACCACTGTATTATTATTTATACCCTGCCCATCTATCTGGGTCTCCCCAGCCACTCTGGGCAGCTTCCAACAAAGTATTAAAATACAGTGGTTTGTTAAACATTAAAAGCCTCCCTAAACAGGGCTGCCTTCAGATGTCGTCTAAAAGTCTGGTAGTTGTTCTCTTTGACATCTGGTGGGAGGGTGTTCCACAGGGTGGGCGCCACTACCGAGAAGGCCCTCTGCCTGGTTCCCTGTAACTTGGTTCTCACAGTGAGGGAACCACCAGAAGGCCCTCAGCGCTGGACCTCAGTGTCCGGGTAGAACGATGGGGGTGGAGACGCTCCTTCAGGTATACTGGACCGAGGCCGTTTAGGGCTTTCAAGGTCAGCACCAACACTTTGAATTGTGCTCGGAAACGTGCGTCTCTTGCATAGGCAGCATTCTCCTTCCTCTATCCTTCCTCCAAGCATTAATTTCAGAGGGTTTAGCCTGAGCAGAACTTCGCTGGAGGCAACCCAACAATCCAAGCTTCACAAAAAAGCACCATACATTTAAAGCACACCTCTCCCCCACCTAGTTTGCCCTTCACACAGCTACCCAGCAGCCTTCACCAACAACAGGGTTTCCGATTTTAACACGCATGTGCAATCGTGTTGCTTATTGGAAACTGCCCTCCCCGTTTTGCTCAACCAGGAAACAGCTTTCCTTGGTCCTGAAAGCAAAAAACAGAACAGCACTTGTCTACTTGACGTGCACCCAAGACAGGAGTTCAAACCTCGGTGTTTATTATCCCATCGCCGTCAGCGTCGTCATCGCAGGCGTCTCCTATTCCATCTCTGTCCGCATCCTCTTGCCCGGAGTTGGGGACAGTCACACAGTTATCCTGGAAAGGGAGACAACGGTTAGGCTCTTAAGGTGTTTGCGTGTGTGCCGTACGGGGAGCTGCCGGCCAGGACCTTTTGCATGAAAAGCAGGCCTTACATCCTTTCCCTTTCTTTGACCAACAAGGTGATGTTCCTCTTGTGTTTTTCCTCCGTTTCATAGTTAACTTGTGACTTTATCTTTTTTAAAAAAAAATAATAACCACAGCAACCCAGTTTGAGTTGTTTGGCCAAAGTCACCACATGGACTTCTCTTAACTTGGAATCCAACACATTCATTCTCATTCATATATATATATAAAACAATTTAAAGTACTCATTTTTACATCCTTAAGATATCAGTGACTTCCCCTCTTCTCTTTCCACGTTCATTTTACATATCATAAATCCCTGAATATTTTACAAAAGCTATAGCATTCAGTATTCCATTATTACACCCATCAAAAACTTATTTACACTGTTGAATTTATCTTAATGCTGCCAGCGTTTTCAGCTGTACACAAACGTTTTCCAGTCTTCTCTAAACCTATGTTCTTCTTGTTCTCTTTTTCTATATGTTAAGTCTGCAAGCTGTGCGCATTCCGTCAGTTTAAGTTGCCATTCTTCTTTGGTTGGGACCTCACTCATTTTCCATTTTTGGGCTAACGAAACACGGGTCGCAGTAGTGGCAGACATAAATAACCATTTCTGACACCTGGGAATTTCAGTCTGAATAATCCCCAACAGAAAGGACTCTGGGGGATTTTTTTTGGGGGGAAGCACTTTTAAACATTTTTTTCAATTCATTATGGATCATTTCCCAATACTCCTTTACCCTTTTACAAGAGTAAAAGGAATGGAACTCTTAAGTCTGCCTAAGCTGTGCTCATACAAGGAGAGGCAAAGTCGAGGGTGGAGAGGGCCTTGGGCGCTGAGCGTCTCTTCTTACCTTGCGGCACTTCTTGTCTGTACAGCGAAGCTTCTCATCAGGAAAGCCATCAATGTCAGTATCTTTGCCGCAGATGAAGCCATTACCGGCCCACCCAACGATGCACTGGAAGCAGACGGGGTACAATATTAACCAAGGAAGGCAGACCTGTTAACACTGGTTCCTCACTTTTCTAGTCTTCACCACACTTCTGCACATGTTTATTATTACTATTATTATTATTATTTAATTTATTTAATCATTTTTTCAATACAAACAACAAACGCAAAAGACACATACAACAAAAACCATTATAACACTAATAACATTAACAATTCAGATTTGAAGACTGATATGCCTATGGCTACACCTTTTTAACAATATTTCGCCACCTCTCTCTCCTCCCTCTACTTCCCACCACTGTCCACCTTATTGCTTAAATATTCCTTCCAGATTTCTTCATATTTATCCATTCTTAATTTGCGTCGACATGCAAGTCATTCGTATGTAGCTAGTCTGTCCATATCATCAATCCATGTGCTCAATGGAATCTTTTTGCGGCTCTTCCAATTCATGCGGTTATTATTATTATTTTAAAAACTTGTTTTCCAGTGAAGTCGCCGTGCATCCTTTAACTTTGCCTTATGCAATTTTTTTTTTTTTTTGCAAGCAATTTCTAGAAACAGTGCGGTTTTGAATCAACATGATGCATTTTCACGCACAGCAACAAGAACAAAAAGGTTCAGTGCTGAAGGGGCCTGCACAAAGGTCTCCCCTTAAATCAACGCAGATTAAGGTGTGAGCGAAGGGAGGGTATTAATTTCTGGAGGTGCACATGTCCGGCCACTAGGGGGCAACAGAGACTAAACAAAACAAAGGCTTTGAGCTGTAGAAAACTTTGCTGTTCTAATTGCAAAAAATGACCCATACATTCTGAATCTTAAAGCATCAGTTTTAGAAGAGGCGTATTTTGTTGTTCTTTTGCATCAGCCCCCCCACCCCCGGATTTCGTGAGGGAAAGATTTAGAAATGGATTTGAATGGAGTCTTCGCTTTTCTGCTTATTCTGGACGTGCAGAAACCTGAAATTCACATTTCTAAGGGTGAGCCGGGGGAGAAAAACACACCAGCCAGCTCAAACTCCTCTAGTCTGCAGAACTTTGCAGCTTCCCTGTTCGCTAGATCTGGAGATACTTAGGGAGAGACGTGAGGAAGAGGAGGAGGAGGAGCCCAAAGGAGGCTTTGAACTCACCACGCAGCTGAGTGTTCCATCGCGTTCCACAATGCAGTCCGCTTTCTCATGGCACGGGCTGAGATCTCCGTTGGGACACCTTCTCTCCATCTTGCTGCGGCAGCCGGAAACCTGGTCCCCTGTGAAGCCAGGCTTGCACGCCCCACACTTGTAGGAGCCCTGCAGGGAGAAGAAATGGGGTGGTTTGCAGTGGGGCATTTGCAGGGATGGCCCAGCAGCCGAAAGGATGGGTGCGTGAAATCTGCCCTGCTGTTTCGTGGTGCTTTTCTCTTTCCCTTCCACCGATCTTGGGACAGCCTTGCTTTTGGGAAACACAGGCCTTTGTGTACCGTTGTTGTAATAAAAAATCTGCCCTTTTTTCCCCTTATGGGGTATCCAAGAGCCCATATAGAGTCCTTACGTAGGTTCCCTACTGGTAGGAGAGAATAACAGAGACCAACCAGAGAATATTGAGAAGCAAAGCAGCTAGGAAGCCTGGTCTTTATTGATCTGTTGCAACAGGGTGCTCCCTGCACACACAGGAAAGAAGGAGGGACCTAGAACAAAGGTGTGCCTACCTTTATATAGACATTTTAAATTCTCTGCCCTGGAGCTCAAGACCACCCCTCCGTACATCATATATACATCACAGAAGGGGTGTAACCCCAGACCATCCCCTCAGATACATCATACCTACATCACAGAAAAGGCGGTCTACAGCAGAAATCTGAGTGCGTTGTTTATCTCCTCTGACAGGTTACCTGTTTAATGGTCACTTGATTGGATTGCCTGGGGAGCCTGGCCCAGTCTTTTGCAATGATAAATACTTAGTTCCTGAGCCAGGTCACAGGCTCACACCATATTCATAGCTTAAATGTGCCCTTAAGACAGGATTTGTGAAGGAAAAGACAATGGGGAGGCCTTTCCATTTTCCTTTGACCTTGCAGAGAAAACATTTGGTCAGTTTGGGAATCAAAAATGGTTTCAGGTTGGTTTTCCTGTGCGGATCTATGTACGTGCTTGGTTGGTACACTTATGAACATTTAACATATATCTAAGACCTCAAAATTCCTATCACACTGTGTGATTCGTCTTGCTTTCAACGGGATTCTCAGGGTGCAAATGCAGGTCTCTTTGCTTTGCTTTTGGTGGTCTGAGCACCCCAAGGTGGGTGCCATTTGCACCTCTAAAGATGAACAAGCAACTGTTGATGCATCTGGCTGTTACCTGGTGTTATGTACTGGGCCAGCAGGGGTTACTGTAGATAGTTATGCAAATGAAGGATCGAAAGTGGCGTTCAGTGATTGGATAGTTTTAGAAAATGGCAACAGTTACATTGTTCTGGAGCTCTATATAAGCAGGCTGACTGAGCTCCTCAGATCAGTTCTGTTCCAGCTTACAAATAAAGAGCTGCTTGGAAGAATCGCTGTGTCGTCTGATATGTTCGCCCACAACTTAACACCTGGCATAATTTAAATGGATAGACAGAGCCAGGCGAGAGGCTCTCTCGGGATAATTGTCTGCAGCGAAACTAAAATACATTAGTCAGGAATCTAACATCTTGAGCTGCTTCTGCTTTTGTTGAAAGGAGGGGTGGCGGTTGCCTTTTGCGGTGGGACAGAAGGGAGGTCTGGTCTGAGGCAACTGCCAATAATTACCCGAGTGTTGATGCAGATGGAATTGGGGACACAGGATCTGCTCATCCCTGTCTCACACTCGTTGACATCATTGCAGACCTGCGCAGGAAAGAACAGAGAGGGGAGATTGGTGCCTGTTTACCTGGCAGCAAAAACCAGCGGAGTGTCCTGTTGTGGCAACTTTAAGGCCCAACACGTTTATTATGTCATAAGCTTCTGGGACGGGGCCTGAGTTTCTGCAGTAATAAATCTGTTTGTCCTCAGAGGTGCCGCAAGACCTTTTTGCTGTTTCAAAGGCATTATTGGGTGGTCAAGTATTTGGGAGGATCAATAGCCCCACGACGAAACACAGACTTGGCCTGCAATAAGCAACTCCTTCCTTGCATCTCTGCATGTGTGACCGCAATAGGTAAAGTCTGCTCTCTAAGGGAGATTCGCCAGCTTAAGCGCTGCTCACTCCGCACACCAAAAGGGCTTCAGTAAGTAATTGGACCAAGTGCAGGGTGAAGATACTGGGTGAAGATGGCCCAGTGGTATGCTTGCATCTGAGCGGCCTTTTATAGAGGCACTGTCAGGACTATGACCCAGAGACAGGACCCTTCCAGCCTGCTGGTATCCATTTATTCACCCCGGAACCAAAACCAACCTGGCAAATACTGTATGGTATTTGCTGTTGTTTTCTGCTGTCAGTTCACAAATGATTCGTAACGATTACATACACCCATCTCCATTCTCATTGAAATGAATGGGGTTGGAATAATGCAATGGCAAATTGAATTTTTTTAAAAATTGAATTGAAATTGAAATACCGGTACTTTATTGTCACTTGTACAACTTGTATACAGTGAGATTACACGAGCACCCGCCACTCAGCTCTCTTAGTCTTCATTCCCCTCGTTTACTGACGCACACCCACCAAACCCCAAAGTCAGTTGCCCTGTTGTGATCTTTTCATTCAGCAGCCTAACAGCCCACGGGCAGAAGCTGTTCTTTACCCTGTTGGTGCGACTAATCATGCTTCTATATCTTCTGCCTGAGGGCAGAAGATCAAGAAAGTGCCGGTTCTTCTGCTATTTCATCCAACGGATTCACGGGACAGCCCATAATATCTTGTGCTGTATTTGCCACCCTCTGTAGGCACTTCCTATCAGTTGATGTCAAACCAGCGTCCCACACCGTGATGCAGTAGGAAAGGACACTTTCTATTGTGGACCAGTAGAAGGAGATCATCAAATGTTGATTGACATCCTTCTTTCGCAATACTCTGAGGAGATGGAGCCTCTGTTGGGCTTTCTTAACCACCTGGGTTGTATTTATTTTCCAAGTAAGGTCTTCACTGAGATAAACTCCTAGGAATTTAAAGGAAGAGACTCTCTCCACACAGCCCTCCCCGACGTACAGCGGGGCTAGTTCTCCTCTCTTCCTCTGAAATTCCAACACCATCTCCTTTGTCTTGCTGATATTAATGTGCAAGTTGTTCCCTAGGCACCATGAAGATATTTTTTGGACCTCCCCTCTATACGCTGATTCGTCTCCACCTGTTATTAAACCCATTATGGTTTAATTTACAAAATGGATTGTAGGCTACATAATTTCACCAGAGAAGACAAGAGAGGCGGATGACATGGCCTTGGGCGGGAGACGAACCGCAGCAGAAGAGAAACAGGATGTTGGGCGGAACAGCAGGCGATGCCTTCTTCCATCCCTGTTCCTATCAGCCCTCCTATGTGCAGGCCTTGGGAGCATAAACAGGCTGCCTGGCCCCTGACTTCAAGGAATGGCAAAGAAATGGAAAACTGGGAAGAACCCTGCTCCACCCCCTTCTCTTTCCGCAGCTGTGCTCACCCCCCCCATCAGAGGGCAGAAGATCCTACTCTCTGAGGAGTTACCTGCTTGTTTGCCCTGGCGAAAGCCAGACCGACTCCTTCCAGTATGGGGCCGGTGTAGCCAGTAGGGCAGGGGTTGCAGTGGAAGCCGGGGGCTGTGTTGACGCACTGGACTCTGGGGAAGCAGGGGTTCGCTGCACACTGCAATGAGAAAAGGTTTCGCTTATTTGTGCATGATTAGAGCATCGCTAAAGGACACAGGTGGCGCTGTGGGTTAAACCATAGAGCCTAGGACTTGCGAATCAGAAGGTTGGCGGTTCGAATCCCCATGACGGGCTGAGCTCCCGTTGCTCGGTCCCTGCTCCTGCCAACCTAGCAGTTCGAAAGCACGTCAAAGTGCAAGTAGATAAATAGGTACGGCTCCAGCGGGAAGGTAAACGGCGTTTCCGTGTGCTGCTCTGGTTCGCCAGAAGCGGCTTAGTCATGCTGGCCACATGACCCGGAAGCTGTACGCCGGCTCCCTCGGCCAATAAAGCGAGATGAGCGCTGCAACCCCAGAGTCGGCCATGACTGGATCTAATCAGGGGTCCCTTAACCTTTATAGCATCGCTATAACAGTGGCTTACAAACGGGTGTGTGTGTGTTTGCGGTTCTGGTAACACCATTTGGGACACTGGCTTGCATTCCCTCCTTTGCACCACTACCCCCTCCCATGGCAATCTCCTTGGATCGGGTCCTTCCCCCACCGTCACATTCTTAGTTGGAGCAAGGTGAAAATGAGGCCAGTGAACTTGTCCAACATGCCTCCCCCATTGTGTGAATCATGAATACCTCCCATAATTCTATGGGGTTCTGGAACACCGGCCTTCACACAGAAAATAGACAATTTGGTATGGGGGGTGGGGGTGGGAGCCAATCCTTTTGCTCTGCGAAGAACTGTGTGTGTTTGTGGGGCAGGGGAACCCAAGCCAATCTTAGTGCTTGCCCTCCACTCCCAAGCCAGCTGAGGAAAAAAGATTCAGAAGAGATCTATGGGGTGGTGGACCTGCCCCAAAGTGAAAGACTTCTGGGAAAAGATTTATAATGAATCGAAAAAAATGTTGAAATATACATTTATTAAGAAACCAGAAGCCTTTCTACTTGGAATAATAGGTTTGGAATTGCCTTTACGTTAATGTTAAAATGAGAAGAAAGAAAGATGTAAATTGACTAAGTAAATTTTATGGGAAAATAGTTTTGGAAAACTGTTACAGTGGAGTATAGGGAAACTCAGCTAGGGGGATTCGAGGAAGTCATTCAACAATGTTAACAAAAGTGGAATATAGCAAGGATAAATGTTTGCCTATTTGTTTGTTTTTGATGTTTTTTGTATGTTATAAATTGGAAAACCAGGGAAAAAAAATTTGAAAAACAAAAACAAAAACAGAAGAGATCTATGGCTTTCTCCTGCCTCCCATCTTTTACGCAGAAGGAAAGGCGGAACCTCCTGACCTCGTCGATGTCGGTGCAGTGGGTCCCGTTGCCCGTGTAGCCCAGAGGACAGGCCCCACAGCGGTAGCCGGTGGGGGTGTCTGTGCATGTGACGCCGGGGAAGCAAGGATTCGGGTAGCAGCGATTAAGAGCCGCCACGCTGATGCCGGGGCCAGTTGCTCCTGTACCAATCCCTGGAAGACAAGGAAACAAAGGAGTTGGGCTGCCCCCACTGGAGGCTGGTCTGTTAGGGGCGAATGGGGCACTGCCCCAGCAACCACAGTCATCTCCCTCCTGTCTGCCCTCTCCCTCACAGCCAGCTGGCCACCATATTCCTCTTCCTTCCTCTCAAGCCACGTTAACACCATACATTTAAAGCATTATGGCGCCCCTTGAAACAGCCATGGCCTGAAGCGAGATGAGTGCCGCAACCCCATAAACCCCTTTGACTGGACTTAACCATCCAGGGAACCTTTATCTAACCACTGAGCCTAGGGCTTGCCGATCAGAAGGTCGGTGGTTCGAATCCCCACGACGGGGTGAGCTCCCGTTGCTCGGTCCCTGCTCCTGCCCACCTAGCAGTTTGAAAGTATGCCAGTGCAAGTAGGTAAATAGGTACCACTCTTGCAGGAAGGTAAACGGCGTTTCTGTGCGCTGCTCTGGTTCGCCAGAAGCGGCTTAAGCATGCTGGCCACATGACCCAGAAAAACTGTCTGCGGACAAACGTTGGCTCCCTTGGCCTGTAAAGCGAGATGAGCGCCGCATCCCCAGAGTCGGCCACGACTGGAACTAACGGTCAGGGGTCCCTTTACCCGTGTGGTGCTGATAATCCCAAGGTTGCAGGTTCGATCCCCACATGGGGCAGCTGCACATTATTTCTGCCTTGCAGGGGATTGGACGAGATGATGCTCAGAGCTGCTATGTGCTGGAGCAGGACTAGCAGCTGCCATTAGTGGGTTGCCAGGGAGCAAGGGAGAGGGAGAAAGGCCAGGCTGGTTGTCCTTCAGCTGCAGCCAGGCAGAAATTGCAGTGCACACCCAGCCATGCGCTATTAGGCGATTAGGGGCCACGCCTTGGGTGGTGCGCTCAGGCGGCAGCGCTCTGGCCCCTTACGGCTGGCTGGTTGCACCTGGTAGCTGAGATGAAATCTGGTTGCAATAAGGACCTTATGGTCCTCTCCCTCTTTTGCAGGAGGGGACGCCTGGGGGCCAGGATGCCTCTGGGCATGCACAAAGCGCCATTCACTCCAATTGCTAGCTTTTAAGGAATGCATCTCATTTTAAACTCTTCCAAGAAATGGGTCTGTATGGAGATACCTTTGACACAGACTTACCACAAGCATCGCACTCCATCACGGTGTTCTTCAAGAAGGTGAGCTCCTTGATCTGCAAAACAATGGTGAAAATAAACACCAGTTTACAGCCCCTTCCTTGGTGACTGGGGGTGGGGGGGGTGGGAGGGGAGGGAAGCTCAGTTTCCGACCCAAAGGCCAAGTATACAAAAGCAGAGCCGAGCTGAAATGTCCCAGGCGACATGCTTCTGAGAAAAATTATTTCTGAGGTTTTTCTTCTTCTGAACCTCCTGGAACAAAAGAAAGCCCTTAGCAAAAGTTGCTCTCAATATTGTTCTGTCCCAACCTTGTGGGGTGGTTGTTGCTTTTGATGATGATGATGATGATGATGATAATAATAATAATAATAATAATAATAATATTTATAGCCCGCCCTTCCCGGTTCAGAAACCAGGCTCAGGGCAGCTAACAACAAATTTAAAACATTTAATTGATGCAACAAAAACAGCATAAAATACAGTATAAAACGTGAATAACAATAAATTCAGAATTCAAAAATTAATTTAGTGGGAAGATCCATCCAATAAACGTTAGAGGATCACCAGGGCTAGCTGGCTAAGTTAGTCCTATTTTATAAAAGCTTTTATTAACTTTTTGAAAGAAACAAAAAATATAGTCCACAGAAGTAACAAAATGCAACATGATGGTTGTTTCATCAATATTGGAAACAGTCCTGATGAAATCCAGACATGCAGTATGGTGGATCCTAACACTTTAGGTGGGCAACCCGGCCAGATGGGTTGTAGTAAAATTGAATTTAAACTTCACACTAATAAGTCTCTCCGAAGATTTCCATCCGTTTCTCCAAGTGTGTGTTGTGTTTCTAATAGGGACGTGGCTGGAGCTGTGGTCTAAACCACTGAGCCTCTTGGGCTTGCTGATCAGTAGGTCAGTGGTTCGAATCCCCGTGACGGGGTGAGCTCCCGTTGCTCTGTCCCAGCTCCTGCCAACCTGGCAGTTCAAAAGCACACTGGTGCAAGTAGATAAATAGGTACCACTGTGGCGGGAAGGTAAACAGCATTTCCTGGCTTCCATCACGGTGTCCCGTTGTGCCAGGAGTGCTTTAATCATGCTGGCCACATGACCCGGAAAACTGTCTGTGGACAAATGCCGGCATCCTTGGCCTGAAGGCGAGATGAGTGCCTTTGACTGGACTTCACCGTCCAGGGGTCCTTTACCTTTCTGCCTTTACTTGTCATGTACCACCCCTGGTTTCTGGGATGGATCCAACTAAATATCCAGACCATACATTTAAAGCAGTTTTATACCACTTTAAACTGTCATGGCTTCCCTCCCAAAGAATCCTGGGAGCTGTAGTTTGTTGCTGAGAATGGCCCCATTTCCTTTACAGTTATAATTCCCAGAATTCCTTGGGAAGAGCAACTGACTGTTGCGTTCAGCATTGACTGGTGATTCCTATGTGGAATAATAATAATACAGTGATACCTCAGAATACCTAACAGGATATCTAATCCTGTTTAGAATCCGCCACCCCAATTTCCCCCCTCTTTCTGGCCTTGCTGTCTTTAGTTGCAGACTATATTGATGAGGCCAGAACATAATTTTTGGAGGGGAGGGGGCTGCCATTTTTCTCCCATGATGCCCTGGGATGATGCTAGAATGCTGCAGCTAGATTGGTGACTGGGAGCAGCCGCTGAGACCATATAACACCAGTCCTGAAAGACCTGCATTGGCTCCCAGTACGTTTCCAAGCACAATTCAGAGTGTTGGTGCTGACCTTGAAAGCCCTAAATCAGGCTTCCTCAACCTTGGCCCTCCAGATGTTTTGAGACTACAATTCCCAGCATCCCTGACCACTGGTCCTGCTAGCTAGGGATCATGGGAGTTGTAGGCCAGAAATATCTGGAGGGCCGAGGCTGAGGAAGCTTGCCCTAAATGGCCTCGGCCCAGTATACCTGAAGGAGCGTTTCCACCCCCATTGTTCAGCCCAGACCCTGAGGTCCAGCTCCCAGGGCCTTCTGGCAGTTCCCTCGCTGTGAGGGCCTTTTTGGTAGTGGCACCTACCCTGTGGGACACCCTCCCATCATAAGGAACTATAGAGATAAAAACTGTTAATGTTTTTCATTATATCTTACTGTGTTTTAATTTGTTGGAAGCTGCCCAGAGTGGCTGGTGCAACCTGATAATAATAATAATAATAATAATAATAATAATAATAATAATAATTATTTGCTGGCACCAGCTGAAGATGTGCCTTTTTGCAGAGCCATAGCTACAGGGGAGGGGACACGGGTGGCACCATAGAGCCTAGGACTTGCCAATCAGAAGGTTGGCGGTTCGAATCCCCAAGACGGGGTGAGCTCCCATTGCTCAGTCCCTGCTCCTGCCAACCTAGAAGTTCGAAAGCACCTCAAAGTGCAAGTAGATAAATAGGTACCAGTCCAGCGGGAAGGTAAATGGCGTTTCCGTGCGCTGCTCTGGTTCGCCAGAAGTGGCTTAGTCCTGCTGGGCACATGACCCGGAAGCTGTACGCCGGCTCCCTTGGCCAATAAAGCGAAATGAGCGCCACAACCCCAGAGTCGGTCATGACTGGACCTAATGGTCAGGGGTCCCTTTACCTTTACCTTTAGCTACAGGGGCAGGGGCCAGTTGTTGGTTTTTTTTGCACCGGGTGAGACCTCCAGAGGGGTGCCATAGAGGCTCCCAACCTGCTTGTGTGTGTGTACACAAATGTGCATGGGGTGTGTGTGTGCCAATCTGGGTCTTTGACCCGGGTGAAATAAAGCCTAGTTTCGCCCCTGCTTTTTGCCCAGGGTGGAGGTAACGAGGCCAAATGCCAATTAATGTATCGCCTAGTGTGTGCCGTTTTGAGTTCCCTAGGGGCGTTCCTGAGAAAAACGAGGGACTATCTGTTAAAACTGGCTTGGTAGATAAAGTCTGGACCCCGTTCCCATCTGGATTTGGCCTTGAAGGCAGGAAGAACTACCCCAGCCGGGGAACAGCAGAAGGTCTACTTGAGGTAATCACCTCATCCGGCAGAAAGCTGGAGGGTCACCGTTTGCTTTCCAGCTCGCAATTAAACTGTTGCCAACGTGTTGCGGTTTTTTAAGAAGCTTTAATCTAACCCAGACCTTCCTGTAAACCTGGGCAGTGCAGGCCTAAAGGGACCCGTGGTGGTTTTAGCTTCCACTGCCAGATTTTTTATTTATTTTAATTTCTTTCTGCGTTTTGTGGGTGGATGGTTTGTATATTTCAGGAGAAACTGACAAACACCACCCAACCTCAAAGTGACAAGGGCATGCGTGACCTTATTTTGGAGATGTGCCCCCTTTTGAAAACGTATATTTCGAAAGGGCAGAGGCTGAAGATGGATGGGTGTGCAGTTAGAAGAGAGCAGCGCAAGAGCTTGTGAAAAGTTCCTTTTCTTTTTTCCAGAAATGGCAGAGCAAAGGAATAACCTTGTGAAGTGAAAGGATAAGAAACTCTGTCTTGCCAGAGTGGTGCATGCTCTAGTTATCTCCCGCTTGGACTACTGCCATGCGCTCTACGTGGGGCTACCTTTGAAGGTGACTCGGAAACTACAACTAATCCAGAATGCGGCAGCTAGACTGGGAGCGGCCGCTGGGACCACATAACACCGGTCCTGAGAGATCTACATTGGCTGTGTTGGTGCTGACCTTGACAGCCCTAAACGGCCCAGTATCCCTGAAGGAGCGTCTCCACCCCCATTGCTCAGCCCGGACAACTGGGTCCATCTCCTGAGGGCCTTCTGGCGGTTCCCTCACTGCGAGAAACCAAGGTACAGGGAACCAGACAGAGGGCCTTCTTGGTAGTGGCGCCCGCCCTGTGGAACAACCTCCCACCAGATGTAAAGGAAATAAGCAGCTATCTTCTTTTTAAAAGACATCTGAAGGCAGCCCTGTTTAGGGAAGTTTTTAATGTTTAATGCAGTGTTGTTTTTAACACTTGGTTGGAAGCTGCCCAGAGTGGCTGGGGAAACTCAGCCAGATGGGCGGGGTATAAATAAATAATAATAATAATAATAATAATAATAATAATAATAATGTATATCTAGATGCTAGGATAGAGAGGATAAGGAAAACAGGAAGACACAATGAGAGGTAAAGGAGGTGCTGTGGGATTGGTGGAAGTCAATGTTTCTTTTTGTTTTTAATGTTTATATTGTTAACTTGTAAGATATGGATTTGTGGTTTTGTGTTTTTTTGTATGCTGGTTTTCGTGTTTTGTGTATTGCTATTTTACGATATTTTTCGTGCTGTTGTTGTTGTGTGGAAAATACTAATAAAATTTATTATTAAAAAAAGAAAAGAAATGGCAAAACAGAAGGAGCAAGGGAACTGCTTTGTGATATCAAACTAGACCCAACAGTGAGCAACCATGATGCCCCCCACCCAACAGCACAATAAAGAAAACTACCCCCTGTAATATGCTTCTAGTTGAAGGTAGGCTGCTCTTGATGGTGGAGGCTCGACTGACAGCGACAAAGTGCCAAATTAATTGTTAGTGCTGGGTCCATAAGTTGCCATAAGCCCCTCGTCTTCCTCAAGTGTAGTGGATTTTTGGAGAGGGTTGGTCTGAGTTTAATGGGTATGATATTAATGAATGTGATGGGCGGGAATAAATTAAGATGACTTTATGTAGAAATGATTTCTTGGGGAGGATGAGCGCATGTGATTGAAGGGGAATTGAACTGATCTGAAGCAAGGAGGGTTGGGAAATTAATTTGGGGGGGGGGTGTCTTTGTGTAAATGAAAAGAAGAACGAACTGGGTGTGGGTAGCAAATGCATTGAATAATTCACCTGGGCTGATGTGGGTGGGGGATTATTCTGGTCTGCTCTTCTGTAACACTGAAAATCCAAATTTTAACTCCAGGCAATAGAAACTGCTAAGTTTATGGTCCAATTGGACCAAAAATTATTAAAAGAACGGGGATGTGCTAAAGAGTATATAAAAAAACCATTGCTCTAGAGTAAGTAAATCGGTATGTAATGAATGAAGCTTTGCAGGGTTAAAGAAAGAGAAAAATGGTGCAAAAAGTATAAAGATAGAGGTCATCTACATTAGACAAAACAAAGAGAAAAAATTTCGAAGTCTTAGAACAAAGGAAGGATGTCAATATGTGTATACGTACGTAACGATTAGAAGGATGATATGGTTTTATTTGTAGATGTGTGTTTTTGGTTTTTGTTGTTTTTTCTCATTTTTTTTCTTGTTTGTACTGCTTTATTTTGGATTTAATGTTTGTAATTTTTGTTATGATTTTGCATTGAAAATAAATAAATAAAAAAAGAAACGGCTAAGTTTATGCAGACCTCATTGTCCTCGTAAACCTCAAATCTTTTAAGTGCCTAGCCATACGACCAGACAGCCCACACCTCGTTGTTCCTCCCCAGAAGCTGCTATGTGCAGAGGTAGCCTGCCTCTGACCTTGGAAGCTCTACCTAGCCACTGACGCAAGCAGTGGCCGAAAGACTTTGCCCATGTTGATTCCCTCCCACAAAGCCTTAAGAATGTAAGCAGATCGGGCCAAACAGGGACCCCAAAGTCCAGCATACTGTTCTTGCAGTGGCCAGTGTTTCCTGGGATAGGTACTCAAAAACATTGCTGCCTTCTACTGCGCATATAGCCAATGTGGCTGGTAGCCACTGTGATAATAATAATAATAATAATAATAATAATAATAATAATATTTATACCCCGCCCTTCCCGCTTCAAAAACCGGGCTCAGGGCAGCTAACAACAAATTTAAAACGCTTAATTATAAAAGCAGCATAAAATACAGTATAAAAACATGAATAACAATAAAATTCAAAAATCAGTTTTGGGGAAATAAGCATTAGATAATCCCCAGGACTAGCTGGCTGAATTGGTCCTACTTGGGCCAGCGAGGAGGCCAGGGGAGAATTAGCTGTGGGGTCTCAGAGCGGGTAATCTTCATAAAAGGGGTGGGAAAGGAAGGGAAGGGAAATAAAAGGTCAGGCTGAATTCAAATTAAAGCCTTTTCCTCCATGAATAGAGAATAGGGGGTCAGTGATGGGGAGAGGGTCAATGCTTTCTGTTCCCCCAGTGGGCAACCGGACGCCATTATGAGAAGCCTGCAAGCAGGACCTGAGTTCAAGAGCTCTCTCCTTCATAAAAGGGTTTTCTGTCTTTTTGAAAAGACAGGCCCCTGATGGACGGGACTGCTAGGTCCATCTGGCCCCCGGCGAGAGGCTTGCGAGCGGAGGCGTCCCAGCTGCCTGGGGAAGCTCTGACTTCATCTCGGCAAGGACGGCCGGAGAGGAACGCACGGCGGCGACTCCCCCCGGAGGCCCCCCGGCTCCTCAAGAGTTTGTCCTGGCACAGAGAGGGCCAGTCTGCTTTTCCAGTTTGCTGGCAGGGAGAGGCGGCCAGGGAGCCGGGGGTGGAAGGGAAAGCGCGTCTGGAATGTGGAGTTACACAAGAGAGAGGCAGCTGGACAAAGCAGACTTTGGATGGCCAAGGGCGGAAGACCCCCAGACGATGTTTCGCCCTCAGAACATCGGGGCAGCCATCTTGCTGCCTGCCCTCCAACATTTCTCCAGTGGGAACAGGGGTGTCCTAAGGAAAAGCGGGACGTTCTGGGATCAAATCATAAACCGGGACGGCTTCTGTAAATCCAGGACTGTCCCTGGGAAATAGGGGTGTGATAGGAATTTTGAGGTCTTAAAGGTAAAGGGACCCCTGACCATTAGGTCCAGTCGCGGACGACTCTGGGGTTGTGGCGCTCATCTCGCTTTACTGGCCAAGGGAGCCAGCATACAGCTTCTGGGTCATGTGGCCAGCATGACTAAGCCGCTTCTGGCGAACCAGAGCAGCGCACAGAAACGCCGTTTACCTTCCCACTGGAGCAGTACCTATTTATCTACTTGCACTTTGAGGTGCTTTCGAACTGCTAGGTGGGCAGGAGCAGGGACTGAGCAACAGGAGCTCACTCCGTCGCGGGGATTCAAACCGCCGACCTTCTGATCAGCAAGTCCTAGGCTCTGTGGTTTAACCCACAGCGCCACCCACATCTTAGATATATGTTAAATGTTCATAAGTGTACCAACCAAGCACGTATATAGATCAGCACAGGAAGACCGACCTGAGACCATTTTGATTCCCAAACTGATCAAATGTTTTCCCTGCAATGAAGGGAGCGGGTCAGGAAACCTCCCCATTGTCTCTTTCCTCACAAATCCTGTCTTAAGGGCACATTTAAGATATGATAGGGTGTGAGCCTGTGACCTGGCTCAGGAACTAAGTATTTATCATTACAAAAGACTGGCCAGGCTCCCCAGGGTATCCAATCAAGTGAGCATTAACAGGTAACCTGTCAGACAGGAGATAAACAACGCGCTCAGATTTCTGTTGTAGACCGCCTTTTCTATGATGTAGGTATGATGTATCTGGGGTGGTGGTCTTGGGTTACACCCCTTCTGTGATGTATGTATGATGTATGGAGGGGTGGTCTGGAGCTCCAGGGCAGGGAATTTAAATTGTCTATATAAGGCCTTGTGCGCCATTGTTCTGGGTTCCTCCTCCTTCTCCTTCGTGTGAGGGGAGCACCCTGTTGCAACAGATCAATAAAGATCAAGCTTACTTGCTGCTTTGCTTCCCAATATTCTCTGGTTGGCCTGTTATTTTCTCCTACCAATAGGGAACCTATGTAAGGACTCTATATGGGCTCTTGGATACCCCATAAGGGAAAAGGGCAGATTTTGTTTACAACAAGGGCACTTGGAGGGCCTAGGATGCTGGGAAAAAACACCCTCTGGGAAGCCAATGTGCTTCTCCTCTGCTATGTGGCATAGAGAGTCTGTTATGCTGACATTCCCACTAATACCAAATGCGGGTGTCCAGTGCCAAGAGGGGCTGGAGCCCAAAGAAGGACCGTTGAGAAAGTGGGGCTTGAATCTCACTTGTGGGTTTTCTGCAATGGGCATCTGATGATCAGAGACCTATCCTTCCTTCTCCCCCTAGAGATTTATTTGCTCCTAACTGGAGAGGCAGGACATAAGCAGAGATCTGTTGGGTGGGCCAGAGGGAAATTCCACCCGGCATTTTGTTTCCGCTGGGTGTGCAGCAAGGCACCTCTGGGGACAAGTAGACAAGTAAGGCAAAGTAAGGCAAAAGCACCTCCTCCCAAACTTGCCGCTGCCCTGTGGTCTGTCCCAATAATCTAGTCCTGGGGGTGGATAAATTAATTGGTCTAAATAAGGGGTGGGGAACTGTGGTGCACCCACAGCCTAATTTCCAGTGCCATGGGGGGGAATGAATGGAGTGATGGAAGGAAGCTGAGGGGGGGAGTCATCTTCACACATCAGGGGTGCTCTGTCTCTCTCTTGTTGGGTGGGAAGGAATATGTCTAGGTTTGTCATTGCTTTTCTCCCAAGAAGCACAAAATTAAAAGATGCCTGCTTCTTAGGAGAAAAACAATGACAAACCTAGACAGCATCTTAAAAAACAGAGACATCACCTTGCTGACAAAGGTCCCTATAGTTAAAGCTATGGTTTTCCCAGTAGTGATGTATGGAAGTGAGAGCTGGACCATAAAGAAGGCTGATCGCCAAAGAATGGATGCTTTTGAATTCTGGTGCTGGAGGAGACTCTTGAGAGTCCCATGGACTGCAAGAAGATCAAACCTCTCCATTCTGAAGGAAATCAGCCCTGAGTGCTCACTGGAAGGACAGATCCTGAAGCTGAGGCTCCAAGACTTTGGCCACCTCATGAGAAGAGAAGACTCCCTGGAAAAGACCCTGATGTTGGGAAAGATGGAGGGCACAAGGAGAAGGGGACGCCAGAGGACAAGATGGTGGGACAGTGTTCTCGAAGAGACCAACATGAGTTTGACCAAACTGCGGGAGGCAGTGGAAGACAGGAGTGCCTGGCGTGCTCTGGTCCAGGGAGTCACGAAGAGTCGGACATGACTAAGCGACTAAACAACAACTATATATATATATATGAATGACCCTGTCCACTTTTAGCCCCTGACAGATTATCCCCAAGGGAATGTGACCCTCAATAGATTTTATTTATTTTTTAAAAAACTCCCTCTCTCCCTTTCAGGAGATTTTGGAGGTTGGATTGGCCCAGACTTTCACTCTTTAGGTTCAGGATCCTTGCCATGTTCTCCCAGGTCACAATATTGTAATTGCCATAGCTGTCAACCTTCCCTTTTTTGCGGGAAATTCCCTTATTCCAGAGCCGTTTCCCGCTGCTTCCCGCTGCTATCCCGGATTGTTAGATATACCGTAGACTGTCCCTGGGACAGGTGAGGCTGCTGATCCCTTATTTTCAAATCTGAAAGTTGACAGCTATGGTAATTGCTTCTTGTCCATTATAATCAGGGCTACAGAATCAGTTCTTGGGGATGTTCTCAAACGGTGGCCATGCTCAGACAGACCCACTGAAATGAAAGGACACGGTTTAATCCAGTCCATTAGTTTAGGTGGATGCAATGCAAAAGAGGCTTCCCCAGGTGTAACAAGTAGGTTACCAGACGTCCCCATTTCCCAGGGACGGTCCCCGGATTTACAAACCAGTCCCCATACAAAATCCATTGAAGTTGAAAAGCGTCCCTGGATTCATTGAAAAAAAATCTGGTAACCTTTACCTAAAGCCAGGATTTGGCATCTGGGGTGGGATGCTGACCAACGTCACCCTGCAGCCTGCATCCTCCACTTGCAGTTTCTTTGCAAGTTTCTAGTCCTTATGAAAGCTTGGCAAGCACTAGAGAACACTGCAAATGAGGAAAATCCTACAGCTTGGGTTGGATAGAGGTGACCCCATGCAAAACAAATTATTACTCTACCAACAGTAGAATCCTGGAACTGAAATAATTATCAAATGCTTAAGGAAAACCGTTGTTGTTGTTATTTAAAAAAGATCTGGTATGCAAATAGCCTGTGTGCAATTAGCACATAATTTGATGGTGGGGAATGGCTATGTAGGGTTCAGGTGTTTTAATATTTTTCTCCTTTTTAACTTAAAAGGAGGAGGGTGCGACTGGCTTCGCGCCTCCCTTACCTGCTGTTTCAGCAGTTCTGTGATCTGCCGCAGAACCTGGTTCGTCTCCCTCATCTCCGAGAGCATCTGGGGCGAAAGGTCTCCGCCTGCAATGAGAATGCATCGGATATTTTCCCGTTACTTCACGGCGCAAGAAAATCACGGGGCTGACTCTGAGCTAAGGCGCCTGCTCAGCCCCGTATTCAGCCTTTTGAACACAATTATCTGACCAGTTAGAAATCTCAGAGGAGCTGCCTGCCTGAGTCACTTCAGAGAAACCATGAATTGGGAACAAGGTATACCAGTTAAGCAGAGAAGCCATCTTCAGTCACGCTCTCTCAAAGTAAAGCAGCAAAACCAGCTTTCCCCCCCTTTTTACAATTAAAATCTGCCCCCTTGCAGTTAAAGTTTCAATCAACTTTTGTTTTAGTTGATTAATCTATTCACAGAGATAATTCAGTTTGGTGGCACCTGAGACCCAACCCCTGCTCCCTGCTCTTTGTCCAGCCAGCCACCTCAACCGATCAACTGCTGCGATTGCTGTCCAGCAACAGGTAGCTTGCATCGGAATAGGGAGGTTCCCTTTTAGCTATCTTGACCAACAGCCATTGATAGACCTCTCCTTCTCCATGAATTTATCTAATTCCCCCTCCCCACTTTAAAGCCATCCGGCTGCTGCTGCAACAACATCTTGTGGCAGTGAGTTCCACAAGTTTAATTATCTGCTGAGTGACATAGTGAAATTCATTTTGTGGATTGGTTGAGATTAAATGGATGAACCCAAGTGAGGAAATACTATGCAAGAGAGAGGATATTACACACACACACACACATTTCTATCTACTTTTTCTTCATCTATACTTTATTTAACCAAGTACCTTCTTAATCACTTTTCCCCGTTAAACGAAAACCTCCATTTTTTTTAGGGGAGGGCCTATAGCCTAGTGGGTAGAGCAGGTTCAAACCCAGCGCCTCCAAGGAATCTCTCCCTGCCTGAGCTCTTGGGACAGCTGCTGCCAGTCAGTGCAGACAAAACTGCACTAGATGGGCTAATGGCGGCTTCATGTATAGGGAATCGTAGAATTGTAGAGTTGGAAGGGATCATGAGGGTCATCTAGTCCAACCCCCTGCAACGCAGGACTCTTTTTGCCCAACCTGGGGCTCGAACACACGACCCTGAGTTCAAGAGCCCTCACGCTCTACGGCAGGCATTGGCAAACTCAGCCCTCCAGATGTTTTGGGACTACAACTCCCATCATCCCTAGCTAGCAGAACCAGTGGTCAAGGATGATGGGAGTTGTAGTCCCAAAACATCTGGAGGGCCGAATTTGCCAATGCCTGCTCTATGGACTGAGCTATCCCACAACAGGGTGCAAATAGGGACAGGATAACTTTGGTCACCCTTTTCTGCACTTTCCCCACAACTCCTCAAGGTCCTTTTTTAAGACAAGACAGGGCAGTTTGGGGTGCCCACGATCAGATATAATAATAATAATAATAATAATAATAATAATAATAATAAATTTTATTTATACCCCACCCTCCCCAGCCAAGACCAGGTTCAGGGCGGCTAACACCAGGTATAAAAACAATTGATTAAAATACAAATTGTGGTATGTGCACATCTGTGGAGCTAAAACTTCAGGGTTAACTGGTGTTTGTGTGTGTGTGTGTGTGTGTGTGTGTGTGTGTGTGTGTGCCTGCCTGTAATTGCAATTACACAAGTTGTTCCAACCCCAATTAAGCCCTGCAAACCGGCAGCTCTTCATCCACTCCACCCTGCAAGGTAAATGGTCCAGAAGCTCGTTCCACAAGTCCGTTCCTGCTCAAACTTACAAAGCCTCGGGTTTTTTAGACTTTAAAAGGTTGCAGCTTCCAGTGTTAGGTCATATGCCCCCCTCCCCCCAAAAAAACACCTCAGGAAATATTCTCCAAACCCCACCAAATGACTTGCCCCCCACAATTGCAGAACAGCCATTTCAGGTTGTGACTGAGGTGTCACAGCTCTGCTGAATGAGCCCCAGAGACTCTTTCTAGACAGGGTATGAAATGCGTCCCTTGAAAGTGATTTGTAGAATTATTATTATTGTTGCTGTTGTTGTTGTTGTTGTTGTTGTTGCAATCCAGGGCTAGGAGCTGCCTCAGGGAGACCCGCTTTTCATTCTGGTTTTGGGAAGAGGAGCTAATCCTCTCTTCCCCCCACCCTAGCAAAAACCACCTCCCTCCCTCCCTCAGTTTTGATCTGCCAGGATGCTGGGCAGGGGGCCTTCTTTGTAGTGGCACCAACACTTTGATCTACTCACTCTCCTCCAAAGCCTTGCCCCTCTAAGACCTCCCACCTGCATCTATGCCATTATTATTATATGTAATAATAATAATAATAATAATGATTATTATTATTTATACTCCACCCATCTGGCTGGGTTTCCCCAGCCACTCTGGGCAGCTTCCAACAGAATATTAAAATACAGTAGTCTATTAAACATTAAAAGCTTCCCTAAACAGGGCTGCCTTCAGATGTCTTCTAAAAGTCTGGTAGTTGTTCTTCTCTTTGACATCTGGTGGGAGGGTGCCACCACCGAGAAGGCCCTCTGCCTGGTTCCCTGTAACTTGGCTTCTCGCAGGGAGGGAACCGCCAGAAGGCCCTCGGCGCTGGACCTCAGTGTCCAGGCAGAACGAAGGGGGTGGAGACGCTCCTTCAGGTATACAGGATGGAGGCTGTTTAGGGCTTTACAGGTCAGCACCAACACTTTGAATTGTGCTCGGAATTGTAGCTGCTCACTGGGCTTGACAAAGTCTCTGGCAGGCTCTGCCCGCCCCTTCCCAGGAGTGAACTGTGCTCCTAACGAGACCGTTATTGATTATTGCTCATCCATCCTGGTGCGATAAAAGCCCTCATCACTGAGGACTGCTCACATGCCCTGACTGAACCACTGGTAGAGAGGAGCACCTTTAAAACTTTTTAAACAAATATAAAATTAATAATACTCCCCGCCCCCATTCAGGGCATACACACTGCCCCCCCCCCCCGTTTTCAATAAGGACACTCTGCCTATTTTCTGGTATTCTGCCCCTCTCCACCACTCAGTGTTTCCATCCCCCCTTTTATTTTTTTGGGCGATGCTTTTTTCAAAACGGTCCAGAATCACGCAAGATCCTGTGTTCCTGTCTTGCTGTTGGAAATCATACAGCCCCTAAATCTCCCTTTCTCGTTTCCATGTCAAGTGACAAAGCGTTAATTCAGCTTGCAAGTGGGGAGGTTTGCCTGTTGCCCAGGGACACCTCCAGATCAGGATGGAAAAGACCCCGGAGTCTGAAACCCTGGAGAGCCACAGCCAGCCAGTGGGTTCTTGTGGCAATGAGTTCCATGAGCTGACTATACCTGCTGGTCAGTTTTTTCACTGATCTGGCTCAACTGTGATGAGGCAAGCAAGAACACACTTCTTAAGGTAAAGGTAAAGGGACCCCTGACCATTAGGTCCAGTCGTGGCCGACTCTGGGGTTGCGGTGCTCATCTCGCTTTATTGGCCGAGGGAGCCAGCATACAGCTTCCGGGTCATGTGGCCAGCAGCACTAAGCCGCTTCTGGCGAACCAGAGAAGCGCACGAAAACGCTGTTTACCTTCCCGCCGGAGCGGTACCTATTTATCTACTTGCACTTTGACGTGCTATCGAGCTGCTAGGTTGGCAGGAGCAGGGACTGAGCAACGGGAGCTCACCCCATCAGATTCGAACCGCCAACCTTCTGATCGGCAAGTCCTAGGCTCTGTGGTTTAACTCACAGCGCCACCCGTGTCCCACCAACACACTTCTTACTTGGGTCCAATTTCCAAGATATTTAGGAGGAGCCTCCTCTGCAAGAGGTCTGGAGGGTGGCAACACGAGAACAGGGCCTTTTCTGTGGTGGCTCCCTGCTTGTGGAATGCTGTCCCCAGGGAGGCCTGCCTGGTGCCTTCACTTCGTATCTTTAGACACTAGGCAAAAACGTTCCTCTTCTCCTAGCCCTAGCCTTTTAAACTTGGGGGTGGGTATTGTTTCTGTTTGCTACTATATTATGTATTTTTGTGTTTTTATATTGTAAACCACCCAATGATCCTCAGATGAAGGGTGGAATGGAAATTTAAATCATCATCATCATCATTTTGCAATGCAGTTTTCCAGGCAAATAGTATGTGCATAAAGATGCATGCATTAGTGAAAATATTTTTAAAATTGCTTGCAAAGTTTGTACAGTATGCAACATTGCATACCAAAAGGTATACCTTATGGAACTCCCTGCCGATTGAAATCAACATTTTTTTTTATGCAAACATACCCAGGCTGGACATGTCGATATTTTGACGTGTTTTAATATATTTTACTGCTAATTTTAATTATTTCCAAACATTTTAAACTACTTTCATTAATGTTTTTAATATTTCCTGCAGGACACATAGATGTTTTTACCTACAATCAAGCGGTATATATATTTTATTATGGAAAATAAATAAATTATAGGATAACTGCACAACAAAATTCTGATGAATCTTCAGGAGGATTATTATTATTTTTAAAAAAGAAAAAGCTTTGCAAACTAATGTGGAAAGGTGGCTAAGTGAACAATAAGGAGGAAGAAAGACAGAAACCGTATGCAAGGATGCAATGTAATATACTCTCATACATTCTTAAATAGATATGACTTTATTATCCTAATACATATGTATCCTAATACATATGTATGTAGATGTTAAAATCCTACTGCATTCTGTATAAACTCATACCAAATATTGTTGAAACAAAATAAAAATAAAAGTAAAAAATAAAAATATTCCTTCCAGTAGCACCTTAGAGACCAACTAAGTTTGTTATTGGTATGAGCTTTCATGTGCATGGACACTTCTTCACACGAAAGCTCATACCAATAAAAAACTTAGTTGGTCTCTAAGGGGCTACTGGAAGGAAATTTTTTATTATTTTATTTTATTTTATTTTATTTATTTTGTTCTGACTACGGCAGACCAACATGGCTACCTACCTATAACTACAAATATTGTTACATTTATCCAAACAAAGCCTACATCTGTTAGATGTATTCTACACATCTTTTCCCTCTCACTTTTCTTTTCCTCTGTATCATTAATTATTATAACCAAAATTCTTTTTTAAAACAACAACAACAAAAAACCAATGAGGGGGGGAATAAGATTGACAGATCTGTCCATCTTTACATGAGGAAATGTGTGTATCTCTCTCTCTCAAAGGCAAACACAGCTGAGCTAAGACTAAGCTTGCTTTCTGCTGCCCCAGGGGGCTGGACTTGGACCATTGGATTCGAACGACAAGGAAGGAGATTCGGACTAAACACCAGGAAGAACTTTCTGATGTGGAACGGTCTCGCTCCAGAGCTGGCGGACTCTCCTTCCTTGGAGGTTTCTAAGCTGAGGTTGGATAGCCACCTGCCATGGATTTTCTAGTGCTAATTTCTGCACAGCAGGGGATTAAGACTAGACAACCCTCATGGGTCCCTTCCAACTCTAGAATTCGAGGGTGCTAAAGATTACATGTAGATAGATAGACAGATAATTTATTACGGTCAGAGACCAGCTTATAAAACACACTTGGGGCTACAATCCCAGAAGCAAAACAAACATTTAAAACAATGTACACCAATAAATTTGAAATTTATAAATGCGATAAGCGTATAGACACTTAAAACTTTAAGATAAGCTACCGCAGAGAGATGACCCAGAATCACCCATGTAACCGAGTTTGGGGATTTTCTTAACGAACTAGTTTGAGCCAGGGGATGGTCTGCGCCTACAGATCTGTACACAGAATCTGGCGACCATCCGGGTCGTCTTATGATCTTTGCCTAACAGGAAAAGGTCAATTTTTGCTTTCCCGGGAGGTCAGCGAGCCTCACCAGCAGGGGATCAGTGGTCTCACTACGTGCCTCTTCCTAAAAGGGACATCTAAAGAGCAAGTGCTCTGGGCTTCCTAGCTCCCCCAATGAACAGGCGCAAAGTCTCTGAGCATATGGGACTTTTTTAAAGAATCCGGCGAGGGCAGAGCCGAGCTTCCGGCGAGTGTAAAAGCCCTTCTTGCATTTTTGGATACGAGAAAGAAGAGATATGCTGCCGGTGCAGCTATATATCTCTCGATTTCTCCAATTTTATAGTTGGGGCACCTTGAGCAGTCCTGTTGTCTCTCGGTGTCTATGATTCTTTGCCTGACCGTAGCTTTTGCCTGGCCCAACCCCAGGCTTAGAAGGGCTTGAGGGGCAAAACCCAGTTAAGATTACATGTAAAATAATTGTTCGCGTAACTTGGTTCGTCTTTAAGGTGCAGTTAGCAGCCAGCTACCTAGGCAAACATGAACCATGCTATCAAGATTTAATGAGAAAACCAGGATATGTTGCTAAAACAGAAGGGAACTGATCACACAGGAGCCTCAATGGGGGATGACTTAAAGAATGAAAAAAATCAACCTGGATGGTTTATTTTACAAACCCCTCCTGACTTTCTTGAGAAAGAACGAGACTGCAAAAGGGAATCTTAACTCACCTCTTCCTCCAGGCATCTGGGCTGAGCCATAGGAGCAGAGGCTCAGTAGAAGAATTAACTTCGGAGCGACAGTCATTCTCAAAGCCTGATGGTGATGCCCGTGCAGGCAGCCTGCCCCCTTTTAAGAGTCTTTTGTATATATAAAAAAATTGGCTGGAGAACTCATGAACCTCTGCTCTGCTTCCCCTGCTGAGTGCCTGGGCTTTGCTGTTTATGAAGCTTCATTTCTGCCCTCTGAAGTTTTTATTCGCTCCGATGCTCACAGGAGACGTCATCCCTGGCTCCTGGTCCAGCGGGAGAGAGCGAGAGAGCGAGATAAATTAAATTAGGAGAACAAACAGTGTATGAGAAAACCATCAAGACGACTGCTTACCTTGCGGTGGTGGATTGGCATGTTTTTATTTTCTAATGAAATCGGGGGAAAACAACAACTCGGGGATTAAAATGTTTGGAGGAATGATTTCCTCCATAGCATTCTTCAAAACTCACCTTCCCCTGTCCCTGTGAAACCTTAGTTGGTGAAAAGTTGCCCCTTACACACATTCCTTCTCCCCGCCACCTCCTCTCCCACCACTGCTGAAATTCCAACTGTAAGCTCTTTGCGGGCAGAGAGCTACTCTGCTTTGGTTTTACGGAATGCCTAAGCAGCATCTTGCGCTTGGCAGAGAGGTGGCAGAGGTTCATGCTTCGTGCTGTGCTTAGCTGAGGCTCAGCCACCCCAGACAGCTTGTGCCCCCCATGCCTGAACTGCCCCCTCCAACGTCCAGTTGTGGGGGGGAGGGGGTCAGGGGGGTCCAAGGCCTGGCCAGTGGCCCTCCACAAAGGGGTAGCTAACAGTGCCCTTCAGATGTTCAACTCAAACTCTCTGACCATTGACTGGGCTGGTTGGTGGGCACTGGAATGCAAGCGCCTCTGGATTGCCGTAGGTTCCAAGTTGTTAAGTTGTGGGTGAACATATCAGACGACACAGCAATTCTTCCAAAGCAGCTCTTTATTTGTAAGCTGGAACAGAACTGAACTGAACTGCTCAGTCAGCCTGCTTATATAGAGCTCCAGAACAACGTAACTGTAGCAACTTTCTAAAACTATCCAATCACTGAACGTCACTTTCGATCCTTCATTTGCATACAAACTATCTACAGTATCCCCCTGCTGGCCCAGGGTGAGAACTTCAGTACATAACACAAGTCCCCCACAAAAACCATACAGGACTTTCTTTTTTTGTGGGCGCTAGCAATTGGTATCCTGCGATTTGATGAATTGTGGGCTTTCTTTCTACTTTTTAAGAACAGATGAGCAGCCAAAGGGGCCTCCATCTAAGTTCAGCATCAGGGCTGGATTTAGGTTTGATGAGGCCCTCAGCTACTGAAGGTAATGGGGCCCTTTATATGTCCAGCTGTCCTTTGTCAACAACAAATTGTTGCTGCTTTTGTTGTTGTTGTTGAATATATGCTATATGGTAATTTATGGACCTAATAGGTATCTAAAGCCATTCGCACACAACAAATAGGAGCCTACACAACACAAAACACTGTTGCTGTATGTAGGTTTTATTTTATTTGTGTTTTATCTTATATTTTAGAAATGTACATCCAGTTTTTCCCCCCTTTAAATTTTATGGTGGCCCCCAAGAGAGTGGGGCCCTAAGCTATAGCTTGTTTAAAGGTAAAGGTAAAGGGACCCCGGACCATTAGCTTTTCCTTCCATAGGTTGTGCATCGAACCCATTTCCTGGGGGATAAAGGTAAAGGTAAAGGGACCCCTGACCATTAAGTCCAGTCGTGACCGACTCTGGGGTTGTGGTGCTCATCTCGCTTTACTGGCCGAGGGAGCCGGCATTTGTCCGCAGACAGCTTCAGGGTCATGTGGCCAGCATGACTAAGCCGCTTCTGGCGAACCAGAGCAGCGCACGGAAATGCCATTTACCTTCCCGCCGGAGTGGTACCTATTTATCCACTTGCACTGGCCTGCTTTCGAACTGCTAGGTTGGCAGGAGCAGGGACCAAGCAATGGGAGCTCACCCCGTCATGGGGATTCAAACCGCCAACCTTCTGATCGGCAAGTCCTAGGTTTGTTTAGCTTGTTTAGCTTATATGTAAATCCAGCACTGTTCAGCATCCTGTCTTCCATCTATCTATCATCTATCTATCTATCTTTCTATCTATCCTAGTGGCCAACCAGATTGGCTGGTAGCCATCCACAGTCCACCCCCCCCCCCCGTGAATTTGCCCAGTCCTTTTTTAAAGCCATCCAAGTTTGTGGCCCCCACTGCAGGAGGGAGTTCCATAGTTCAGCTGTGCTGCGTAAAGGAGGACTGTCTCTTACCTGTCCCAAATCTTCCAGCATCCAGCTTCTTTGGACACCTGCCAATTGTAGCATGAGAGAGGGAGAAAAGCATTTCTCTGCATCAGACCATCGGTCCTTCCAGCTCAAATACTGCCTGGCAGCTGCTCTGCGCCATTTCAGGCAGGAGACATTGAATCTGGGGACTTTTGAATTCAGAGTATATAATCTGCCACTTTTGGTTAAAGATGAAGTGAGATTCTAGTCCTCACTGTTCTGAACAATGGAGTACAGTTGTACCTTGGATCTCAAATGCCTTGTCTCCCGAACAAATTGGCTCCTGAACGATCGAAACCTGGAAGTGACTGTTCCGGTTTCTGAACGTTCTTTTGAAAGACGAATGTCTGATGGGGCTTCTGAAGCTGCGCTTCGGTTTACGAACGCTTTGGAAGTCGAACGGACTTCTGGAATGGATTCTATTTGACTTCCAAGGGACGACTGTAATTGAAATAGGAACTTTGGACGCTTCCTTATTCTGAGTGAGGCCTGTGGTCCATCCAGTCTTAACTGCTGGAGATTGAACTAGCGGCCTTCCGCAGGCTCTCTACCACGGGACTGCAGCCCTGCCCCTAAAAATAAATCAAGACTCTGGTCCTCATTGTTGTGAATAAAGGGCGAATTTACAGGAGGGGACATTTTGTCATATGTGGTGGGATTGTAAGGTAATTAAAATTGTTTGGGAAATGATATACAACGAATTGAAGAAAATGTTCCATTTAACATTTGTTAAAAAACCTGAAGTATTTTTATTAGGGATTGTAGGGAAAGACCTGCCAAAAAAGTTGCAAAACATCTTCATGTATGCGACAACGGCCACGAGAGTTCTGGTAGCACAAGGATGGAAGACTGAAGAAACCCCAACTAAAGAATCATGGCAAGAAAAATTGATGGACTATGCAGAACTGGCAAAACTGACATACAAGCTATGGGAAAAGGATAACTGTGACTTTAAGGATGAATTGGAACCCTTTACAAAGCATTTGAAGACACAACAAAGTGAACTGGACTCCTTGGCAGGTTTTGAATAAACATTCACGAACTTTTTATTGATAATAATCAGCTAGATAGTTTGAGGATTTATACAACTGTGTAACATGCAGAAAACAGCATTTTTAGAGAAATCAAAGAATGGAACTGAGGGAAGTCGGGGGGTGGGGGTGGGTGGGTTCTGTGGGGGGAGGGAGGGGGAGGGAGGAAAAAGGGGGGGGAATAAGGATGATATGTTTTTTTCTAATTTTGAATAAAAAGTTATTTTTATTTAAAAAGGGTGAATTTACAATGCACCTTTATATTGCACTACTCTATCCAGTTCAGCCTCCTGCCAACCTAGCAGTTCGAATGCACCTCAAAGTGCAAGTAGATAAACAGGTACCGCTCCGGCGGGAAGGTAAACGGCGTTTCCGTGCGCTGCTCTGGTTCGCCAGAAGCGTCTTAGTCATGCTGGCCACATGACCCGGAAGCTCCCTCGGCCAATAAAGCGAGATGAGCGCCGCAACCCCAGAGTCGTCCGCGACTGGACCTAATGGTCAGGGTCCCTTTACCTTTATCCTGCTCAGTATTGTCAACACTGACTGACAGCAGTGGCTCTCCAGGTTTTCAAACGGGGGGCCTTCGCAGCTCCAACTGGAAGTGCCAGGGCCTGAACTGGGAATTTTCTGCAGGCAAAGTTACAGTCCCTTCTCCAGGCAAACATGACAGCTTGACCGATGTCTTCCCAGCCCAGCTGGCAAGCTGTTTTTTTTCCAACCGGAGCATCACTTCAAAAGAAGTCTTATGTATGTGATTTTTTTCTCTCTTCTTCTTTAAAGAGAGTTGTTGTCGGTGCTGGGGAAGGGAATTCGTGGAACATGGGTTGGAGCTGCAGGAGCAAACAAGCGCCTCTTGTTAGACCATCCCGACAGGAATTCCCATTAAGAGGGCTGAACTTAGAATATGGAGCAATAGCAGTCCATAAGGGCAGGCGAGCCTCAAAGCCCAACATTATTATTATTTTTTTTAAAAAGAAAAACCCCTGTGCCAAGAAATGTCTGATCCAACACCAATAAAAGTGAGGCCATATGGAAAGAGCGATTTTCTTCATCCAAGCGAGGTGTTAATGGATTGTTTTTTGGGAGTGGGGGAGCCCCTCCCCCAAATCTTGGAGGCCAAGCACCTTGCAAAAGCAGAGCAAGGGTCACCTTGTGGTTACGCTTTGTTCAACGCTCCCCCCCCCCACTGTAAAGACAGGAGGCTGTGCCCTTTCTGTTGCCAACTTCTATTTACCAGAATAGCTCCTGCGCCTTTAACAGCAGCGCTTCCAGCGTAGCAGATAAAAGTTCTTCCCCATGCTGTACGGAGAGAGTCAAAGTTTAGCTGCTATGTCAATGTGTAAAGGATCCCTGACCATTAGGTCCAGTCGTGGCCGACTCTGGGGTTGCGGTGCTCATCTCGCTTTATTGGCCGAGGGAGCTGGTGTACAGCTTCTGGGTCATGTGGCCAGCATGACTAAGCTGCTTCTGGCAAACCAGAGCAGCTCATGGAAATGCCGTTTACCTTCCCGCTGGAGTGGTACCTATTTATCTACTTGCACTTTGACGTGCTTTCGAACTGCTAGGTTGGCAGGAGCAGGGACCGAGCAACGGGAGCTCTCCCCATCGCGGGGATTCGAACCGCCGACCTTCTGATCGGCAAGTCCTAGGCTCAGTGGTTTAGACCACAGCGCCACCCGCGTCCCATGTCAATGTGAGTCATGCCAATAATTGAGCCACAGGAGCAGGTGCTGTAGGGGAAAAGTTGGCAACCCTTTCTCCAAGGAGTTGCCTAGAACAACATGCTCCTAAGCTGTCCTGACAAGACAATTGTCTTGGTGGTCTACAAAAAGGGCCTCCCGGTCTTTGGAGGCAAGACTGGGAGACGGGGCCTCTTCAGTGGTGGCCCCATTGTTCTATAATTTCTTACGCAGGGCAGCAGCCGAGCTAGGTTTGCTGATGAGATTTTAAGTTTTAACATTTCACAGAGGTTTCAGGATAGCGGGTAGATGGGCTTGGTATCTAAAACTTATCCCAGCCTTTCTCAACCTGTGGGTCCCCAGATGTTGTTGGACTACAACTCCCATCATCCCTAGCTAGCAAGGCCAGAGTTCAGGGATGATGGAAGTTGTAGTCCAACAACATCTGGGGA